TTCAAGATTTCGGTGTCTAAAGCAACCTTTGCTGCTTCGCCCTTTCCATTCAGCTTGTCACCATCAGGCAAGATGCTTAAATTTTCTTTGATCCTCTTTGGATTCTCTGTTTTGACCAAAACAATGAATCCCTGCAAGTAAGACCATTTTAACAAAATCTCGGCAGGACTTAAGTTGTACTTTTTGCTGAGCTCTAATAACTCAGGGTCATCTATCTTGTACCCTTGAGTGAGTGGCGAATATGCTTCAGCCAAAATATTGTGGTCTTCTAAATATTTTCTGAGTTCGACTCTGGGTAACCATGGATGCAATTCAAGCTGATTGATCACTGGTTTAACCGAGAAACCCTCCCAGTTGAACAACTCCTCCAAATGTTTAATTCCGTAGTTTGAAACCCCAATGGACTTCACGTTTAACGTGGTGTTATCTGGATCAAGAACATAATCCTGCAATGCCTTGTACGTACCTAATCTCTTTTCGCGAGACGTTTTGGGTGAGTGGATAAGGATGAGGTCAACATAATCAATTACACTGACCTCGTCACTAATTTGTTGCACCGCCTTTTTTGTGTTTTCATATCCTTGATTTTGGTTTGCGATTTTGGTGGTGAACCAGATGTCTTTTCTTTGAACATCGGGATGGTCTTGGAGGAACTTTGCAACACCTTGCGCCACCTCATGCTGGTTCTTATAAGAAATTGCTGTATCAATGTGTCTGTAACCAGCTTCCAATGCATCGTATACAAGGGTGGCTGCTTTGTCCGCAGGGATCAAGTAGGTACCGAATCCAGCGACCGGAATATGTTGTCCATTGTTCAATTTATAGGTTGAAAATTTGTCAATATCGATCAGATTGGTCATGTTTAGTACTTGGTAAAGTGTAGTTGGGAGTATGGTTGAAGAGGAAATGAACGAAGTGAAAATCGATTGAGGGGATTTTCAATCTGTGACTCAACAAAATTGCAAATTCATCGGATTACATAATCGTTGCCTTGCACCCACACCTGACCATTGAATTCAATAGACAAATCTTAGCACCAAGAAATCAATTACGTTTTGAGAACTAAGAAGAAGTCTATAACCCAACATGAACAATCAAGCAGGAACTATGATTTGTCACTGAGGTACGGATCAGTTAGCAAGTCCCTTTTCCTCCTTGCGTCATTTTTACCACCTACAAATTGCTTTGAAAGTCCGGTGTTATTCTTTCCGATACTTGGTCGAGAACACAACTTTCGAAACCCGACTACATTAACACAGTTCATTGTAATTTGAAGCAATCAGATCTACAGGACTATAAGAAGCTACATTTTTCAACAATATTGAATTACTTTCGATACAGACTATTAATCAGTTCCTATTGTTTCCATTTGGTGATCATGTTGACAAAATCGTGACCTTGCTGTTTAGAGAAATCTTTTTCCAACTGAGTAACTTGTCTCAGTCCATCACCACCAGCAAAAGTTCCAGCTCCCCAAGGAGAACCTCCATGGACCTCCTCCATGTTTGATTGGCCCTTGAATCCATAACCGAATGGAACATAAATAATTCCATGATGTGCCAAAGTGCTTAAGCTGTTGATGACTGTCGTCTCTTGTCCTCCACCTGGTGTTCCAGTGCTTACGAACACACCGGCATGCTTTCCTCTCAATGCACCTGATGCCCATAATCCACCTGTACCATCCCAAAACAGCTTCCATTGTGCCGGCATATTACCAAACCTAGTTGGTATACCAAGCAAGTAGGCATCGTACTCAGTCAATGTGTTATTATCAGCAACAGGTAAGTCTAGCTTGGGCTTGGCATGAACCAACTTCAAAATCTCGGGCGATAACGTCTCTTTAACTTGAAACAAGTCAGCTGTTGCACCTGCGGACTCTACTCCAGCTTTAGCGGATTCGGCTAATGTATAAACATGGTGATATAATGAATATATGATAATTGCTACTCTAGGTTTGGACATGATGTTGAATTGATGGAAGGATTGATGTGCATCGTTGCTCTAGCAACGTGGGGCCTATTTATACACGACAAAGGTATTTCGCAATACAATTATGTTCTGTGTGGTGTTTTCTCTTGCTCCAAAGTACACAAAAGAGTAAACATTAATAATTGCAATGTAAACCCCTTACTAAAAGATTAATAATTAGTTTACGATAGTACATTAAAACAATTGTACCATGCTATGACAGTTACTAATCACAACAATCCTCGAAATGCTTAGGCTAGCAGCACAAGATAAAGCAAGCCGAATTTCAAATCGAAGATACGTTATCTCAATAAGGGTTAGAGACTACTATGTAAAAGTCGCTTCTTGCAAAGCTTAGGCTTAACAGTGGCTTTGCAGTTTTGTCTAACCTTCCTTACGACACACTTTTCTAATAGATTCTTAAAAAGGCTGAGTTTCTCGAAAGTCTAAGCGTGGCACATTATGTCTCCAAATTAATTGTACTCACCAAAAACCTATACGTCAGATGAGTGGTCCAAGACCACAATAATACCACCTCTACCCATTTTGTCCTAGAAACTCGTTTATATAATGGGAAAGAACTTCTTTTTAGAAAGTTTCTCCGCAGTCGGAAAGCAGAATATGCACAGTATTTCCCCTTTGGGCAGCAAAAGCCGCAGGGAACAGAAAACAAACTATTACGACAGAATAAATATACTCACCCCTATCTCTCGCCCCTCTCACTCTACCATAGTACACATTCGATTATGCAACCAACATCGATAGCCACATCGCTCACACTTTTTGTGACTTTGGCTTGTGGATTCTTTCTTCCAGACTTTAACTTTGTCTTGGAAGGCGTCAACAAGCTTTTGCCTGGAAAGTATCACCAAACTGCGCCATCAGAACCCACATTTGAGGAATACAAAGCAAATTTGATCAATTTCAACAAAGTTGTTCCTCACCACTACGTCGTCATTTTTAAGGATGACTTATCGCAAAGCCAGGTGGTACAATACACCCAATGGTTGGAACTGGAGTACAACAACATGTTAACAATGGTTGAATCAGCTCCAAAGGGGGTGCAATTCATGAAAAAGCTCGACTTTTTTAATGTCGAGGGCTATTTCCGCGGATTCGCTGGATTTTTTACTCCTGAAGTTATTGAGAAGATTAATAATGACCCTCATGTTGAGTTGGTCGAGAAAGACGCTGTTTTCAAAGTCAATGAGTTTGACATTCAAAAAGACGCGCCATGGGGGATCTCGAGGATTAGTCACCGTGAAAATAATGACGACAAAAAGTACTTCCATGATAATGAAGGTGGTCAAGGTGTTACCGCTTACGTCATTGATACAGGTATCAAAGTTGAACACGAGGAATTCGAAGGCCGTGCACAATGGGGTGATGCCATTGCCTTCCCCAAGATCAGGATTGATGGACATGGCCATGGTACCCACTGTGCTGGTATTATAGGATCCAAGACATTCGGGGTCGCCAAGAAGGTTGATTTGGTTGCTGTTGGTGTCATGAATTTGTTAGGATCTGGTACCACTTCCGACATTATCAAAGGAGTTGAATATGTTGTCAATAGACACCAAGAGGACGTCAAGAGTGGCAAAAAAGGTTTCAAAGGCTCAGTTGTCAACATGTCGATCGGTGGGGGCATATCAGAGGCATTGGACTTGGCCGTTAATGCTGCAGTGAAGGCTGGTTTGCATGTTTCTGTTGCTGCCGGTAATGATGATGCGGATGCTTGTCAATACTCTCCTGCAAGAGCTACCGGTCCAATCACCATTGGTGCCTCCAACATTGATGATGCTAAAGCCTCCTTTTCTAACTGGGGCCAATGTGTCGATTTGTTTGCTCCTGGTGAGGCGATTGAGAGTACTTTTATCTGGTCGGACTCGGCTGAGATGTCGGGAACTTCAATGGCTAGTCCTCATATTGCTGGATTACTAAGCTACTTTTTATCGTTGCAACCAGAGCAAAGCTCGGAGTATTTCACTGGTTTAATCGAGCCAGCGGCATTAAAGTCAAAGTTGATCAAGTACGGTACAAAAGGTGTTTTGACAGGATTGGATGCTACAACTCCAAACGTCTTGGCTTACAATGGAGCTGGCGGTAACTTGACCGACTTTTGGAATATTTAGATTTACAGCTTTTGTAGAATTTTGTTTCAGCGGTTTTCGCTTTCTAATCAGATAACTATATTATGAATTGCATTCATTGTAAATTATTCAGGCTTGTAAGTGATGCTCCTTGGTGACAAGCTGAATGGAAAGGGCGAAGCAGCAAAGGTTGCTTTAGACACCGAAATCTTGAAGGCATTGGACAAGCCCGATTCAAAAGAGGTACTCACTTGGGGCGGGGTTGATCCCACATTATATGACGATGAATGAGGCTCTGACACTGTGTAATATTTTGTAATTTCTAGAGGTACAGTACACTATTAGCAGACGATATACATAAGTCTCTGACTCTCTCGCGCAAAATTGACCACTGGGACATGAAAAATGAAAAAAGAAAAAAAAACACCCCAAGACATTCCCACGAACGCTTTCCACCGCCAGACTCCTCTACAAAAGATGTCGCTGCGATCAAATAAGCCAGTGAGGCAGGACTACATTGCCAAGATCAGATATGCCAATAGCCTACCCCCTCCGCCATTGAACCCAAAGTTCATTGAGTACAACACGACTACACCCATTTCCTCGAAAACGGAAGGTGAACAGTTACTATCATCGTTATTTCGTAAGGAAAACTTCCACAATCTTCTCGAAAGGATAGATGACCAATCGGGGCTAGAGTTAAACTTGATAAATAACGTAGGGTTCTTGGACCATGGCGATCAATCGAGCATTGGACAGCTAAAGAACAAGCCTGTCGCGTTACACCAGAAAGATAGGGCCTTGTTAAGACACGTTGGTATAGGACAGATCAAGAGAACCGATCAGGATGTGTCGTTTTTGCGGAGAACAGAGTACATTGCAGACCAGTCGTTGCTCAAGTCGGCAGCAGCAAGCACGCACACAGAGGAGAATAAGGTTAACGAAAAGTTGAAAAACAATGAAGAGCACAGTTTGGATGCGGACCACCAATTAGAGGCAGTAGAAGAAAGCTTTAGTACAGCAGACGACTCACTAAACAACTTGTCCAACTTGAAACATCCTAGGAAAAGGCACGTGAAAGCAGTTGATGCCTGGCCGTTGTTGCCCGACACGTCCATGATGGACAATGTATTTATGAATTTAAGATTCTTGGGAAGCGCATCGATCAAGAGGGAGTTGGATGTGTTAAAGAGACAAGAAGGAGCAAAGTACAAAGACATGTACCAAAGACAGAGGCAGGAATCGGCCATATTCAAACCAATCAATTCGCAAGATGGCGAGTGGATTTCAATGTTTGAATTGAATGACGAGGAGCAAGTGTCAAAGCTACACCAGAGTTTGCATTCAGATGCAGCCGACGAGTCCACCACAGACTATGCCTTCAAGTATGCGAAAAACTACGACATGCATTACCAGGGGTACACCAACCCGCACCAGGAACTAGCTGTCAGGTTTATTCCTGTCTCAGACGAGCCAGCTGCAAAAAAGAGAAAGGTGGCCCACTATTTGCCGGTGAGCGGTAAAATAGAACTAAGGAAACACAGAGCCTCGACAAACTCGGAAATCAACAAATTCATCAAGGAGAGGACATACGATGGTATTCTGTTCAAGTTGAGAGAACCCACAACTACTGAGTTGAAAGGCATGGACAGAGTAAGGTCAGAGTTTGATCCGATGGAATACGAAGGTGGCGATGAACTTGATGACGAGGATAAATATATCTAGATTAACGACTAAGAAAGCCGAAAAACTTTCTCTTTTTCTTTTCTTCAACCGGCTTTGAGGAAGGTTTTAAGGATGGCTTTATCTCAGTCTTGGTTGTGTTGGCGTTGGTTGCTTTATCGTGCCGGTTCCTTTTCTCGTACTTCTCTTGCATCCTGCGAGCTATTGCTTGGTCTTCCTCTTCTTGCAACTGTCTCAGCAACATCAAATCTGAATCAAACGTCTCTATTTCTTGACCAATATCTTGATTAATGTCCAATACTGGCATAAAATCACCGGTGAAAAATATATCGTCTTCTCCGGAAACAGAATTTAAGCTCTGCCACACGAGCCTACTACTCTTTGATTGGAACGAGGAGTCAGTAACAAGCAAATAAAATTCATTTCTCGATTTTTTAAACAACGTATTAAAATGGTTGTTTCTGAAGAAAATAATAAACTGGGGTGACGCCAAATCGAGATCTAGTTTGTTAAGTCCTTGTATTGTCAATTGAGAACAAGTGGCGTCCAACCATTGTCTGATGGCGTGTTGATTCTCTACCACCGTTGGATTTGTATCCTGCAAGAGTAAATAATCTTGTACCTTGTCAAATGTCTGAAGTTCGTGTAAGATTTCAAGTGGAGACTCATTTGCATGTTGGTTATCGACTTCGTCGTCAGCATATCCCAGAGTTGCCACCCCTGAAGCATCCACTACCCATCCGTGCTTGAACCGCAAATCAAAAATCTCAAATAGTGTTGTAGCCAAATCCTGGGAGAAATTTCCATCGGTTAAGTTAGGATCAACATCAAGGCCGGTGTGTAGCTTTGGTAATTGTTGCAATATATGATCAACCATTTCCGGAGTGATAATCGATACATCCTCTGAATAAACTAAAAGTAAATCAGCGACAAGACTCAATACATCGTCCAACTCAACCGATCTTGATTTGTGATAATGGGCCACCAATTTCGATTTCAAGTTCTTGATCCCTTCGTACTGCTTCTCAGACTGACTTAAAAGACCATTGTCAGGTTGTGAATTTCTAAAGTCAAATTGTAAAATTAGGGTATTCACCAAGGCTATGAGAGGACATGGTCCATTTTGATTTTGTAACAATATCGGTGTTGTCGTACTGTCGTAGTTTGTTCCACTCACCGACCATGAAATCAACTTTATGGGGAACACAACCTTTAGTTCCAAGTTGCTGGTTCCTTCAGACATTGGTGATAAGCAAAAAGGATAGTGTTTTCCAAATCTAAATCCCAACAGCCGACGTTATTATCACCGAAGAATTACTGCGGTCCAGAATAATATGCGCTACCATGGCGCTGTCAACTATCTTGGCGGCATGACAACTTTGCATATGACTACATATCGGCGAAACACTGTAGATTTCTGTGACTTAGATCTTTCATTAAAAAAAAAATCTTCGATTTTGTGGTACTATCTATACAAGTAGATGAATAAACTGGCCAACAAAACTCCAATGAATCCCAACACAGCATTTGTGTTAAAAGTCTCCTGGTCGATCCTAACTTGCATACTATCATCGATGGATTTCCGCCCCTCTAGAATCTTATTAATAGGCCCTTCGGAAATGCGAGCACCTTCAGGAATGGCGTTCTCAGAAGGAAACATTGATTCGCAAAACTGCTCAATCTCCCCACACTTTATACCTATTCTCAAATAGTTGGGGTCTCTCACTGATGACTTATGGTTAATCACCTGGATATAGTGTCTGAATATTTTAACAACTCCTGGATAAGTTCTACTTTCCAAAATCAATTTACAAGTGGTACCTTTTCTGATCTTTACCACGCTGTGCAATACTTTTGGGTTATTATAGACTTCAGCTAATGTTGCAATTGCCATGACCTGTGGAATAGCACAAAAGGAAAATGTTGAGGGATCCTTGACCAACGACAAGAATTCCAATACATGCCTCACATGACTAAGGGCATTCAAAACAAGGTCATTGATGCAGGATAACCCTTCAAACTCCATTGACTCATTCTTGTGGAATTTAGGCAAGTCACTGGTGTACTTGGACCAGATTTCTTTTGGCCAAAACGATCTACCGTCCAACAAATCTTCATGGTAATCTCTGATAATGTTTGTCTTTTGCAAAAAAAGGCCCATTGAATTCGATTTTTCGAAATTGTCCTCAACTAACGAATTGTCGGAAAACTTGGCTAATACCATTAACTTTGTCAACCCTTCACCAACTAATCCAGCAACATAATGACAGTACAAGTTGTAATCCTCAATCGTTTCCACTCCATTGAGATTAAAATTCTCATCCAAGATATAATCAGCCATACCGTTACCCATCTTACGAGTAATGTCTTTGACAATCTCCTGGTACTGTGGCTTCAAACCGTGATAGATTTCTAGTATCTGATCAAACTCAACAAGCACAACCCTATCCTTTTCTTTTGGCCCATTTCCGTCGAAAGTCCAGTCTTTTGAGTCCAACTTTTCGTAAAAGGTACGTAACAAAGGCACCTTGATCTCTGGATCAATAGTCATATCATCTTCAATTGTGTCCAACGCTCTCAATACAAGGTAAAAAATCATGATGGCGTCTCTTAGTTCTGGGTGCAACTCCTCAATAACCGCCGCAAATGATCTCGAGGTAAGGTTTAACAATTCATAGCACCTTTTCAAAGCTGGCGATTGGGAAGTAGGCACCTGATGCAACAGTTGCCTGAAACCCGTTAATTGGATCACCGACTTTAATTCATCCGGGTGGAGAAGTAATTGTAAGAATTTGCCCATGTTTCCGTGGATGAAGCTCCTAATCGGATTGATATCTTTTGGCAAGAGTAAATTTTATCATCTCTCGTATACGCGACGAATAATTTTTTTCTTTTTCTTTTTCTTCCAGTTTTGTTTTTTCCTCTTTCCTTTTACGATGGTAACGCGTTTATTTAAAAAGTCTACACTGTACTAACAACAGCTTCATTTCGAGTTTTCAATCTTTTCAAACCATTTACGAGCAGCTTTGATATTGTCGAGTACCAAAAATTCCTCATTCTGCTCTACTGCTGTACCGTCTAAAACTTCTTCTTTCTTTTTCAACACAACCATGATAAACATATTCTCTGTCAATACGTCAAGGTAAAAAGTTGTGCCATTGCTTCCTTTGATAATCAAGTTATTAAAGTTTGTTCTCAACTTGGATATCGACTGTTTGTATGTTTTGATAATATTGGAAATCTTTTCAAATCGTTTTGGATCCAACTCTTCCGTCTCCTCCTTCTGGGAGCTGCTTTTGCCATTGGTTAACTTGTGCTGCTGTTGTTGTTGATCCGGTTGCGCTTGTTGTTGCTTAATCGAAGCTGTTGATGAAATTACAAGAAAGGTAGTCTTTTCAAACAATATAATCTCTTCGGCGTCTAAGATCGAGTTGAACTTGATTATATTGCTGTTGAACAAATTGATATTTGGTATTAGCGAACATACAATCTGTGACCACGCCTTGTATAAACTCTCATCCCATATACTCGTGGGAAAACCAACAAGCTTGAAATGATAAGGGTTACTTATTTTTTGTAACTTGTCCATCATTATCGTGAATAATTCCTGCCTCTTGTCAATTTGAACAAGATCCATCTTGTGCAATAGCACAAAGATCTTTGCATCGGGACTATACTTTTGCAAGTTGGTCAAACTCTTCACAAATATTTCAATATCCTTATTAATCAGCTTGCTCTCAACATCAAATACGTGAATCAAGACTTGCACCATTTTGAAGATATGGTCTTTTTGATTAGTGAAATAGTTCTCCATGAACACATCTTGCCCACCACAGTCCCACAAAGTAAGGGACATGTTGCCTAGAAACCGGAGATGTGACAATTCAACATCCACAGTTGCTCCTAATCTTCGTGTATCAAATGCAGAGTAGTTGGAAAAGATAATTGAGCGCATTGACGACTTTCCTGAACCAGAGCGGCCCATAAGCAAAAGCTTTTTCCTTGATGTTTGCGACATGATGATAAAGCTCAAGAGGGAGTGTGTTGTCCAAAGGAAAGTTTATCGTCCGTTCGGTTACTCTTTTTGTGGTGAATGAGAGCATCTAATTTTGTACGCTACCGATTCTACAATACATCAACATACTTACTACACACTTTATCCACCAACATTCTCAACTCTTGCTTTCTACCTTCGTCACACCACGAGCCATTAATTCCATTCAAACTAATTTGTTTCCATTGCTCCAAGTTGAATCCGAATCTTGTGTGCACTGCCACATAATTATCCAAAATGTAGCCACCGAAATAAGCTGGATCATCGGAATTGATGGAAAAAGGCACACCTCTTTCTAAAAACAAGTCAATGGGTAAATGCCCCACATCTTGAACCACTTGCAACTTGACGTTGGATAAGGGACATAATGAAAGCATAATCTGTTCCTCACTTAACCGCTTCATCAACGATTCTGAGTGCTTAGAGTTTACACCGTGATCGATTCTTGTAACTTTGAGTTTATCTAAAGAATTTTCAACAAACGTATAATCTCCTTCTTCACCAGCATGTGCGGTCAATGCAACTTCGGGAAACTTCAGCCTCAAAAGGGCATAGCATTCTTCAAATAACTCAGGGGGAAACGGTTTTTCACTCGAGTCTAACCCTAACCCATGTATAATACCATCTTGGTAATACTTGTCGGCCGATTCAATCACCTTGAGACCATCTTCACTGGGTAAATGTCGTAACAAACACATGATCAACTTGTTGGTGGTTCCAAAGGAGGTTCTTGCATCCTCACACGCGTGGCTAAGTCCGGAAACCACTACATCTAAAGAGATCCCTCTCTCTAGATGACCTTGCGGGTCGAAGAAAACTTCAGAATGTAAACAGCCATCTGCTGTTGCCTTGGTGAAGTATGCCATCGCCAAATCATAAAAGTCTTGTTCCGTGACCAACACACTCATGCCGATGTAGTAGTGATCCAAAAAGTCCTGCAAGTCAGAAAAATTGTCATACCTCGTTTTGCACTGCTCGATGGTTGGAGGGAATGTTGGGGGTAATGTAATATTGTTTCGTTTTGCCAACTTAAATAGTAAATCTGGTTCCAATGTTCCCTCGAGGTGGAGATGATGCTCACATTTGGGCAACTCCTTGAGGAACTTTTGCATGCAATCACTGCATTCGTATTTTGTCAAAGTCATGTTTCTTTCAAAGTACCATCAGTAAATATTTCCACCCTATGGTATTCTTATACGAGGCTCATCTCAAAATTTCACCTTTGAGCAGAAAGGATTTTACTCGATTTTGTGTCACTATTGTATCTAGGCACCAGGTCTTCTCGGAGTCTCCGCGGGAAGCAAAATGTAGTCAAGAGTTGTTCTACCCCTTTTGCTAATGAAACATATAAAATTGACTCTATACACCTAGCTACTCTTGTTTAACTTCTGGTCAGCCCAGTTTGGTAAAATGAATGAGGCTTCGTGAATTTGCTTGTTGTAATATTTCAAATTCTTTGCCACAAATTCATCACTCCAATCGAACCTGGCTGGCTTTCTAACGTTAGCATTAGCATCCTTTGAGCATACCATGAAACCAATTGATCCTGATGGGTAAGTTGGGATCATAGTGTAGGCATATTCTGCAACAGGAAAGATTTCTGCACAGTCCTTCTTCAACTTGGAAATGATATCCATGTGGATCCAAATATTTTCAGCTTGAGTAGTAATGACACCCTTTTCGGTCAACGCATCTTTCAACAATTGAAAATACGGCTTCTGGAAAAGTGATTCAGCTGGTCCCTCAGGATCAGATGAGTCTGTGATAATTACATCGAATTGGTTCTTGTACTCTTCCAAGAATTTAAAACCATCTCCAATATGAACCTTTGTTCTTGGATCTTTGTAGGATTGGGACATTTCTGGCAAGTACTTTTTCGAAACTTCAATGACGGTTTCGTCAATATCACACAACCAAGCTTCTTCAATACTTTCGTGTTTCAAGATCTCTCTCAAAACACCACCATCACCACCTCCAATGACCAACGCCTTCTTTGGGTTTGGATGAGAGTTCAAAGCCAAATGAGCAATCATTTCTTGATAAGAAAACTCGTCACGCTCAGTGCATTGGATGCAATTGTCCAATACCAAAACATTACCATAAGTCTCAGATTTGAACACCAAGACATCTTGGTATTTAGACTTTTCAACATGTAAAACTTTGTCAACTTTCAAGGACATGGCTTGACCTGGCCACATGGTATCCGAGATTTCTGCAAACCAACCATCCTTGATTGATGGGTGAGTTAATTGTTCTGACATGGTTGATACCTGACTAATTGTGGTCGAGAGTTTTCTTCGAATTTGTGAAAAATTGTGAAAAATTTTTTGCAAAAAGCGACAAATAATACGCGGAGAAAAAGAGACCACGAGGTGGAAGAGTTTAGTCTTAAGCAAGATATCCAAAGAAGTAGTAAGCGCCTGACCCCTCGCTAGTATTTTTTTTTGCCCAACACGCTACTGCTAAACTACACAACTCAACAGTCAGGTCAGCTTCGTACAAACCACAAGCCTTTGATTAGCCATGTCACATCCAACATCACAACCACCGGAGGAAAACGTGTCACAGCTAACGCTATCTCCTGCTTCAGAGCTTTCGGGTTTCGAATGGTGGAGAAGGACACTACTGTACCAAACTGGCCTTGGGTTCACAGCACAAGACCGTGCACAATATGTGTATGATTATCAAAATCGCAATCTCGAAGAAAAATGCCAATCTTGCAATGAAAACCTCGAGTGGGTGTTGAAATACTCACCCTCTGTCATTTTCATGATGAACCATATACGAAAACTAAACAAAGACAACGAACCAATTGACCCCCAGTTTATCAAATGTGCTACATGTGATTTCACAAAGGGCGGTGGATTTGACCCTAATTCGGGAATTTTATTGTGCAGTAACTGGATAAGATCAAAATGGCAACTAGAAGACATCTTGACCCATGAGCTAGTGCATGTTTATGACTACATGAAATTCAATTTGAATTACAACAACTTGAGACATCACGCTTGCACGGAGATACGGGCATCAATGTTGAGCGGTGAGTGTAGAATATGGGCCGAAATTAAAAAGACGGGCTTGGGAAATTTCGGTAAAAAGTTTCAAGACTGTGTTCGAAGAAGAGCAGTAATATCGGTTAGTGCCAACCCAGCTTGTCGTAATACGAAAGAGGCAGAAAGCGTGGTGGATATTGTTTGGAGAAGTTGTTTCAACGATACTAGACCGTTCGAAAGAGTCTATAGATGAGAGGAAAAGAGACTGATTATAGCTATGGCAATTGTAAATAGATTAATGTGCTAATTGCTCAAGAAGATGAGAAATAATGTCCTTATCTCCGCTTGTCCATAACCGTTCCCTTAGTTTGCTCTTTCCCCAGTACCTTCGGCGAATAAATTTTCCCGAAAACGCTTTTTCATTTCCCAATTTCGACTGCATGACTTAAATTGCTAGTTATTGTTCATCTCGGAGTTAAAGAAGATTATTAAATCGAGGAACAAAAGTATATTTACGGAGCTGGTGTTGTTTCTCTCACTCCGGTTCAATCGATATAATCCCCAACAAAAAAATAGAATCAAAAGAGAAAAAGAAAAATACGAACATTCTGGATTATATATATATATATATATAAAGCAACTCAGAGTCGTAGCAACCAATTAGATGGTCTTTAAAAGCAACATTGTTTTCTCTGATATCAATTTGCATCTCACAAGTGCTAGGAGAAATAGTTGCTTAAATCAGCTAAAGATAACTCCCTGTTGAGATCTAATTTTTCAATAAAAGCAATTATCAACTACAGATTCAGCTGCAATTCTTTTTTTGTCGGACAACGGACAAGATACTACGCCCCGATTTGCACAATCTTTGCAACCTTCACCCAAAGATCCCAATTGATTAACAATGATAAAAAGAATGGACACTGGAGATAAATTAGATTCCATATCTGACAGAATCAATCGCAGGGATTTGCTCAATATCAACAACGACTACAATGCATCATCCAGTGATACTGATGAAACGGAGTCATCCACTTTGGAGAAGGACCCAGCAGACTTGTCTGATGTTACACCACCAATATCGGGAGTTGCTGAGCCTTCAAATCTGTCTGGTGATGGATATTTCAGACGAGGGTCTGGCACAAACGTTTCGAGATCTACTGGCAAAAAGACACCCAGCAGTCCACTCGCCAATGGCAGCCACGTAAGATCACGAAAGTCACATGCCTCGAGATTGCCTCGTGTAGGTAGCAGTAGTCTGGATATATCCGACTCAGATATTACGTTGGGTGGCTTGGTAAAGTACGTTTCTGAGCAAGACCATCAACGGCTTTTAAGGAGAAAATCCAGGTCAGAAGATGGGACAACAAAAGAGAAGAAAAAGAAGGAAAAATATCGCTTGAGATTCGGAGACTTGTCATTCACGGGTAAAAGTACCATTCTTGACTCGCAGGAATTCATCAAATCAGAATTTTACGGATTTTACATCTTGTTTTGGTTATCGACTGCTTTTGCCATGTGTAACCAACTTGTTCACATGTACTTTGAAAGCTATCCACCGTTTTGGAAATGGGAAATTGTTCAGATTTTAGAACGTGATATATTTAAAGTTGGTTTAACTGATTTGGCAATGTACTTAACCTCGTACTTCCCATTATTTCTTCAAATTCTCTGCAAGAGAGGTTGGATCAGCTGGAAACGTACTGGTTGGGTGTTGCAAAGTACTTACGAAACCGCATTTGTTGCCGTATATTTGTGGTTTGCTCACTACATGCAGTATCCATGGATTGCAAGGGTGTTTCTTGTGTTGCACAGTCTTGTGTTCTTAATGAAGATGCATTCGTATGGCTACTACAACGGATATTTGTGGACGATTTTCAGCGAGGGCTTGTTTCTGGAACGATACTTTTTTCAGTTGCAAAACAATGAAGTCGAACTCCCCGAGGGACATGATTTGGACCACACTATTGGTATATTAAAAAGCAGTATCGAATTTACAAAGTATGAATTGGAGTACCAATCCCAAGCAACTACAAATAAGCCAGAGCAAGACGATGGGAAATATGAGGGTATTGAGATTAACTACTCATTTGCCGAATTGCAGGAGCGAGGTTTGATTAAATTCCCTCAAAACATCAGTCTTTGGAATTATTTTGAATATAGTATGTTCCCCACGGTGGTGTACACCATTCAATACCCCAGAACTCCCAAAGTCAGGTGGCACTTTGTGTTTGAGAAAGTTTGTGGGATATTCGGGCTTATATTCCTTATGGTATTGGTCGCCCAGCACAATTTGCTTCCAATTGTTAAACGAGCTGGTGTAGCACGTAAGCTCCCAGTACAAGAGCGTGGTGGTCAATACTTTTTCATTTTATTGGATATGATCCCACCATTCCTCATGGAATATTTGTTCACTTTTTTCCTTATTTGGGATGCTATATTGAATGCGCTTGCTGAGTTGACGTTGTTTGCAGACCGTAACTTTTATGGTCCTTGGTGGTCCTGCACTGACTTCTCCGAGTTTGCCAGGCTTTGGAACAAGCCAGTCCACAACTTTCTTCTTCGTCACGTTTATCACTCGAGTATAAGTGCATTGAAAGTAAACAAGATTCACGCAACCTTGATCACATTCATCATATCCAGTGTAGTTCATGAACTAGTGATGTATGTAATTTTTGGAACCTTGCGTGGCTATTTGTTATTATTTCAAATGTCGCAGATCCCATTGGTTATGATGACGAGGTCCAAGTTCTTGAGAGACAAGAAGGTATTGGGTAATATAATTTGTTGGTTTGGATTTATCAGTGGACCTAGTATTATATGTACATTATACCTAGTGTTTTAGAGAGTTGATTAATTTTTTTAAGAGATGTGCGAATTTCCTTAGAGGGGTTTCTTGAGCAATGTTACTGTGTTTGATGCGTATCGACTTTTCATTAACTGATGCGCTCCAACTCCTCTTCAGATCATACGATGTCTGTCAAAGTGTTCTATTCAAAGTTATATCCCTCTTATTCATTGCCGGATCTCCGGTTGCATTTCCGTGTTTTTTGTTTTATCTTTTTCTTTTATCCAATTTTTCTAACCGTTGAATTCGTGAGGGGCAATAAGCATACATCGGTAGTTCTTGTTTTTATGGAAACCTTCACAGGGATTGGGAAAAAAAATATTTTTGTGTAGCAAATTATGTCACAGCAATTAAATTACTACTTTTGGCTTTCCGAATTTGCCCTTTCTATACGTTGCAAAACAACCGGTTTGTACTTGGCAGTTGTGCAATAACTGAAAACAAACGTTTCCAGTTTAAACGATCTTTGGTAAAATAAAACATATTCATAATTTTGCAATTCGGCAAAAGAGTAGCATCAAAAGTGAAGGAACTTTTCTCCAATCATGGTGCCAAATTTTGTTAACACCTTACAACAGGAGGCATCCATTTACCCACAATACCGACTATTAAGAAGTTAGATTTTAGAGTTACAGCTACGCTAGTTTGTATAATCAATTCGTTTCCCAATGTGGTAATTCTGTCAAAAAAATAAAAATTTTTTAGTCCAATACACAATGCGAATAAAAGCGGACTTTAGGGTTTCCTCGGTGTAAAATTCCGCTCTTAAGAGCCACACCAAATTCTTTTTTAAATCTATTGAGTTGAATATGTATAAATATAAACATATCCACCCCTGTCGACACTGACACGTACTATGGGCTAAATCTGTCAGACTCTTTACTCCTCACACATACACACACACTGTATTCACAACCTATTCCCTCCATTGTAACAGTTCTTACCTGAAGATGCTGTTCAAACCACCCATTGGGTTCTTCGATACCGATAAGCATTACACCGCCACTCATGGTGTCTTAAGACTACTTCTCACAGCCAACAATGATCCTGATGAAGGTACTGGGGTGTATTGTATTGTTGATCAAGCACACGGGCTCATGGGTCCCAAAATAGCGCAAACTTTGATTAATAATGTCATAGGAAAACAAATTGATTTGCTAGGCCGGTATCCTTACAGCAGTGATATTGCACCAAGTATTTTGTTTGCAACAATATTTGGAATAATCGCCTTGTTGCATATGTTTATATTTGTCATGAATACTTATCGAGGCCACTACTTCTTTTTGAGTTTACTTTGGGCATTCACGGGTTTGCTCAGATGCGTATCATTTGTGTATCGAGCCGTTTGGGCCAAAGACATTATCAATGTGAGAATGGGTATTGCTGATGAAATTCTACTAGTTATTCCAACTATTTTCTTAATTTCGGCTAATTTGATTCTAGCACAAAGATTATTCACGTGGCGACACCCAGTTGGTGGTAACAGAAAACTATTCTGGTTCTTCATGTTGTCGCTTTACTGCATTGTTTCAATTTTGTTGGTTGTGGCTATTGTTGCATCGGCTATACCGTACATGTACTTTCTTTCAACATCGCGGTTCAACGTGTACAAAAATTTGAACAAGTTTGTGTGTATCATGTTGATTTCGTATACTTTGACGGCTTCATCATTGATTGGGTTGAGTTTCTGGTTGCCCACCATGAAGGATGAAAGGTTATACACATATCAACCCTGGTGGATTGAGAGTTTCGCGCCATTTTACTTTGTCAGGAAAGGTGCTGCGCAAGAGGCAGAGAGCACATTTATGAAACGAAATTCAAACCATCGACATGCCATTAGAGTCATTGCAGCTACCCACCACCACTACAATATGGTAGAGGGGTTGACCAATCAAAGAGGTGACTTGAAGCACAATGTGTCGCTAGTCATCGTGATTATTTCAACAATTGGGGCATTTGTACCAGCTATTTTGAGGGCTGTGGTTGTCTTCCAAACCAGACAACAAAAGACCTCCTCGCCTGCTGCAGCACCAACTTCCATGTACTTTTGTTGGGGTGTGTTTGAACTCGCCATGAATTTGTCTTACCTAATTGGAAGAGCAGACTTGAGGTTTTACAGGCCTGATGTGTTACCAGCTCAAGTGCGAGCCATTATTACGGCAGAACAATCGCAAATGGTTACACCTACGCAAAGTGACGATGAGCATGAAGAAGAAGAGGGAGAGGAGGAAGGAGATGCCGACGACAAGTACTATGGTCATTATCCATACAGCGATGATGACGATGATGATGGATTTGAATTCGGTGATGGTCCCAAGTCTCTGCAATCAAGCGACGATTTCTTCTTCGGCACCACTCCTCATCATGAACGAGATGTACAATTCAAGGAAAAGGCCAATAGTATGGACTCTCGAGTGTTTACACCAAACCAAAGAACGTACACGAATACTCCCGCCAATGAACTTGAGAAGAGACTAGATGATTCCGATGATGAATTCAAATTTTAGATATTTTCAGCGTCATTTGGCTAGTTCAAATTTCTGTCTGCGATTGCTACATCGCCATATTTTACATTATTCCAATTCAATTCTTGAGTACGTTGTACTTAATGCTTACGAGATTCCCCTTTTTTATCAGATATTAATTAATTTAATATCGAAATTATAAACTTATAGAAAATATGTGCTATTTACTTTGCTATTAGTAATGGATGAACCAAATTTAGTGAACCTTTTCTTGGAGCAGCATCTCTGCATGTCATGTGGACTGTCATAACAAAGACATTTAGACATGGTAGGACCTATCGCATCGCACACGAAACACATGCCCTCCCAAGTTTGTCAAACAAAACGAGTTGTCATAGTTTAGCCCCCTTCCCACTTCAAGCTTTTGTTAGCATGATTGCCAAAACAAGAAATGGTTATGATTTTTTTGAAAACTTCCTAATAGAGTAAATTACACAAAATACAATAACTTTAATTTTTTTCTATTTTTAATTAGCCCTGTAAGTACGTTAGTGCTGCAGACACACAGCATATATATTCATATCAGCATATGCCAACAAATTTAGAGTCATGTGAGATGTAACAATCACTGAAACAAAACTAAAAAGGTGACTCTGTAAAGCGTATTTCAATTTCAAAGCAAGCAACGACTTTGTTCAACAGCTATTCCGTACTTGTAATGAGCTATCATAATGAAATTGTCTACATTGCCGCTGCCAACTGAGAAGCCTAGGTAACTCATTAAACTGTATTAAAAGATGGGCAACTTCTAAAAATAAGTTCAAGAGTGCTGAGGTTGTTACGTAAAAATCAAATTGTTCCAAACTTACACAAAGTTACTTGATCTTGGAAAAATAAAACTTAAACAAAAGAAAAATTATTATACTCCACTTTGTCAAATTTCATTGTTCATTGACTTATCTCCGGTGAGTTTGGAAGGAAGTGCCCAGAATCAACGGCTTTAAACACATTTCCCACGTAAAATCCTTTCATGAAGTGCAGCTCTTCTTAAAAGAACTCCGAGTCGTTACTTTTCATGTGAATGAAGTGGTCAAGCGGTAGCAGGGACTGTTTTGTTTCAATCATAATTGCAATCAACTTGTATTCTACTGAAGAAGATCTTTGAAGCGTTTACAAAAGCGGAGATTTATGAGTAGGTATTTTGGTTATGAGAACCTTCTGTTTGGTTATGAGAGGTGCAGATTAACCTAGAATGTGTGCTTTTGTCAAAGATAGTCATTTCTTATTGGGGTATTGCATTGTTGAATCTGTAACACTTTCCCCTCCACTAGCCTGTCCAGTCCCCACTTTTGTACCCTGAAGTTCAGTTCATTTTTTGCTTATGCACTTTTGTGTGAATCATTCAACCAACAACATTATTGCCAAAATTGAACCTTTTTGTTTTCTAAATTCGCCTTATGAACTGAAATAACCTTTGATAATACTGCCATGTTACAAAATATATAAAATACGTTTGGTTTTTAACTTTATTACATGGCCCCTCATTGTAAAATATGATAATCTCCCAACTAAAAATTGGAATGTAGTGACCTACCACCTTTCAATGTATAAAAGCAGATGTGTTCCCATTAAACTGACTGAAACACAGGTAATGCCGCTTTTCTACAAAGTTGCACCCAAAATATATCACAGATAACACTTGCCAACAAAGTTAGGCTGGCCCAAAAACAACAAAATACTCCATTAGCACAACAGTGTATCATTAATTTGTCACATAGTTGATCGTGGTCACATATTACACCTGTCATCTTTATCACAGCATATAACATTATCAAAGTAACTTTGTCACATCTTAATTATAATGAAAAAGCTAATTTATACAGCCTCACACGGGGTCGGAAAATTAGTTGAAGAATCACTTTTTAATGGGGCTTCAGAAGGAACTGGAGTTGTTAACATTCTTATATGGGGAAGAAATGTGATTGGATATAATCTTCCTCCGGAAATTATTGACTACTTCATCAGAACCCAAAACAATTTGTTTGGTTCGTACCCTAACAGTGACGATAAGACACCCAGTATAGTCTTTGCTGTACTTTTTGCAGTAATCTTCATCATCCATATAATCATTTTCATCATCAATACTTCCAGAGGACACTACTTTTACTTGTCACTTGTGTGGATCTTTTACTCTGCCATGAAGATTATTGGATTTGGATTGCGAGCTCAATGGTCTAATGATATAACTCAAATCACTCTTGGGTTGACGAGTGAAATTTTCTTGATTGTGCCGGCAATTATTATTGTTTCAGCAAACTTGATTTTAACACAAAGGCTATTTACATGGAGACACCCAGTTGGTGGTTCACGTTTGTTGTTTTGGAATTTCATGATTTCAATTTACGGACTCGTTCTCATTCTTTTAGCAATAACTATAGTTGCATCAGTGGTTCCGTACATGTACAACATTAGCTACAGCTCCTACAGGAACTGGATCCACACCGTCCAGTTTACGGCAGTCTTGATCATTGCATACTCGTTGACTTCGGTTGCATTGATTGGATTGAGTTTTTGGTTGCCAACAAAAAAGGATGAGTTGAGATATACTTATCAACCGTGGTGGATTGAAAGTTTTGCTCCACTTTACTTTGTGGAGAAGAATGCTGCCCAGAAGGCAGAGCGTGGGTTCATGAAGAGAAACTCCAACCACAGACATGCTACACGAGTCATTGCTGCCACTCATCATCACTTCCACAGTGTCAAGGGGTTGACCAATCAAAGAGGTACTCTCAAACACAATGTATCTATGGGAATCCTTATTGTAACCACCATACTTATTCTTGTTGGTGCTATTGGAAGAGCTATAGTTGTCTTTCAAGCTAGACAACATCGTTTTGCTAGTCCGGCTGAAAGTAAGTGGTTCATGTATGTTGTGTGGGGAGTTTTTGAAGTGATCATTATGATATTCTACATTGTTGGCAGAGTTGACCTTCGCTTCTACCGTCCTGATAGGTTGCCATTGGAGGTTAGACGCATCATTACTGCTGAACAAACCTACTATCCAAGTTCTGACGAAGATGAAGAAGGGTTCCATAGAGACAAACCTGAAACATACGAGAAGATGCGTCGTGATGAGATTGCCCATGGCTACAAGAATTCAGAGTCAAGAATGGAACCAGCACACTTGTATGGACGTGAACCAGACTATGAAATGGGAGATGAAAAAGAATCACAATTTGATGATGATGAATTTGATGACGTTGATTCTAATGACTGGGACTTTACTGTGCCCAAAAATGAAAAAGAAAGCAGCGGCTCAGAGGAATTCAATGGAGGTGACTATGCCCACAAATATGATAATAAAGCTTACAACCACGAAGGCCAGGAGAGTATAAATCATCAGAGCTACGATGATGGACGGTACAATAACCATGATCAACATGCACATGCTCCCTACCCCACGAATAATGACGTTCGGGAAACAGATGCAGATTCAGAGTTCCACTTTTAGTTTAAGATAATGAAAAAAAAAAAAGAAGTTAATGGGAATTTAGAGTGAAAGAGGGTAGCTGGTATACCCTCTATTTATTTTGAAATTCAGATTAGAATTGTGTATCGTATTTGTGTAGAAATCTAAAAATATTTGCGCTATTGACTAGCAAGAAGTAGTAGAGAGCCATACAATAGAGATTAGGAGATGAAGCAGAAGTTTGCTCGGCTTTATTTTGAGGTGTGTTTACAATTCAGTAGACTCCTTTATAGCTAAACGATGAATGGTTCTTATTACGAGTCAGCCGCACTTATTTCTAGATCAAAGTTCAAAATTTCCTCTTTGGGTAAGTCACCTAAAACAGACTAAAAAAAACTACGCATCCCTTTGCCGAAAAGGTTTAACTTTAAACGAATCTTAATTTGGCCTGGGGAGACGAAAAAAGTAAAACAAGTGGGGCAGAGGAAAAGGTGAGAGGATCTTTTGGCTCGACCAAAACAGTTTCACTTTTCCTTTGGTTAAGAGCCCTTGGCATGATCACTATTGACAGGACAATCAAGCTAGCTCAGGTTAACTTCACATGACAGGGTGGAAGAGAAAAAAAATATGTCAGCCAGGTTTTGCATAGATATATAATATTATCACCTTAGATTATGTAATATATCAGGTCTTCACGGATTCCTTGATGAAGAATTTTTGGAAAAGCACGGAGAATTATCCTAAATGTAAAAGCAGTGACCATGTCCTATTGTTGTCGCAGAAAACGTGTATCTTTACTGCTTCTCCTCTCTAGAAGAATTCTCCTCATTTTATTTTTAACAAGGATTGTTAGGAAACTTGGCAATCGGAAGCTTCCAACTTTAAATAAACAAGGACAGCATCATTGAAAGACGGAACGCAAGTGGATGTGGCTTTTATCCGTGTCCGTCCTAGTCCTCCTGAAAATACTCATCGTACGTTTCTAAACTGAGCTTTTATATTTAAAATAAATAAAAACAAATTTGACCATGAATTGCTGTTTTCAGTTGAAGGTGGGGCAACATTCAAACTATTAGAACAGAAATATCTTTGATTATGCATTGCGCTACCAACACTTTATATAATAAAGAAGTGGAGTAAATTTATTATTTGATTTCTCTTTTTTCTGTTAGTGTTTAACCAAATGATTACACAAAATATTTTGTTTAAATACTAATTAGTGTAGATTTAGTTACAAAAAAAGAAATTCCTTTTGATCAACAAAAACCCAAACAGAATTTTCTTCAAGCACATAATTACCCAATTTGAACAAATGGTTAAAAAATGGTTTACGAAAAAATAGAAACTTAAGCAATTAGATATACATATGTATATATAAGGATACAAGTCCACTTTGCTAGCTTTTCCATATGAAAAAAATGTTTGCTATAAAGTTATCATAAAGTCTTTTACCAATAACAACAACACCACATTCTTTTATTTTTAATCTTTCACTTTTATACCCCATCGGACCCACCCCATTGCAGGACATTGGAATTTAATAGGCACTTTTGAACTTAGTCAAGTGATACCATCATCGTGCTCACAGAACACCTCCGATCTCATCTTGCATACAAAATTTAATCTAACCTTCTAAGAGAAGTGTAAATCATTACAACCACTGACATTATTGTCACACTAATCCAAACGCCCTGTCTATCTAGATTACTTGTATCACCTAATATACAGCAGAAGACATACATATCCACAATGGTAGACAACGTATATACCCCAAGTACCGGTGTAATGGGTCTACTATTCACCAGTGCACATAACGGTGCTGAAATTGGTACTGGTATCGATCCATTATTAAGGGAAGCAAGAAACTTGTTGGGCTCAAAAATACCCCAGATTTTGATTGATTATAACATTGGTACCCAGATCAACTTGTTTGGTAGTTATCCATCAAGTGGAGATTTTGCCCCCAGTTTGGTATTCTCCATCTTATTTGCAGTAGTTTTTGTCATTCATACTATAATCTTTATCATCAACACTTCAAGAGGACATTACTTTTATTTATCGGTTATCTGGATGGTGTATTCAATATTCAAAGTAATTGGATTTGCACTTAGAGTCCAATGGTCGTATGATGTTACTCAGGTAGCTGTTGGATTGACGAGCGAGGTGTTTTTGCTTGTGCCTTCCATCATTATTGTCTCTGCCAATTTGATCTTAGCTCAGAGATTGTTTACCTGGAGACACCCTGTCGGAGGTTCGAGAACATTATTCTGGAGTTTTATGATTAATACCTACATTTCGGTCGTGATTCTTGTTGCAATTACTATCTTGGCGTCTTTTGTTCCTTACTTGAATTTCCTAAGCAATTCATCTTATAGAAGCTGGATCCATACTGTGCAGTTTACATCAGTCACAGTTATTGTTTACTCCTTAACTTCGGTTGCATTGATTGGATTGAGTTTTTGGTTGCCAACAAAAAAGGATGAGTTGAGATATACTTATCAACCGTGGTGGATTGAAAGTTTTGCTCCACTTTACTTTGTGGAGAAGAATGCTGCCCAGAAGGCAGAGCGTGGGTTCATGAAGAGAAACTCCAACCACAGACATGCTACACGAGTCATTGCTGCCACTCATCATCATTACAACAGTGTCAAGGGATTGTCAAACAAGCGAGGAACTCTTAAGCATAATATATCCATGGCAATTCTTGTTGTTACAACCATACTTATCTTTATTGCTGCTATCTGTAGGGCAATTGTCGTGTTTCAAGCTAGACAACATCGTTTTGCTAGTCCGGCTGAAAGTAAGTGGTTGATGTATGTCATGTGGGGAGTTTTCGAACTCATTGTTATGATTCTCTACATTGTTGGCAGAGTTGACCTTCGCTTCTACCGTCCTGATAGGTTGCCATTGGAGGTTAGACGCATCATTACTGCTGAACAAACCTACTATCCAAGTTCTGACGAAGATGAAGAAGGGTTCCATAGAGACAAACCTGAAACATACGAGAAGATGCGTCGTGATGAGATTGCCCATGGCTACAAGAATTCAGAGTCAAGAATGGAACCAGCACACTTATATGGACGTGAACCAGACTATGAAATGGGAGATGAAAAAGAATCACAATTTGATGATGATGAATTTGATGACGTTGATTCTAATGAATGGGACTTTACTGTGCCCAAAACCAAAGCAACAAGCTCTAGTTCTGATGAACCAAATGAAAAATACCCGCCGTACCCAGTTTCCGAAAAGCATGCAAGACATAGTTCTGATAATGAATCAGAGTTCCACTTTTAGATACCATAATTTTCATGTAGTAGTTAGAGTAGATAATATATATATGTATTTATATTTGTGTGACTGATCGTATCTAGCTTCTCTTTATTCTGGCATTACTGTCCTACGAATTTGTGAGGACATAATTACTTTGTTTTTGCTTTTCTTTTTTTTGCGTTAAATTTTGTACAAACTTTACAGCGATAAACGAAACTCATACGAAATCAAATTACGGTTGTCAGGTTCGACAAATGTATAACAAGTGTTGATAGATGTAAGGTGATATAAAGCTACACCCCACTATACCGCATCTATCTTGTGAAATTGTTCATTACTATGCCGCTTCTTGAGCTGTTGTAACTAGTAACCGCTTTATGACTTTTATACTGCATATAAACAGGTTACTTCTTCCCCTCCTTTTTTAAGAACTTTTGCAACACATATTAAATAATATACATATATATATATATATATAAGCATAAACTTCAAGGGAGAGAAACTGACATTGTCTATCCATTTTTGTTTCCTAAAAGACTCCTTTTAGTCTTTGGTTTACAATTTTTATCCAATTACATGAAAATGCCTTCACCAAATGAATTGAGAGTCTCTTTGGAGCTACTTCCTTTGGATCTATTGAAACAGGTTTTATCTCACCTCCAAATATGTGACTTCACACATCTACTCGATAAAGCAGAGCGTTCGTTTTTGCAACAGAATCCCAAGTTGAAATATAGCATTGAGCAGGTGATCAAACATGATCTGGAGATACGATTGAACCATACTTCAGCTGCTTCAATTTTGAATGATTTGTTTTTCCTTGAGGATAGGAGCGTTGCGAACAAAGCAAGCATCAAAACAAGCACACAGCTCCTTGATATTCACAACTACTGCATTGATGAATCTATTGCGGCTACTTTTAGTATCACCTACAATTTTTTCAAGTTGATTGATGTGTTGGATTTTCAACGGTTATTTGAGAGATTGCAGCCAGCTCAAGGTATTAAATACGCGATACAAATTGTATTTAAGGACCAGTTTTGTTACAAGGTTAATATGGATCATTTACAAAACCTACTTGCAAAGGTAAAAGATCACGTGTATTTGTTTGCAATTGAAGTTGAAGAAAATTCGGCCGAGATCAGCGGGGGAGTCAATACAGAATTTTTTAAAAATCTTGAGATTTTGCGGTTAAATAATTTCTCTGCTATTGGGTTTTTCTCAAATTGCACCAAGTTGCGAGAGCTTGTGTACGTACCGAAGTCAGCTAAGGAGGTTTTTGATATTGGACAACTTCCACAATCATTAAAGCGTCTTCAGTTAGGATATTTCTCTGACCTACTTTGGCCTGAGAAGATAGATCATTGGGCAGAATGTCCTTCTTTAGAGAGCATCGTGTTGCGATTTGCTCCTTGTCGTCAGCAACAAAAATTGCCGACAAGTTTTGCTAAAGTATTAAAATACATGACGTGTCGCGACACCAAAGCAGTTGAATTTGAAGGAAACGAGCAAGACGACGGTTATGGTAAGGAATTTTGGAAACTATTGAGAGCTGCTTCTCGGGAGAAACACTTTGCATTAGACTCTTTGACTGTTCAACTTATAATATCATCTCCAATAGAAACATATCCTCTCACAGATTTGGATATAGTGGCAATTAAAAATCCCCAAGTGTTATCACTGTTTAAATCTCCGGATACATTGAAGTCATTGAGAATTGCTTGGGTGGTTGAATGTGATACATCAGACTTGTTCAAATCATTGCCACTCGGTTTAAAGCGACTCAACTTGCGCGGCTCAAATATATATTGGAGTAATTCCGATTTGAACTTTGCCAAGTTCGTAAACTTAAAGGAGCTTGTGTTGTCACGTACTAAGCTCGGCAAAACTTTCAACTTTTGTTTGTTTCCTGATTCGATAGAGTTGTTGAAGTTGGACGATAACGGCATTGGTTCGGTTGATAAATTCACATTTCCAAAGCACTTGAAATTCTTGAGCATTCTGACGAATGGAATCAGCAGACTTTGTAATCCAGGGTTTCCCTCAACCCTCAAAGAGCTAAATGTATCTAATAACAAATTGGAACAAATTGATATTTCCAAAAATAGTGTTGGCGAGACATTGCAGATTGATGTGTTGTACTTTGAAGGCAACAAATGTGAAGTAAAGGATTTGTCCTGTTCAAAGCTCCCACAAAATCTTAGAGGGTTGTCATTTGAAGATTACAAGCAGTGTCACTCCAACTATAGTTTTGGTAACAGGTTGGAATATTTGCGAATGACGGAGACTAACCTTTGCCAGTTAAAGCAAATGTCATTTGGTAACTTTGCCACTCTTAAATTCTTAAACTTGTCAGAGTGTAACTTATCGAATTTCAATGTTGACGTACCAGAAACAGTCGTAGAAATCGATGTTTCAGCTAACAAAATTTCCGAGTTCCCGCCACAGCTATGCAAGTTGAAGAATTTACGAATGTTGGATATGTCATTTAATGAAATCGGCAAACTTAAAGTTGAATTTCAGTACAGCACAATTGAGGCTTTAAATTTATCAAACAACGGTATAAGTGAAGTTGAAATGCTGTTTCCCAAGACCGTGACCAACCTTAAACATCTTGATTTGAGTAGCAATATGTTGAAAAAGCTTTCAATGAAATCGATTGGCCAAACTGAGAAAACTTTGCATGGTAATTTGTACGAGTTAGCACTTTCTTGTAACGGGAAAATGAAGAACGATAAAGTCGCCGCGTTGATTAAAGAATTACCTCAATCATGCGAATGTTTTTGGCTTGATACGTATAAAGATTCCGAAAACACTGAAATTGATGTTTACAATTACTATGTGTCGAATGAAATACCCGGTAAGTTGGTTAACAACAAGGATACGTCAAAATGCAGAAGGATCTTCGGCAATACGCTAGTGATGGGGTTTTCTCCAGAGAAAAACGACCCTAGCTTGATTAAGCGGGCACTAATTTTCACCGTGGGGCAAACGTAATTGTTTTTGAACAAAATTCCAAAAGAATAAAAGGAAATCTTTATAGCTACTAGGACCTAGCCTTTGCTTAGGTTTAGCATTTCTAGAGATAAGGCGAGCTTTCTTTATAGGTTAGTTAGTATTGCCTAGATAACCCTTAGCTTAGAATGCCATTGTAGTCTCTAAATTCACTACCGATGTAAGTAGTACTGAGCCACCACTAGCTCGAAAGTAAACACTGGAAGTCGCAAAATGCAAAACCCACCGTTGAAACTTTTTTTTTTTAGATTGTCGATTTCTCCACCACCGCATCTCATCGCTAAGCAACACATCAGCAAGCTTACAAACACAATGGTTTCGAATATATGGATTGCTGCAGCTGACAATCAAAAGGAAGCAGTTGAACAGTACATTATCCTGAGTGACTTTACCGCCAATTCAAAGGATCCAAATGGTTACACGCCGATTCACGCTGCTGCATCTTATGGACATCACGATCTTATTGACTATTTAGTCAATCACGGTGGAGATATAAACATACAAGACAGCGAAGGAGATACGCCTTTGCATCATGTCGAAGACTTAACCACTGCCAGGCTTCTAGTGGAGAAGTATAAGGCTGATTACAAGATTAAGAATAATGATGGATTAACAGCTGCCAGTTTCATTGAAGAAGAAGACGAATTTCCTGAGGTGGCGACATATTTGAAGAACTTAACTCATGACAAACCGGAGGAATCATCCAGCGAAGTAGCTAAAGCCAATGAGTTTTTAGAAAGTTTGCCTGCGCCAGGGACAGTTGATGGCCATGAGATCAAGTATTCTTTGCAACTGGAACAACAACAGCAAGGAGACGAAGAATTGAGTCCTGAAGAATTGGAGCAAAGGAGGAAAAAGATTGAACAGATTTTGAGAAGTGAAAACCCAGAAGAAGGGTTGAGGGAGCTAATAACTAGTGCTGTACACGATGGACTAGAACAGCGTCAGCAGCAGGATGAGGAAGAAGAACCTAGTAGCAAGAGAAGAAAGTAGGTGGTATGTATAGTGAGTGAAATATTGACCTAAATGTAAAGAAGTTGTAGTTGTATAACCTCTCTGCTGTCTTTTAAACTAACTTACAATGTGGAGTAAGTTTATGGTTGGTATATATCCCACTTTCCATTTCGATACAAGTCTTCAGCTAGATGTGTGAAAAGGGAGCCTTCTTATTTCGCAGCCTTCAATGCCCCTCCCCCCTTTCCCTAGTATGTTGTCTTGCCTTTGCATAAGTGACTATTAGCTCATTCCGGCTGACGGAGTTACTTAGGCTCAGATACTTTAGACAACTTTTGTGTTGTCCTACACAAAACGGAAACAGAAAACGCATATATAGCAAGTAAGTGAGTAGTGCCTAGTAATGGGTGCCAGAGAATTACAATGGAAGGGAATCGTTGCCAATAAATCGCAATTAAGGAAGGCTATTGACTTGATATATTTACTTAACTGATATGATTTTGTTATAATTATCACTAACATATACTTGCAGGCACAGTAAACTTTCCTTCAAGGGTGGAGAAGGAAGCCGCCGATTTAACATGAGAAACAATACAGAAAATTTAAATCTGATGCATATTGAATCAAAACAAAAGTCAGCTCAAGATCTACCTACAAGTTCTGATTGCACCTTTCGGATTTCCCAATTGACATAGTCATTAGAGTTCTCCCTTTCAAAGACTACATTTCAACATTACAAAATAAAATAATCCCTTGGCTTAAAATACTTCCTCAAAAAATACTGTTTAAGCTATTAGCCGAGAATGAGTGGCTGATTTTTACAATATAGCAAACAATTAACGTTTCCACCTTTGTCAGGAAAATCATTCACTATAAAACATGGCAATTTTGTTGAAACATGGAAATGGTGTTTCCAAAGGTATTGCAAGTTTTTTCAAAGAGTTTATATATTCTTTGGAAGCCCCCAAATTGAATTAAAGGAGTATAAAAAAATTGTTATATTAGACTTCAAAAAGATACAGGCGCTTTTGTTGTGGTACTATAGAACCATCTGTTATTTACTTGTGTGGAACGGAACAGAAATCAAGTTGGTTCGTTTTGCGAAACACTTTTTTGTGCTAAACGTCTTTCTGGGGTTCTATCACACAGTAATTACTTGGCCATCAATTTTTGATGATAATTTGCTATTTCAACTGTTCTTCAACGCTATTGTGTATCACCATGATTCCAGACCCACTGAGCTACTTTCAGAAGCTCAGCTCATAAACACACCATGCCATAAATGAAAATAATTGAACTTTGTGTTACGTTGCCCCAATTTGAACAGATACGAAATCAGTTCAAAGCTGAAAAATCAAAACTTGACATAGCACCTCATGTTTTGGAAGAATACATCAGAATTGACGTCTTTGGAGTTTCCAACAATTATCCCCAAAGATTTCGAAGTTCGTTGGCTTGCTGATATATTTAACCTTTGTGAGATCCAGTATTTTTGTTTACACTATTACAAACGTGATACACTGATTTATGGCCAAGCTTGCGTGCTATACAGAATGGGGCAACTTCGGTGCTTTGAATTAAGTGTTGGCATATTGAGAGTTGATAGGGTCCCTCAGCAAATACGATGCATAAATTTGGACAGCAATTTGCGAGTTAAAATTCATAGACAGTGTTACGACATACTTAAGTCGCAAAAGTGGATCAAGAAGGATTGGCATACTTGTGTTGCAGAGGAGTGTGCGGTTTTAGACTACTTTGCATGTAACTCCCCCTTTGCCGACAATGCCACAAGCTTCTGAAGGCAGTTGCACATACGTTTGGTACTTCCAAATGGCTTGTTGTAAACCCATTTATATGATAAACTAAAGTGGGGCAGAAGACCTGTGGGGGAGGTTTGTTGGTAAGCAAGGTTACTCTTACGTATTTGAAGGTAGACATTCCTTTAAGCCAGCCACCGAGTTTAATGCACAAATTTAAACATTGAGTACAAAAAGTTAAACAATTATTGGTATTAAGCTATACAATGTTACATAAATAGGTCAAATGCCACTAAAAATCAAGGGATGAACAAAATTTCCACGAAAAATACTACAACAAGGATGTACTTCACGGCCAGTTTTATTAAATAGAGGTGACATGTGCGAAGTCAGTTTTTGACTGTCAATTGAAACCATTGCAGTACCATCGATTGCGGATTTGATTGTGGTGGTTGTTATGTGTGCATAATATCACCTATACGCCTTTCCTCGTCTTGAGCATTCCCTTCGTTTTGAGAACAAACAGACCTTTTTACCCCAAATTCGGTGGAATATTTTCCTGAATTCATTAGTACTTAAGGGGAAATCAAAGGGGACAATGATAAAGAAGCCAACGAACAATCCAAATAAACACTGGGTTGTTGAGGATGATGTAAAGCTATTATTGAAAAGACTGGTCTCCGCTCCTAAACTTATAAATCGAAATAGTTGATAGATTTTCTAATATAAAGAAAGTTACATCCTCTCATGCTCTTCTTTGAAAGTGGAAATTTCCGTTTATGTATACCAAATATATTATGATATGCCCAAAAAAGATTACAACTAAGTAAGAGTTGCAAAAGAGTTCAAATTTGTACACAATGAGAAAAAGTTTGTTCAACAAATAACTGAACTGAAGAAAAGAAGAAAAAAAAAATGTTGAAGAAAATGTTAAACTTAAATTGAATATACACACACATTCAAGACTCAATTCATCAAACATGATATTCGAATTGATCGCTAAATATTATCCGTTTGCAGTTCCACAACAGTATGTTTTTCTAGTTTCCCATCAGTTTTTATTCTCCGACCTTGATACTAACAACATTGTAGGGTCAACCAACTCACCTTGGAGGAGCTCAATGCATTGACAGTTTGGCAAAGAATCCAATTGAAAGACTGGAGAGTTGAGTTTTTCACCTTGGGATTCACCCTCATTTTTGTTGCTTTATTTAAGGCGGGTGACTTGTACAACCAGTCAAAGGTTACTAAATTTTTGAACAACGTTAAGCCAACATTTGCTAAACAATTTTTCCAGTTTGGTGTGGCACCAAACAAGCTTTACATCAAAGATAGTTCTGAAAACTACTCTTCTTATGCCACTGGTCGCTTAAACATTGCCAAGGTTGATTTGAAATTTGTGTTGGCCCCTCGCCACAATCTTTTCCTTTGGATCATGGAAGTATTGCTTGGTCTTTTTACTAGCAACGTTCAACCTCCTCAAGATACTGTTGAAGTGGTCATCACTCCTCTGGGTAAATACGATAACTTTATCTCAGCTGTCGTTTCAAAATTGGGTATGAATGATGCTAGAAAAGCTAACTACTTTTTGTCATTATGCAAAACAACAGATTCGCCAAACTTACCAGAAAGCTTTGTTTACATGAGTGAAGCTCACGAATTTCAAGACAAATTGACCACCACTGAATTTAAACAAGCTTTGACTTTACCAAGTGCCTCGTTCATCAAATTTGTTGCTTTTACTGATCAACCAGAAGCAAAGCCTGAATCATTAAGAGATTTCCTTCCAAACAGAAGAGTGATTATCAGGTTGAGCCTTACTACTAGTAAATCTGATCACAAGGTCATTGGTGAAGTATTGGATGCTGTTTTCAACGTTGTTGATAAATTGTCAGACCAAGCCATTACATTCAAACCAGAAACAGTAAAGAGAATTGTCAAGACCAGAGATGCAGAAATTGAAAAGTACAAGAAATTGGAACAGGAAATAAAGAATGAGAAGTTGGCTGAAGAACAATCCAAATTGAAGAGAGAAGAGAGAGACAAATTGAGAAACTTGTCCCGAGAAGAGCAATTGAAGGCTGATAAAAAGGCTCAAGAAAAGAAGCAGAAGAGGTTGCAAAAGAAACAGAGAGTTAGGATGTAAGTCTGGAGTGATGCATCGAGACATTATATCTACAATTATATCTTAATCCATAGCGCTGCATTCGTGAAAAAAAAATATATTTATGCATATACATATATCTATCTATATTTCCCTAATTTTATACTTTACCCGTGAGCCGCCATCCTCGGCCAACGGGTGTATTGAATACTTCAATTATTCCACTACCTAAGGCATCGGCTAGAACCCAATGCAAGTCGTAACCAAAAAATGGCTTTCGGAAATTGTTGAGTTTGGGATCACCTTCAAGATTTATTCCCAGCCATTTTTTAAAAATGTCATCCTCTAGGGCCTCTTTGTATTTGATCTTGTTTAACGTCTTCACCAACCAAGTACGCCCTTCATTAACTAGCTTGAGGTATGTTCCACATCCTGGGTAAGAAATTGAATAGTTGCGCTCGATTTCATTAAAATGATTGGACGTTAGAGTAACAAATCCCAATTGAACTAAATTTGACACTTCTTCATCACTAAATTTTGACGTCGAGATAAACATACCAGTTGGGTTTCGTTTGATATAGTCATAAAACTTTGATAGGGATAGTTTGGATGCACTAACCTCATCCAGCCCTGCTAAAATCTTTTCAATCAATGCGTGGAAGCAATCGACTTTAGCAATCACTTCAATGTCTTCAAACCCATATGTAACCTTTTTCAGTTGAAAGTTGTTAAGTGATCTCAGTATTACCGGTGATGCGTTACTAATAACAAATTTGCGTAAAATACCTCGCCGGATATTTAATTCTAGAGACTTATCTACAAATGTGGGGCCTTGATTGTGGAAAATCGCATACAACTGGGTAACAGTAATTAGTCCAGGGGGTAATGTATGTCTATATTTCAACAACTCTGCCTTTGAATTTGAGGCTAGGCCTTTGATTTGATATACTTTTTCCTTTTCTGTTCCTACTAGGGCTCTTGTTTTGTAACGATCATGCAACTCGGTTGATTCCGACCATCGATTTGAAAGTATAGTATCAACGGCAACAACCACATCATCTTGAGAGGATAGTTGGTAATCTAGTTGAACGTTGTAGTCTTGGATCTGTAGCTTTTCATTGTCGACTTTGGATGGCGACAGTTGTGAAGGAGAACTTGGGTTTGATTTCCTGAGATTGTTCTTGTACACACTTTGCGAAGGCAAAAGCTTCTTAGCGTCACGTTGAAACTTCTTTATTGGAGATTTTGATGGCAGGTGACTCTTTGAAACACTAGAAGTCTTGGCAGCACTATATTGTAAAGGCATGGTAACTCATTTGGAGTGTTGTGAATGAGATACTTAGTTGAAAGTAACCCTTACTTCTCTTTTCTGTTGCAAATCGAAAGAGGAGGAAATGGCGAAAAATGCAAACTTTACAAAATCAGTTACAACGAGTCACATTTGACTTTTGAATATATACATGATAGATAATACGAAATATAATAGCACCTACTCAACCTCCAACACTCTTGTTATAAATGACTTACCGTTGTTTGACCTAAGTCTAACTTGGAATCTTCCCGACTCAGTGATTGTGTCAATATGATCCCCAGGAGTGTCTATATAGTTCAAGTAAATTCCCTCAATGTCAACGTTACGCTCAGTCAATTCTTCAACATGCTTGGCAATTGCTTTTTTGTTTATAGGCAATGTGGAGTGGTCCAAGGTCAAAAGTTTAGGCAACTTATTGTCAATGTCCTGTATTGCATCAAACTCACGGCTTTCCATCTCTAGACCAGGTATAGTTCCCTTTGCCGAGTCAAATATATTCGATTGAACTTTCAATTCTGGCTTTTCGGAAGTTTTCTTGGTAGACTTCATGCTGCTGAATAAATCGGACAATTCTTCAAGGGACATGGCGCCATCAGATTTCTCCTTTCCTTGCTTCTCAGTCTCTAGTTCTTCTGCCTTTTCTTCTGGCGTCCTTTCCTGTTGCTGTTGCTGTTGCTGTTGCTGTTGTCTTTGTTGGAGTTGTCTGTGCTTCTTTTGTTCTTGAAGACGCAACTCCTCAACATCAACCACGGGAATCCGAGGTGGACTATTTGGAGTAACATAGCAAGCTTTGTTATCAATGTGCAAGTAATTTCTCATGTATCCTGGCTTTACCTGCAAGATCTGTCCCTCCACTCCAATACCAGGTAAGGTTTTTAGTAATTGAACTTCCACCAATTTATTTACAGTCCTTCTTTCTTTCATGGTTCTAACACTGCACCTGTATGCAGGTATACACTTTAACGACAGTGGTTTTGGAAACATGATTCTAGCTTCGTACTGTCCTCAGGATGGTTTAGGCTTTGGTATGGTTTGAAAAATTTTTGCTTTTTGAAAGACAAAAAAATGTTCAAAAAAAAAATAACAAAAATGGCTTCGATTTTATCGCTTTGGTATTTGCAACTAAACTCATCTCGAGTAAGTTTACCCACATACAATCTTCACTCTTGTATATATATACGTTTTTAATGGACACTCCAAAAGGTGATTGTCAGATATGTCACCAAAATCAGTTCAAATATACGTGTCCAGCATGTAATACAAGGACATGCTCCCTAAATTGTTACAAGACACATAAAGAACAGGAATCATGTTCGGGTAAAATTGATACAACAAAATTTATAAAGCAACTGGAATTGTCAGACAGTCCGATGCACTTGAATAGGGACTACAACTACCTATTGAATGTTGATAGGTCGATACATTTATCGAAAGAAGATATTAAACAAAAGGCACGAAATATTTTAAAGAGGCCGAGGCAAGACAATAGACAGGATCGGAAGAGGTTTAAGCATAATGAAGCAGAAAATGATAAGAGAAGGATCCGAATAGGTCAGGTATTTCCGCACGATCCGACCGCTTTAGTGAAAAGAGAAAACACTATGATTGTTCAAGTTCCACCAGGTATGCAAAGAGCCATGTTAAACAAGACGGGGTATGACAGGAAGTCAAACACATTTACATGGACCGTAGAATGGATTTTGATGGATTCATCTGGGCATACTCAACTCACCACGTTTCTCAGTTATCGACTAAATGAATCCTTGACTCTTGACAAGGCAGTGCCTTTAAACGTGTTAAAATCCCATGGATTGAATGAAATTGACAAGTTACACTTTTACTTGAAAAATGTGACCAATACGCCGCCAAAATCTGTCATTGAGCTAGATGGCAAGCAATCGATCAGCAATGCATTGAAGGACAAAATAGTCCTAGAGTACCCAACAATTTATGTGACCTCAAATAAAGAGGCAATGGTTGACCGGGTAGTGGACCCATGTCAAGCTTATGAAATGGAATCAGTCGAACTGGATAGTCTGGACTCTGATCTGGATTCAAGCTCAAGTCTGGAAAGCTCTTCAGATGAAGAAAGCTCGGACGATGATAGTGATAGTGAGAATGATTCTGATAGTGGGCCCGAGGAATCAACAACCAAACCCACTTCTAGCTCAAACAAAGTCTACTCTAGCAGTGGCTCTGAAAAAGTCGGAGACATAGCTGGGTTGACGAAGGATAATTTGTAGGTCATAGCTTATTTAATGCAGAAGTAGTCATCTCAGTCGCACGACCACCAGAAATTTTTATTTCATTTACTATTGCAGACCTCATCGTACAATCTATTCTAAACGATGTTATCCATATTTCGAAAACTACCGGATTCAGAGAGGAATACTAATGCTTCGTTGTACTTTGGAAATATCGACCCGCAATGCCTGGAACTATTGATGTTCGAGTTGTTTGTTCAATTTGGGCCCATAAAAAATATCAACATGCCTAAAGACCGAGTACTAAAATCACACCAAGGCTATGGGTTTGTTGAGTTTAAAAATTCCCTAGATGCAAAGTACGCGGAAGATATACTAAGAGGTGTAAGGCTCTATGGGAAGTTGTTGAAGCTAAAGAAACTTGATTCGAAACCACAAACGCCACAACTGCGTCAACAAGTAGGAACCTTTGTTAGCTCGAAGCTGGAATTGTTGAGTGACAAATACATCGACGTGGGAGCCAGAGTATTCATAAATAATTTGAACCCATTGATTGATGAAAAGTTTTTGATGAATACGTTTCTGAAATTTGGCACAGTCATAAAGCAGCCTGAAGTTAAACGCGATCTCGAAGGGAACTCGATGGGGTTTGGGTTTGTAACCTTTGGCGACTTTGAAACCAGCGACTTAGTAATTGAAAAACTCAACAATACCATATTAATGAATTCCAAAGTCAGTCTAGCATATGCATTCAAGAATGAGCTTGGTAAGAATGGGAAAAAGATACGACATGGTGACGAGGCTGAGAGAAAGTTAGCGGCAAATGCAAAGAAGAACAACTTGCTAAGAGTTAAGAGCAGTAATAGAGTGAGTAAGAAAGGTAATAGTAGGTGATATAATTTTATGCAACGTATAGAGATATAGTACGATAATGCAATTTGCATTGTTTTTGATTCTCGCGATTATCAGAAATATATTGCTTTTCCTAAATACCCAAAGGCAACTACAGAGTTTCCAACCTACACAACATACATATGCGTATAGAGGCTATATATGAGAACGCCATTCTCAAATGTTTTGGTGGAGAGCTGCATAAGACAGATGAAGCTTATGCAGGGACAGATCTCAGGCCTACTACAAAGAAAAGAAGAGTAAGCACGAATACTGAGTGTGAAAAGTTGAGAATCGTAGACCGATCTATAAAACTTGTTGATGAATATGGAGGAACCAATAATATTGAAGTGACAAATAAGCCTGTCAAGCTCTCGCTCGGGAAGAACGGAAGGCTAAGTGTGAAGTACTTTCAAAAGACTTGGCAAACCTTGGTTGAGATAGCTGATGTGTCAGATTCACAAATGCCACGAGATGAAATACGACTATTGGCTTTAACAAATAACAAGTATGGAATTACCGCTGATTCTCGTTTAAACTTGAAATTAGGGAACAAATTGATACATTTGAAAGTGACGTACTCTCTAGATTACAGCTTGAACTTGGAAAATACTATCCTGAGGAAGATACTGGCTCCATTGATAAACATTTTGGAAAGCAGGGAAAACTCAATTAGTGCTAAAGAATCACTAAAGGTAAGTCCCCAGCTCTTCTACAAAAGCATATGTGAACACACGGGGCAATTGCCAGCATTTGAGGGAGATTTTGATATACCTGAACTCGAAACCAATTTGTTGAAATTTCAGAAGAAGACAGTGAATTGGATGCTAGATAAGGAAAACGCGAAATACAACTTTGAAACAAACAGGTGTGATCAAGTCCTTTACTTTTGCGAAGGTGACTTGATCGATGAAGACAAAATGTTGGACGTCATCAACAAGATATGGTACGGTTGGGAAATAACAGAGATATCCAAGAAAAAAGTATTTTTCAACAAATACACCAGTCATCTTGTAACTAAGGATCAGGTCAGAGACTATCTTCTCGACTATTTACATCAAAAGGATAAGAATCTATATCCCGCGACCCTTCCTGCCAGGTGTTTGTTGAGTGAAGAAATGGGTCTTGGTAAAACAGTTGAAACGACGGCGCTAATTTTGCTAAACCAGCGTCCTGTAGATGATGTGGATAAGAAACTAAGCCTACCGTTGAATGAGTTTGGGGACGCCAAGACTATCATAAAGGGTCGTACAACTTTAATTATTGCTCCCTCAGCTATACTTCAGCAGTGGAAAAAGGAAATTATTAATTTGGCACCATCCTTAGCCCTAACCGAATACAAAGGAGTTTCAAACTATCCGATGTTTGACAATAAACCAGCAGTAATTGCGGAGTACCTACGCAAATTTGATGTAGTTATTACAACGTACCAAATAATATCCAAAGAGTTAGACTATGCTAAGTATTCGAGCAAGTTGAGAAAAACAAGGGGTGCAAAGCGAGACACGCCTTACCAAGATACAAAAGATAATACAGACTCCAGCCTGGTGGAAGTCGAGGATACTTTAGCTAATGACTACCTGACTCTCTTTCAATTGACAAGTTTAAGGAAGCCCCAGCATGCAAACAAAAAGACAAACTCACTGCAGCTGGAAACTGATTATGAACAGGCATTGCAGGATGAAATACAGTTGGCATTGAGACATAGCAAGATACCAGATTGGTACCGCAGAAATGAGTACGAGTCTCCGCTAATGCTCATTCAATTTTGGAGGATCATCTTAGATGAGGTGCAGATGGTGTCCCTGACCATATCCAAAGCCTTTCAAAGCGCAGCATTAATCCCCAGATTTCATGCTTGGGGAGTGTCTGGTACGCCTATAAAGCGAGATTTGAACGACTTGTTTTCGTACTTGAAATTTTTAAGATTCTATCCGTTCAACTATGACATCGGCGTCTTGTCGTGGGATCTTCTACTTAATAATGCATCCGAGTTCAAATCCTTTTGGTCAAATATAGCAATCAGGCACACAAAAGCCATGGTGCATGATGATATTAAATTGCCTCCGCAGAATCGAGTTTTGTTGACTATTCCGTTTACTCCTGTTGAACAGGACTTGTATGATGAAAAATTTTCCGAATGCTTATCCCACATAGGGCTAGATGAGATGGGTAATCCATTATCCAACGATTGGGACCCCCTTGCACCTGCTGTACTAACCTTGATGCGGACTTGGCTATCAAGGTTGAGACAAATTTGCTGCTCTCCGCAGGTTGGCAACTTGCAGCTTAATTCGAGAAGGATGAAACGCGCTAACTTGAAGAATAGAATAGCTTTGATTGACTCATTAAAAACTTTGGACTACTTGTTGAAAGATATGTTGACGCGTCTGTACGGTGAGTTAAGTGATTTTGAAAGGCGAAAAATTGAAGTTTTGTCCCAACTCTCGGACTTGCTAGAATTTGTTTACTACCCCGAACAAGCTGTAAAGTATTTGAAAGTTGGGATAATTGAAACGGTCAGTGTCATTAATCGAATTGAGAAAATACTTGACAAATACATTCAGGATTACAAGAGCAATTCTGACACTGAAGTCGATGATGATGATGATATAGGCAGAATTCAAACAGACAAACAGAATGAAGGTAACACCAATGAAACATTGATATCATCTACAAGGACCAGACTTCGTAATTGGCTTTTAACGTTGCATCGTTTTTACTTTTTATATGCTTCTGCTAATTTCCAGTTATACGATCCAGAGTTTCAAGAACATGTCAAGGAATTTAAACCCGAAGTTGATTTGAACCCATTGAAGGATGTGATCAAACAATTTGATGATCAAGGTCGATCAATCGAGCTAGCTTCTTTAGCAACTTCGATTCCTGTTTCAGAGTTTGAGTTTCACAACGCTTTTATCGATCTAGGTACTGCTCAGGAGAATGAGGCCAAGTACTATGAGCTCGCTGAGGGTGTCAGGGTAAAAATTTTAGGCAGTGCGGTAAAGCAGTTTTACAAGACACTCGCATCTCGAATATCTGACAGAGGCTACTTATTTCCACTTGAAGAGGATTTTGTTGACGATGCTAAGAATTTACTTCCGAAATCATCCAAAAAGCTTTTCAACAAGCTTCCAATCATGAAGATGGATGATTTGACCCCATTTGCAATCACCACAAAGGTTCAGTCTTTTTTGAGCCGGGTTGGTGCATTTGTAAGTGTGCTCAACAAAATTTCGGTCGAGTTCAATACAAAGTTTTCGACCTTGGTTGAATTGTTATCGGATCCCGTTGACAGAAAGGATATTGATATTGTTGATCAGGGGAAAAAGGATGCGGACGATGTAGGAGATGCCGTAGACAACGACTATGAAAAGCATTTGGAGATGCAAGGTATAGCTGAGGACCTTTTAACATCTTTGGACTCCCTTCTTATGAAAAGAAAAGGGCTAATTACTGGTCTGCTCGAAGAGAGATTTAACCCAACACAGCCCAATAATATACACGCAAATGACAAGATAGACTTTTCAAAACTAGTTTCGGAGTTGACACTATTGGAGGATGAGTTAGAGGAGTCCTCTTCCAAGGCAGTTGGGTTAGACCTAGATCTATTCAAAGTCTTTGGTAAAAAATTCCGTATTCTTTATGATAATCAAAAGTTAGCACAAACGTTGATTGCGAGAGAGTTGAATGTGAACTGTAATGCTGTTTTTAATGCGAGGGTTGAGTATTTCAAGCAGCTCCAACAGATATCGGATACTGTGAAATTAAGAGAATATCCGTATTTGGACAGGAAAGATCTTGATCCTTTTCGTATTAGATCGTCAATCTTGGGGGCATTGGTCATATTGAAGGATGTGACGAGGTATATGGACAGTGCAGTTGGCCGCTTTCGATACTTGTCAGAGTTGGTAAAAGAATCGCAGCAGAGTGTTAATGAGAATCGTGAAGATGTAATGACATGTATCATCTGCCAGTCTAGTATCAGCATTGGGTCGTTGACCCTGTGTGGACACAAGTATTGTAAGGACTGTTTAGAACACTGGATGAAGAGCTCGCACACCTGTCCAATGTGTAAGGCGAGGATTGATATCATGTCTGTTTACAACTTCACGAGGTATGCTCCAGAGTTGAAAGCTAAGGAAGTTCAGAATCTGGAGATAAAGCCTAAAAGGGGTGCTGCAATCAATTCGATTTACAAACCTTTAAATCAGGATTTGGTTCAAGAAGTGCAAGAGATAAAACTTGACGCGTCATATAGCACCAAAGTAGACATGATTGTGAAGCAGGCCAGTTATTTGAAAAAGTGCGATCCAAATGTTCAAATTGTTATATTTAGTCAGTGGCAGGATATGTTGTACATATTGAGTAACGCTTTAAAGTCAGCAGGAATAACATTTGTTGGAACCGATAGTGTTTTCCTTCCCGATCAAAGCCACGTTTCATCAAAGAAACCGAAAAAGGAAGCGGCAGTGGAATACTTCAAACAAGCTGAAAACAAAGTTACATGTTTTCTTTTGAACGCCAAGTCTCAGGCCAGTGGGTTGACGTTAGTGAATGCCACGCATATATTCTTGTGCGAGCCGTTGGTAAATACATCATTGGAGTTACAAGCGATCTCGCGCATCCACAGGATAGGCCAGACAAAACCAACCACGGTATGGATGTTTGCCATCGAAAACACAGTCGAGGAAAGTATTATCATCACGTCTACCAACAAAAGAATTAAATTGATCCAAATGAGTGCTCCTGACAAAGAAGAATCGGAGCCCAGCGAGATTAAGTTGAGTGAAGCCGATTCGTTGACAATGATGTCTAGTGTCGGTGCCGATGAACTTTTAGAGAAACATGCACAAGGAGAAAATGTGACTAATAGTGATTTGTGGCATTCCTTTTTCAGTGCCAAACAATCGCAACAGAATTTAGGTTTCTAGTAAATTACGGCTAATTTTATACTCAATTGTATTAGACTTTCGTACCTAGACAGCTATATATCCACCATCATTAAATCCAACATAAATCTTCCCGCTTTCTACCAAGTCATTACAATGCTTCTCTCCCTCTTTTTCCGATATGGATAATTTTTGTGTGATGTATGTAATTGGTACACCTTCTGGCATTGTCTTACTTTCTTGCCTAATGAAATTCAACACTCTATCAGTAGCTGAACCTTCGTTATCGACAAACAACTTGTTATCATTGGCACCATTGGCAGCTGAACCGTCGCTCTTGGTAATACCCTGACTTTTCAAATGATTATAGATAGCATTCAAATGATGGTATATAATCTGGTTGCTGTCTTCTATAACACTAATGGACGCGTTCTGTATGTTTTTATTGTTGTTGTAAACTTTCAATGCACCACCAACAAATACGTACTTATTCAAGTATTCCATGTACTTCTCTTTCTCTTGTTCAAGAGAACTGTTATTCTCATCAATCCATTTACGAACATCGATTGATCCTGTACCATCCTCCACAGTGACGAACAAAGTCATTCCAGTGGCGTGTACTTTTCGGACAACGCCAATAAAGCCAACCAAACTAATGCTCACATTGTGAACCTTGAATTCTCCATCAGGTACGGGCTGTTCTGCTTCGAGAATCTGCTTAATAGTTACCGGAGCGATACTATTACGTGTTTGTACTTTATTTTGTTGCGAGTTTGCGTCTCCGCTGAACCCGCCTTGAGAGAGTCCGCTATTGGAGAATCCACCTCCACCGTAATCACCACCAAAATTTCCGTAGTTTCCAAAGTCTGACATTGTACAGTTGTTGTTAGGTTTATTAAATGGTGTGTAAAGAGAAGTTGGCAAAGACGCGTTTTGACTTTTGTTTTTTGAGTTTTCTTTTTCTTTGTTCTCTTCTTTTTTGGCTGTTCAAGTCATAAGCGAGTAGAGTGGAGGAAGGTAGAAATGATGCAGGTTATATCTACGAAGGCGAGTAATGTAAACGTCAGGAATAGCAGAACACGACTTGTTAGAGAAGTATTGTAGCCATGAGTTAATCATAGCTATCTATTTCCTCTTCGTACCATGAATAATATTATCCGCGTAGTGTCTGTTCTCAATTAGTCTATATTTGGTAGCGTATAGAGCTTGATGAAAATCTCTGCTTTTACATTAAACTTACAACCGGCACTCAATTGAAATTCTACAATCCCTTTCTAGTGAAACTGGTCACTCAATAACACCCGCCGAAGGTTACAAACTAAACATATTTTGATGGATTCGAGTATAGATCCCGAAGTGTCAAACTACCAAATTGAAGATGGCACGAGGTTTTTAGATGAAGAAAAAGTTGGCGAAGCAGAAGTAGTCCCATCCAAAGCCAACAACACCATAGAAACTTTTTCACAAGAAAGAGATGACCTAGCTCCTACATCCTCCAGTAATGCAGAAGCGGCTTTGAAATTATTGAATGATATGCGACAATGTGACACGCAAGAAGGTTTGAATACATCTTCCCCACCCCCAATTGATTCCATAGACAGAGTACAAAATTCAGAAGAAGAAATGCTTGGAATGAAACTTGTTCAATACAATCCAGATGGGAAACAGCTACGTCTTGGACGTCCACGTAAGCACATATTAAAACCTCCATCTCCTCTTGCAACATCGTCGAGCAAAAACTATAACGAGTCTGTAATGTCAAAGTTTCGACTTGATATGCAACCTGTTGAAGGGCCTGGTTCCAGAGGTGGGAAAAATTTGAGAAAAGAAACACGTGGCAAGATTACACTGGATGCAATCAAGAAACGTCAGCAATCGGTTCTCAACTTTTCTGTCATAAAGTCAGCCTCCCCCAATAAAGATTCTGTACCAGAGCAAGGTCGAGTCGAGGCTGATGAGAGTAATAATAAAGGATCTGTCAAATTAATGGTAAATGTACCAAAACAGACTGGTACATTTTCGTCGCTTTCTGAGATGAAGAGATTAGCCCCCAGTAAAAAACCTGTCATTAATCCGAACCGCAATGCTATTGTAAAGCGTAACTCCAAGGTATTGCCATCACCATTGATTCCAATAAGTTATGAAGAAGAGTTGATGGATCATCATGACTCTAGCCGCTTGGATGATTTCTACGAATTAGCATTGGGGTATCCCATACGTAAAGCACCATATGCAACTGATATCGTGTATCTAATTGCGTTTTTATCCAAGTTTAGAGAGATTTTACCTGTTAAAAATTTGGGACCTAAGAGTTTTGAAACCGGGTTGAGCTTACCTGTTCCCAAGGAACAGTTTGAGGGTTCAGAATATACACTGAAAGAAGAAGCCTTACGGGAGCAAGAAGAACAGGATGACACACATGTATCAGTTGAAATGGAAGAGTTGTTCAAGAAACTTCTCACATTGGTCTTGAATAGGAAGAAAGAAGTGACGTCGACGACAAGTGCAATTCTGGAACTTAAACCCCAAAGTGCTAAATTGGGACTACCGAAAGAATGGAAAATGTTCAGTCCAGTCGAACTGGATGTGTATGAAGCCGGTGAACCAGTAGATGCAGCGAAACCAGACATATTAATTACTGAATTCCCGAAAGAAGCTGATTTTGTAACGACATTTAACCCTTTCTACACTAGTGAATTTGAATCAAAGGGATTGGGTGGTTTGGAAAATCCCTTGGACAGGCTACTCATACTCAAGACGTTAGCCCAGTGGTCTTTATCTACTTCCGATATCATAAAGAACTACGTTTCCCAAAACGTTCAGAATCAAGAATTACCAGGAGAAAAGCATACATACTATGCGTCGAGGGCACTTTTGTATGGATTTGCTAATTGTCAACAAGCAAAGACAAGAGCAGAGTCGAGATTAGCAAAGATGAAATCAACCGAGGAGGATTTGAAGTATGTAGATCCTTCATCTGACCCAACGTTGCATTCAATGAATCTTCGGTTGGTTGACCAAGTTGTAGGAGATTTGGGTTTTTATGTTGGTAGGTTTTACCTTTGTCGTATGGCTGATGGGGACAATGGGGGACTTTCATCAGTAAAGAAAATGAATACTGTGTTCAAGGGACAGGATGTTGGATTGGGTGCAGTATTACCTTCAGATTTTAAGCTTTATGTTCAAAATACCAACCTGATCCTAGTTGGCGCGTTAGAAACTGAAGGTGTTGAATTTGACGAAGATGGAAATGAGGTAGAGAATTCAACAAATCGAATTTTTGATGACTCTGAAGCTTGGTACGAAGTTGCCTCAAATGCAGCGGAATTGAAGAGTTTTATTGAATTTTTGAATACTCAATTGCAAGACACTGAAAGATTTCGCCCTTCTTGGGATTTACAGCATTCAATCGTGCATTTGCGTGATTATCTTTCAAACTTGTACCCATTAATTAAAAATCAGGAAAACTTGGAGAGTACACCTAGGCAAAAAAGGATGAAAACAGTGGACTACAGTGATAAACGTGCAGCAGCAAAATACGATGATGCGTTTGGTGAAGTAGTTGATGAGACAATAGGTGATAACGCTAACGACGATGATAATTATATAGACGATGATGATATGCCCGATGCCAATGATTCAGAGGACGATGAAGAATATATTGATTGATATATTATTAATACAATTCACGTTTTTATTTCTTGATTATTTTTATCTCCTAAAACTTGCTTGATCCAAACAAGAGATCAACCTTCTCCTTGATCAAATCTTCATGATCTTCAAAATATTTAGCCCTTCTAACAATTTCTTCATCGTATCCTTCATCACTCTTCAAAGCTTTGAGAGTTTCAGCTTGACTTACTAACCATTGCTCAACAAACTTTACTGGATCTTTACTCAATTCACTGTAAAATGTTTCTCTTGAGTTAGCATTTCTCATTTCAATGATAGCCAATGAAATTTTCTGATTTAATTTTTCAATCACAGAATCATGATGAGACAAGTTTTCAAGAGCTGTTTTGTTCATTTCCAATAGTTCTCGTTGGGCTTTGGATATATTCACGGGCAATTCGGTAGGTATATCCAAAACAACATCTCCTAAAGTAGTTGATCTTCTCGTATCTACTTCATAGTCCAAAATTATTGGTTGTCTGGGCTTGAAATGTTGTTGAATCAATCCGTATAAATCGGAAAATCTAAATTCACGAACCTTCAATAATTCATATAGCACCTCGTCTGCTTCGACTAAGGTAAGGTCATCATTAGCACTGCGATCCTTCTCAGCACCTGGATTAGTGGATCCTAAACCTTCCACGGCTGGAACGTGACTGTATTTCTCCGTCTTTACAAAAAGCTTCTTATTCAAGACATATTGCCAAATGGTGTACATGACTTCTTGATGAGTACATTCTAGTTTTCCCATAAACTTGGCCATATCATCAGTGACGCCCAATCTAGAAGTAAAGCTCTTGACCATCAAGGCGATTTTCACTTTAATATTGAATTTCCCTTCTCTTTTAATATCCATTCCATCAAACCCAACAGCTGCGGCAGGGTCTCTGCCTACATTATTTGTTGTATCGTCTCTCCATTCGATGATGTTACTGTGGGATTCTTGTAAATTGGGATAATGTTCATTCTCCAAAAGATCAACTGATATTCCTGATAAAAATGCACTAAATTTCAAATTGTTGGTTTCCTCCTGGGCAGATTTGTCGTCATTAATGAATTTACCTTCAACACGTAAAGTCCAACTTGGTGTAGTATTTTCAGGCACAGTTTCCCCATCTTGTTGCAATAACTGGTTTTGCCACGGTTGGTGTTCACAATTATTATATACAAACACTCTTAATATTCCGGTGCTTGGTTTATATTCAAATGGATGAATTGTCTTTTGTTGTATAGCTTGAAAGTCAAGAGCTTTTCTAGCAATGAGCAAGTCTACTTGCTTTTCCGCTTTTTTCAACTTCCTATACTCTTTAAGGTTTGGAACCTTGTCGTATAGTGATGGAGGGATAGTTATATCTGTTGGTGTGTAGGATATGGCAGGTATTGAGCTTGCTGTGGATCTAGGTTGATTAGGTGGAGGCTGTTGATTAGGTGGGGGCACTTGCTGATTAGGTAACGGTATTTGAGACATGGTGCAACTAACAAGACAAAGCTTTCAAGTGCTTTAAAACTTTCCAGTTGGATGGTTTGTTCTCTGTTTTTTCTTCCTCTCTTGATTTTTTTGTTTATTTTGTTTGTTGTAAAGTGTATTTTATTTTGAACAAATTACACGCAACTCCAAATCACACAGGAATCTGAACATTCACAGAGGACCCCTTGACATACATCTCAATTCATCTACTATAATAACCACGCCGTATTATAGGCCTTTAGGTTAAGTAATAAGCACATAACATTACTATCCCCATAATCTGTCTATATCCTCCAACCCCCTCCTCCTCCTCGACCCCTCAAATGGACGGAAAACAGCGCAATGGTCAAAGCATCAAGATACAACGAAGGAAAGTTGTTTCCTCCAGCACCTCATCCACAACGTCTAAGCCGCAAAGCTTGATTAATCAAGCAGCAAAGATGAAAAATACCCGAATTAAAGAGATAAGAAAACGAAGGAGAAATTTTTTTTTGAGGATAAACTATACCCACACTTTCACAACCGTCATTTTACCTCTTTTGATGCTAGGTTACATGCTTTACTTTAACGAGAGTATACTACCGGAGAACCAAATCACATTGTATTTCACCATTGTGTATTTCAACATCACCATGTTGGCATTCACGGCCGGTTATCATAAATACTTTGCTCATAATTCATACAAGATTAGATTTATTCCGTTGAAATATTATTTTGCCATTTTTGGAAGTAGTTGTGGGTTAGGAGCAATTAGGTGGTGGGCGTCATTGCATCGGGCCCACCATCATTTCACAGATGACACCGAACGAGATCCGTACCTGATTAAGCGTGGGTTATTATTTAGTCATTATGGATGGTTATTGAAGAAGCCTAAAGCCGTCAAGTTTTATGATGAATTTATCGAACAGGAATTTCCGCAAAATGTAGATGAAGCTAGGATTTCACAAGATTTTAAACTCGATAAGGAACAAAGAGAAGCTTTTGGTCTTCGAGATGAATTTGATAATGATAGTGAAGACGAAGAGGAAGATACTGAGTTTAAAGATACATACGATGAGAATTTGAAGAATTTGTTAAATTGGCAGGAGAGGACATATTTCTTTTGGTTTTTAATCACCACCATTGTAATCCCCGTTGTGGCTACCAAATTGTTTTGCAATGATACAGCAATGCATGGCTTAATATACCCGGGAATATTTCGCATGTTTTTATGTCAACAATCATTACTCACTACTGAATCCTTGTGTCATTTAAAACAAATTCAAGTAACCATCCCATCACAGCCATTCAACGACAAAAACTCATCCCAGGATTGTCAGAATCCATTGATGGCGTTACTCACCTATGGCCAATCACACCAAAATTACCACCACGAATTCCCCCATGATTATCGAAGTAACAACACCTATTTCACCTATGACCCAACCAAATGGTTTATTTGGACGTTGGACAAATTAGGTATCGTTTGTGAATTATGTCGGACGCCAGATAATTTAGTTGAGCACTTGCGACTTCAACAACAGCAACAGATACTTAATCGGATGCGAAGTCAATTGAACTGGGGGACTCCGATATCCAAATTACCATTAATTACACCACAGGATTTTAAACGAACAATTGAATCGTCATCGAATAAAGATCGCATTTATATCGTGATTCAAAACATCATTCACGACATCACTCCATTTATGGATCAACATCCTGGTGGTGTCCAGTTGTTGAAAGCATCACACGGTAAAGATGCCACCAGAGCGTTTTATGGTGGGGTCTATGGACATCTGACGGCTGCGATTAATTTATTGGCAACTATGCGAATTGGGATATTGGATAATGGAAACGATGAAGAAGTTTGGACTCGAGTGGTTAAAGAAGAAGGTGAGGTGAGGGAAGTATCTGAATCGAGGGGTGGTGGTTCAAATGAGTATCGTACTGCTGAAGCTGCATAGTTATATATAGAACAGGACAGTAGCTTTTATATTTATTTTTATTTATTTTTAAAAGGCAAGCAGGTCAGTGTATTGCAAGTGGTGACACTTGTTTTGGATAGCAGTAGGTTAAGTGTTTGCGCAAAAAGAAAAAAAATTAACCCAAATAAAACATATAAAAAAATTGCAGTCGAAAAACGAAAAGAAACATCCCCTTTCTACCTCAACACCAACCACAAATGACACAAGCCCCATCTAATACAACCATTTTCACCACCCAAGACTACCGCGGTGCCACAATCGAAGACCTCAACATCCCGCTCGCAATATCCACCAACCCTACATCATCGATATACGATGCCATTGAAATTGGTTACGAATATGAATTTACTTATCTACCAGTAATACACGAGTTGAATAAACGGTTATTGGGCGTAGTCAACTTGGAGCAATTCAAAGCCAACTCACCTTCTTCAGATTCCCCCAGTGCTGATCTGTTGAAAGAACCTATTGTGTTTAATTATATGTTGTGGTTCAACCCATCAACCAAGCGGAAATACGAACAGGTGATTTTGCAAAAGAACCCCAAGGGTGGTAATGGCACTAATGGTGTCGGAAACACCACACCAAAGACAAAGATTTTGAAGCCGAGAGGTAAGAGATATAGCGTCTTGACTCCATATAGTCCCTTAGAAGACTTAGCTTCGTTTTTCAATAGGGGCAATTATTTCGCCATCATTACTAATGATCTGGGAAATTTTGTATATGGTGTCGTGACTCCCCAGGATTTACTGAAGTATGAACAAAGTCGACCAAAATTGTAACATATATTTATTTCATGTGTATATAAGACATAAAAGGATTTAGCTAACTGAAATTGTAAAAGTATTACAGTGGTTCTTAATTTTGAGGGATCTTCAAAGTTAATTTACCATGAGTTTTCCGACCTTCCAAATCCTGAGCTGCTTGTTTATAATCTTTCAAATCGTAAACTTTATAAATATCAAACTTTAATTTACCCAGTTGATACAAATCCAATAACAAAGCAGAATAATGATCCCATTCTTGCTTTGTGGCGATATACGCACCCAATTGCGGTCTCAACAACTTGATATTCTTGGGTGATAACAAAGCCAAGGGAAATGGTGTCACTGGTCCCGACGAGTTTCCGTAACTAACAAAAGTGCCCTTTCTTGCTAATGAATTCAATGATGTATAAAAAGTATCTTTACCAACTGAATCAAAAGATGCCGCTACTCCAGCACCATTGGTGATTTTATCAACTTTTTGGTCAATGTCATCGCTATTGGCATCAATCAAGTACTCAGCTCCGTAAGATTTGGCCAATTGCAACTTCTCCTCTGTGGAAGCAATGGCAATTACATGTGCACCCAAGTGTGAAATCAATTGCACCAAGATTTTACCAACACCACCAGCTGCGGCCCACACAAGGACATAATCGCCCTTGGTGACATTGTACGCCTCATGAATAAATGTTAATGCCGTTAACCCTTGTAAGAAAAACGATCCATAGACTTCCAAATCCTTGTCACTGGCCAGCGCGGGCAATTTGACGTATTTGAACTCTTGATCAGTAATCTTGGTGTATTGAGCAAACGTCGATGACGACAAATAAGCAATCTTATCGCCGACTTGCAAGTTGGTTACTTTAGACCCAATGGCTACAACTTCACCACTGGCTTCTCTTCCGAAAACATAGGGTTTGGCAGTGATTGGATAGATACCCTTTCTGAAATAAGCTTCGATAAAGTTGATACCAGCATAGGCGTTTTTCACAACTATATCATGGTCAGACTCGATTGTGGGAGTGGGGAAGTCGGTTACATATTCGATCTTGTCGAAATCTCCGGTATCGTTGAATAAAACAACTTTTTGAGTCTTGGGAATCGAGGAGGAGGACATCGTTCTGGATATAAAAAAAGATACTTGGTTAATTGAGGGTCAACTAGTTGATGAATGAAAACGTGGTATATATATATGTATGCATGTATATGTGTAGTGATTACTAAGATTTGTCAAAATTGGTAATGGAATCCAAAAGAAACTGTGGCTTTACACAAAACAGTAGTGAGCGCAAAAACAGTAAATCCCACACTATTTATGTCAAATTAGTGGTGAATCCAAAACTTTACAAGATATAGTACACTTATGTATCCAACACAAGAAGACACTTTGGCGCTTTAAGCCATTGTGGTAAACTACATCGCCATCTTTTTGTTTTCAACTAAATATTGTTAGTTTCGTTTCAAAAGTAATACATTTCATCATTTCTATATAATAAAGAAAACCATCCAATGGACTTCAATAGAACTGTCCCTATACGACAGAAGTGAATGAAATAAAACAGAAAAATTGTATATTTGTATTTGTATTGTAGAAAACAATTTAGAAATAAAGAATCAAAATAACATAACATCTAACAATGTAACCAGGCTAAACATCACCCCTTTCTATCTAACATTCCACCATCATATCTCATCTCTGTGAGTGTACTTATAGCAACTTTTTCTCCCTCTCCTCTTGAGGACTAGCTGCTTTGAATTGGAATTTGTTTGTTTTTTCTTCTTTCAATGATTGAGGCGCCTCCTAAATTCAAATCAAATCCTCCTTTAGGTTTAATCAAATTCTGTTGATGATGACGACGATTACCACCGGCACGTGCATTACTCGCTCTAGGTATCCTTGAAGAACCAGCACCTCCATTAGTATTGCTATCGTAATGATGGTGCAACACTCTTCCACTTCCAGTTACATCTTCCTCATTCTCTTCTTCTTCTTCCTCAATCAAATCTTCAACATTGGGTAAACCACCACCACCACCTTGCTTGTTGGACAAGGCGGCTTCTTCACCCATACGATGCACAGCAGTGGAAATGTCAAAGGCATCGCGCAATGCAACTGCTGCTGGCGAATAAAGATCTTGATTGAAGCTTTGTTGTTGCACGCGAGACTTCTTGGAATACTTTTTAGCATTACCATTGATGTTTTGTGATTGGATTGGATGAGACTTCTTAACGTGTTGTGGTTGTGGGACAGCATTAGTTGGTGGCTGTGGTGCTGCAGTTTGTTGTTTCATCCATGGATCTTGCAAAAACTCATCAATAGTATATCTCTTTTTCGGATCAACGGTTAACAAATTCGAAACACAATTTTTAGCACCATCACTAATTTCATCCCACCATGGTTGTAAAAAGGTAAATTGTCCCTTGGCAACTTTTTCAGTAAGTGTCTCAATGCGTTCATCATAAAATGGAGGGAATCCACACAATAAAGTATACAACACACATCCAATGGCCCACATATCAACTTCTTTGGAATATCGCTCATCACGAACAATTTCTGGAGCAGTGTACCCAACAGTTCCGCACGGCGTCTTGGTGTTATGTTCCCAGATTTGTTTAGATAAACCAAAATCAGCCAATTTAACAATTCCAATACCTCCACCACCTACACCAGGAGTGAATTCGCCTTCATCCTTTTTGGAGTTGGGATCATCACTCTTTCTCAACTTGGCGATAGGGTTAACACTAGGAGTGAATTCGATTGGTTCAAAAAGTAAATTCTCGGGTTTAATGTCTCGATGAACAATACCAACTTCTTCATGCAAATACCTAATGGCATGAGCCACTTGAGTAATTATCCAACGTGATAAATCTTCCGACAAATAAGTGTACTTAACAATCATGGTGAATATTTCTCCTCCAGAAGCTAATTCTTGAACAATGTAGTAATAGTCGGGTGAATCAATAAATTCAATAAATGATACAACGTTGGCATGATTTAATTGGCGCATAATGGTAACCTCCTTCAATACAGCTTGTTTCTGTTGTTGATCCATTTGGAATTTACGCAATATCTTGATGGCAACTTCCTTACCTGTTGGCTTGTGAACTGCTTTATTAACAATTGAAAATGCACCTTCACCCATTTGTTCCAACACTTCATAATTGTCTAAGTTTTTGTAATGCTTGGACTTGGATTTTTGCAAATTCTCTTCTTCAACCAATTGTGTAGCAACTTTATTGTAATCCTGCTGTTGGTGGTGGTTGTGGTTGCTGCCTTGAAGTTGTTGTTGTTGTTGTTGACCGGGTTCATTAAGAGTAATGTCTGATTGATTACCACCAGCACTGGACATGGGAGTACCATAGGCATAAGCACTGTCTGAACCATTCCCACCTAGCTGTTGTTGATGTTGTTGTTGTTCAAATTGTTGTTGGTATTGTTGGTATTGGGTGTCTGATGGATTCTTACTAATACCACCATCAATTATTTGATAGCCTGATCCAAATGGGTTTTCAGTGGCAGTAGTGGCGTATGGTGATGCACCATCAGGTTTTCTTTTCATATCGTTAGCCTGTTTACCATGTCTGATAAATGCTTTCAAGTTTTCAAACATAACTGTCGATGTCTATGACGATGTGGGTATGTATGTATATGTAAGCGTCTCTATAATGAAATAGCAAAAAAGTAAAAATAGAATGCGTAAGCGTAGTTAGTCTAGTAGTTGATTCTATGCAATGAGATGTTCTATGGTATGGATGTAGCAGTTGTTGTTAGTGATGGCTTTAATAGATGGATTGTAGTATAGTAAAAGAAGAAAAGAAGGGTGTATATATGTATATAATGTTTTATATCCACCACTGCCTGTCTTGGTTGGTTTCCTTTTCTTCGTCTTCTATTAACTTTTTAACTTTCTTTTTATTTCTTTTTTAGCAACTTTTTTTTTATTTTTTATTTTTTATTTAATTTTAATTTGTGTCTGAGTGAGTAGCAATAAAAAAGTGTCTGGATGTTCTGAAGTTCTATTACCCTTCCAATTCAATTTATTTCATTTTTTATTTTTTTATTTTTTTATTTTTTTATTTTTTTATTTTTTTATTTTGTTATTTTGTATTTGAGATTGTTCTTCCAAACAAATAAACTTTTCATGAAGACGATTTAAGAGGGGCAATCATTGAATAACACTTATTTGATGTATACCGAGGGTAAGAACATTCTACTCTACTCTAGCACAAACTACGTATATTCTACTGTCCTGTATGTTTTTTATTTTTTTTTCTTGTTGTACTTTGCTTTGTTGGAACTGGTAATGTGAATCTGGACTTCCATTTGTGTTATTTCCGCTACTTTCTGTATTGTTCTATGGTTTGAGTTCTATGCGCAAACGATTAAACCATGCACAGAGAGTGAGATAAAGAGAAAACACACACTATACATGCTCACAACAACCACATGGGGCAGCCTCGTTACCCTGCACCATATTCATCTTCTTTCGCTTGGATATGTCATTTTAATACTTAAATTTAAAGAATTGCTGTCACTATAAAAAAATACCGTGTCAAATAAAGTTCTTTGCAGTTAATTTTAGTGTTAGTGAACATGGTAGCAATTAGAGTAGCAAAAATAATTTTTAAAAATAAAACTGTACAGTGTGATGATGATGATGCTACATATTAAAGTCAGACACCAAAATAGATTCCATTACGCCCAAGCCACAATGAATAATCAGAGTCGTCACTATCGTCATCATTAAATACATATAGAAGCTTCTTTACCTGAGTAATGTTGGCTTTATTAATTCTGAGATGTATACCTAAACACAGAAAACCACTCCACAATCTCCAGCAATACTAAAGCAAACCTAAAAAATAACATCTATCGGATATGTGCTTCGCTCACTACATAGCTTTTAGTTCAATCCTACTACCAGTACAATCTCAATTACAAACCAGCTATGGTTCTTGAAAATTGCGAAAAACCAGAAAAAATATTAAACAAAAAAAAAATTATAAAAAGGAAAAAAGGAACACAGACACTGGATAGCAATTCAGACATTAATCATCCTCAGACCATTTATTACACAAGTCTATTGTTTTACGATACATTCACTTAACTACTTTATTGATAGTGTGCCCAATAAATAGGAGACGGTGATTCTTATATAGGAAAGACAGGGTTTCACTTCGGATTTCCACAGATTCTTGTTCAACTTCCTTTGTTCAATTTTTTTTGTCTGTCCGAGATTAAGCATTTTTTTGTATCTTGAACATTTACCCGTTAAATTAAATTAAATTAAAAAAAATAAAAGCAAAAGATACTTTCGCAGACAGAAAAAAGAAGATTCCAAGTTCCATTTGGGCCAAGTGTCTTTGATATAGTATCTGTATACCTATCCAAAGTAAATCAATCTCTAGCTAAGCTGCATATTCACTTGTAGCAATACGAAGTAGCGTAACTACCTTGCTTACATGCATCTAAATGAACAGAACACATATCTTGCTTTATCACTGCATCACTCTTATCACACCCATCCATTTAGGAGAGAGGGGGGACTTCACTCATTTTATAGCTAGAAAAAGCGAGACAACATAGTGAAACATCACCAATTGGATTTAAGATGCTTCAATTTTTAGTAAGAGGCTAGTTTATTAGTGAATAGTCTTTCAACCTGCAAATCATATGTGTATTCTTTTGTATTTAGTAGTCGATGTTTTATGCGCCACAACTTAAAGTTTGGGGACCTTTTTTCTTTTTTCGGGCGGTGTTCCTGTTGGCAGCTTTCAGCTCCAATCTTCCCCTCCATGTGTGCTACTGATCAAAATAGAACAGTCTACGGTTTAATTCTTTGTTATATCCACAATCCCGAGACACTTAGAAAGGCTTGAACTACTTCTAACTCAAGAGAGGGCTACAAGGGGACAAATGGGGCAATTTTCGATTCCAGTGGAAGACAAAATATTGAATTTACACGCACATTTCGACTCCCTCCGCACCTACTTGAGTACACATTTTTAAATAGTTAGTAACATTATAATCAGACGAGGTTCCACAACTTATCAATTGGTACGCCAACTTCGATCCTCACGCTGTAGTTCTTTACATATGTGTTTCTTAATTGCTACGTCACTTTCTCTGAAAGTCGTGTAATCTGACAAGCCCACACACCCGCGTGGGTCGACAACGCAAAAACCCAACTCCAATTTTTCAACAAAAGACCCCTCTTGTTTACAACTTTAAACAACCATTGTTTTATCATATATATATATATATATATATTCTGACTCCTCCTTTTACAAAATGTCAACCGCCACACCACCAGCAATTGTATTCACCGATTTTGACGGTACCGTTACCTTACAAGATTCCAATGATTATTTAACCGATACTCTAGGTATGGGAGAAGCCAAAAGAAGTGCCATTGGTCAAGATATCTTGGACGGCAAGACTTCATTCCGTGATGGATTCAAAGAAGAATTGGACTCTGTCACTACTCCATTCAATGAATGTCTTTCTATCCTATTGGCCAACATCAAATTAGACCCTGGATTCAAGGATTTCTACCAATACTGCAACTCGCACAATATCAAAATCATTGTCGTTAGTTCCGGCATGAAACCATTGATTTCTGCATTGTTACAACAGTTGGTTGGTGCTGAAGCATTAAAAAACATTGAAATCATGTCGAATGAGGTACGAATTGATGATAATGGAGCCAATTGGGAGATTTTATTCAAACACCCCGACTCTCCATTTGGTCATGATAAAGCCCAGTCCATCAAGGAGTACTTGGTCAGCCATGGCTATGACACTTCAGAAATCAAAGATGATGGTACTACTGAGCCAAAATTGTTTTATTGTGGTGACGGTGTGTCTGATTTGAGTGCAGCTAAGGAAACCAATTTATTATTTGCTAAACATGGTAAAGATTTGATTACTTATTGTGTTAGAGAAAAGATTCCTTATACTGAATTTAATGACTTTCAGGATATTTTGACTAAAGTTAAGAAGATTATTGATGACGGTGAATCGATTAAGAAATTTGTTGAAAACCCATCTAGTGTGAATTAATAGAGACAGATTATACACACATATTTTATAGATTTGTTGCGAAACATTTCAATAGATGTATTTTTAGATTCATAGACGATTTAGGAAACTGTTCGATTGAGACATTGATAGCACCTCCTTTTTATTTGTGCTTTGTCCTTTCGTAATACACGTAAAAGGTTAACTTGGACTAATTTACGAGCACTTTACTTGCGAAAAACCAAGCCCCTTGAAAAGTCAACACTTTACAATTTACGTGGATCTCATAGTTTTAGCATTTGGCTTTTTCATGTCCTTCTACTTTCAAGGCTGTGTTGTAGTTACAACGCATTGCGTTTTCACGGATAGAGCCGGTAGGTTCCCCTATCGTCTCTTTTTGTGGCTGTATTGCGAAATGAACAGCGTAGTGGTTTTCTTTTTTATATAAAAACCTATCCAATGGGCATCAGTTTCGTAACTACGAAACTTATTTATAGCGCAAAACTTTACGTAGGACTTTGTGTAGCTTACGAAAATATCCCGGAACTGCAATTGAGGGATTATCCTTAAATAGCTTCAACAAAATTTTGGGCTCAGCCACTAAGGTAGGTTCCCCCCATCTCCCCTATTTTGAGTTATTTTTTTTGTAGCTAGTGCCAGCACACCAACTAACTGTAATTGGACTGATCTAAACTTAAGTCCCACTTAGAGGTATATATAATGTGATGCATCCTCTTTTACTTCATGTCTCCCCACAATATTAAAAAATAAAATTTTTTTTTTCTTCTTTTAGGACCTAAGAAAAAAAAAAAGAAAACCGTTAGACTCTTTGACAAGCTTCAGGGGTTGCAGCCAAGAGAAGTTAAAATACCAAAGGGAGAGAGAATTTTTCACTTGGTTTCATACAGCCATGGCTAAATCTATCGACATCACAGAAGAAGTGTCCATTAAAGAGATCACCGATGAAGCAAGCCCACATGAGAAGCCGCAGACGATGCAGGAAAAGCAAAATGACATAGAGATCGTGGAACAACAGCAACAACAAGAACAGTACTCCGTGAATACTGATACCAAAGTTACTAGTAATGCTGTTAATGAATCAAGCATAAACTCGGCACAGCCACGCCTGTCCCAGCCACCACAAGCGCCGCCAACCAAAAAAATCACTCAAATCTCTAGCAAAACCAAAATGATTCTTCGAAAATACGCCTCATTTATCGGCCCAGGATTGGTCGTATCAGTCAGTTTTATCGACCCTGGTAACTATCAAACCTGTGTCACTGGTGGTAGTTCAAATCGGTTTTCCTTGCTATTTGTCGTGTTTTTATCAAATTGTATTGCCATTTTCTTACAAAGTTTATGTATTAAATTGGGTAGTGTTACCGGATACGATTTGGCTCGCTGTAGTCGAGAATTCTTACCCAAGAAGTTGAATATCTTGTTGTGGGTGCTTGCTGAATTGGCCATTATTGCTACTGATATTGCTGAGGTTATCGGTAGTGCCATTGCTTTGAACATATTGTTGCGAATCCCCTTGCCTGCTGGTGTAGTGATTACCATTACCGATGTCTTGTTTGTCTTAATGGCGTATCGTGCTGATACTTCGTCCATGAAGTTTGTCAAGATATTTGAATATTCGGTGGGTGCATTGGTGGGTGTCGTGGTTATTTGCTTTTGTATCCAACTATCAAAGATCCATGCCGATGCTAGAGATATCTTTAGAGGGTATGTGCCTAGTAAACAAATGTTTGATGGTAGTGGATTGACTATTGCCACTTCGATTGTTGGAGCAACAGTGATGATTCATTCGTTGTTCTTGGGGTCAGGTCTTGTTCAACCTAGATTACGCGAGTATGATGTTAAAAATGGTTATGTCGATTTGAACAAGGTTGTAAGTGAAGATGAAGAGAAACCACAACCAGTGTCTGATGCAGAAAAGAAGAAATTAAAACAAAAACAATATGAAAAGGAAGCTGATTTTTTTTATCATCAATATAAACCATCATTCAAAGCCATCAACTACTCATTAAAATATTCCATTATTGAACTAGCACTCAGTTTATGCACATTTGCCCTTTTCGTCAATTCAGCAATCTTGATTGTGGCTGGTGCAACCTTGTATGGAACACCCGAAGCCATGGATGCTGATTTATACACGATTCATGATTTACTTTCGCGTTCAATTGCCCCGGCAATGGGTACTATCTTTATGGTTGCTCTTTTATTCAGTGGTCAAAGTGCAGGGATAGTATGCACTATTGCTGGACAAGTTGTTTCTGAGGGCCATATCAACTGGACTTTGAAACCATGGTTAAGAAGACTTATAACGAGAAGTATATCAATCATCCCTTGTCTTATTGTCAGTGCATGTCTTGGTCGAGATGGAATGGCCATTGCCTTGAATATATCGCAAGTTGTAATATCAATCTTGTTGCCGCCATTGACAGCACCCTTGATCTACTTCACGTGTTCGAAAAAATTCATGAAGGTCAAGTTGGATAATGGTGATGTTAATGATGATGAAGGTAGTGTTGGGCGTGTGGTGGAAGATGACAATGGAGATAGGTTCAAGTATATGACAAATAATTGGGTAACTACGGTGTTTGCTGTGGCAGTGTGGATTTTGGTTTCAATGTTGAATATCTATGCTATTTATGACATGGCAAAGAATGGTGTGTCTGGATAAGTATGTAGCATTGGTGTTTATAGATGTGTATAAAAATACTTTTGGTAGTCTTGCTAGCCCTGTGTAGAGACAAGTTTGGGTAAACTGACTCTTGCCGTTCGGCAGATGCATAAGCTCGCGTCTACTGCCACAGTCTTACCCCTAGATATTGTACAAAACCACTCAAACCGTTGCAAATGTACTAGCAGATGGCCATGGTGCAACATAAAGTTGTTTCCACTTGTTGCGTCGCCTAATGTTTCTCACACAACTAGATCTTACCGTTTAAGCACCTGTGAATATCGTACAAAGTTTATTTAGGTTCTGGGTTATGCCTCGCGATATATGCAACATTGATGATGACGCAATGGTAAAGTTTGTAAACTAATTTTTTGTGCAATGAATAAACGTCATTGGTGGGGGTAAAGCTTTTCAAAGGTAGAGAGAATTGTCTTCAAAGCTTATATTAAACGCAGAGGTACATGTGTTTTCGGCTATACAGATTTAAGCTTTTTAAGGTACGCCACATGTACGATACTGTCTTTCCTCTTTTTTTTCAAGAGTATGAGCCCTCTTGTCCACTTAGGAAATGGCAAACTAACTGCAAGCACAACTTGGGAAACATTTATAAAAAGAGTGAAACTTGGAAAATAAGTGGCAAATACGTCATCTTCTAAGCATTCCAATACAGTATGTGGCCATTGTCTTCCAGGTGGACTGAGACATATATCTTCACATAGCCATGAAGGTTGTAAGACATCAAGGAGCAAGTGATTTTTTGCGCCACAAAAATAAAAGTTTCAGCTTGAATTCAGGTCTAGAAGTTTAAATTTGGATGAGAAATTTTTTGTTATTTGTAATTTTGGTGGAATGTAACTGTCGAATAAGAACAAGTTTGTACGAAAGGCCGTTGTGTATAGGAACAATATTCTAATACTATTCACACACGTTGTATAGTCTACTAAAATATATACAGTTTTGATCTACTTTCTTGTCCAGGCCTCTCAAAGTTTGATTCAGACTATTGAAATTTTTGTGTCTGGTGTCTGCGTCTTTCTATGCTGTCAATAATGCAAAGTATATTATCCTGTGATTGTAAAGCTGTTGGTTGTACAAAGCTTGGACGTATTATCTATTTTTCTATTGTTATTACAGTTACGTAATAGATTTTTAAATAAAAAAATAAAATTCGAACGGATTTCCATTTCTCAAATCCATTTGTTTTTTTTATATATTCCTTTTCTCTTTTTTTCTTCTGAAATACATTTGAAATCCGTATTTAACACACACAGATTCCCATCCTTCTCGGTGCTATCCCCTTTAATATTCTATTCATATCAAAGCTACTTCCAATCTAGAAAAGTTTGTGTAGCTTATATCATCAAGACAGTGGACAAGAAGACAATTTCGACTTACAAACTCACAAGGCTCGACGAAGTCCGTTGAACGAAAGTCACGTTAATTAATTTTTTTTTTGTTTTTATTAATCTTATTTTTTTCTTGCTGCAACAGGACGGAGTTCAGCAATCTTAACATATCAAGACCGCTATTGAGGTTAACTTCAATCAGATTATAGCTAAGCTTCTATTTTGAATAGTGATTCTTCACAACCGTTGAGAGAAACCGCATCAGATCCTTCCCCCTCCCCGCAAAGTCTACACAACAAATTTTTCAAGATTTTTACATTCAAAAGTTTGTGACGTTCCTTTAGTATTAGTTACGATTGGATTATGTTTATGCTGTTTACTTGTACAATTATACCCACTAGCTTACCAATTTACAATCATAATAATAACCTTAGAACTAAACTCACATCGAAAGGGCATCTTTTTTGGGTAAATGAGTGAAAAGGTTTCTTATAGGATCCCCCTTGATGATCTAAATTTGGAAAGCCAACAGTTTGCGTCAAAGGATGACATTAAACCATGGCTTCAGGATGTTCTCCTAAGTAATAAAGGTATCCACATAGTTATAGAAAGGTCGGATGCCACCAAAATTATATTCAGATGCAAGAATAAGGAAAAAAAGACAAAGATTATTGAATCAAAGAATAAGAATACGAAGATACCTATACGGCGCCATACAAGTTGTCCATTCAAGATAAGAGCTAACCTAAGCGCAAGGAATAAGGCCTGGTCTTTGCTGGTGATGGATGATCGCCATGATCATGTTGTTGACGGTCAAGAAGGACAGGAGAGTTTACTGCCAAAGCAGCAAATACGACAAGACTTACCTCCTTCCACTTCTCAAGAGCAACAGCAACAGCCCACAGTACTATCCGCCCTAGGAACAGGTTTGAATTTGAGCAAAAGAAATATGGAGAAAAAGTCAGAAATGGAGTCAAGTCCAAAAAACTGTGATCAGGCTAGCTTAAGCAACACTGACCAAAGTTCTTCAATTTTTGGGTTTTCAAATAGAAGTTCTGATGAATTCAGGGACAGTCCACCTACATCATTAAACCTGAATGGGGAGGATGTATTGACAACAGCAGATGAAACTTCAACCTCTGGGAGTTCCGCTTCCAATTCGGTTAGTGTTCCTAGGAAGCGGAAATTGGGTAGTACCAGGGACATGAACAAGAGCAAAAGACAGAATGATGAGCTGTTAATATCATCGCTAGAAGTTGGTCAAGCTACACCCAAGCTGGCTTCCCAGCGTGTTAAGAAAAAGAGCATTGATGCTGAAACAAAACCGAGGAGAAAATCTACACAAGAGTCGACACAGCAGCTGCAACCACCAGCACCACATCAAAAACAAGGATCTAAATCGCCTCAAAAGCAACAAAAATTAGCTCCTCGACGGACACAAAAGTCTTCTCAGTGTCAACAAAACGGAGAACTTGGTCAGCTGCAATATTCATCTTCTCTACTCAAGCCTCAGGGACTACCGATTCCTAAGCCTCAATCTCAAACTCAGTCATTGTATGCGATCCAAGCTCTACAAAATGAAGTGAGGCAAAAGATTAAATTTTACATTTTGGACAATAGAAATATCACTGATAATCAAAAGACGGCGATGTTGGATTCGTTTGTTTCGCAGTTATTGATTGAGTATAGGAATTCATTTAGTCCCCAGTTTTTGCACTCATTGAAGCAAAATTTATATGGCAGAGAAGATACAAGTGGAATGGCACTACAGAATGGAGCGGCACCAAATGGAGCAGCATTGAGTGGAGCTTCTAACACAAGGAACTTTCAACAGAGTGGATCCCTAAACCAACCTCCGCCGTCCAAAAAGGGATCATTGAATAGTTGGTTGCTCAGTAACATAGGAGACTCCTCTGGATCAGGTGCCTCAATCCCTCTATCGCCGTTATTGAATGACAATGATGGTGTCTACGCAGCTGCGGCAGCTGCTGCGGCAGCTGATGGAACTGAGGGTCTAAGTAATAATGCATTGGACAACCTATCCCTGACTCCCCCAATCAACGGCCATACATCAAATGGTTTGGGCTATGCCAATCAAGGCAATGGGCAATTATCCCAAATACAAAACCAAGGGCAACAGTTACCTCCAATCAATAGTATTCAGAATAAGATCCCAACCGGTGGTGGTGATTATACATCAAATGGCAACATAAGTCAGGACCCACAGTCGTCGACCAATAACATGTTGAATAACTTAGGTTCCAATGGCAGCTCTTTGGGAATGGGCACCGGTTCCGGATTAGGAGTCAACCTTGGCTCATCAAATGGATCGGTGAATGCTTCAGCGAATAGCTCTACTCGAAATAGTGGCAACTTCATCAACCCCTCAAATTCGCTATCGTCTTCTTCATTTTTTGGAAATGCATCAACAGGAAATGGGTCACTAATGCCGCCATTAAATCCAGCTGCATCGACATTGAACCCTTCACATATTCTCAAGAATGGTGTTAACAATACCAATGGGTTGAGTAGTAATCAAATGAATAACTATCAAAGCCAGAACTCGCAAGCCAATGGTAACACCAATAATTCAAATTTAACGCCACTAAGCTTCAACCTAGGTAAGAATGCCAATCCGAATTCATTTTTCACGTCACAATTCAATGGACTTAATAATAATAATGGTAACAATGGTAACCAGTATCTATTTCCATCACCAACTACTAATTCAACTCATCAGAATAATGGAAGTGGTATTGGAAATAGTGATAAAGACCAAGGAATCATGTTGAATAACTTGCCGAATTATGATTCAGGATGGTGAGTTGCGCTGATGGGGAATTGGGATGGTTTTCTTTTAGTTTTACTTTTTCATTTCGTGTGTATTTTTCGTTTTTGCCCACTTCTTTTATGTGTGATTTATATTTTACGTGTGAATTTATTAGTGATTTTGGTAGAAATTTTGAATGTAGAGTGTTCTTGATAGAGATGAAAGAAGAATTGTACTTAACGGTTCAGCTGCAAAAAGGGTAAACTCACGTTACACAAAGTGAAACATAATAATTTTTCGGAACCGATTTTGAATACAAGAAGCGTTTGCTAGAAATCCATGAAATGTCAAACCTTTTACCCTGAAGGGGGAGCTGGTGTGGTTTAGGTTGTGAGAAGTAAAAAGACTGGACACGATCGTAATGCTAAGGTTCTCTGATGTATATCTCATTTCAAGAGTATTTCAGATCTTTTTTTGCCAAAATTTTGCTTCAAAATGTTGAAAACTTATATGTAACTCGCAGTCACTTGCATTAAAAGATTAACCTACTCTGTCAATTGGATATAATTTCCATACATAGCTAGACGGTATTGACTCTCCAAACCCATAGTTCTTAGCATTGCTACAGACAAAGAGATCTCACTACACCGCTCAGAACAAGCTAAACTACCAGCTCGTTCCTTAACCTACTGGTCTCGCTCTACATTACCCCAATTACAGTACTCTTTTACTTCGTGAAGATATGTATATATTTACAAGGTTACCCAAAAGACTAAACAATAATGCAACAAAGAACAAACAAAACTCTAAATCGTATGCGCTCTCTTCAATATTGCCACTTACTCCAAAACAACTTTAGCTCCCAATCCTTCCAATGTAGCCTTTATCTTTTCAGCATCTTCCTTTGCAACATTTTCCTTCAATACTTTAGGTGCACTCTCGACAAACTTCTTACTTTCAACTAAACTCAATCCCAACAATCCTTTAACTTCTTTAATAACCTTTGGTTTCGATTTAGCATCAAAGCTTTCTAATTTGATAGCAAACATGGTTTTTTCTTCAACGGGTTGCTTAGCTTCTTCTTCTTCAGCTGGAGCAGCTTGTTGTGCAGCACCACCAGCACCAGCACCACCAGCTACTGGCAAGGCAATATCGCTGATGTTTAATTTGGATTTCAATTCATTGACTAATTGTGACGTTTCCAAAAGGGTTAATGTGGAGATTTGGTCGACAATTTGGGTTATCTTTGGATCTACTGGTGCTGACGATTCAGCTGCTGCTGTGGAGGAGTTGAATCTGATTGAAGATATGGTTGATGGAAATCTCTTGAAGGTGGAAGCTCTAAGGCTGCGTGTTATAGTTTGACGAATGACTGACATAGTTTTGATGGTTTGTAATGAAGTTGATTTGACTTAATGGGTTGGTTGTATTTTGTTTAACCTTTTGTAAATGAAAAATTTTTATTAAACAAAGGAAGAAAAAAAAAAAAAAAACCTAAACAATAATTGGCCATTGGTACACGAACATCTTCAAGACAAATTATATGGAAAAGTTGAAAAATGGAAATCAAACTTGCCCTCACACCTCTTTATTCATCCTATTCCCTGTTCACATACAACTCCCTACACTCCTTCCTCCATAATGGCATCGTTCAGATTCTGTGCAGAATGCAACAATATGTTGTACCCAAAAGAGGACAAAGAAGATCAACGTCTCCTTTACGCATGCCGAAATTGTGGCTACACCGAATTGGCCGAAAACCCCAAAGTGTACCGTCATGAATTAATGACCAACATTGGTGCTACAGCTGGTGTTGTTGAAGATATTGGTAACGACCCAACTTTGCCCCGAAGCGATAAAGAGTGCACTAAATGTGGGAATCGCGATTGTGTGTTTTTCCAATCGCAACAAAGACGTAAAGATACAAGTATGATCTTGTTCTTTGTATGTTTAGAATGCAAGAATGTGTTTCAGGCATAATGTGGTGTGGAAGGAATTCATTCGTTGAGAGGAGATTACCTAATTTCCACAAAATTTCAGTTCGTTATAGATTTCTTTGTATTTTATAAATCTTGTTACAATTTTCAAATTTAATAGCAAAAACAACAGCTTGCAATAACAAAAACTACAAAAAGAAAACAGGTGAAAAACTTGTAAGTGAAGTCTGTAAAGGTCTAAAACTCGAGAAAGTATTGGCCGTATGGATCCTCTCCTTGTACACCGTAGTCAAGTTGCTCTTCAGGATAATGGTCAAATAACGATGAATCACCAACACCAGAGGTGATGGGTGGTTCGTAAGGTGTCTCGATATCTTTAGCCAATAACTTTTCCCAAACCACCTCCTTGAACCAGGGATGATTTCTTATATCAGCAGGCCCATTGATCAAATTGCCCAATCTTCTCGTCAAGTCAGCCGTTATCAATTTAGATAAAAGATCAATTTCATCAGGTTGGAAAAAGCTTGGATAATGAATCTTACCCGCCAATATCTTTTCGTATGTTTTCATTGGGGTCGAATCGTAAAATGGGGTGTATCCAGCCAACATTTCAAAAATCAAAACACCAAGACTCCACCAATCGACAGATTTGTTGTATGGCTTAGTGGTGATAACTTCGGGTGCAATGTAATCTGGAGTTCCACACAATGTCCAAGTAACAGTGTTGACTTCTTTGGCAAACCCGAAATCGGTAATCTTTATATGTCCATTCTTATCCAACAAGATGTTTTCTGGTTTCAAGTCTCGATAAATTATATCATGACTGTGTAAATACTCCAATGCCAAGGTCACTTCGGCAGCATAAAACTTGGCCACTGGATTGGGAAACCTCTGAGACTTTCTTAACAAGGAAAACAATTCACCACCTTCAATATAATCCATCACCATGAATAAGTTTCTAGAATCTTGGAAAGTGCCCCACATTCTGATTAAAAAAGGATGTTCAATCAACTTCAACATCTTACGTTCGTCATTTGTATGCTCAACTTGTTTCATCTTAACAACTTGTTGCTTTTTCAACACTTTGATTGCATAATATCTTCCATTGTGAACCGATCTTACTAAATGAACTCTACCAAAGGAACCGGTTCCTAATGTTCTCATTATACTAAAGTCGTTTAGTGAATATTTGCCCTTACTTACGGTTGATCTTTGTGGTAACAAGGATCTTTGAATTGCTTCATCGGCAGCAGATTTTGGAACATTCTGTTGGTGCTGCTGTTGTTGCTGTTGAAGCTTCACCTCTTGCTGTTGAGCATTGTGCTCTTGTTGTTGCAATTGCTGCTGCTGCTGCTGTTGTTGTTGTTGTTGTTGTTGTTGCTGTTCCTGTTGTTGAGCTTGAGTGACATTGGCCGTCGTTGTAGAACTCACATTAGTATTACTCATTGCTGCTTGAGCTGGGCCAGGGTGGTTGATCTGCTCACCAGGATGCAGTTGATGAAATGAGTCCATTGACTTGTCTTGATTATAAGTAGATAAAGGCTCCTGCGAATGGTGTTGGTGGTCCTGGTAATTGCGGTATAATTTCTTCAAAATATTAGGCATGAAATAGAGGAGGCGGATGGGCCAAGGGGGTGGCAGGCAAAAAAAGCAAACTAAGCACCGAAAAGAGCGTGTGAGGCTATTTTATTGATGAATTGATACTGATACGTTTTTTTAAATTGCACAGCGCACCCGATATCAATTGACTTTGTAGCAAGTTGCTTTTCTCGAAAGTTTTCGGAGTGGAAATATAATATAGGTTTATTAAAATTGAAATGCGGATTTTGGTTCGTTGATAAAAATTGTTGATTTTTTTTAAATTGTGTGTTCCCTATTGTGTTATTGTTACATTGTGTTATATATACATACAAAAGGAATAAAAGATTAAAAGAATACAAAGAATACAAAAGACCTGTGGAAAAAGAAGAGAAAACACGTAAATACACAAAATGTGACAGGTACATTAGAAACACAGAAGAGAAAGTAGAAGCTGACGGTGCTACATGGGGACGCTTCAATCTGAAAACACGTGTAGCCAGTCTTTATGGCCAGTTTTGACGTACAAATATTATTTATGACAAACTCTATCAGAGTTAATTTCTCACCTTCACGTGCGGTCCCACAGCTCATTTGAGAAATAGCAAAACGTTTGTAATATGTGTATCAACCTTGGTGACTCTGATATATCTCTTTGATAAGCTCAATAAGCAACTTAGAAGCTCTATGACCAAATTTAACAGCAGTTTAGGCTATTTTTAGGCATTGCAGGAGGGACAATTAAAGCGGCTGCTATAAAGTGGACTATCACGTGTGTATATGGTAGCTCCACATATGAAAAGGAGCCATCATTTTAGTAAGGAACCTTTGCCCTCGACTCCACTTCAGAAGATATACTACACACAGAACCTCATGTCAACATCCCCATTCACTCCTATCGACCACAGATTACAGCCCGATATTTCAGGATCGGCTTTAGTTCTCCCCTCAATATCAATTGGCAACATACCTCAACTAACCATTGATTTACTCATTCACACGTACTCGTTAACCAAAATTGGCTATTTAGATGGCTTGTATCTCTACCCGTTTGCTTCACCAATTGACTATGTTAACTTACCTTCCAAACAAGGTATCAGCCATGCTGTCGAGGTCTACTATTCTCCTAAATTGAACATTACAGTAGTGCAACAACGAAGTCCAATCATTCCTACATATTCATCTACTTTTGTTCATCAAGTAATCGTTCCATTCATAACAACGAATCGATTTGAAAGTGTCTTTGTACTAAACTCATCAGATGCTGGCTTGGTGGAAAGCGTCAACAGTGGTGATATCAAGCTCTACGATACCGAAGATTTGATCACCTCCAATTTAGAAAATTTATCACTAACTTCTCCTTCATTACAGGATTCAAGTGATCCAAACGATAAAGGAAACGACAATAATTCAAAATTTGTTACCGAACTTGTCAAGGCGATTATTTCTCAAAACGGAGAAAGTAAGTCCAAACCAATTAATGTTAAAGTCATCGTAAGCTATGTTTATGAAGGTGATAATTTTTATGATGCAGAAAAGTCAGCGACCCGTTTGCAAGAGGCTTTAAAACTAAAAGAACAAGAAGGTAGGACTGTTACAAAGTGGGTTAAGCCAGTTAGTTGGTTAGGTGCATATGGAGACAAGTCAATTCCAAACGCAATGGAGGAAGGCATATTTGGTTAAGGCTACAGTCTGATGAGAACTTTTAGTATTACGTATATAAGCAATAAAAAAGGTAATCCTTCCTACCAGAAATACCCCACCTCTCTCAATTCTTCGAAATAACCTCTCAAAGCTGATGTAAAAGCGATGCTAGATGGTTCTTAACGTTGCATGTTGCGGTTCTCCGGTTCAACCCAATTTTGATTTTGATAAAACTGAAAATTCCTTTGCGGTACTGGATAATTATGGGCGTGATGTGATTGTGAAGTCTGAATTGGATGTGTCGACTGATCTGGAGACATTGGTTGCATAGGCTGCAATGGAGGCATAGGAAGTATCGGTTGAGGATGTATCGCGCCTATTGGCTGCATTGGCTGCATTGGCTGCATTGCTTGAGTTTGCTGCATTGCTTGAATATGGTGGCCATTGTTACTTGCCTGATGGTTCTCGTTCTCCCCCACAAACTGAGAAGATGGTTTTGAGTTTAATTTGTCGCCATATCCGTTATCACCTGGTGGGCTTAAAGCATTGACACCTGTTAATAATGCACGCGCTTGGTTTTCAACTTCTTCATCATCCATTTCTCGTTCCTGTCCATCATTTGCGACTTGTTCCTCCTTTATCGGGGGTGATTGCGGTCCTACTATTGAGCTTTTGCGTGGCTCATAAGTTGGAGAATTCAACAAGTTCGCAATAGTCGGACTTTCTTGAGCTTTTGGTGTGTCAAACTGCAATTGATCTATATTCATTTGCAGGGAAATTTCAACAGATATTCTCATTGGCGGCGACGTTGCAGCATTGTGGAGTAATAAGCTTCTAATCTCACGGCAATGCAATACTTTTTCATGTTCAGTTGAAAAGTCCATCATTTGTGGAAAGTTTAATGCCATTGTTAGGAAATAATCAACAAATGGATACATTTTGATTATTTTAACTACTTCGGGTCTGTATACTTTACGCAATATCAGAACCGCTTTAGTGTACTGTTTGTTTCTTGCTCGTATCAACATCTCATGTGTATCTGTGTTGCCCTTTAGCGAGCTCAATCTCACAACCAACACACACCAAACCAACTGCTTGAACCCTTCAATAGCAATTATAGGTGGCGGGTTAGCGCATTCTTTCAAACGACAGTATTCAGGCAAGTTTCGAACAAAATCGTTGATCTTAGTTTCAAAATTGCTCATAGTCATACTGCCTGGATTCTTTCTATCGTCGTAGTTGATTTTGCCTCCTACAACACCATCATCAATAATACCTGTAGACGTGTTGATTGTAGATGTAATGGCAAGATTTAAAATAGATACAATCTTGACAAATTGATTAAATGTCGACAAAAACCGTCCGTGGTCGAGTCTAATGGATTCAGAAGAATGATAATACTCCCAGGGATCCCACTCTTCCCAACCGTCGGTGTCAATTTGTGGAATAGGCCAATCAGCCGCTCTGACCACCGGCGACCGCCCCATTCTTGCCGATAATATGGTATTCACCACGTAGACTGTGGCCCATGTTCTTTGCCGGCTTATATTGTTCAAAGTACTGCTTGTTCGATATTTGCCACTTTCCTCATCAGTAGCCGATCTCATCAACCGAACATCAATGGCCATTCTTGAACTAGAGCTTATCAACACCCACGAATAGTCCCATTGTCCAGCTTGGTAGTAGAACAAGCCTAAAATTAACATTGCCTGCATGGTCTCAATAGTGGACGTCAATGAATTTTCCAAAGCTAGAATAGCATTTTTGGCGTAGGTTAACCCAGTTGACAAGTCACCGCTTACATTTGAACTCGTTTCACCAAGAGCAACAACTGCCCATACCAAGGCGACTAAGTTACAGTCAACTTGCCTTAAATTTCCATTGGGCACTTGTAGGTGATGTAGCTGCCTTTTGACGTTAATTTTATCCAACATTGGAATCAAGATATGGAAAATCTGGAAATAATGATCAACGAGCATACGGACATTTGGTGGAAATTGAAAAATCTCTTGCGGTAGTTGTATTTTATCTTGAAGATTGGCACTGATTGCAAACGACGAAACATTGAAAATGGAGCCCACCCTAAATGGGTTTTTCCTATTTGGTTTCTTTTTATAATTTTGTTGAATGGCCTTGTTTGTAAACCCAGATATAATCGATGACAATCCATGGTATTGTAGCGCAACAGGCTCCCAATTTTCGGCCCCTCCAGAGGATTCAATCTCGTCGGAAATGAATTGGAATATATCGTAGTTCAAAAAGAAGGATGGATCATTGACAAAGTTGTTGGTTTCATATATTCCTGATGATGTCGGTAGACTATTTGAAAATGGTGGTGTTGACTGTACCTGCGCTTGTGCATGAGAAGGAATTTGAGCTGGGTAAGTAGATTGATTCAAATCTGAGATAGTACGTGGAGTTTGTTCATGCTTCACACCACCATGAACTAAATTTGAGCTCGAACTACTGTTTGGTGGCAGTGGGAATTTACCACCTAGATTATCTTCATTGGCACCATTAGAAGTGTCAGTTTTGAGCAATGCTACACTTTTAAAGCTTTTGAGCGCCGGAAATTCTTGATGCAGAATCGTATCAATGTATTTGGTTATTGCATGATTGCTCCAAAACTCATTCAATTGTCGCAAGTTAGCAACAAAATCTTGCTGGCTTTTTAAACTGTCCCAGATTGCAGCTTCCAATGATGGTTGATTTTGAATAGCACTCGCAAGAACTGCTTGAAGAATCGCAACCTTCTTTTCCAAATCATGTGTGTATCCTGTGGGTAGCCCTCGCCTTTTCGACGAATATGTGTATGAGCAAGTTTCACCATTTGCGGTGCAGTTGGTGCATGTTGGTGAAATGCCATCGCATTTGGCCTTCTTAGATCGGCAGTAATCACATGCCTGTTTGATTCTCCTCCGTTTGGTCGGCTGCACCAGCTCGTCTTTAAGTTGCTCCATTTTTGGCTTATATAGAAGAGCTGTGTAAATAACGTAGTGGCTTGTCTATTGGGCTTGAGGCTCACAACTATAGAGACTGGTATTCGACTTGTATAGGTCAGTTGAAATCACGATTACTTATACAACTGGTCTTTTGTGTGGTAACTGTAATGTGTTTGGAGGTATGGACTGATGTATACTGACATAAGGGGTGCACCTGCAGTTACTGTGAATATGATTGTTAGAAGAATCATGAAATTTTCAATTTAATCTAAACTTTACTTTGAGTTACATAACAAGACATTTTGCTCACCACAAAATTGAAGACCCCCTTGTGCAAGACTAAAAAGAGTACCTTGCGACCTTAGTTATAGCATCGGCATCCTTTCCTGATCGTCCGGCTGGCGAATCATAGACATTTCAAGAGCACAACTTTTCTTAAGTTCGAAGAGGAAGACTTGAGGTCCTGTTTACGTTTACGAATGGTCTACTCTTTTGCCAAGTAGTCTCTCATGTATTGCATTTTGCTACATCACCAAAGACTAGCATGTAAATAGTGAGTCTCGTATTCTTTAAGCGATGGTTGCCTTGAAACTTCATGTAAGTTTACAACCACCCACGCATGTCACAAAACCTTCTCCTCTGAAATTATGCAGGTTATGCATTTCATGTTAGGTTCGGTCCTATTGCTTTTATGATACACAAAATACATCACGTATATTCATCACTGTTAAAACAGATGTGCACAAGCAATTCATAGTTGTTGTTGGTCTGTTTCAGGTTTAATAAAAAGGGAGATCCCTTTGAACCTCAAGGCCCCACTTGAAAGCAAAAACTGATATGCATATACTACATCTTCGCCGGATGTCAGAACAAACCTCTAAATCAACAACAGTTTTCCCTGGTTTCCACTCTAAGCTAAAATGTTTAGTTGCAAGTGTTGTGGTCACCAACAATAAATATGACCAAGGTTTACTATCATGAAAGTATCTATTTATTACAAGACTGAACCACACCAAACACTATTCACTTAAACTTCTATCGTTTTCAAATTTGGCGAAATCTCAAAAGGAGCTCCAGTTTTGGCCCTGATTTCTTCTATGCTACTCTCAGGATCAATTTCAATCAATACCAACTTTTCATCAACGATATCAAATACAGCTAAATCGGTAATTATCCTTGAAACACACTTTTGACCAGTTAATGGGAATTTGCATTGCTCTAAAATCTTTGGTCTTCCCTTTTTATCAATATGTTCCATCACTACTACAACACGGGTATTTTGCGGGTTGCTTACAAGATCCATAGCACCACCCATGCCTTTCACTCGACCTGGTAATCCCCAGTTTGCTAGATCTCCATTTGAAGCGACTTGTAACCCACCTAGAATGGTCAAATCGATTTTACCACTACGTATCATGGCAAAGGATTCTTCAGATCCAAATAATGATGCACCTGGTGCGAGGGTCACAGTTTCTTTACCAGCATTGATCAAATCGGGGTCTTCTTGGCCTTTATGCGGGTAAGGACCTAAACCTAAAATACCGTTTTCCGATTGTAGAGTAACGTTAATGTTTTCTGGTAAGTAGTTTGGTGCCAAAGTTGGCATTCCAATGCCTAAATTCGCGAACGAGCCATCTTTGAACTCTTGTGCTGCTCTTTTAACAATCTTTGACCTTTTCAACTCACTTTCCGATTTTGATTGTTCCAAAGACGCATCTTGGCTGGTTTCCGAGAGCTTGTAAATCTCAATATCTTTGGGCGTCGTAGATTGGATGACTCTGTCGACGTAAATTGCTGGTAAGTGAACATTTTCTGGAGTGATTTCACCTGGTTCAACGATATTCTCTGCTTCAACAATGGTCAATTTGGCATTTCTTCCCATCACCGAATTGAAATTTCTGGCAGCTCCCCTGAACCAACAATTACCCAATGTGTCTGCTTTGTATGCCTTGACAAGGGCCACATCTCCAATGATTGCCGGTTCCAACAAATACTTTCTCCCATTGAATTCACGCACTTCGCGAACTTCACTGGCTTTCAACACTTGTTCGCCCTTTGGGTCATAACGTACAGGTAATTTCCCTTCTTCTAACCAGGTGCCGACCCCAGTAGGTGAATAGAAAGCTGGGATTCCCGCAGCACCAGCCCGAACTCGTTCAGCTAAGTTTCCTTGAGGGGTCAATTCCAAATCTATTGCCCCTGTCAAGTATAATTTTTCAAAAGTTCTATTGCCTCCGATGTAACTACTAATCATTTTAGTGATTTGCCCAGTAACTAGCAATTGCGACAACCCACGTCCATCGAGCCCCGCATTATTCGAAACGGCAGTAATGTTGCTGATCTCTGGTTTTTTTACGAGAGCATTGATGATTGTGTCGGGAACACCACTGAGGCCAAACCCACCTGAAAGCAATGTGATGTTTGAAGTGATCCCTGCCAACGCCTCATCGGTAGTTCGAACAACTTTTGTTTTGGGGTGGACCAACGAGTAACACCGAATGAAACAACGAGCCACGCGTGTGCTTGGCTTGTTGATGACTGTTAGCATGACTGAATTCTGATATTTAAAACCACCATTCTTTAGTTGCAGTATGGGTGAGATTTAATTTTCAATATATAGTACAAATCATGGCATGAATTGTGTGTGTCGGATTTGGAGCCGACAAAGCTGAGAAAACACGTCTGAGGGAAATATGCTCGGAAAAAGCAAAAAATAATTCCGTCTGTTTTCCTTTGTCTCGTGGAAGTATTCACTTCCGCGCGGTCAGCGGAACGACACTCGGGTTTGTTCCGAGTTGTGGAGTAATATAACGCTAAATATGCAGACTCTACGGTAGCTATATCCCCCACTTAAGCTTGTAAAGGGACGAAGGGGGATGATGAAACCAAACAAATCATGTACTTACAAAATTAAGCAGGTGTAACTACAATGAAAAGGACAATGTGAAGGACGATTCACTACATTGGCTATTGTCGGCTCATTAAAAAATCTCATAAACATCAATTACTAAGTTTAAAAAAACAGTATAAACTATTGAGTGCTATACATAAGCCCTTTTAGTCCAATGGAGCAGGCTCTGGCAATCCTTCTGCATTAAGAACCAAGTTGGCAGAAGCTCTCGTTAAAGCATCCTTGTTTTTCTGGTACACCAACTTTTTAGCTTCTTCGTTTGTGATAATCTTGAAATGCCATTTCAAGTACCAGTCGTCTGGATTCATGCCATACTTCTTTGCCTTTTCGGCACCTAATTTATCTAAGGTATATAACAACAGTGTCTTTACACCAAACACAGCATCTGAGGTTTCGTAAGGGTCGCCCTTTGCGTATAATGCCGTAATCAACCTATCGTAGCCTTCCTTTTGGATGATGAAGTGGATGTGCGCTGGTCTGTATGGATGTCTGTTGATCTTTTGCAACAATTTTCCGACAGGCCCATCGTGAGGAATAGCATATGGAACTGGTCTCGTACATTTGATGACAAAGGTTCCGTCATCGTTGGTCTTGACAATTCCTCTCATGTCTGGACGTTCCCTGCCTGGGTACTGTGTATCATACAACCCATTTTCATCACAGTGCCAAAGGTCGATGGATGCATCAGGAATTGGAGCTCCATCAGGAGAAGTCAATAACCCTTCAATCAATAATGGTTCACCTTTACCTTCGGAGCAGATGGAGTCACCTTGATGCATTTCGCTTGCATCATGTGTGTGGAATGGACCCAACAATGTACCAATGGTTGCATTGGGTGGTTTTGGATGGGAAATGGAATCGACCAAAACTGATAAGCCCATGACATCAGACAACAAAACAAACTCTTGACGGATATCGGAACACATTTTACCAGTTTCAGTAAGGAATTGAATAGCAACTTCCCATTCCTCAGTAGTCAATCTTGTTTCAATGGCAAAATCATGAAGATGTTGAACTGCTTTCTGCAAAAGGAAAAGCAACCTCATGTTGGTATGTTGGGAATTGACCAAGATAGTGTTTTGAGTGATCGTATCATCTGTCATTTCGGTAATCTTTGGACCCTTGGGGGGTGGTGGAGGAACCTTACTTGTTGGTTGTTCTGTGGAGCTAGGCATGTTTGTGAATCTTTGTTGTAATCTCTTTGGAATAATGGAAAAGAAAAAGTCTGGAATGTAAACTGGAGTTGGATTTTAAAAATGTCAAGAAAAGCTAGTTTTTATATCAATAGACCATGCCCACTATCCTATCATGGATCATCCAATTCATGATTATATCTAATTCCGGTAAAATGAAAGTCCGTATGATTTTGAGATCTTCTGGTTATAATAACAACAATAAAAAAAATAAAATAAAAGGAAAAAAAAAGCACAATAATAATAATAGTAAAAATAATTTAAGGTTTGATTTTTCATCTTTCTCGTTATTGCGCAGATTTTATTTGCGGAGTAAGTGTTATCCTTGTAATGAAAAGAGTGTTTATGAGGTAAAAATAAAAGAAAATAAAAAAACAGCATTAAGGGGAGGGTAAGCTATTGTGGGGGTAGGATTTCACAGTAAAATTGGCCACTTACATACAAGATTATTTCATTCTGAAATGGACTACTCTCGACAGACTTCTGGTGAAGTAGTTGTGGCTTGACACATTTCGCTTGATATTTACTCAAATAGTTAAACAACACTATATACATCTTTACAATTTATAGAGGCAAAGGGCTGACATACACATAGTTATATGTATACAGGAATTATAATCATGACTCCCCTCCACCCATTGGGACGGTCATGATAAAAGTAAAGAGGACATAGATTAAATAATATTGAAGATACACATACACTGACTTACTTCAACAATCATGTAATAAAATTATCAAAAACTAAAAAAAAAGGAAAGTCTCAGTATGCAGTATGAAGCATTTAACGAAGGTGGGGCGAAGTGGGTGGGATGAAACCATTCGATAAACCAGAAAAATGTGGTTTGTTTTGTATTTGTATTTCTTTCTTTTTCCATCTGAAACGTTTTGATTCTCATTTTCAGATAAATCCGTCATAATTGCAATTTTGTACTACAACAATACCCACAATTCCGAAAAAAAACATTCATAGTTGGGTAATGGTTAGATAATTAGCAAACTTTTGTAGCAAAACACACTTTATTAATAAACACTTTTATTTTTCCATTCAGTTTTTATGAGATATAATTCTTTACAATACTTAACACAGTCAATTAGACAACTACCAAAGTCTACACATTGCATTCAAATCCGTAATATGGCACGTCACCCAGAATTTACTCATCTTGAGGCTTCGAGACCACCGTTTGATGCCGAGCACACTTGGCGCTACACACAAGTACCAGATATACATTGGAAAGTTGGATCGGGGGCCAATAATGAAGAATGGAAGAACCACAAGAAAGTTGAATTGAATCCATACGAAGAAGGAAGACCCGCTGCCAATAACTACAAGACCTTAATCAGTGCAATCACGCCTAGGCCAATTGGATTTGTTTCTTCCATTTCCAAAGATGGTAAACGCAACCTTGCTCCTTTTTCATACTTTAATATGGCCAATCACGACCCTCCAATATTTACTTTGGGTTTCGCTGCTAGTGGGGACCAAAAGAAAGATACCTGTAATAATATTTTAGAGACTGGCGAATTGACCATCAATATTATCAGTGAATGGTTTGTTGAAGCTGCTAACTATTGTGCCATAAACAGTCCTTCCGGAGTTGATGAGTGGAAGTTATCAGGCCTAACTCCGGCTGAATCCAAATTGGTCAAACCTCCACACGTTGCTGAATCCGCGTTTTCTATCGAAGCCAAGCTAGTTGCTCACCACGTTTGGAAATCCAAAACCGATCCAACGAAGGATACTGGTGTGTTGGTCATTGCTGAAGGTTTGACTTTCCACGTTAGAGAAGATATCATCAATGAAGAGAAATCGCAATTGGATATTACCAAGTTGAAACCAGTCAGTAGGTTGGGCGGTATTACTTATGGTAGAACCATTGAAGGATATGAGAAGCCAAGACCCAACTATACAACCGAGATTGAGAAGCCTGAAGTGAAGGAGTTGTTAGAATGACTTAGAACTAGTTATTTATAGATTTATGTTATTTTTAGTCCAATTAAGAGTACTCTTGTGTCGAGATAAGATACTCATTTCAAAGTAAGTGTTTTGGTAGCAGCATTGCTATCAAAAATGGGGAACTCTCGCGTTAAAAATCAGGAGTAAGAGTTAACTCCTTCTTTCTCTCGACATAATTCACCCCCTCCTGCTACTATGGATTCCACCTCCAAGAAACACAGAAGCGAAAGTGTTGAAGAACAACATCTCCAAGAACGTCGTGGGATGGAAAGAAGAGTTAGCTCAGCTGAAGCAGAGTCTATGGGTGATTCACTCCCTACAGGGTTCAGAGCAGAAGGATTCAACAACGGAAAACCTGATCTTGGTGAAAAAGAAAAGAAATGAGATAGGGTTTGCGGCTGCTATCTAATAAATGGATGTTTTTCATTTGATAAGGAAGACAGTTGGTTGCTTCATCTACCATATTTGGATGTTGCAAGTGTTTCAATTTACGGATATGAACTTTGGTTTATTTATTAAGTCATTTGCTATCTTTCCTGATATATACCTCAATTTCAACCTTATTGACTACATATTTGCTACAGCAACTACCCATTTAGTGTAGTACTCTGCTCCATAAATCTACCAGCCCTTCAGATGGTTTCCAAAGGTTACCCATTACCTACAACCGCTTATTCCCGTTTATATTCCTATCAGAAACACTTTTGTGTAACAAAATAGCCTTATACACAAAAGCTCATCAAGAGAAAAGAAAAACAAAATGATATAAACAGCAAAAATAGAAGAAAGAAGCCAAGACCATATTAAATTTTTCTCACATTTGACATCGTTCATGATTTGAAACTATTATGGAAACACACTCTAACATTCCTAAGAGGCAAAGCAATGAGGATGCAACCTCTGACATTTCTAGAAGACAGAGCTATGAGATACCTAGCTCAAATATGCACCGAAGACAGAGCTATGAGGAAGCTCGTCTTCAAAGACGACGTACAATGGAAAGCGATCTTGCTACAATGGAAGCCGAATCCATTGGAAATGCACTTCCAGAGGGGTTAAAGGTAGAGGACCAAATAGAGAAAGCAGTGCCAGTACTTGTGACAAAGTCCCGTAAATACCTACCAATCATCTTGAATCTAACTCACGGAGCGATATGGGGCGTTTTGGTCCGAAAAGGGTTGATACAATTAACTACGTATAATGGCTCTTTTTTATCCGGTGTTATTTGGGCAAATTTCACTGCTTGTGTTGTCATGGGATTGGCTGTTGAGGGTGAAGAGATATGGATGACACTATTAGAAGACAAAACGTATCCCACCAAAAGTGCCATACCTCTATACACTGGTATAACCACTGGGTTTTGCGGTACAGTCTCATCATTCTCAACCGTCTTATTGGATGCCTTTAACAAGTCTGCAGATACCATGATTGGTATACACTTTCATTATCCCAATGGAGCATACGGAATAATGGAATTTTTAGCGGTTATCTTGGCACAATTAGGACTCTCAATGATGGGATTCCACATTGGCAAACACCTACTGCAGGTTATTGACAACAATGTTCGTCCAATGACCCAAAAGGCCTATCGCTTTTTAGAGTTATTGTCAATGGCTCTTGGTGTCTCTTTAGTCATCATCACCTGTTTCTTGATTGGGTTCAAGAACCATGGAGCATGGAGAAGTTGGACATTCGCCATGTTATTTGCACCTTTTGGGGCTATTCTCAGGTTCTACTTGTCGAAATATCTCAATACAAAAGTTAAGAATTTTCCAATGGGAACCTTTGCTGCTAACACGCTTGGCACGTTACTTCTTGCAATTTTCACGCTTTTAGGAAGAGGTAGGCTACCCCTGGGAGGAAGAATCAATCCGCATGTAATGGGGTGCCACGTTTTGGTGGGTTTGGATGATGGGTTCTGCGGCGCATTAACTACAGTGAGTACATTTATGGCAGAATTGTTTGCTTTAAAGACATGGCACAGTTATAGGTATGGGTTTGTCTCGGTTGTGGTGGGATACGCTTTGATGATCTTGATCTTGGGTTCATACAATTGGACAGTAGGGTTGACCGATCCAGTATGCTCGTAGAAGTATGTGTATGAGTATACAGAATTTGTAATTAGAATGAATGTATAATTTAGAATAATATTGTAAAGGTGTAGGGTTGGAGTAGACTCCTAAGCGTAGTATAATTGGCTTCAATATTAGTGATTTTTCTGCCAAAATGTTTATGTCCGCCAAAACCGTTGCAGCGGTCTTTGTTAAGCGAGTGCGGCCCACATAGTTAACATGAACGCAAAAACAGAGTTCATCTGATACTTTATTACAATAGTCCCTCTAAACCAATCATGCACCTAGCAGCAGATATCCAATGATGGGAGAAAGCCAAATTATTGGTCCAACGCTCCCGATCTCTCGTAACAGCTAGTGTCTTGCCTACTGGTCTTGAGTGAAAAACCTTCATCGCAAGCTGAAATTACACAAACGTGATTTTTTTTTTTTCTTTTGATTCTCTGCTGATAAATAAAAAAAATTTTTTTTTTCAGTTTGTAATCTGAAAGATCTAGACACAGGTTGCCAGCTCAGTCAAGAAAGTTTTCCCAGAGACCAAAACTTTACCATCGAGTTAGAATTTTTCCTTTTTCTTTTTTTAAACCCCTGTTCACTTCTTCAGTTGATTTAAAAATTTCAAAGTACAACCATTGTTAAGCAGAGATGTCGGAAGAAATCCAAATCAAGGACGCCAGTTTGGAACAATTGAGAGATGTTCTTATAAACAAACCCAATGACATTGCCTTAGCCGATAGGTTCAGAGCATTATTCAACTTGAAATCAATCGGGTCAGATAGTGAGGATAAAGAGGCTGCTCACAAGGCTATAAAGTACATCGCAGAGGCTTTCAAAGATGATTCAGAGTTGTTAAAGCATGAAGTAGCTTACGTTTTGGGACAGACTAAGGACTTGTATGCCGCTTCCTTCTTGAGAGATGCGTTGACTGACAAGAACCAGCAAGTTATGGTAAGGCATGAAGCGGCCGAGGCTTTGGGTGCCCTTGGCGATGTCGACTCTTTGCCATTATTAGAGGATTACTACAAAAACGACCCATCGTTGGAAATCAAACAGACTTGTGAACTAGCCATTGAGAGAATAAAATGGGAGAATTCTGAACAAGCCAAAACTGAAAAATTGGAAAAGTCATTGTACGAATCCATTGACCCTGCCCCTCCTTTAGCCGTGGACTCCAACACGTCTGCTGTCGAAAAACTACAGGCTATCTTGAATGACCAGGAAAAGCCTTTATTTGAGAGATATAGGGCGATGTTTAGGTTGAGAGATATTGGTACCGATGAGGCTTGTTTGGCTTTAGCTTCCGGATTTGTCGACCCCAGTGCGTTGTTCAAGCACGAAATTGCCTACGTTTTTGGTCAATTATGTAACCCTGTTACCGTCCCATCTTTGATTAAGGTGTTGAAAGACGAGTCGGAAGCCGGTATGGTTAGACACGAAGCTGCTGAAGCTTTAGGTAGTATTGCTACCGACGAATGTTTGCCTGTGTTGAGGTCTTTCCTCAATGACCAAGAACAAGTGGTTAGAGACTCTGCTATTGTTGCCTTGGACATGTATGAGTATGAAAATTCCAATGAGTTGGAATACGCAACGGTTAAATAGTTTTATTCCAGTCGTTTGTTCTTTTATTAATGTTTTCTCTATATACATATAGAAAGTTTAATTATTTGTCCTGAACCTATAGCCACAATTAGGGCACGTGTAGAACACAGTGGCACCTTCATCAGCTGATCGAAGTTGTAAGGTATGGTACTGCATTTCTTCATTCCCACACTTGGGACATTTTTCTTTAATGGTTGCACCTTCATCAAGTTCGTCCTTGCTCAAACTCGTTTTCACAACCGATCTGGCCAGTTTTAGCTTCGAAGGGAAGGCATCATCTGAGCTTTTTGTTATCACCTTTAAATTGGCAAATTTAGATTTGGGATACGTCGCCAGGCATATGGTACATTTTATATCCGACGTTGAGCTATGTGAGTCTAGCAAGTCTCCACAATATGTGCAAAATATCAAAGATCCCACTACTGACATGTTGTTCTAATCTGGATGTATGGTCTTCAGATGAGGTAGGTTTTGATGCCGATGATCTTTTTTTATTTTTTTTTTTCAATCAGGCAGAGAGAATTGAGATAATGAGGAATAGCTAATTATGATTCCAGAATTCGTTTGGAAAACTCAAGGAAGTTGGCTACCTAAGCTATGTACCAGAATAGGTCCAAGAGGGTGTAGTCAAGACAATTGTGATTCATCTTTTTGCAGTAGAGCCTGTTTTGCTTACACCATGTAAGGTTTACGTGGAACTCCTTTTCAATCTTTCATGTAAGAAGTAAGACATAGGCAGCCACTGACTTCTTCTGCACAAGAGCAACTTCCTGTAGTTACCCCATTAAAATTTACACACATTCTAATCACATACACCTTCCACTTTATACTTCTTGTCGCGTATGAATTCAAAGAAGGCGAAAGAATTTCTGAAATCAGAAAAAAAAAATGAGAACGAAAAATCCTTTTTGGCATCTTCATCTTAAACACACGAAAATGGCAGCACCACCTCAGGGAATGCCTGATTTGTCAAATGCAATTGTTGCCCAGGATGAAATGGGCAGACCATTTATTATAGTTAGAGATCAAGGAAAGAAACAGAGAAAGCATGGGATTGATGCCACGAAATCACATATTTTAGCTGCCAGGTCTGTTGCAAAGATTGTTAAAAGTTCTTTGGGACCACGAGGACTTGATAAAATTTTGATCAGTCAGGATGGTGATATCACCATTACTAATGATGGAGCAACTATTCTTTCGCAAATGGATTTGGACAACCAAATTGCTAAACTTTTGGTTGAGTTGTCAAGATCGCAAGATGACGAGATTGGTGACGGCACGACAGGTGTCGTTGTGTTGGCCAGTGCATTGTTGGACCAGGCATTGGAATTGATAGAGAAGGGTATACATCCAATCAAGATCGCCAATGGATTTGATGAAGCTTGTAAAATTGCCGTTCAACAGTTAAACAAGGTTGCGGACGAAGTCACGATTGATAATAAGTCAAATCTTTTGAAAGCTGCAAAGACCTCACTTGGTTCGAAAATTGTTTCAAAGGCACATGACCATTTTGCACACATGGCAGTTGACGCTGTCCTTGCGGTGGCCGATATAGACAGAAAAGATGTTGACTTTGAGCTCATTAAAGTAGAGAAGAAAGTTGGTGGGTCTGTTGAGGACTCCAAATTGATCAAAGGTGTTTTATTAGATAAGGACTTTAGTCATCCACAGATGCCAAAAGAGATAAGGGATTGCAAAATAGCCATTTTGACCTGCCCCTTTGAGCCCCCAAAGCCAAAGACTAAACATAAATTAGACATTTCAACTGTCGAGGAATTCAAAGTATTGCAAGAATATGAACAAAAGAAGTTTCAGGAGATGATTGACCTGGTGAAGGCATCGGGAGCAAATGTTGTTGCTTGTCAATGGGGTTTTGACGATGAAGCAAACCACTTGTTGTTGGCAAATGGGTTAAATGCAGTCAGATGGATTGGGGGATCGGAATTGGAGCTTTTAGCAATAGCCACTAATGGCCGTATAGTTCCTAGATTTGAAGATTTGAGTGCTGATAAGTTGGGAAAAGCAGGTGTAATCAAGGAATTAGAATTTGGTACAACCAAAGATCACATGTTGGTTATTGAAGAATGCTCCAACACAAAGGCGGTTACCTGCTTCATTAGGGGCTCCAACGAGATGATCATTTCTGAAGGTGTCAGAGCATTACATGACTCATTGTGTGTTGTTCGTAACTTGATCAGAGAGAACAGTGTTGTTTACGGTGGTGGCGCAGCAGAGATTACGTGTTCATTGGCGGTATCTGAGGCTGCTGACAAACAAAAGGGAATTGACCAATATGCATTCAGGGCATTTGCAGCTGCATTGGATACCATTCCCTTGACATTGGCTGAGAATTCAGGATTAGACCCAATCGAAACTTTGAGTTACCTTAAGGCAAAACAAGTCAACGAAGACAATTCACGTTTGGGGGTTGACTGTCTAGGTAATGGAACCAACGACATGAAGGAACTATTTGTGATTGATCCATTGATTGGGAAGAAACAACAATTGTTGTTGGCTACACAATTGACCCGAATGATCTTGAAAATTAACGATGTGATCATCAGTGGAACAGATGAGTACTAACCGTATGGAGAAGAGTGACTTTTTTTAAATAGAATCAACAAAGAAAACTGTTATTTCGTGTTGTAGGTGTATATCCCAAATACAAAGAGTAGTGCGAATGATGACAAAAGTAGAGGCAACTTAAACTGTCGGTTATAGATTCAACGAAAAAAAGAAAAGTTAACAAAAAATAAGAACGAGGCCCAGTTTGAGAACCTGTGTACAGCAGCATTCAATTTAATCAATTGACTTTCAATTGAGTCTCTCTTCAACGTTTCCACAGCTTAACATTTAGTATCTAGACATATACAAAAGGTTTACCAACAATGAGTTTAGGAACACCAGCCGTTGTGATGGACAATGGTACCGGGTTGACCAAGTTAGGGTTTGCCGGTAACGATTCCCCTTCCTTCATCTTTCCAACCGCCATAGCTACATCCTCCGCCTCTTCCAAAGCCAACAAAACGACAATCCGCTCGTCAAATTTAGCTTCGAAAAGAGGATTGGAAGATTTGGACTTTTATATTGGAGACGAGGCAACAGAAGCCGCAAGTGGACCACAGTATGGATTACATTATCCCATCAGGCACGGTCAGGTTGAAGACTGGGATCAGATGGAGAGATTTTGGGAGAGCTCTATCTTCAAATATTTAAGATGCGAACCCGAGGATCACTACTTCTTGTTGACAGAGCCGCCATTGAACCCTCCTGAAAATAGAGAAAGCACTGCCGAAATTATGTTTGAAAGTTTCAACTGTGCAGGATTGTACATTGCAGTGCAAGCAGTTCTAGCATTGGCAGCGTCGTGGACTTCACCGAAAGTACAGGACAGATCATTGAGTGGAACTGTTATTGACTCTGGTGATGGTGTTACACATGTGATCCCAGTTGCAGAGGGTTATGTAATAGGGGCTGCAATCAAGAATATTCCCTTGGCTGGTAGAGATATAACATTGTTTATCCAGCAATTGTTGAGGGACAGGGGTGAAGCAGACACCAGTTTGCAAACTGCAGAGAGAATCAAACAACAATTTTGTTACGTTTGTCCTGATATAGTTCAGGAGTTTACCAAATTTGACCAATATCCACAGGAGAAATTTGCTCAGTACATTGTTGAGTACACTGAAAAGAGCAAAAATAAAACGGTCGATGTTGGGTATGAAAGATTCTTAGCACCCGAGATCTTCTTTAACCCGGAGATTTGTTCATCCGATTTCCTTACGCCATTGCCAATTGTTGTTGATCAAGTTATACAGGCATCGCCAATTGACGTAAGGAAGAAGTTGTACAAAAATATTGTCTTATCAGGTGGATCAACAATGTTTAAAGATTTTGGTAAAAGATTACAAAGAGATTTGAAAGCTATTGTCAAGGAAAGAGTTGGATTGAGCGAAAAACTAAGTGGAGTACAAAGCAGCGGTGTTGACGTACAAGTCATTTCCCACAAAAAGCAAAGAAATGCTGTTTGGTTTGGAGGAAGTTTATTGGCCCAGACATCTGAATTTAAAAGTTTTTGCTACACCAAGAGCGATTACGATGAGTATGGGCCAAATATTGTAAGAAATTTCTCTTTGTTTTCTGTACCTTAGAGTAGCCATACAATGAGAATTATTAAAACGTTTTAAATACAATTGAAATTAGCTTTTACGTAAACAAAAGATGTAGTTTGAGAAAAAGTGACGATTGAAAATTTCTGACACATTGTGCGATACCTTTCTATCTTTCCAAAATCAAAAAAAAAAAAAGTAAGAAACAAAAACTACAGGCCATTTTCAGATATAGTTAAACCCCAACACACACTCTCTCACTCACACATACACCTTATGTCAACCGCATCAGGCGTACATCCACAGGTAGTGGATGGATTGGCTTTAACTGAGATATTCCAAGGACTAACGTCTAGCTCGGAAGAGGAAAGACAGAGGTATGCTCAGGAACTATTCAACTACTTATCATCGATAGCGAGAGATTTAACAACAGAACAATTTAATAGATACAACAATGACATCAACAAAACCATTTTTGACCTATTACACAGAGACAAGACATCTGAAGTTTTGGGCGGGATAGCCGCTCTCAATACATTGATTGAGTTTGACTCGGGAGTGGGAAAAGAAAATGCTAGCAAAACTGCTCGATTTTCAAACTACCTTGGGTCTTTGATCTTGTCTAACGACTTGGTTATTATGCGCCAAGCTACGAGGACGTTAGGAAGACTAGCCACCCTAGGTGGAAACTTGACGGGAGACTTTGTGGATTACGAGGCAAAAAGAGCCATTGAATGGCTACAGAGCGACAGCAAACAGCATGAAAACCGAAGACATGCCGCAATTTTGATCATCACTGCATTGGCGGACTATGCCCCCACATTGCTCTATTCGTTAACGAGCCAGATATTTGAAAATTTGTGGTCGCCCTTACGTGATCACAAGCTTATTATTAGGTTGGATGCAGCAGTAGCGTTACAGAAATGCATGCTGATTCTTTATAACAGAGATCCCACCGCCCGTCTGTTTTGGATCAGGAAATTGATTGATCACGCATCGGAAATTCTTAATCAAAATAATGGTGTCTATGAGGGAGGAGGAGACAACCAGAGCTCGTACAACATAATCCCTTCCACTTCGCAATCCACGGAGAATATACATGGATCATTACTCGTGTACAGAGAGTTGCTACAATACTACACCGATCCATTTATCATTTCGCGATTTGAAATTATGTATGAAAATACTATCCTATACAAGCACCATAAGCTGCCTATAATAAGACAGGAATTGGCGAACGTCATCCCATTGTTGTGCAAAGTAAACCCCGAACTTTTTGTTGAAAAATATCTTCATCGCACTTTCTACTACTATTTATCACAATTGAAAAAGCACAAGAACCAGCATGGCGAGGTTGCCAATTCTGACAAAAGTGCCATTTTCCGCAGCATAGGTTTAATAGCTTTGCAAGTTGGAAATCAAACGGCTACATACTTAGATGCTATTTTAGACAATATTAGAGAGGGATTGGCTTATACTTCAAGTTCCGGTGTACAGCTGATTTTGGCTAATGCAACAGCACAAAATGAAAATATCAATGTTATCTCGGCAAACATTGCCTCTTTATCGTCCGGATCGAAATACACAGCAAGCAGAAAAGAAACCGAACCAGCAATATTTGATTGTATAGGAAAGTTATCTATAGCTGTGGGCCCCGCCTTAACAAAGCATTTGCAGAGGGACATTTTGGATATGATGTTTGCTAATTGTTCCCTATCCAAGCACATGCAGGATGTATTGCTGACATTGATAACCAACATACCTACCTTGACCAACTTGATCAATGAAAAACTATTGAATCTATTGAGCTTAGTCCTATCTGGTAAAGGATTTCAGCCTCCAGGTTCCCCTTATGGTACTATAAAGGTGAAGCAGACTTTGGCAAGAAACTGTCGTCTCATAATGATATCAAGGGATACTGGTATGAGTATTAATACAGTCAAGGCCGATACAAAGCGTTATGAAAAGTTGGATAATGCCATCATTGTCCAAGCTTTGGAAATGTTAACTGCATTTGAATTTGAAAATTACCAGTTGAATGAGTTTGTGCGATTCTGTACCATCACTTACCTTGAAAGCGAGAGTCCTAGGGTAAGGCTTACTGCCACACGTGCGTCATGTGAAATTTTTGTAAAGGATCCCATTTGTCAGCAAGTAAGTATTAATGCATTGAATGCAGTAAATGAAGTCTTGGGCAAATTATTAGCAATATCTATTACAGACCCCGTACTTGAGATTAGAATTGCTGGCCTTGATGCTTTAGCAAATGCGGGCAACTTTGATCCTCAACTATCTCAAGCTGATAACGTCAGATTACTTTTCATTGCTTTAAATGATGAGATATTTGAAGTAAGGAGAATTGCAATGAAGATTTTAGGGAAATTATCTTCGATCAATCCTGCTTACATTGCCCCATTTTTAAGGAAAACATTAATTCAACTTTTGTCAAAACTTGAGTATTCAACAACAAGCAGAAAGAAAGAAGAAACGGCAATGTTGTTATCTACACTTATCAGTAGCTCAAAAGAGTTGACTAGGCCCTATGTCAAACCCATTGTTGAAGCATTATTACCAAGAGCCAAAGACCCAAGCTCATCGGTTGCCTCAAGTGCAATCAAATGCCTTGGCGATCTTTCGGTTGTCGGTGGAGAGGATTTGAAACCATTTATACCTAATTTGATGCCTTTAATCCTTGAAACTTTCCAAGACCAAAGCTCCTCGTACAAAAGGGACGTTGCATTGAAAACTTTGGGGCAGTTGTCCTCTTCATCCGGTTACGTTATTCAGCCGTTACTCGATTACCCACAACTTCTTGGAATGCTAGTCGCCATTTTAAAGTCTGACAATTCGATACAAATTCGCAGGGAGACGGTTCGACTCTTGGGTATATTGGGTGCCTTAGATCCATACAAGCATAGAGAAGTAGAGCAGAGCTCAAAGAGCATACCAGCTGAACAAAACGCACCACCAGTTGACGTTGCCTTACTTATGCAAGGGATGTCCCCTTCAAATGAAGAATACTACCCCACCGTAGCAATCACGAATTTGATGAAAATTTTAAAAGATCCTTCTTTAAGCATACATCACACAAAGGTGATACAGTCGATTATGTACATATTCCAGACGTTAGGCCTTAGATGTGTATCCTTTTTGCCGCAGATTATTCCTGGAATTATCAATGGTATGCATACATGTCAACAGTCTATGCTCAAGTTTTATTTCCAGCAATTAGGTGATATTATTTTAATTGTCAAGCAACACATCAGGCCATTTTTGGATGATATTTTCAAAGCCATAAAGGAATTCTTTTATATCAACACACAATTGAACTTGCAGGTTACCATCATCAATGTAATTCAGTCTGTATCAAGGGCCTTGGATGGGGAGTTCAAAATGTACTTGTCGGATGTTCTTACTTTGTTACTTGGTGTGTTTGAAGATGACAAGTCGGCAAAAAGGGTGTCCTCATTACACGTGTTGAAAAGCTTTGTCATCTTTGGACAAAATATAGAGGAATACGTTGATATCATTGTTCCCACAATCGTTAAAATATTTGAGGTTGGCCCTTTGGAGTTACGTAGGGCGGCAATAGATACCATTGGAAAGTTGTCGAGGAATGTAATGTTGAATGACATGTCATCGAGAATAATTCACCCCATTTTGAGGTTGTTGAACCTGGGGCCGGAGGAGTTGAAAGAGTCCTGCATAAATACACTAAATCACATGCTTCTTCAATTGGGAACAGAATTCACAGTATTTGTCCCCATAATACAGAAGACATTGATGCAAAATAAAATTCAAGCACCCAAATTCGAACAGCTTGTCAGTAAGCTTTTGAATGGAGATCCGTTGCCGCTCCACTTGGATGTGTATAAAGATTATGACCGTGGGCCATATGGTGCAGAGGATTCGGAAATGCCCCTGAAAAAGCTCCCTGTTAATCAAGCAGTTTTGAGAGCTGCTTGGGATGCTAGCCAGAGAAGAACAAAAGAAGACTGGCAAGAATGGATTGGACGCTTGAGTAAGGAATTGCTTTTGCAGAGTCCCTCCCATGCAATTAGAGCTTGTGCAGGTCTAGCCGCTGACTATTATCCATTGGCCAAAGACTTATTCAATGCAAGTTTTGCCAGTTGCTGGAGTGAGCTCTACTCACAGCACAAGGAAGAGTTGGTACAATCATTCTGCATTGCTCTATCGTCTCCTACAAATCCACCAGAAATTCATCAAATATTGCTAAATTTGGCCGAGTTTATGGAACATGATGATAAGTCTCTCCCCATCGCTATTTCCACTTTGGGTCAATATGCTCAACGCAGTCATGCCTTTGCAAAGGCTTTACATTACAAGGAATTGGAATTTTATGAAGAGCCGACAACACCAACTATTGAATCGTTGATAAGTATCAACAATCAGCTTCAGCAATCGGATGCAGCCATTGGTATTTTAAAGCATGCTCAGTTGCATCACGATCTCCAGCTTAAAGAGACATGGTACGAAAAGCTTCACCGTTGGGATGATGCGTTGAAAGCATACAATGAAAGGGAAAAGACTGAACCAGATAATATGGAAATTACCATGGGTAAAATGAGATGTTTCCATGCCTTGGGAGAATGGGAGCAATTATCGGAACTTGCGCGTGCAAAGTGGGACAACTCATCAAGTGAAATTAAACGAAATGTTGCACCGTTGGCGGCAGCTGCCGCATGGGGGTTGGGCCAATGGGATAGAATGGATTCCTGCATTAAAGTAATGAAAGCTGCGTCACCAGACAAAGCCTTCTTTAATGCAATCTTGAGCTTGCATAGGAATAATTTCGAGGACGCTTCAGAACATATTCTGAAAGCCCGTGATCTTTTGGTCACAGAAATTACTGCTCTTGTGAGTGAAAGTTATAGCAGCGCCTACGGTGTTGTTGTCAGGGTTCAGATGTTGGCCGAGTTGGAAGAAATTATCAAATACAAATGTTTGCCACAGGGTTCAGAAAAGAGGACAGTCATGCGTAAAACTTGGAACACTAGATTACTTGGGTGCCAAAGAAATGTTGATATTTGGCAACGTATGCTAAAGGTTAGAGCTTTAGTTATTAAGCCAAAGCAAGATATGGATATGTGGATCAAATTTGCCAATCTTTGCAGAAAGTCCGGTAGATTAAACTTGGCAGAAAAATCATTAAACTTGCTACTCGAAGAAGGCACTCCTGACAATCCTTCCCGTGCTCCACCACAAGTGGTATATGCTCAGTTGAAATATATGTGGGCAAAGGGACAAAGACCTGAAGCTTTGCGTCACTTGGTTGATTTCACCACCAGAATGTCACAGGATCTTGGTCTTAATCCAAACGATTTGATAACTCAACCATTGCCTACAGAGGGTCCTGGGGTTCCCAAGCACGTTGAAGAGTACACCAGACTATTAGCTAGATGCTTTTTAAAACAAGGCGAATGGCAAATAGCTCTTAACAATAATTGGCGATCAGAGACATCTGAAATTATTTTAGGTGCATATTTGTTAGCAACGCATTTTGATAGCAAATGGTACAAAGCATGGCACAATTGGGCCCTTGCAAACTTTGAGGTTATCTCATTGTACACCAGTCAGAAGGAGACGAACAATAAAATTGAGACCTTGGAGGAACTGGAAAATGTTGATGGAAGTGGTGGTGACGAGGGTGCGCTACAAAGAAGAACATCAAAGAGTCTTCAACCTCAACAACACGGTCTGGCCACCAATCTTGATATCCCGATGGAAGCAGTTCAAAGACACGTTATACCATCGATTAAGGGTTTTTTCCATTCAATTGCGTTGTCCAATTCAAATTCCCTTCAGGATATGCTTCGTTTGCTTACTTTATGGTTCAAGTTTGGTGGAATACCCGAGGCTGCTCAAGCTATGACTGAGGGATTCAACATGGTCAAAATTGACAATTGGCTAGAAGTAGTGCCGCAACTTATTTCACGGATCCACCAACCTAACGAAGTAGTAAGTAGGTCTTTGTTTGGATTATTGACTGATTTGGGTAAAGCTCACCCACAAGCATTGGTATACCCTTTGACTGTGGCAATAACTTCAGAGTCTGCCAGTAGGAAAAAAGCAGCTCAATCAATAATCGAAAAAATGAGGTTTCATTCTGCTAGTTTGGTCGATCAGGCTGAAATTGTGAGTAAAGAGTTGATCAGGGTCGCGGTTTTATGGCATGAGCAATGGTACGAAGGTTTGGAGGACGCTTCAAGACTATTCTTTGGCGAGCGTAACACATCGAAAATGTATGAGGTGCTAGAGCCATTGCACCATATGTTGCAAAAAGGGCCGGAGACAATGAGAGAGCAAGCTTTTGCCAATGCTTTCGGTAGGGAGTTAGCTGATGCCTTTGAATGGGTTTTGAATTTCAGAAGGACAAAGGATATGACAAATTTAAACCAAGCTTGGGACATATACTACAATGTGTTTAGAAGAATCACTAGACAATTGCCTCAATTGGTGACACTTGAGTTGCAGTTTGTTTCGCCATTGTTGGATAAAGCCAGAGATTTAGAGTTGGTAGTCCCAGGAACGTATGAAGCCGGGAAACCAGTCATACGAATTATGAAGTTTGAGCCCACAATCTCGGTGATTTCATCCAAGCAGAGACCTAGAAAGCTTTCATGTAGAGGAAGCAATGGGAAAGATTATCAATACCTTTTGAAAGGTCACGAAGACATTAGACAAGATAATCTTGTCATGCAGTTGTTTGGTTTGGTCAATACTTTGCTAGTAAATGATCCTGAGTGTTTCAAGAGACATTTGGACATCCAACGTTATCCAGCAATCCCCCTATCACCCAAAGTTGGTCTTCTTGGTTGGGTACCCAATAGTGATACATTCCACATGCTTATCAAAGGTTATAGAGAATCGCGAAATATTATGTTGAATATTGAGCATCGTTTATTGTTACAGATGGCTCCTGATTACGACATTTTGACATTGTTGCAGAAGGTGGAGGTGTTTGCAAGTGCGTTGGACAACACGCGGGGACAAGATTTGTACAAGGTTTTGTGGTTGAAATCAAAATCCTCGGAGGCTTGGTTGGACCGAAGAACCACTTACACAAGATCATTGGCGGTTATGTCGATGGTGGGTTACATCTTGGGTCTTGGTGACAGGCATCCGTCTAATTTGATGCTTGACAGAATTACGGGAAAAGTTATCCACATTGATTTTGGTGATTGTTTCGAAGCAGCAATTTTGCGTGAAAAATACCCCGAAAAAGTGCCATTTAGATTAACTCGTATGTTGAATTATGCAATGGAAGTTAGTGGAATAGAAGGATCATTTAGAATCACCTGTGAACATGTCATGAGAGTCTTGCGGGACAACAAAGAATCCTTGATGGCGATTTTAGAAGCATTTGCGTATGACCCATTGATTAACTGGGGATTTGATTTTCCTACAAAAGTGTTGGCCGAAACTACTGGAATCAAGGTCCCCCAGATTAATATAGGAGAGTTGTTGAGAACGGGTCAGATTGATGAACTGGAGGCGTTAAGACTACAAAAACAGAACGAGTTAGAAATCAGAAATGCAAGGGCTGGGTTGGTATTGAAGAGGATTACCGACAAGCTTACCGGTAACGACATCAAGAGACTTAAGGGATTAGACGTACCCACACAGGTGGATAAGTTGATTCAACAGGCTACGAGTGTAGAAAACTTGTGTCAACACTACATTGGTTGGTGTTCATTCTGGTGACGAAAATAAATATATATAATTTCCATAGTAAAATTTAAGCAACCTTTTTTGAGACGTTTGTAAAGCCACTACCTTTTAATGACAAGATCATAAAATCGGGGTCCTCCTCATCTTGAGCTAAGAACGCCTCAGACCCAAAGATCTCCTTTATATCCCGTAGAGCGTAAATCAAGTGATCGTCAACTTCGGATTTGTGAATATTTATACGACCAATATCCTCTTTACCAATGACCATGAAAATGAGACTTATGATTAGTTGATATCTACCAATTGCTCCACTTTGAGTAATTTCTGTCATTAATTGCAAAGCAGTCAATTCACCCAAATCCTCTGGTAGAGACTTTGCCTGACCAACGTTCTCTACAACAAGTCGCCATCCCTTCTTTGACTCTGCGACAAGCGTGATTCCGAATCCTGGTGATTTACCGGAATTTTCACCTCTCCACACATCAGCCGTGATGTTGACTTCACAACCAGTTGGCTTTAGTACATCCCTAGCTGCATCTATCATTCTATTCGCAATGGAAGGGCTCACTCGAGTGCAGTAGGCCACACCTCGAATTACAGAAAACTTCGGTATATCAATTGCATGTATAGTTAATGGCGTCGGTATCAATGAATTACAAAGGAGATGTACTTCACCGCCACCTTCGGGAAGCGAGCCTCTTTTCAATACATGCAATAAGCAATCACGAACACCAAATTTTTCCATAATAGGTAACAACCCCCATTTGATAGCATCAACTCCAGTTTCATCACCTGCGTTGGTTATCCCTTTGAAAACGATGCTGAACTTCTTTTTGGAAAAGGGTGCCAACATTAACATTGGCTGGATAAAGTAACCAACTGGTTTGGAATGGGGACAATTGTGTGTCACTTCTCCACCAATAATTATTCCAGGTCTGTAGATAATCGTCGTACCTGTATATGAAATTTCTATATGAGAACCATTTGTTACAGACTCAAGAAGTCTTAAGAAGGATACTTCGTGATCTTTCAAACCGGGATTCAAATCATTGGAACGGATTTTGATAATCTTCACCAGCTTTCCACTTAATGTGGCCAATATTAATCTCAAACGAAAGTTTCTATGTCCCTCGAGGACTATGGAGTTGGAACTGATACTCATTGTGTAGACTCGGCCAAAAAACGCTGTGTCTGAAGTACAGAAAGCGTACTTTTGAATGTTAAAAATTGTTTATTGATGATCATCGGAAGATGGTAGGTAGCTACCATATGGATTTTTATGACAATCTTGCACGACCCTCTATTACTGGTTCTCGAAAATATTGAAACCAGAGAAAACAAAGACGTTAGTACATATATATACAACACTATATCTCAAAAATGCTGGGGTCTCAAGACATTGATTCATTAAAGCGCTCACATCCAGACCCTATAGAAGTAAGCAATGCAACAAAAAAACCCAGAGCAAGCGATCCTGCATCAATCGAATTGCCACTTCGACCAGACTTGCTGAGTTCAACGAACTTATTGCAGACTGAAAGCAATCACCAAAAGGACGCCACCAATGTTTCAAATGAGATAGTAACTCAGAAGCCAAATGAGACAACCACAACTGCAGCAGATAATGTCGTAAATTCTTCGAAAACCTCTGGGTTCAATCATGAGAAAGGTAAGCATGATCAACAAGATGCGTCAAAACTTAATGATGCTATTGCGGCAGCAGGTGTGGATATACAGAAAGAAGAAGAGTTGTTGCTACAGCAGCAATTGGCACGTAAGCAAGAAGCTATGAATGAAAGGAATGATGTGGCGCAAAACACAAAAGTCTCCACTTTCTTGAACCCTTATCATCTAGCTGCATTTATTGGAAAGATGGCCAAGACACATCAAATAAGCCAGAACTTCCTTGAAGATGGAGGCATGCTTAATCTCATATCAGGTGCATGTGAATCGTGGATAGCCAATATAGCCAGCAAAGCGATAACTATATCTCGCCATAGAAGAAGAGGAGGAATTTTGACCAATTCCAAAAAGAATAGCGCCCTGTCTTCATCTCAAAGATCGGCAGTTAGTAGAGAGTTGCGTAATATGGCCATTAGGCAGAAGGAGCTAGAGGAGAAGCGAGTCAATAAAAGAATAGCGTTGGGCATAGAGAAGAGCGCCAGTGATCCAAATGGCGATGAAAACGGTGACGGCAAAGCGGGAGCAGATGAAACTTTGCACCGAGCTGCCAATGCCACGGCCGCAATGATGACCGTGGGGAAAAAGAAATACAGCTGGATGAATTCTAGTGCAAACGGAGGTGGAGCTGGCTCCGAAGCAGGTAGCAAAGGCGGCGCAAGTGGTAGCAGAGAAAAGCAGAGTCCAATCATTGCTGCTAGAGGTGACAGTGGGTTGAGGTACAGGGAAGTTAGAGGAGCGAACTCCATTGTGTTAAGGGACTTGCTAGGTGCAATTGAGAATGAGAGGAGAGGAACACAAGAAGCCACCATCAAAGGATATGCTAAGTTGCGTGATTGAGTATCCTAAAATACTGCGTTCACTTACCCAAGGGCAATTCAATCTTTGGGCTTGGGTGTTTCTGACGAAAAGCTAGGGAACAGCAGTATGTACAAAACCGTGCGATGATGAAATAGGGTAATTTTCGGTATATAATAAATAAGGTGGCGACTTGCTATCAACAGGTCGGTTTAAATTATGTCCATAGCTAGTTGTCATGTATTTTAAATTTATTGTAGATGTTACCATGAAAATACCTACTTCGGACCGGTGATATCTCCCTCTTTTATGCTTTTGGTTTCTTCGAAATCCACTCGTGAAAGAGCCCCACTCGATGATCATATTCAAAAAGTTGTCCCGTGGTTCTGATTTGATTTTGTGTCACTAAAAAATCTTTTGTTTACACTTTCAAAAGTGACTTTAATTTGATCTTTTGAAGTTTCTCTTGTAGCTTACACACAAACTACCAAATCATGGACTTTAATCTTTCCTCCTACGTCAATAACTTCGATATTGATAAAGGCTACGAGGTTGAATTTTCTAATGTCGATGCAAAGTTAGAATCGTTGGTTGAGTCGCTTGCTCACAACCCTGAATCTGTATCTAATCCAGACTTGTTTGATGATTTCGTTGAACTTACGCATGGCTTTAGTACGTTGCGCCTGAAGCAGCAACAGCAACTATCCTATCTAATTGTTTCCTCATTCAACACCATCTGCCAGCAGTTTGATCGAACGATACAAGAAGAAGACTTTCATGAGTCGTTGGATCAAGTAAAGTCCACCATGGAGAGATATGGGTATTTAGTATTTGTATTGTTAAAGCAACTCGCAAAGGAGGATTTTCTGCAGTTGAGTGCAACCAGATCTCAAAAGTCTTTGCCCAAGGACTTCCTTGCCAAGTGGAGTTCAAATTGCACTGAGGTTGAGAACAGTTTGGTCGTTGTAAAAGCCGTCTTGAATCTCGTTTTGGAAAGGATATTTGTAACTACACCGGAGCGTGACGCGTATGTTGAGCTTTTTACGCGTCCGATAATGAATCTCATGGAAAGTCCAGAAAGAATGAAAGTGGTTGGCTTGAGGATAGTAATTTTCGAAGATTTGTGTATTGCGGTCACAAAGCATGGCCATGGTCCATGCCTTAGACACTCTATAACACAAAGTCTAACCTATTATGCTCACTTGCCGCAATATATGGCTATGTTACTAAACATGTTGACTGACAAGTACGACCACACCTTACTATCAGAAGAGGTTTTGAGAGAAATTGCTCAAACAAACTTCAACTCGAATGACACGAATGGACCAAAAGCGATTGCAGAATTCTTAGTTAAACTATCAGAGTTGAACCCGGTTCTGATTCTACGTCAGATGACAAGCATCTCGCAATTGTTGGCCAATACCAACCAAACCTTGAGGTGCTCAGTTGTGGAGACTTGTGGTAATATTGTTGTTAGCATACTTAAATCTTTTGACAGTCCCATGGAGGAGCAAGATGAAATGAGTGATCATAATGAACAACAGGTAGATAGGCTACTCAATTTGTTAGAAGAAAGGTTCTTGGATCAGAATCCTTTTGTGAGAACAAAAGCTTTTCAAGCTTTGACAAAGGTTGCAGAGTTGAAGGTCAAGCTTACTGCTCGAAGACAAAAGATCATGCAACTTGCCGTTAGGTCTCTAGATGATAGGAGTACTCTAGTCAGACGAAATGTGATCAAGTTGATTGGAAAACTTATAATAAATCACCAATTCCAAGGTGTACATGGTACCCAATTGAATCTTAAATTTTGGATAGAAAAGCTAGATGAAGCGGAAAAAGAATTATTTCAATATCTTCCCACTGTGGCAGAAGAGCTATCGGTTGGGAGTGATGGTATTTCTTCTTCGGAACATGAAAAAGATGCCGATTCCATTTCAGAGGATGGCAAAGATGTTGACATTTGTGCCACGAAATCAAACGAGACCAACTCTACCACAGCAAATGCTACTTCAAAGGGGCTTGATAACAAAGAAGAAACAAATGCTGGAGAAAACCATGTGAGCGAACTTGGGGATGAATACCCAATTGAGCAGAATCTACCGGACAAGACGATTCTAGCGAGAATCAAGCTCAAGTTTGATTTCTACAAAGACGCGGTAGACTTCATTGAAATGGTGCACAGCAGTGTTGACATTGTCTCGCGATTGTTGTTTTCAAGAAACAGGAATGAAGCTATAGATGCGATGGACTTTTTAGTTCTTGTTGATGCTTACGGAATTGAAAATGTCCAAAACGGGATCAGGAAGATGCTCCATTTGGTTTGGATGAAAGGTTCATCAGATGAAGGGAAGTCAGTCGCATCACACCTCATTGACTGTTATAAATCTTTGTTTATGTCAGCTCCTGCAGGCTCCAATGCAGAGAAAGCAACGTATATAGCAGGTAACCTCATACAGCTAACCATAGGTGCAAGTCTTGCTGATTTGGCTTCCTTGGAGAAGTTGCTTTGTATGATGTACGAGGCAAATTACATTAATAGCGACGTTGTTAAAGTATTGTGGCATGTATACAATACACACATCGAAGAAGGCCGGGTGGTGAGGGAAAAAAGACGTGGTGCAATCAAGATCCTAGGCATGTTGGCACTTGAAGATTATAAAATCTCTCAGCAGGGTTTCAATTCAATATTAAGTGTTGGATTGGGAGAAAAGGGCCACTCGGACTTGGTATTATGCCGCTATACATGCATAGCTTTGCAAAGAGTATTGTCGGCTGCTGAAAGAAAGTCACTCACGCCCAAATTAGTCGATGAAGATCTTTGCATGGAGAAGCTCACGAATGTTCTTTTGATGGAATGTGTCGAAGGCGTGTGGTTTCCAGCTGCCGAGCAGGCAATAAACACAATCTTTAGCATTTCGTCAGACCCCGTTTCGGTTTGTTCGAAAGCGATTCAGAAAAAGTCGGATAAAGTGTTCAATTCAGGTACCGGGGAAAAACTGAATTGTCACTCACTTTCACAACTTCTTTTCATTGTTGGGCATGTGGCTGTTAAAACCATTGTTTTCTTGGAAAACCTTGAAGCTCAATTTAAAAAGAAAAAACATGCAGCAGAATCAAAGAGCAGAAATGATGAAGGCGCAAATGGTGTTACCGAAGAAAACGAATTAGAGATGATTGGTGGTACTTCAGAGGATGATTTTGCCGATGCAGTGGTCCATGTGAAAGAAAGGGAGCTATTATATGCTGATAACTCGTTGTTGAAAGGTTTCGGGTTACTCGTACGAAGGATTTGCTCATCTCCTAAGCAATACAAAAACACCTTGTTGCAGCGCCAGGCAGTGTTGTGTTTAGCTAAACTCATGTGCGTTTCATCCATTTATTGTGAAGAGAACTTGCCGTTATTGTTAAAAGTCATGGAAAGTTCCAAGGATCCAGTTGTAAGGTGTAACTGTGTATTAGGTTTGGGTGATCTTGCAGTGAGTTTCAACCGATTGATTGATGAGAATACCGATTTCATATATCGTCGATTGACTGATGAAAATATAATGGTCCAACGGACATGTTTGATGACGGTCACGTTTTTAATCTTGGCTGGACAAGTAAAGGTCAAAGGACAGTTATCATCCATGGCCAAATGTTTGGAAAACCCGGACCAAGGTATTAGCGACATGTGTCGTTTATTTTTTGCTGAATTGGCAACCAAGGACAATGCTATTTACAATGGATTTATAGATATATTCAGTGGACTATCGTTTGACCAAACGTTGAGCAACGCCGAGTTCAAGCGTATTTTAAAATTCTTGATAGGCTTTGTCGACAAGGAGCGTCATCAAAAGCAGTTATGTGAGAAATTGCTAGTCAGATTGTCTAAGGCAAGAAACCAAAAGGAGTGGAACGATGTTGCATTTGCGTTGGAAACTTTTCCATATACAAGTGAGGCGATTTCTGTGGCTATCAAGGAAGGATACCAAGTCGTCCAAGCTAAATAGTAAATAGAAAAAATAGAGCTAGTGTAGTTATGTCCTAAAGACCCACGTGAAGCGAACATGATTCCAGACTAACTTTGTTCTTATTAGAACTGGTCCCCTCCAAAACATCTGCCGCGCAGTAAATACCGACGGAGATCCAAAGGAAAAGGAAAACAAGAACGGATAAAAAAAGAAAAAAAATAGGAGAGAGAACATGGAATTGTGACATTTTTGCTCAATTGACTTCATTGACGGGGGATCCTCAACATAACTGATCCCGAGCTAGCGCAATGGTGGCCCTTATCCAAAACCAAATTAATGCGCTTCTGAATACAATTGGTTTGGATCCTGCAAGCTTAAAGGTGCTCTTGTGCACCTTGCTTTCCTTCCCTTTTGGTATCATTTTCAAACGAATTCCGGATCAAAACTACTTTTTCAAAAATGTCTACAACGTTTTGGTGTCATCGTTCTACATATTTGGAATTTGTGACTTGACATGGGGAGTGGGGACACTACTATTGTCGTCTCTTGGCTCGTACTTCATAACTAGGTACTTGAGAACACCCAAGATGCCTTGGTTCAATTTCTTATTTTTGATGATACACATGGCTTATACCCACTTCCATCTTCAATTTTTTGCTGAGTATGATCCTGCAATCATTGACATATCTGGTGCTCAAATGATTCTAGTTTTAAAGTTGTCAGCATTTGGGTGGAGTGTGCATGATGGAAAGCAACCGATCGACTCATTGAGCAGTTACAATAGATCAAGAGCTATCCATGAGCATCCCAATTTGTTGCCCTTTATAGGCTACACTTTCTTTTATGCATCGCTATTAACTGGACCTGCCTTTGATTATGCGGATTACGATAACTTTATTCACTCCACTTTGTTTGATGATGTCCCAGAAGATAAGAGGCCTGGTAAGAAAAGAAAAAGAAGGATTCCCAAAAGTGGAAAACAGGCGTTCAAAAAGTTATTGCAAGGGGTATTTTGGGCAATTCTTTTGTTTCAAGTTCCAAAATTGGTCAATACTGAGTTCGTTTTCTCTAAGGAGTTTGTCACTAACCACAAATTTCTCTACAGAATATTTTACATGTGGCTCTTGGGATTTTTATACAGACTTAAGTACTATACGATTTGGTTGATTGCTGAAGGGGCGTGTATCTTGTGCGGCATTGGGTATAATGGATACGATGCGGAAACACATGAATTTAAATGGAACCGAGTGCAAAATGTTGATCCCGTTGCTTTTGAGTTGGGTCAAAACGTGCACACATGTTTAGAGGCGTGGAACCAAAACACCAACAAGTGGTTAAAGCATTATATATACTTAAGGGTTGCCAAAAAGGGGAAAAAGCCAGGGTTTAAAAGCACTGTTTTTACCTTTGCTACAAGTGCCTTTTGGCACGGCACTAGACCGGGCTATTACTTGACATTCGTGGTTGGTGCTTTCTTACAAACAGTTGGTAAATTATACAGAAGGAATATCAGACCACGTTTTTTGCAAGACGATGGCGTTACCCCTAAACCAACAAAAAGGATTTACGACTTTGTATCGTGGGTTTCAACACAACTTGCGTTTGGATTTGTGGTTCAGCCGTTTGTCATTCTCGACTTTAAAAAGTCCTTGTTATGTTGGCAAACAGTGCATTATTGGTTGTTGGTCGTCATAGCCGGGACGTTCTTCATCTACCGGGGCCCTTTTGCAAAGTATTTCACTATAAAAAGACTGGAGACTAAATTAAAGAGTACCGCGCAAGTCAAACCACTGACTTTAAACCCTAATTTGACAAAAGAAGAGAACAATCTAGTGACCAATGCTGTGGAAAATAAGTTAGAGAAGAGTTACCATATGCCAACCTTGGGTGTTCCATCACTCGATCATCTTCAGAACCTAGACAAGGATGAAATTGATGAGGAGTTGCAAGATTTGAAACACGCATGGAACTCGTTCAAAAGTCGAAACTTTCTTGCAGACGATGATTTCGATGGGTTGAAAGATGCGTACTCCAACTTTACCAAAGAAATCAACGAGATGTTTGATCACACGAGGGAAGAGTTTTCCAAACAGAAGGACAAGATGGAGAAAACGAATTGAATGCGTATAGAACTTGCCACTTATTCTATTTTTTTTTTTGCCTTTTCTTACAATCAAACAATTTGTGTGTATTTTGGTAGACTAATTACAAATATATTCACCGGACTTTAAGCTTCTTCTAGAGTGTTACATGTGCAGCAATGGCTGACGTATCGAACTGGGATTTGTTTACGAATCCAGACCCTCGTTGCTTTTTGACTAATGCATAATTGCTTTTGTGTAAATATTTTAAAAGTAGCAACTCGCAATGAAATTTTCAAATCACCCACCCTTCAAAATCTGAACTTTGACTTATCTCATTCTAACAGTCGTCAACATCAACCCTTGCTCAAAGAAATATACCACACCATGCTATCAAGACTTACTCGGTCACTGAACGTGAGGTCCCCTGTTCGATGGTATCTCAGATTCAACTCAACTACCACCCTATCCGCAACCAAATCCCCTACTGGTGTAGTATTCATGAACATGGGTGGCCCGTCTAAAACAGAAGAAACTCATGACTTTTTGCTTAGACTATTCCAAGATGGCGATTTAATACCGTTTGGGATTTTCCAAAAACCTTTGGCTCAATTCATAGCAAAGAGGCGTACACCAAAAATAGAAAAACATTATGAAGAAATTGGTGGAGGATCTCCAATCCGTAAGTGGTCAGAATATCAGTGTACAAAAGTATGTGAGATTTTGGATAAAACAAACCCCGATACGGCACCTCACAAGCCGTATGTCGCATTCAGATACGCAAGACCCTTAACAGAAGAAACTTTGGAGGAAATGAAAAAGGATGGCGTTAAGCGTGCAGTCGCCTTCTCACAGTACCCACAATTTTCCTATTCAACAACAGGGTCATCGATTAATGAACTTTATAGGCAGACGCTAAAAATTGATCCGGAACGCAGTATTGATTGGTCAATTATAGATAGGTGGCCCCAACAACCAGGCTTGGTGCAGGCCTTTGCAAACAACATCAAAGAAAAGTTGGCTGAGTTTCCTTCAGAGGTAAGAGACGAAATTGTCATTCTTTTTTCAGCCCACTCGTTGCCTATGGAAATTGTCAACTTGGGTGACTCATACCCAGCTGAAGTGGCAGCTACTGTGTATAAGGTAATGGAGAAGTTGAACTTTTCTAACCCGTATCGTTTGGTTTGGCAGTCGCAAGTGGGTCCGAAGCCATGGTTAGGTGGACAAACTGCCAAGATTATTGACAGGTTGGAGAAAAGAAACGATATAAAAGGTATTGTGTTGGTACCCATTGCCTTCACCTCGGATCACATCGAAACTCTCCATGAGTTAGACATAGAGATTATGGAAGATGCTGAAAATCCTGAAAAAATCAAAAGAGCGGAATCTATGAATGGAAATGAGATCTTTATTGAAGGCTTGGCTGATCTTGTGAAGGAACACTTACAGAGCGGAAAAAAGTACTCCAAACAGTTAGAGTTGGATTGCATTTTGGGTGGCGAAAAGGCATCAGGCACTTTTAAACACCCAAGTGAGTTATTTAGACTGTAAATAGATTCATATGTCTGGTTTAATCAGAATATTCGTCATCAGGATCAAATAAGTCCAAGTTGAGATCGGCTTGTGATACATTTTCCTCTTTTTGAGAGGAGCTGTAGGCTTTATCTGAAGTGTGGGAATCCCTCCTAGCCAAGTGATCTTTACTAGGCTCGTTGGATTCAACCCCTTCGTTCACGTCCTCTGGTTCCTCCTCCTTAGTGGTTTCCCCATCCAGTAACTCTGATTTAATTATCTCATTTGCATGTAATGAACTCATTGCAAGCATTCCGCGTCTCAACGAATCCTCGGCGGGCCATATGTAGTTATTAGGATGTATTTGAAAAGGCAAGTTTCCTACAGCGGCAGGAGCTTTGGTAAACTTGGCTAGCTTCATGGAATAATTCAATATACTTTCCACATCTGCTGTGGATTCCGCATCTACCAGGACAGAATCGAATTCATTTTTGGTCTTGGGTAGTTTCTTTAGCTCACTTCGGACCTGTACCAATTCCCGCAAATATTCCTTCAATTTAATCTCAAGACCTTTATTGTGTTTTGAGAGGTTGTTAACCTCTCGGCCACGTTCTTTGTGCTTACTTAGTTCGTGGATTTCCTTTTCAAGGCTCGTGTTCGTTTCGACTATTCTCTCTACGTTCGTATAAAATTCGTCCTCTTTATAATGTGAAATCCCATTGCTCAACGTATCTAAAGCGGCTCGAAAATCACCAATCTTTGAAACAATCGGTAGCATATTGAATGCAGCAAGCTCTTCACTCGACCGCGTTTTATCATCTGTATTATCTTGACTAGTCGAAGCATATTTTGAAGGGTTCAACGAAGAGGAAACGTATACTGTGGGTGTAGACGGCCTCGAGTTATTGTTCAAAGACCCTCTTGATTCTTGCGCTAGTTGGTTCAATCGCGTTGAAGATGCCACTCTGGAAACGGGGCTGGATCTGAATGGCGAATTTTCCTTTTGAAATGGCATCATGACTGCTTGGAGAAAGGTGGATTCGAGTCTAAATTAATTTTTTTTTTGTTAGACGCTATTTTGTATTTACATCGCAAACAACTGAATTAGAAATTGAGTCTTTGTCTACGAGTTATCAGATAGAACTATTTATAGGGATTCAATTTTCAATTATATTCCTGCGTGAATACACTCTAAAGCTTAAACACTTTCTCGAGCCATTTTATTCTCCAAGTACATATCATTCACTTGCTGCGTCAGCATAGTTTCACCTCCATCCAACTGGGTTGCATATGCATTTATATCATCTTTTGGTAGTAGATACAACTTTTTGTTGCGGTACTGGTTTGATTTATACAATAATGGAGGCTTTTCACTTGGCTCATAGCTACCCTCGAGCTTCGGTTCAAATTTGGTCGGACCGTCTTCGACTTTTGTACTGCTTCCCCAGGCTAATTCTAACCGACAATCACTAATTATGGAACCACATAAATGAGCCATTGCCGCCTCAGCTGCACTTCGTAACAAAAACTTTACATAACCCGTTTGCAAATCACGCGAAAGCTTGCAGTAAATTAAGTCTCCAAAGGCCAAAAATAGCAGCTCAAGTTCGCTCTCTGTAAACTTGGACGATAAACCGCATATGGATATACTTGTATTATTCTCATCTGTGCTTGCATCTAGCTCAGGCTGGCTTTGAGCAATTGGTATTTTCTTGTAATCTGGTTTGTTGTGAAGAGAGCTTGATTGACTTGTTTCAGAACCCGCTGCGATACCAACTCTAATAGCTTTCGACCCCAACATAACGCCCTGCATCTCTTTCAAAGCCTTCTCCATTATCTCTCCCGTGAAGAATTTGACGAAACCAAACCCCTTCCCGATTTTGGTTTCCTGGTCAACTATAACTCTAGCCAGTTTGATTTGATTCGGGTATTTCAAATTAAATTTGCTATATAGAGCAGTTTCGCTAACATCTGATGCTATGTCACCGACAAATAACGAAAACTCGCCTATTGTAGGTCTAGTACTCCCAGACGCTGCCCCAGTGGGGGCGTTATTCTTTGCGCTGGCGTGACTTAGTTTGAACTTTCGGTGTGAATTTGGCACCAATTGACCATTCCTTTGGAGAGCCAAATCAAGTGTTTCTTGGTCTTGAAAAGTGACAAAGCTGTAAGACGGCTTCAGGGGGTTAAGCCTGTCACGCATGATTTTCACTGCCTTTGGTGGTGTAACCAATGAAGACCACATGGAATGAATGAATTCCTCCGTCCAGGACGGATCAAGGTCACCCATCCACATTTGATAGGAGTTTTCATAATATTTAGATGTGGCATGTTGTTGATATAGGTTCTGTCTTGCTCTATAAGAAGCGGAAGGAGTGTTTGAGTACCCTACAGAGTCAGGTGAATTATACCTTCTCTTGAACCCTCGATTCTGGTTCCCAAAGTTTTGTTGATTGGACGAATAGGAACGGTCCAGGCCTCTGTTTGGGTGATGACTCCTGCTGGCATTGAACCGGTTTGGTGTGTATCTGGATTGGGACAGCATGTATTATGGCAAAAGGGAATAGAGACGATGCGTTACCTATTTTGTGTGTCAACAATTTTTTCACGATAGAATCTTTCTAACTTGGCTCTATTACTGGCAATCCAAGCACAATTAAAACAACCATCGGCATCCACTCTATCATTTGGATCAACTTGAAGTAAGGCCAGTAAGAATGTTTTTGCATTTCTTGATATGTTTACAAACTGTTTTCTCGAGAAATTTAACTGCCCTTGGCGTGCTGACTTTAGGATATGCTCCTTCAGTTCAGAATAAAAAGGTGAAATTCCAGTTAATAAGATATGGGTAACGATTCCGAGAGACCATGTATCACATTTAAAGTTGTAAGGCTCAGATGCTTTCCCTTTGATATCGATGTTGAAAACCTCTGGTGCGCTATACTCGATAGTTCCGACCGAAGTGTTTGTGCGAGAGCACGTCAATTTCTTTGCTATACCGAAGTCACAGATGTAAATTCGTGATTTGGGTAATGGAAGCTGTAGCAATATATTGTCAAGCTTCAAGTCCCTATGAACAATCCTTAGATGGTTGTGTAGAAACTGAAGGGCCTTCATGACTTGGAAAACAATAAAGATAGCTTCTTGCTCGGGAAGTGCACGGAGATGGTTATCATTAACCAAATACGAGAAAAGGTCTCCACCGCATACCAATTCTTGGAATAAATAGGTTGATGAGTTGACCGTAATGGCATCATATAGTGTAATAATGTTAGGCTAACGTATTTTATTAGTAATTGGTTGCAAAAAAAGAATAAAAAAAGAAAAAAAAGTGACAATACAAACATGTTTGATTGCTCGTAAGAGATCAAATTCGGAACTCCTGCTTCCATTCTTCAGTATTTTAACCGCATAAAGTTTGTAATTTGTAGTTGATGATGCAACAAAGACAGATCCAAATGAGCCTGTACCAATTAAGGAGTCACTTATATTCCAAGTGTCAATGGTTATAGTGGTGTTATCTTGTGTATCAACCTCCAAAGTTTCATATGTGAAAATTGCAGCTGTCTTGAATTCAAGTGTATCACCGTCCTTTAAAAGCCTCGTCTCTCCTCTATGCATGTCTGTTCCGTTATACAACACCCCATTTCTTGAATTGTCGTTGATATAAACCAAAGGAGAAGTGTCAGAATCAAATTGAACCGACCATATAGTAGCATGGTGGAGGGAAATTGCTGGGTTATCTATCCTAACATCACAGGTCTTACCACGTCCTACTTTTATAACTTCCAGAGCAAACAAAGGTAGCGAACCAATGGAACCCAAATTAAGTTTCTTGAGCTTTTGGCTTTTTGTGTAGGTAGCGACTTTGGTGCCATCAACTGACTCGATTCTAAATACAGCAATGATCTCCATTAATGGCATTAGGAAGAAAAAAGAGCAAAGTGGTTGTCAAAAATAATTATTTTTGCAACAGAATTTGACTGTATATCTGGTAGAAAGAGTGCAGTCAGTATACAAGTGTGTAGCTACATATCCAATGAGGTCTGCCAAGAAGGCATACCACAGAGCTTGCAAAAAACCCCAACCTAATTGAATTACCCCTTGAGAAGGGGAGGTATATCTTCTGTAGGTTCTAGATCTGTGCTGCAACATCTACATTTCCCTTTTCAGACGCACCAGTCGAGTGTCAAATAAAGAGAGAGAAGAAGAAAAAAAATTTTGTGTGTACTATTGTTCGAGGTCCCACATTAACTTCACCATTCATTACGTTACATAGACTCCCCTTCCATATTCCAAGTGCTAACCAATTTGCTACAGATATGTTCTCTAGATTACTGAAAAGGATAACGACCCAAAGGTTTCAACACACTGCAGCCAAGCAAACGTCAAAGTCTGTCCCATTCAACAACAAGTACAATTTTAACTTGAATCCTCCACCCGTTCATGAATACTGGAATGTTTACAACTCAAGCGTGCTCTTTGCATTTGTGCCCGTGTTTTTAAGTATTGCATATTTTGCCAAATACATTGGTGTTAATATAGAAGGAAATGCCGGTTTATTGGAATACGCCAATGGTGAGAATTCGCCTTTGAAGTCTATCAAATTTGGTGAGCCACAACTTAAAGCGTCGAAAGAGTAAATATGAACAAAAGGGGGAATTTACTTCAAACGGAAGGACTTTGTCCCGCTGTGGACTTTACAGATTCCATCGGATTGGTGTTTGATAATAGTCTTTACAGACGATTGGAATCAATTAGGAGTTTGATTTCGAAGGATATAGGCAGCAGGAGAAATATCTACACATTAAATTATTCGTGATATCTTTTGTAGAAAAGCTTCCCTCTAGATTGAGTGAGTTTTGCTCATCATTGACCCTAATGTAAGCAAGCTCCATTAAGGTTAAATTTTATTGGCTCAAACGAAAAAAACAAAAACGAACAAAAGAAAAAAAAAAAAATTTGGAAAAGGGTAGAAGCGATTAATACCAAGTCACTAGCAAAAGAACGTCGGCAAACCACATTATACAATGAGCTTGCGTCTAGGAATAAGATCAAGGGCACTCCGTCCATCAAACATGTTAGTCAAAAATTCAATAGCTAACTCACACAGACAATTGCCTATGATTAGGCAAAACTCCACCAAGGCAACTATATACGATCAAGTCACAGGTAAAACGATACCACTTGCTGATCCAGAACACCCAGAATGGGCCGACTACAAGAACCCGCCATCAATTTTGGCTCAAAAGAAAGACCCATACTTGAAATATGATGACCAACAAAATAGAAGAAACTTGAACGATCCAGTGAATATGGATGAAGATCTCTACGACATCTGGTCTCCTGATTACTATGATTTCGTGTCTGACTCAACAGCTTTGAAACATAATGGTATATTCTTTGGTTTACTCTTTGGTATTGCCGGAGTCGTAGCTTACTTTCAATTAAACCCTGAAAAGCCAGCTATGATTAGATCATTCCCATACAATGGATTAGCTGATTCTCTAGGTGCCCCATCAAAGGAGGATGCTCCATTTTATCAAAATAAACCTGATGTTACTGCTGAAAAGGAATGTGGTGTATTGCCGGAAGAGTCCGATGTTGCTTTAAACAGGGACTCATATGAAAAGAGTAATGCATCTTACATAAAGGCTTAAAGGAGTAATAGTTTTATCATGTGGTGTTGAAATGGCCTGTAATAATAGGATGGTCTAGACACGGGTCGCTCTCTCTGCTGTGTAATAGCAATTTCCACTCTTTATTTATCTTTGCAATATACATAAAACCTATTTTAGTATAAAGAGCAATGATTTGATTATGTAGACATGAAGAGGCTTTAGTCTATCACTGCCGTACTGATACAACACCATCTAAGTGGTCGTTTCCAGAGGATCATGCTGTTGAAAAAATTGTCCTCCTTTGATAAAGAGTTGATTATTACAGTGCCTTCGCGTTCTTTTTTTTTTTTAACTGAATTATTTTGTATCACTTTTCTTCTTTGCCTTTAAATATATATTTTCCACCTATACATCAAGTTACAAGCATTAATCATGACGACGGAGGTGGGACGAAGAAGGACACTGTCGAGACTTAGCCTGGGAAGTTCTGGTGCTCCTGTTTATAACGACAAATCTCGATCATCACTGTCAAAGAGACCAAATTCAACTACGCATGAAAATAACGGCACATCAGTAAATATGAGCAAAAGACGAAAAGTTGTTGAAAAATCAAAGGAAGACAGCCTAGCGAGCATACTTGTAGACTTTGATCTAGCAACCAACGAACTATACCAGCTTTCCGAGTACAAGTCAATAATTACTTGGGTACCAACAGAATTTTCAAAGAATGCGAACAAGTCAGTGCCAGAATCATTTCGGAGCTTCTGTGAAGAACACAATTATAACTTGAAATGGGACAGTGAAATTGAGAATGACATAGAATTAAAGGCGCTTCCGTTTCGATTTCAGAAAAAGAAGCTTTTGGAGAGAGAAACTTTACTAAATGCAAAGTTTCCTTTCCGTAGGGAAGTTCTTGAAAAATATAAACAAGCTGAGGTCGACATGTTTTCAAAACTTGGCCAGGACACTTCAGTATTGCAATCGACTAAATCAAAAACTAAAATCCACAGCAAATCGAAAGAATCTCGAAAAGATGAGGTGCAAAGAGTACGACCTCAAGTGAAGACTTCAAAGCAAACGAAAGATCGCAAAAGTGTCAGTGATGGTGGTAATGCTGAAGACATTAAACAAAATACAGACAATTGTGAGACCGATAATGATGTTGTTGTTGAGGGTGTTGAGGAAGACGAGGGTGTGCTTAATGGGGCTGAAGTTGTACCACATGCATTCAACAAAAGAATAAAACAGATTTCTCGAAGCCTACCCAACCTTCTTGTAACCCACCCTTCTCATGTACCTGGCTGGGCACCTCAGTCAACGGATAGTGACATGGTACTAAACAAAACCAACGGTGAGAATGCTGTTCCCGACTTCCATCCCGAACCTATAAAGGTAGAACAAACACTAGATGAAGAAAGAGTAGCTCCAAATTTAACCATAAAACTTCGAACCTTTTTGGACAATAATTACAGGACACCAATCATAGACGAACTGAATGCTCCAGATTACAACTTTACAAAACAAGAGTTTGAATTTATAAATGCTCAGCAGATGAACATGTTCAAGAATATCTGGCACAAAATTAATCTTGACAATACCCTAGAATTCAATGCAAATAAAATAGAAAGAAGAAAAGTGATAATACCACCAGTTTCTAATGTCAAGTTGAGTGATCCCTTTAGAAATACATCATCGGTTATTCCCAAAGTGCAAGGCTCCAGTAACGATTCAACCCACCAGGACTATCTTGTGGCACAGGGCATGGCCTTTTCCCGTATTCACCATCAGATGAGAAGGCAGCACATGAATCGTGCTAGAAGAGTTGCTACTATAGTTGATCAGCATTTCAAGAGGAAAAAAGGTGAAAAGGAACGACTTTTGAGGGAACGCGAGCAGAACTTGAAAAAGATGAGTAGAGTTGCTATGCAAGCTGTTAAAAAGAGATGGAACGACGCTTTCAAAGTATACCAGATCATTCAAACTGCAAAAGAAGAGGAACTCAAAAAGGTCAAAGGCCGTGAACATTTAAGTCAAATGTTGCAACACTCGACTCAGCTTCTTGAGGCACAACTAACATCTTCCAAGGAAGCAACTGCCGAGAGTGAGAATATTGTAAGCGAGGGCAACGACCTGAGAATGGATGACTCGGATGATTCCGACAATTTCTCGTCCAGTTCGGATGAAGAAGAGGATGACGATGACGATGAACAAGAGGCGAATGGACTGTCGGGGGCAGCTGATGCTGATATCAATCTATCAGTTGAAGAGTTGAGAAGGAAATACGCCAACATTGAAAGCTCTGTTGAGCCCACTTCCGAGGGTATCACAAATGCTGTGGGCAATGAAGAAGAGCTGCTTGATAGTGAAGAGGAAAGCTTTGACGAGACTCGAGGGCTTGTGTCTCTATATGATGAAAGTTATTTTAATACAGTGCGAAATGGCAAATCTAAGGACCTACTGGCATCTGACGAATATTTAAAGATCGTAAGCGATCTGGATCTTGATAGAAATGAACTTTTGGACTCTGATGAAAGTAGTCCTATTTCTGGGTCCAGCTCAGATGGCGAATCCCAAGACGAATCAGAGGTGGATCAGGAGGATTTGTCTCATTCCGAATCAGAAGTGGAACTGTCAAGCAAAACCTCATTAGCAAACTTGTATGCTGGTAAAAGTACCGAAGTCGAGGATTCAGGTGATGACGATGTTAATAGCTTTAGTGAAAAAAGTGATGACGAGTTGATGCTGTCCGAAGAAGAAGAAAATCTGGTGCCTAATGGTGAAAGTGACAACATGGATCTAGTTTCCAAAGATGACGAGGAAGAAGGCACGGAGTTAATCAACGGGTCAAGAGTGAAGGACGTTAAAGTACCGTCTTTACTTCGTGGAACCCTCAGACCTTATCAAAAACAAGGTCTTAATTGGTTGGCAGGCTTATTCAACAATAACACGAATGGAATTTTGGCAGATGAGATGGGTTTGGGGAAGACCATCCAAACTATTTCACTATTGAGTTATTTGGCTTGCGAGCATCAAATATGGGGACCTCATTTAATTATTGTCCCCACTTCTGTGATGTTGAACTGGGATATGGAATTTAAGAAGTTTGCCCCTGGTTTCAAAATTTTGACATATTATGGTTCACCGCAGCAAAGAGCCCAGAAAAGAAAAGGGTGGAACAAGCCTGACGCGTTTCACGTTTGCATAACTTCCTATCAATTAGTGGTCCAGGATCAGCAAGCATTCAAAAGAAGACGATGGAGATATATGATTTTAGATGAAGCACACAACATTAAAAACTTTAGATCTACAAGATGGAAAGCATTACTTAATTTTAATACTGAAAATAGGTTGCTACTCACAGGTACACCATTGCAAAACAATTTAATCGAGTTATGGTCGTTGTTGTATTTCTTGATGCCTTCTTCAAAGACTAATTTATCGATGCCTGATGGCTTTTCAAACTTGGAGGACTTCCAGCAATGGTTCGGTAAGCCTGTTGACAAAATTTTAGAACAAACCACGTTGGGCAGTAATTCCGACTTGATTGACGAGAATGAAAAAACGACACTGCGTATGGATGAGGAGACAAAAAATACCGTGTCCAGATTACATCAAGTTTTGCGACCATATATACTAAGGAGGTTAAAGAAGGATGTGGAAAAGCAAATGCCAGGGAAATTTGAACACATTTTGTACTGTCGGCTTTCAAAAAGGCAAAGATATTTGTATGACGACTTTATGTCCCGTGCAAAAACGAAAGAAACATTGGCGTCGGGCAACTTCTTGTCTATTATTAATTGCTTGATGCAATTGAGAAAAGTTTGTAACCATCCGGACTTGTTTGAGGTTAGACCAATAGTGACGTCTTTCTCCATGCCTAGTTCGGTCTCGTCTTCTTTCCAATACATAAATGATTTGGTCAAACGCTTATCTATGAACTCAAATGACGTGGTTGATTTTGATGTTCTCAATTTGAACATTACCAGCAACGGCAACTTGGACCACTTCATATCAGAGTCAACATTACGTCTACAGTCACTGGGCCAGTTCCAGAAACAGGTTACTCAGCTTGAGAAGATGATAAGTGGCGGTAAGAACACCTTTACAGATTTTGTTGGCTGTTTCCAGAATTTAAAGAGTCAGGAGCAGGCTGAACTCAAGGATAAGCTCCAACATATTCTGTACCTCAACACACTAAGATGTGAAAAGAAATCAATATATGGTGACTCCTTATTACGTTTCTTGACAATTAAGGGGGCCGAAAATACAAACTCGCTACTTGATAAATACAGCTTGTCAGTCGCTGAGAGAGCCAATGCAATGTCAGACGAGATAGAAAAATATTCCATAGTAACTCCTGCTGCCGTGGCATTGGACATGAAAGATCAGCTCATTCCCAAGAGAATCCAATACAAGGTCAAGCCAGAAATCGAGAGTGGTAAAATCACAAATCCTTTCCACCAGTCACAAGTGAAGTTGTCAATCGCGTTCCCTGACAAAACGTTGTTGCAATATGATTGCGGTAAGCTTCAAAGATTGGCCCAGTTGTTGAGGACATTAACTGCCGAAGGGCATCGTGCTTTGATTTTTACACAAATGACTAAAGTTCTTGATATTTTGGAGCAATTTTTAAATATACATGGTTACCGGTACATGAGGTTAGACGGTGCCACAAAAATTGAGGATAGACAATTATTGACCGAGAAGTTTAATAGAGATCCCAAGATTCCTGTCTTTATATTATCAACAAGGTCTGGGGGGTTGGGTATTAATTTGACAGGGGCAGATACTGTCATCTTTTACGACTCGGACTGGAACCCAGCCATGGACAAACAATGTCAAGATCGATGCCATCGTATTGGGCAAGTTAGGGATGTTCATATTTATAGATTTGTGTCCGAATCAACCATAGAGTCAAACATTATCAAAAAAGCCAACCAGAAACGGCAATTGGATAATGTTGTTATTCAAGAGGGTGAGTTCACTACTGATTACCTTGGTAAATTTTCGGTTCGTGATTTGGTCAATGATCCAAACATCTCGCAAAGTACCAAGGAGATTGCCGATAGAACTATTGACTTTTCTGGTGACATGAAAATGACGAAAGCATTTGCGCAAGCTGAAGACGAAGAGGATAGAGTGGCTGCCGGTGCAGCTTTGAAGGAAGTTGCTGTAGACGATGAGGACTTTACTGATGAAAACAAGCCCCAATCAAATGGTTCAAATGGTCCAACCAGTTCAGCATCGATGATAAAAGGATCGGATGCGGATGATGACATGCCCATTGATGTTGACTACGAGGAAGGAGTGGGTCACATTGACGAGTACATGTTGCGGTTCATTTCCGACGGATACTATTAACTTTAAGGAATGTATATAATATGACGATAGTTGTAGTAATATTCACGATTTGATGTACATAACGCGCAATGACAACCCTTATCATGCATTGCGCATTGTTTGTTGACGCGATAGGACGGATGGAAGACATTCTCGCCAACCATTTGGCTGTTGAGCGGTCTTTTGTGCGGTATTAAAATTAATGCCGCTATGAATCTCCCAGTGTGGTTACATCATCCCCTCCCCCCACAAAATTTTTTTGACTCATTGTATTCGAAGCGTTGCGCATCCCGAGTTAAAAAAAATCAAAAAAATAGAAGAATAAAAACAAAGAATGAGATAATCTATTGCAGTGAGAAGTCAAAAATTATGTTACTAAAGCCTCTTTAAGTTTGACTCAACAAAAAATGCGACGGCTCCAATATCGGTTTCATCCATTCATTTATTTCTGCCTACACGTAACGTCTTTTCTTTTCTTCTTCCCTTTTCTTTCTAGAAATTTTGCAGTAAAGTTTAATCTTTGTCCCACGGTAATCGAAGTCTCTCCCCTCCAAACTTTTATATTTGGGGTCATTCCCTAATCATTTAACTTCACTTTACATTTCCCTTACAGCTTTAGCAGGTTCACCAAATTCTTTCTATGCCAATAATATGCCACGAGCGGACCAAGACAACTACGCTGATGCTGGATCAGAGCTAAATGTATCCTTGACGCCCTCAAGTACAGCAACCTCATCTTCAAAAATAACACTGAATCGAATAGCAGTGAATGGTGGTACACATGACAAACAACAAACTGCTGATAGAGACTATAGTTCAGATGCAAATGGTGACAAGTGCAATGGCCCTGCACGTTTAACAGTACGACAGTTTTTAAAGAAAGAACTAGTTGATGATTTCCATCCCAGCTACTTTGTTTCCTTCTTAGGGTGTGGAATAACAGGTAACATCTTCTACGCCTTCCCTTATGGTGCCCGCTGGCTAGAGGTTTGTGGAATCATATTTTTTTGCATCACCATATTCTTCTTTCTTGTCACCAGTGTCATGTGTGTTTTGAGTTGCTGGTTCCACCCTCTGCGAATGGCGCTCTACATTCATGATTATAGTCATTCCCTATATTTCGCAGTATATTCAATGGGCTTCAGCACAATTATCAATGGTATTAATCTTCTAACACATGGGAGATATCCCATTTTCCTATGGGTGCTATGGTGGATCGGAGTGGTTCTTGCAGTCATGAACACCGCAGTCATATTCTTCTTTTCATTCTTGTCAAAGTTTAGTGCACACAAAATCGCCGATATCAATGCTAGCATATTCATGCCAGTAGTCTGTTGTTGTGTTGTCTCCTCGCCGGGTCATCTTATAGCTCCTGAGTTGGAAACTCGCAATCAAAAGATTATTACCGAAGTCACTGCATTGATGTTGTTTTTCATTTCACTAATGCTTTTCCACGGAGTTGGTGCCATTTTCATGGTTAGATTGATTCTTTGCAAGATTCCAAGCACGCCGCAGATTTTTACGCAGTTTTTACCGATTGGGTTTGTTGGTCAAAGCAGTTACAGCATGATGTTATTTGGTAACAACATGTACGATTTCATCCCAGACGACGCTTTAGCTAAAGCGTTTTTGGTTCCGTCTGCTTTAGGGGCTTATCTTTTATTAGCAGGCGGTTACATATACTTATTCATCGCCATAGCGTCATGCATGTCTAAAAGTTCTCCATTTGCCAAAAACCATGACCCCGATTGGACAACAAAAAGGTTTGGCTTGATCAAATGGAACAAAGGCTGGTGGACTATGACATTCCCGGTGGGTACTATGTCACTTGCAAATAATGAAATATCCAAGGGTGTGGCGGGCTACGACTTTTTGTTCTTCAAAGTCATGAGCGCTATAATAGGTGCTTCACTATTTATTATCTGCATTATAAACTTAATTGGATTGGCCAACTGCATATGGAAAAGGTTTTACAGAGCATTCTTTATCAAAGAGAATATAACGGATATTGTGAGGCAGAAAGTATAGGGCATATAGACACAACCTGCAATTTATTTTGATTGATGCTGTGTAGATTTAAGTTCTCTGGGGGGGCACTCTGAATTGGTTCTGGTATGTAACTGTTTTTTTTTGCCATGCTACACGCTCAATTGTGTTGAACAAAAATTGTGTCGTTCTCGATAACAACCAACCTTGAAGCAACCGTATCAAGGCACCATGTCATCAGGAATTCAATCGTTATTAAAGACAGAAAAAGAAGCAGCTGAGATTGTTAACGAGGCAAGAAAGTACAGAACCGGTAGATTGAAAACTGCAAAGCAAGACGCTCAGCAAGAAATTGAAAACTACAAAAAGCAAAAGGAAGAGGAATTACAAAAGTTTGAAAAGGACCATGAAGGCATAAATGATCAGATCAATAAAGAAGCTGAAGCTGAAATTGAAAAGGAACTCAAGAGTTTGAAAGAGCAGTTTGAGAAAAAGAAGTCGGATGTTGTAAAATTGTTAGTCGAAGCCACAATTTCGCCAAATCCTCAGGTGCACATTAATGCAAACACGTAAAGGCATTAAATGGGAGGTTTTATAGCTACAAGATGAATTACACATCAATATGTCAGAAATAAAAATAGAAACAATTGTAGTATTCATTTTCAAGCGCCACCTTTAGCCAAAGTTTTGAAAGACTTCAACTTGGCCCAAAGACGTGCGTCATAACCAGCTATATTCAAATTTTCTATAAATCGCCATGCTCGTTTGTCGTCCATGATTGGGTAGTCAATTGGTGGAGGAATAGCTGTTGCCACGCCGAGCATCCGTAAAAGTGGCTTGTCCAGCACAATGGACTTGGCATTGCATAGTCCTGTTAACCCTTCTTCACCTCCAAATTTGCCATATCCTGATTTCTTCACACCGCCAAATGGTAATTGGGCCACGTAGTATGTAGCAAAATCATTGATGGCGACATTACCACTGTCTAGTCTGTCCGCTATATGACTCAACTGGATGAAGTCATTACCGAATATGGAATTACCCAATCCATACTCAGTACTATTTGCTAACTCGATGGCATTGTCAACGTCCTTTGCCTTGATCATGGTTAATATAGGGCCAAAAACTTCTTCGTTGAAAATTCTCATCTTTGGATCGACATCAATCAACATCGTAGGTTCAAAGTAGTGACCTTGAGGGTAGTTAGGGTGTTGGTAAGGCTTACCTCCATAAACCAATTTGGCTCCTTTTGAAACTGCATCCTCAATCAAATCTTTGAAGTACTGAAAGCGGTTGTCTGAAACCATGGCACCCATATCAATCTCATCTAACTGGTCTATATCTGATCCTACTCTAAAGCTCTTTATGCGCTCGGAGAGAATTTTTATCAACTCGTCATAAGCTTTTGGTAGGCAAATCACTCTTTCAATACCAATACAGTTTTGTCCAGCGCTTTGGAAGGTTCCTCTCAAAATGATCGAAGATAACGCCTTCAAGTCTTTGACATCGTCCAATACAATAAATGAGTCCTTTCCACCAAGCTCAACTACACACGGAGTCAATTGCTTAGCAGCATTGGTAACAACATGATGGGCTATTTGCTTGGACCCAATGAACGTGATATGGTCAAGACCTGGGTGCGAAGTGAAATAATCTGCATCTTGAGGAAAACAGTAGCATAATTGAACCAAGTTCTCGTCCAAATCCAATGACTTTAAAACAGAACGACACATTTGAACAAACCAGGTGCTTGACCAAACCACATTTTCCGAGCATTTCACAACAATAGCATTTCCGGTAAAAATTGCCGCAATTAAGGGACCCATCAAGTTATGGAACGGGTAGTTCCACGAAATTATGGCCGAAACGACTCCCAATGGTTCATACCTCACCTCTGCATTTTTCATAAACCCCAAAAGGAAATTTGAAGGACCTGGTCTTTGACTAGGTCTGAGAACCTTGGCACCATGTGCAACGATCCAATTGATTTTTTCCAAAGTGACCATTATTTCCCCCATAGAGGCATCCAATTTTGTCTTTCCCGAGTCTCTGCATGCAACTCGGGCCACATTTTCTTGATTCTCCAAAATGAATCTGGCCAAGGTTTTCAAAAATTTTCTTCTGATTGTGAATGAGCTATTTTTCCATTCCTTTTGGGCTTTCTTTGCCTTGGCAATCATTTCATCCATCTCGGCTCTAGACGTGGCATTGAAAATTCCCAAATCTTGGCCGGTAGCAGGACAGTAGCACCGTATTTTGGTAGTGTCGTTGCCAACTACAAGGCTCGGCTTAGGATATAACCTTTTGCCCTTCCAATGTCGTCTGGCTTCGTCAGGGATTGGAAATGTCACCTTAATTGGCGACTCAATCTTGTTGTATGAATTTGGCGATGAAGTCACATATTTACAATAGACGTAATACAAAGCCGGTAGGATGACAAATATAAAGAACGTCGTTGATATTTGATACTGCCACTGCCATTGCTGAAATGCAAAGTCTATGGCAATCATGGGTCCAGTTGTGTGTTGTTAAAGAGGGTCTTTGAAATGTCAACACTGAAATATTTTCGGTCAACGTTTATTAAAATTTCGCGACCAAAAAACGAAACAGTAAAGTCCATTTGATTCAGGTTGCTATACTATAAATAGAAAGAAAGCACTGTATATACTAAGCGGGGTATCAATGCTTGTTTAATCCGCATCTTCTGCCTCCCCATCGCTATGTCCATCTACATTGCGCAAAGCTTCTTGCAATAATGCAGTCTCTTCAGGACTCAACCCTGCTTCAATACCTCGCGTATTCTCTTGTACTATTGCTCCGAGCAAATTTTGATCAACATAATCAATCAACGAATCACATATCCTCTTGGAGCCACCATGTATATTCAATTCCTGAGAATTTTCTTCTTTAGGAGGCAATGCATCAAACTCAAATAGATCGTCTCGACCCCATATTGATTTAGGTAGTTTTGCCATTATTTTGTTTTCCCCGGAAAGAATAGCAAATCTAATGAGGTTGAACGGGACTTCGTTTGATAATTCGTCAGTATTTCTTGCCCCAAAGCTGAGCAATCCAAAAAGTGAGCTAGCGTAAGAGGTCGAGTTTGGTTTGTGCTTTGTTTTGAAGAGCTTTTCCAAGCTTGAACCTAAGAAGCCAAGGTGACTCTGCCATAAAAGTTTTGCCCTCACCAAGTATGTCTCTGCACTTACAGCAACTTCATGGGTGACTTTAAAGTCTGACTCTTTTACGCCTGGGACACTTGAAAGGGCCACATCGGTGAGTAGTTTGTATGCAACGTAAGGATACGCCTCATATGCTTTTTGTATTTCCTTCTCAGCATCATCCACTCTGTTTAGCAGCAAGTATGCAAGAACAGTTGAGAATGCAATACCCGGTGTATACCACCTGGTGTAGCAAGTAACTAAAGGCGATTCTGCCAATTGGATCAAATATCCAAACTCTTCACTCATAATGCAGTAAAAGTCAATGAAATAACGCACTCCCATGGGGTCATCTGCTGGTGATAAGCTCAATAAGAACTTGCAATACGTTAATGCTGTCTCGAAAAGAGATCTCTCGCCCAAGGAAACGATATATCTAAACAAATTCAAGTGAAATTGACGATTGGAAAAAAATTCATAGGGAAGCCTGACCAATCCGTTCTCGGCTGAAGACACCAATTCATGAAACTTTTTGTGGAAGCTTCGGTCAAATGTAAACAATGCCCTCTCTATTAATGCATTGGAAGTGGCTTTGTTGTCACCCTGTCTTAGTAATACCATTGCCACTTGTAATAATGTTTCCTGATGGTAAGGATTCTGTTGCAATAAATGCATGAGAGACTCTGGATCTGGTGTAAGTACAGTTGATGCATAAAACCTGGTATTTGCTACCCTATTTTTTGTATCATTGACCTTGTTAAACCTGAAATACCTCACACCCAAGTTTCTTTCTTTAGATACCTTTGTACGTAAATCGGAGTCATCAACATCACTTTCCTTATATCTGAGCAATTCAAAAACTTCATCTTCGCCCAATTCTTCCATGGATACACTTTTCAATTGCGTAGGTAGCCAATCATCCCTTATTTTAGATAAAAGTAACTTGCGTGATGTGCCTGGGATGCTCCTGCGATCTTTGCCACCCCAATTCCGGATCATTTTGCCTAATTTCTTAAACTGCTGTAGCAATTCTGGTGATATCGCTAATGATGTGGTTGAATTTGCATCCTCGATCAATTCGGTTGATAACGAATTACCAAACAAATTCTTGTATTCTTGGTCCTGATCTAAATTTTTAAATGATTTGATAGATAGTAAAGGGAGGGACCGCTTCAATCTTTCCGTGGTGAAATTTTTAAAGTTGGAGTCATAAACCACGCAGGGTTCCAAGGTAGAATCATATTCCTCTTCAAAATCATACGACTCTAAAGTTGTCTTTGGAGAAGGCTTTGCGACTTGCTCCTTGCGTTTTACTTCGGCAAGGATCTTGTCAATGTCCTCCTCCTCGTCATCTTCAGTCTCTTGTGCAGGTGTCGATGACCTTGATTTGTTCTTGGCTTTTTTCTTCTTTTTCGACTTCCTCTTGCTGGTTGGTGGAGTACTTGACTCAATGCGCTTAGTGGTATCAGCCGGTTTGGAATCATTTTGTGTTTCTACCTCGTCTTCATCGTCATTGTCCAGCACTTCATCGTTGCCATCAAGAAATGCAAAAGCGTTAAACTTGGGCGGATTGATTGCAGGTTGGTCATCATCCTCTGAAACAGATTTATCTGCAACATCCTCTTCAGGAGATACATCAATATCTAGTCTCTTTAACTCATCTTCAAGACTCTTTCCACCAAGCTTCCTAAGTGCTCGTGAACTCATTTTTCCTGAAAAGTGTAAGTAACAAGCCCACAATGGTCTTTTTTTTAATTTTGTTTTTTCTCTCTTTTTTTCTTTGCTTGGCTTGGATTTGTTTAATTATGTAATCAAAATTTCTGATACACACACATACACAAGCAAATGTGGTTGCAAAAGTATATCAAAATAAATAGCCACTTCATACTCAAGCATATACAACTTCCTCACCATGACTACACGTGGCATACAACCAAAAGGTTCCCAAACATTGCCTCTTTACTTAACAAAGGAGCATAAGGCTTACCTTACTGAAAGACCTGACTTGTTGACTATCAGCCCCAAAAAACAAGCACGAATATCACCAACAAATAAATCAACTCCGTTAAATTACAAATTGAATGAATCAAGATCACCATTGCCAATATTCAATCCGCCATCATCAACATCATCGTCCACAGTGGATAACATTACTCCTGAAGCTAAAACTAGATTCTCGCCAGAGATTGATCGTTCTTCAGAGGATCTAATCAGAAGAGTGGAAGAGATTATCCAAACAGAAACCACTTATATCTCACACTGTAGTAACTTGGTGATCCAATATTTGACGAATCTACAACATTTCCAAACAGAACTCCCAGCTGCAGTTCATATTACGAAAGAATGTGTATTTGCACTCGTTGATATTCACAACCAGTTATTGAAGGAGATGATTAGTATTAGAAACCAAAATCAGAGCATAGTTGATATGTGCAACAGTATTGCTCAAAGTATAGCCAAGTCTGGGATTTCAGTTTTTTGGTACAGTTTGTATTGCACGCATTACGATCAGTTGATTCCTTTTGAACTCTTTGTGGGAATTAGTAACAAATCATTGAATCAAGAAAACGGTACACCACTGATGAAGTCATTTTTCTTGGGCATAAAGAACTTTTTGGAAAGCCAGCAAGTTACAATTAAACGAAAAGACTTGTCGTTTATGTCCTTATGCCAAAGACCGGTGGATAGAATTGTCAAGTATAAGCTCTTTGTTAAGGGAATGATGAATACATTTGTTGAACTCGGAGCAGATACAACGATTTTGGTAAAAGCGTTTGAGCTAATTTCGCAGCAATTGGCTAAAATAGATGAATCAAGAATTTACATGAATGAAAACAGACAATTGAACTCGTTGGTTGACTTTGCTGGGCCCCAAACTAATCCTTTGTACCAGAGATTGAATCTCGAAGCTAACTTCTTTGGTAACCCTGTGGCAATCGGGTTTGCTTCAGTAATCTCTCTCAAAAACTCAAAGCCAGAAATGATACACTCTCCAATAATACTTTACAAGGCACATCTTGTCATTCTTGAATACAATCCGGTGATTACCAGACATTCGTCAAAAAAGTACAAACCAAAGTTTATCATACCTTTACTGAACATATCAATCTTTAAGGAGTTCAAGAACGGTTTGTTGGTCAATCTAACTACCGCTATCAAGTTGCAATTTAGAGCTTCGTCAAACCAGTACCAAATGGTTTTGTGTTTTTTGTCACTGACGGAGTACGAGTTTTGGAAAATAAAATTGGATCTTTTGATCAATGTCACCCATCAAGGTTCAAGTGACTACAAGCTGGAGGTGAGCCATCTATTTTACTTTATTCCTAAAAACATAACTGCGTGTTGGAAAGATCAATACAATGAATCAGAGAAATATTTGAATCATGTGGACTCGCAGCAAACTTTTCGAGTAAAATTTCGTGTTGACTTGTGTCTCAAGAACAAAGTTTGCTTAAAGGTTCAAGAGTTGCCGCCTGGACCAAAGTATACGCTTAAAACATGGATCATTGACGTCTTCAACAATGAACGGCACTTTAAACATATTGCTAGTAAGGAGATTCCGTTTCATACTTGTAACAGAACAGAAACGACAGATGGATAATCTTAGATCTGAATGAAAAAACCGTTACAAATCATAACCTCTGGGGGACCACCCCTCTCTTTGCTCTTTATAATTGGGATCAATTGTAGAACTTGTCAGCCTAAACTTGACGAGAAGCGTTTGTAAAAGGCAATACAGTGTATCAAAAAGGTAATCATTAACATGCATTAAAAAACATTATACAACTAATTTCCAGTGTTGCCAGCACCAATGCTATCATTGTGAGAAGCAATTCCATTATCCACATCAGCATTATGTTTATCACTTCCCTTTTCCAAAATAATCTTGATCACTTCGTCCGCGTTACTCGTCTTGAAGTTGTTGTTCAAGTCTTGTTTCGAAGCTTCATCCAAGATACCATCGACACCACCTTGTCTGTTGATAAATACTTTAAATACCGAGACTATGTCAATGAGGGGAATGGTAGTGTCGCCTTTCTTGTACTTTTCATACAATGAGAAGTCATCAACAAAGATTACGAAATCATTGTCAACTCCTTTATAAAAAAGCTTATGTGGTTGGTTTGTCATTTTGTTTATTCTTATTTATCCTTTGATAGTGTAGTTGAATGACATTTAGTAAATGCAACAGAGGAATTGATTTGGATATTTATAGTCTTGAAAGAAAGGGCAAACTTTAAATCGTAGTGTGAGCATTAAATAAAAAATAGCAAACATAGCATTTAAAGAGTGCAAAAAAACACAAAAATGTTAAACCCCCCATTACATCATAACACCGTATACACACATACCATTGACACACAATGTTGGGACCAATTGCTAGAATACAAAAACAACTATATAGTCAATTTACAGATTGTGAAACATTATACCAAACCAAACGAAACGTCATAGGATCTAGACTTTGTCCTTCAAGTCTATTCACTCGGTCACTCTTTTATTTGTGTTGTGCTACGCGATTGGGCTGCCCACTTTTTGTCTACTTTTCGATTGCTATCCAAGACTCAAATTGTTTTGTTTGTGGTAGATTACATCGGACCAGAGTGGTCATTCACAAGCACAGAGACACAACAACCTTCTCCCCCCTTCCCTTGGAAAACAGTTCCACCAACTTCTTCATCGTTCTTTGTAGCTAAATGCAGAGTTTAACTACGCCATGCCCTTGAGTAAATGGTAACAGCAAGTAATTTCATTGCTAGAGCCAACAAAAGGGATAGGATGTGTTACTTCAAAGTCTCAACTTTCACGAAATAATATTCTGCTACGGTGTCGTTGAAACACAGTTAGGATCCAAGGCTGACAAGCTTGCATCTAATCTTTTATGGCTGATTAAGGTCACGTGACGTATGCCTTTAACTCAAACAGTGAACTGACGATTTTACGAGCCAGTTGAGCTTCTCTGTATCCTCTTGGATCCATCTACAGTACGCTACAATATAGGCATTCTATTTAACTAATTGACTGGTTGTACCAGTTCCAATTTAAGCCATCTTCTAAAAATAATTTTCTCATTTTTCTTCATCTTCCGATTTGTCCATTCAGTTGATGACTCCGCGCATTTCTTCACAACAGATCAGACAAAGCTTCCTATATCTGTTACAAATCACTTACTTCGGATTCGGACTATGTCAATATGGTCGCTGATGCTTTAAAGTCATTTTCTACCAATGTCGGATCGCACATAAAGGATGCTTATAAAAGCACGGAGTCGGAGGTGACTCACTTCTCCCACACCTTCAAAGATAAAGTCACATTTTACCATAGAGATTATGATCAGGACGACGAACTTATAAAAAATTACAACCATGAAATTAAACAAGCAAGACATGGCCTAGGCCATCTTGTTTCTCAAATCAACCAATTCTACAAAAGGTTGGTACCTCATATGATGTCACTTAACATCAAGATTGTCCGCGACTTCCAATTGCTAATTGGACCCGATTCGTTGCAGTTCAAAGACATTGAAAAGTATTATCACGAGTTTGATCTATTCCAGGCAGAGCAAGAGGTGCCACATGTTCATCCTAAGGAGAAGCAGTTTTCAATAGACGGTGTGAATGAGGAGTTGTTTCAATACTTGCAGTCCACCTCTGCTCTCAAACACAACTTGGAAAACGAGTGCCTTGATTTTCTAGACTCAACAGTTCCCAAAGTCCAATCAATGAGAAAAAGGTTAAAAGAAACGTTGAAGTTGATCAAGAGGAGAGACCGCAAACGCGATGATCAAGATAGGCTCGAAAGAAAGATTGCCAAATTAAACCAAAAGAAGCCACCTTTAACTGACAAAGACGAAGCTCATTTGACAAAACTTCAACGTGAATTTGAAGAAGTGGATATCGAATTTAAAATATTGAATGATAAAGCAACAACAATTTTGCCTCATATTATGTCATTTTTGGACGAGTTTATTGAATCGATTACCCAACTACTCATATTGAAACAAGACAGCATATACGGGAGGATATTGGAGAATTTCAAATATTTTGCCACATTCTATGGCTTGATTTATGAAGAAGTACCGACTTATGAAGCAATTTTAGGCCAATGGGAACTGGATATCACGTCAACCAGGCTGCAGATTGAGTCATTCATTACGATATTACAAAATTCTAAAACTGACTTGTTGAATGTCGAAATTGATGATGAGGACAAGTCTCTGAAAACATACAAATTTTACCACAAATTGTCAAACAAAATATTTGATAAGTCCCATACAGTAAAGCCGAGGGACATGTCTGCGGGCATGTTTAATGACACTACTGAAGCTGACCCCCTTGTATCATTTGAAAAGTACAACAACCCACAAGCTAACCAATCGGAGACGTACCATCCTAGAAAGATATTGGGTATAGATGATGTTGTTGTTGAGAAAGCTGTTAACTTTCAACCTGAGTTACCGCCAAGACCGACACTTGCGTCGTTCAAGTCTATGCAACAAAGTACACAAGTCCCTAACCGGGTATATTTCTCACAAAGCGCAAACAATTCCATGGAGTCATTGTCCTTGGATAGTGATGATGAGACAGTCATGTCTGATGCCTCGCTGGTTAGCTCTGCGCCTTCTCATTCATTATCAGGGTACACAAGCGGCGACATTTCAGTCGATAAAGAATTGAAAAGAATCTACAGCATGTCCAAGAATGAGATTAAAGTGGCACCTGTGCTTTCCAAATTCAACAATATTGTGCCCAATGTGGAAATTCCTAAATCTCAGACTATAACCGACGCTTATAAACTTGCATTACTCGATCATTTTTACCTGAGATTGGACACTTTAAAACGAACTACAAAAATTGCTAAATACGATTTTACAGGAGCTGAAGTTGGAGATTTATCTTTTAAAAAGGGCGACAATATCGAAGTAGTATTTGATTTACAAAACGTTGACTATCAGCAAAACAATTTGAACTGGTTAGTCGGCGTGATACCACAAGATGACGGTTATAGACTTGGATTTGTGCCTAATAATTATGTTTAATCAAAACCATTATCTAGCAATTTAAACATTGATGTAAGAACCCTGTCAGGGTCAACTCGTAACCCATTATGGAACAAATCGTTTGTAATGTATTGACGTAAATTACAAGAAGGCAAGTATTGTTGCTTAACCTGTCGTGTCAATTCAAAATCAACATATTGGTCAGCATAATAAGTAGTAGCGACAATAGGTACATCTTTCCAAGTAATAGTCTGCAACTTGTCGATATTGTACAAAGTACTCCAATTTTCAAACTCGTGCAATGCATAAGCTAAAGATTTAAATTGTCTAAGTTCAGCATAATCATCAAACATGCTCTTGTACACCATCTCGCCAGTAAAGTAAATTTCATCAGTATTGAATTGAAACTTTTCATTTCCTGAAATGTATCTCAACCTATCAGCACTCCAATTACTCTTCATTTTGCCACTACAATAAATTGCTTCTTGGAATAGAGCATAAATGACATTAGTGTCAAACGACATGGCATTTTGCACCAGCGTCAATGTGTACACCGTGGGATGGTTAAACATTTTCAAGTCCTGCCAAAAGTTGGTCACTATGGTATGCACTTGATCGGTTCCGCCAAACCCTCCAAAACTGAGTCCCAATTGTTGGAAGCGCTCAACGGATAAATGGCCGCCATCGGGTAAAGTTACGTTATTTGACTTTAAGTACTGGCATATCTCAACCACACGAGCAACGTCTTGTGGATATTTGCGGTAATAGTGGACGTTTCTCTCCTTTGTCCGTTTATAGGTTTGTGTGTATACCGAATCAACATCGAATCCAATGGGTGGTACACCACCAGTAATAAACACCTGTTTCAAAGATTCAGGATAAAGCGACAAATAAGTAAAGCTACAAAATCCCCCATAAGATTGACCCAACGTAGACCATTTTGCGTCACCTATTAAATGCTTGCGAATGGTTTCGGCATCTCTAACAATTGAATCAGCCCGAAACTGTAAAATCGCTTCCAATTGGTCCTCGACTGCGGTTGTCGATAAATTTTGACTCAAAGTCCTGTAGTCAATCGGTGTGCTGCCTCCAGTTCCTCTTTGGTCCATCCATACAATTTGATACCCCTCATCTAACAACACTTTGGTGATGCCGGAATAACTAGTGGGGACGGTACATCCAAACCCCGGCCCTCCTTGTAAGTAAAGCAATAAGTTCGGTGCCTCTGGTAAGACTACCCCCTTGAACCCATCTAATTCAGCATGTTTAGCTCGATCATATTTCTGGGAAATGGTAATGACAACTTGGATCTCTCTTTCTTGTGAATTGGCATCCAATGGTAAGTTGTATGCTATCCTTTGGTTGAGGACTTTGTTCAGTTGAAAGTAGTCTAGGATTTTATAAGACATTTTGGTGGTAAAGAGGGAAGCAGAGTAAATACTTTTGTCGAAACGAAGTGAAAAATTTCGGAGATTTGGTGCCGTATGAGTGTGAGTTCCGCGTCACACGCAAATAAAATAAAAATAGAACAAAGTTTTGCGCTTTGAAAGAGTCTACGACAACAATTCTGAATTCGAATATATATTTTACAAGAACTAGATAAATACCCCTTAATACATACCACCAGTCCTTTGTTTCCTCAATGCGTTTTGTTGTTTTTCAGTCTCTGAATCCCACAAGATGAAATCATCCAAAGCATTTCCACCTGGAACCATTGGTAAAACAGGAACCTTTTTTTCTACCATCACCTCCAACAATACAGGTTCTTGACAATCCAAAAACTCTTTAACACCCAGTTTCATTTCTTCTTGAGTTGAAATTCTGATACCTTTTACACCCATTGCTTCTGCCAACTTCATGAAATCTGGGTTAGCTTGATGAGTGTGGGAGTATCTATGTTCGTAGAATAATGATTGCCATTGAGTGACCATACCTTGTTCCTCGTTGTTTAAAACACAAACTTTAATTGGTGCACCGGCTTGTACAGCAGATGACAATTCGGTCAAGGTCATATTGAATGATGCATCACCGTCAATGTCAATAACAATGGCATCTGGTTTTGCAACTTGGGCACCAATAGCAGCAGGTAAACCGTAACCCATAGTTCCCAACCCACCGGAAGTAATCATGGTCCTAGGCTTGGTCCAGGTCCAGTGTTGTGCGGCCCACATTTGATGTTGACCAACACCAGTGGTAACATAGACATCCTTACCATAATTCAGTGATTGATGGGAAATTTCCTTAATCAAGGTTTGAGGTTTGATTTTGGAACCTGGGGTTTCTAATTGGTATGCGTATGGATACTTTTCCTTCCATTCATCAATTTTTTTAAACCATTCTGGTCTTGACTCAACTTGGTTAACAAGAGGGATGAATTTGCGCAAGTTGGCAGTAACATCACCTTCAACTGCTTCAGTGGCTTCAACAACTTTGTTGATGTTTTTTGGTGAAATTTCAAAATGCAAGATACCACCTCTGTTTTCAGCTGCGGCTAATTTGGCTTCAGGAGCAAATTTTGCAATGTTACCAGTGACTCTGTCATCAAACCTAGCACCAAGAGCAATGATACAATCAGCATTCTGCATGGCAGTGTTTGCAGCCGCTGAACCGTGCATACCCAAAAAATCCAATGACTTTGGATCTCTTTGATCGAATGCACCCAAACCTTGTATAGTAGTGGTAACAGGGATATTTGCCTTGTCAGCCAACTCCTTCAACAACTTTGGTCCATCTTCATGATTCAAGATACCACCGCCGCAGTAAATGATTGGTTTCTTGGCTTTGTTCAAGATGTCAGCCGATCTCTTTATAGCTTCAGTGGTGAATTCGGAAACCGCTTTTCTAGTAATTGTACTCAAAGCATTTGATGGTAATGTGGTGTTTATAGGTATAGATTCCCTCAAGATGGATGCCGTGACATCCTTTGGTAAATCAACCAAGACTGGACCTGGTCTTCCAGTAGTGGCAATTTCAAAGGCTTCGTTTATTCTTCTTGGCAATTCAGCTACATTTTTAACCATAACGTTCCATTTGGTACATGATCTCGAGATACCAATGACATCAGCTTCTTGGAATGCATCGGTACCAATAGCGGTGGTTGGCACTTGACCAGTAAATACAATCAATGGAACACCATCCATCAAGGCATCAGCCATAGGAGTAACAACATTGGTTGCACCTGGACCAGAGGTGACCAAAACAATACCTGGTTTCCCACTGGCTCTAGCATAACCTTCTGCCATATGACCTGCACCTTGTTCGTGTCTTGGCAAAACAAACTTGAATTTTTCTGAATTGTAAATAGCATCAAAGACTGGTAAAATAGCACCACCTGCGTATCCAAACACAGTGTCAACGTTGTGTCTCATCATCATTTCATGAAAGATCTCACCACCAGTCAATCCAATAAAGGAATCATCCATGGCTTGCTCACTACGACGTTGTGGCTGCTGCCTCAAAGAGGTCTTTTGTTGTGGCGGTGATGATGATTCAACATCAGATATGTTGAAAGCAGGTGATGGTTGTGGTCTTGAAGCGACTTGAGCTGCATTATGGTGATTTATCTTTGAGATTGATCTCGTTTGAGACTTTACCGCAAGATATAGATTCTGTGTTGTTCTTTTGCTACAACACCTTGATAAGTGACGTGAAAGCATGTTCTTTTGTAGAAGTAGTAACCAAAAAGGCGTGGTGGTTGTAGTGGAAGAAGAATGTTGTTGTGGAGATGAAGGAAATGGTGTATGAAAATTGTGACTAATTTTATAAAGCTTAAAAAAAAAAAAAAGTGAAAAATTTCATTCACACAAAAGGAACAACGGAAGAAAAAAATTATATATATATTGACTCCAGAGAGAAGGAAAAAAAAGCCGATACAAAATAACAAACCGATGAAAAAAAACTGGGGGAAATGAATTCAGTATTGACTCACTCATTGTGACTAATCTCTTGACAAAGTAAGTGGTTCAGACATGCTACTCTCTTTTTGGCCTTTAGGACATTTGATTCATTGTATTATATATGACACAGAAGGTGTGAAAAGAAAAAATGAAATTATAATTTTGTATATCCAAGCCGTGCTTATATGCAGAATAGGCGTCGGTCCTGAACCGCAAAACAAATGGACAACCGGAAACTGTTCGATTGTGCTACCATTTGGCACTTGATCAATTTCCTGCATATCAGTGAAGGAGCCCATCAATCTGATCTTAGGTACTTTTGTAAACCACTATTGAAAACTACTATCTACATTTGAAAAGTTAGTCTCTAAATTAATTAGTTTATAAAATATTTTATTTACTTCGTAGACTTTTGTTCATCGGGGTGGAAAGACTTTACTTCATGACTATCATCATGATGATCATCGTCTGATTCTGTTTGTTGTTGTTGTTGTTGTTGTTGTTGTTGTAGATGTTGCTGTTGTAGATGGTGTTGATGTTTGGTCATTTTCTCCTCTTCTGATGTGCTTGTTGATGAATCAGCTACGCCTTCAATCACTTGTTGGTGCTTTTCCTCGTCTCTTTGCTCCAGGCTAGTATCTTGGTTGGTATCTTGGTTGGTATCGTGTTCACCATTAAATCCCGAAAAGAATTCTCTTCTGACTTCTACATAATCATAAGCAAACTCGCCAATTTGATCTTCATCAACACCCATTTCCTCAGCCTCGTAGGATAAACGCAAGTGAAGTCCCGGTATATGGTCAATGACAAAGCAAAGAATGGCAGTAACCACGGCTGAGTACGCCAAGGTAGCCAATATGTAAGCAATTTGAATATACAACTGTTTCCAATTGTGGTCAATCCAACCTCCCTCATGATCAGTTACATTGTCATATCCAATGACTGTTTTTGAGCCAAGCAATGCGTTGAAGAGAAGTCCAATCACTCCTGCTACTCCGTGCTCTGCCCACACATCAAGTGAATCATCAACATGGCACAAGTACTTAAGTTGAGTTGACAAGTTACAAACAACACCAGCAACAATCCCCAAAATAACACTTGCCCACAACGGTATCATTCCTGAGCTAGGCGTAGCTGCAACTAAACCGGAAATACATCCTGAGCAAACAGCAACCATGGAAAACTTCCCCTCAATCCTTAAATCGAGTAGACACCAGCTGATGGCTCCAAAAGCTGCACATAGATGTGTATTTAACATGGAGTATGGCACTTTTATACTTGCATTCCCGCAACTGAATCCATTGAAAAATAACCAACCAACGTACAACAAAATGGTTCCCATAAATACGGTTGAGATATTGTGAGGGCGGTAGTTGATCATGAGGGTCTCGTTTCTCTTTCCGAGGAAGGCGGAGTAAACAAAAGCCGATGCACCACTAAGAATCTCGACAGGCCCACCTCCAGCATAATCAAGGACTCCTGATTTGTAGTTCATGGCCCAGCCACCACCCCAGATCCAATAAACCACAGGACAGTAAACAACAGTTGCCCAGCAAAACAAGAATACCATTGCTGGTAAGAATCTTCCTCTCTCTCCGATACATCCTCCCGCAAGAATGGCCAATGTCACAAGCAAAAATTGTAGCTGAAACATAGCATATGCAATTTGAGGGTAGTCCAGGTCAGAAGCTGAAGCGCCTAGCAAGTTCTTGAATCCAAAGAAATGTAAATCTCCAATGAATGAATTTGATGAAGTGTCGCTGAATGCTAGTGAGTAGCCCCAAAAGTACCACTGGAAAATACCAACAAAACTCGACATAAAAACGATCCAGATCATAGATAAGGCGTTTTTTCTTCGTGATAATCCGGAATAAAGAAATGCCAACCCGGGAATCATAATCCAAATCAACGAGGCAGATATGGTGAATAGCAATACGTCAGATTGGTTGTATTCTTGGTTTTCTGTGAATAGCCTCCTCCGCGATATATGTTGTATTATTTGTTCCTTCATTGTGGATATGATGTAGTTGTAATTTGAATAAGTTGGTGTAAGATAAGGATATTGTAGTTACAGGTGGATCTAAAGTGAATAGTAGTGGTAGTGGTGGTGGTGAATGAAAGAAAAAGAAGTGTAATATATAAACGTTAGGTTTCTTTTGGAAGTAAAATGTGAAAAAAAAATAACTTAAAAGGTTGATATCTGGTTAACCTTTTTATTGATAAATATTTCAAGTTATCGTCGTTGTTTTAAAAAACAGCAGATGCTTTTCAATTTATGACTCTCTCAAATTCTCTTCTCTCTCATTTAGACTTGTGTAAAATTTTTGTGTCTTGCCATCTCTCTGTATCAATTTTGTGACTGTTTTACCAAAGAGAAGTAAGTTACGCCTCTACAAAATCGTCCACGTTTTGTGAATAGAGTATCTAAGGTAGGATCTAACCTTACCATTCTTTGGGGTTTCTATCCTCCTAGTAGGGAGAGTAAAATGGTAACACATTGATGGGCGACTGGTACTTTCAATGGCGAACCGAAAAGGATCTCTTTTTCTTTTTTCTCTTTTTTTTTTCTTAATTTGTTTTTCTTTTTGCAACCTGACCCAAGTTGTAAAAGTAAAAAAGTCAATGCCATATAAACACTATACCACCTTACTCCACCTTTTTTCATGCATGACCTATTGTTCTTACTATCCTCCTTTGGATTCACTGCTCTCTTTGCTCCTCCCTCTTGTGATCTCTCCATCGCTAACTACACTGCAATTAAATGGATCCCTTTTTTCATAAACTACAAGCCTCGTTTTAAAGAAAAAAAAAGAAATTTAATGTCAAAATTTTTGTTATGTAATTTATTATGTAAGAGCTACTGATAAAGCAATCGTACCAATAATATTGCAGCATTTTTAGTTATCATATGCAGGATTTTTCTGTTGAAATAATTGCAAACTCAAAAATCTTTTATCAATCAAATCAGAATGCACCTCTATATCTGCTGCGTAATCGAATATATATATATAGATAAAGTTCCTTTTGCTTTGAGATCACCGGGAGCATTCACGTGCAAAACACACCCTCTCTCTGTTGGAATATTCTCACAGCATAACTTTACCTTAACCAGTAATGGTTGAATTGCACTGTCTCCTATAGTAAGGTTCAACTTCGCTCTCTTCCGTAGTACTTAACTAATCGTCCACAAAGGGATTAAACCTCTTCACAAGGCGGTTTACAAAAAAATGGCGTTTCAAATCGCACTTTCATTTTATGTACCTTCCGAGATTTTCCGTTTTTAGGAAAAAAAAATATTTTTAGCATCTGCGGCTTTATTCTTTACCGTTTTTCGTTTTCTGTGTAACATTCTTAGTTCGTATGTGTTTTGCAACATTTTCTCTCAACATGTATGGAAATAGCGCAAAGACATAGGCTTCGCCTTTTGCAAGGGTCAAATGGTATGTAGGGAAGTAGTGTGAGAATCTTGAAATTGCTATAAATACAGGATAAATCATCTCTTTCAAATTTTGGTACGAATGTGGGTATAAAAAACTAAACAGAGCAATACAAATGAGCGTTATTCATCAGTTTGAACCCCACTTTATTGTAGTTAGAATCAATTGAATTGACTTGTTTTAGAGACGTCGTTGCTCTTAAAATATGGTTTATTGTTTCGAATGTCAGAACATCAGTCTGACATCTTGTTTCAAGTTGCACTTCGCAAATGTACTTGTCAAAATCAATGGCATTAACTATCTTTGAAAAGTGTTGTCGCGAACACTCAAAGATGGCCATTTTGATTAGTGTCAAACGGGTATTGAATTGAACAGCATTGCCTAAATCATTTTCCATCTTATTAAGATAATCAACAACTTTTTCATCATACACGGGTTGACGGTTTAAAATAGCAACAGCTCTGCCACTATTTTCCATAACAAAGTTGGAAGAACTTTCAACCATTAAAGCAGCAACTCTCCACAACACATGAATTTACCAATGTGATGGATTTTGGAGCCAAATCTTCTCCGAGATAAGAGTAACATGCCAAACCCTACTGAGACTGACCAAAGTTGTAGGACCAAAAATGAGCCTGGATCTGCCCCAACTTCTTTAATTTTTCAGGATCGGTTGAACTGTAAATGATATACTTAGAAACGGTAAAGTGTGGATAAGTAATCCGGTGATTCGAGTCAGGTTTGGTTTTAGAGTAAAGAACAGGTAAGTAGCGTTCAAACCCTGCATCTTCATCGACGGCTAAACTAACATTCCCTTTACCACCGGGGGTCTTACCTCCATCCAATTTAGTTTTTTGAGCTTGTGATACAAGCAATTGCACTTTCTTCTTCTCAAGTGCATTCTGGTCATGAATGTATTTTTCATGCTTATCCTCCAAACTAGCTACCCCTGTAGAAAATTCTTGTATCTGATTTAAAATCTTTGTACGTTCAGCCTCAAGTTGATCGGTGCCATTAATAGTGCTGCTAGTTACATTCTCAGGTTGATTTCCAACAGATTCCAGTTTTTCTTGGTCAACAGCTTTTCTTCATTAATGGATACATCTTGCAAGCCATCCTGAAATTGTTTCTCGGTGACATCCTTTTGTGGAATTACTTGGGGTAGTTTGGCAGTGAGTGCAGCAATCTGGGCACTAAGTTTATTCATCTCGGCAGCATTTTTTGCGTTTATTTGAGCTTGTTTCGCTTCCTTTTCAATTTGATATGCTTGTTTCGCTTGTTGAACGATTCTCAAATCATCAATTGCCCGCTTCAAATCGATAATAATTTGGTCCATGTCATTATTGCTCTTTCATCAACCTTTAGTCATCTTTTCACTTTTTGTGGCTGGGGTGGTTGAAAATTAATTCTGTGATTAGCACTTTGAGTGGCAATATATGGAAGCAATCTAATGCCTTATTAATCGACTCATTTGTTAGTTATGATATGATTAGATAAAGACATGAATATAATCGTCGTCTATTGCATATAAAATGAAAGGGCTTCTTTTGGAAAAGTCGTGTGCCAGGTAGCATATCTCGTCTATTCCACCACTCTTCCTTTTGAGAGAGTCTACAGTGTTAAAGTTCAAAGGTGACTCTTTATTACTACTCAGCTATATATATATCATATTGCCCTAGTTTTCCAAGTCCTTCTTCAAAGTACCCAAGAAAGCGTGCTTTTCAGCTGGGGTTTGGAATCTACCCTTACCGAATTTAGAAGCAGTGTCAATCCATTTCAAGTTAACCTTTTCCAAAGCTCTTCTTGAAGTGTCAACATACAATGATTTTCTCAAAGTAACAACTCTCTTCTTAGTACCTGGGATTGAACCCTTCAACAAGACGAAATCGTTGTTGACAAGACCGTATCTAACGAAACCACCCATTGGGTTGATGGTCTTTTTAGTTCTGTCAAATTCAGTAGCACCGTTAGCTTCATCAGAACCCTTACCAACTCTGTAAACCTTGTGGTTGATTGAGGTTCTGTGGTGGTAACCGTTTTGACCAGCTCTAGCAACGGTCCATTGGACGTTGGCTGGATGCCAAGCACCAATACAAGCAACCTTTCTCAAACCTCTGTGAGTCTTTCTTGGCAATTTCTTGGTTCCCCATCTGTGGGTAACACCCTCGAAACCGTGACCCTTGGTGACAGCAACAACGTCAACCATCTCATCTTGTTCAAAGACAGAGTCAACAGAAACTTCCTTTTCAAAGTGTTCCTTAGCCCAGTCAACCTTGTCAGAGACTGAACCACCGTTGATTTGAATTTCAGCCAAGTGAGCCTTCTTTGAAGCCAATGGGGTCTTTTTAACTTGGGTGTGAGCCAAGACTCTGACAACTGAAGCGTACTTCTTGATTCTAGCCAATTCAGTTTCAACTTGTTTGGCATCGGAAGCGTATTTAGCTGAGTACTTAGTGAAAGCCTTCTTCTTAGACTTGTACCAGTTCTTGTAGAATCTTCTTCTGATTTCTTCAGACAAGTGTTCAGCCCAAACAGTGGTCAATGATCTCAAACCTCTTGGGGTTTCAACGTAACCAACAACACCAACAACAACCAATGGTGGGGTGTCAACAACAGTAGCAGCCTCAACGACTTCTCTCTTGTGCATCTTAGAACCTGGTCTGTCCAAGTCTCTAACAATGGTGGTCATACCAGCCTTGTAACCCAAAAAGGCAGTCAAAGCAACTGGCTTGGATTTAACATCCTTTGGGAATGACTTAACTCTTCCTCTTTGCTTGGCAGCTCTCTTTCTTGGGAGGAAACCTAATGAACCGTGACGTGGTGCTTCGTACTTTCTGTGAGACATGTTTTCTTTATAGAATTGATGGGTGGGAAAGAAAAGGTGAGATGAAAGAGAAGGTGAAAAAAATTTTTCACTGAGAAAATTTAAGAGGAAAAAAAATTGTTTGGAAAAAACTTTTCAGTCACCAGTGCACTACCTAAAAGTAACCCGGCTTAAGTGTAATTTATTAGAAGTAAAAAAAGACGAATATAAAAGGAACTAGAAACGAAAAACAAACGAAGATAAGCAATCGAAGATAAGCAAAAGAAAGGAGATTAGTTAATCCCTTTGTACATACATCACCCGTTTCAAAGCAAGTCTGGCATCACCCGAATCGTCTGAACTTGCAGCTGAACCATTTGCATTGGCATCCTCTTCACTCCCCCGCTCTTTAATAGATTGCTCGTGCTCAACTTCACTTGGATGCTCAACTAGATTCTCCAAATGGGCCGATTGTTGTTGCATACTGTGATGTGCAAGTGTGATGGGAATTTGTTGCGGTGGTTGTAAATGTTGCTCACTAGTGAAAATCTCTTGATTCACCAAAAACGGGTTCATGCCGCCTTTTTTATATTGAGGCGAGTTTAAACTCATGACCGAGTTCATCAATGAATTGAATTGTGGTGTCAAGTTAAAAATTGGTGTAAGTCCGGTAGATACATACATATAATTGTCCTTGGGTGTCTGTGGATTTGTCATGAAATTCTCATTGATTGATGCTAGCTGTGACTCCAATTTTGGTTGTGTTATGGAGCCTGTGATGTCAGAGTTGCACCTGCGCAATACACCACGAGACGGTCTTTCTTCAGTTGCCGCTTCAACGTTGGTTTCTGTGCGAGCCAATTGTGGTTGTTTGGGAGTGGCAACTGAAGTAGATGTAGAACTTGACTCTTCTTTTTTCGGAGTTGGCTTGAACATATCGCTTGACAACACTGCTTTACCCAGATCGTCAATAACCAATTTCAACTGAAAATCTTCAGATGTTTTTCTCGTCTCTTCTTGTGTAGCTTCTTCTCTTTGCTCTTCTCTGTGTAACCTACCTTCGGACGTATGATTACTTGTCAACGATACAGGCGGTAAAAGATTTCTATTCTCGGGCGATTTTCTTCTAGTAGGAGATGAATCAACTTGCTCTTGCTGCTGCTGCTGCTGCTCTTGCCCCAATGCATCCAAGTTTTGGTGATGGGGCATGAAATATCCATCTTTGTGCCCTTCAGAACTTGGTGGAGTATTGTACAATGACTGAGATCTAGTGGGTCTCGAATGTTGCAGTTGAGTTATCATGGAAATATTGTCCAACGTGTTCTTATTGAACTGGTATTGCGATTCAATAGAATTGGGGAAGCTTGCGCCCACTGAAGACAAGGGAGTCGCCAACATTGTCGAAGGGTGAGAAAACGACTTTGCCTTCTTCAAAATACCAGGCGATGGGTTAGTCGATGAACTCTTTCTCCTTCTCTTTGTCTTTGTTGTTGGGCTTACGCGCATCAACGGGGTAAACACATTGGGTGCACCTTGTTTAGCAGCAGAATTGGAATTCGATTCAGCGGGACTACTGTCCAAAGGCGAAGTGTTGACATTAATATTCATTGTGCTGGTAATTCTTTGGGCAAAAGAGTCCGGCTTTGGTGGTCTGCCTCTTTTCTTCTTGGGCGTCATTGACACTGGTTTCACCTTCTTTGCCTTGACGCGTTGTTGTTGTTGTTGTTGTTGTTGTTGTTGTTGCTGCTGCTGTTGCTGTTGTTGTTCAAGGATTGCTTGCTCCTGAGCCAACTGCATCTTTTGCATTTGCAACTGTTGAAGCAGGTTCTGCTCAGCGTAAAATTGGTTTACCTGAAAACTAGGGTTTTGGAATTCCCCATTCTGGGAAGGGGCTGATTGAAGTGGTTGTTGAACGTGGAATTGCTGCTGTTGTTGTTGATGTTGATGTTGGTGTTGATGTGGTGGTGGTAGATGTGGTGGTGGTAGATGTGATGATGGTTGTTGTAGGTGGTACTGGGGTAAGTTTTGATTTGGAAAGTATGGTTGAGTAGTTGGGTGAGGAGACATATTGTTGAAAAGAAGTACTCCTGGTGGCATATGAAAGATGTTATAGGAAAAAGGTTTCGCTTCGCTCTGCCTCGCTTAGGCTTAGTTATGTGGTAGTCTACGAATAGATATTATAGGCAAATAAAGCGAACGACAGTGATAAAGTTGAAATCTTTTTTATAAAAGGTTAAGATAATTGATGAAGGGAAATAGTTTGTTCAAAAGTTGGTAATATAAATTTTTTATTTTTTTTAATAGAATTGTGAGGTTTTTCGTTCAATAGAGAGAAAAAGAATTTTATTTTTATACTTAGTTAAACAAAGGAGAGAGAGAGAGAAAGCAAAAGACTACACAATACCAATTGGGAAAAGTAATTAATAAAAATAAAATACACAAAAGAGAGGTATACACATACGCAACAACAACAACAATCAGATAATTTTGACGACGAGTGAACATGTAGTTCTAACGTATCTTGTTTGCTTCACATTGCAACACTGACGATGGAAAAAAGCCCAAAGAAAAAGTTAAATCAAAGTGGTGTTTAGAAGATGGGAACGGGAAGGAGGGGAGATGATGGAATAACGGTTAATTGGGTAACCAATTTCAAGGACTTGGCCTCCTAACCAATTCCTTTCCTTTTTACGTCTCATTGTCTTACGGTTTGATTATCTCTCTCTGTTCTCCTTCTTATTCCGCCTTTTTTTTTTTTGTTAGTCGGTTTATTGTCTTTTGTACAATGTTTTTTTATATAATCAGCTTTTAAAATCAAATCCTACTGTCCGTACTATAGAAGCTGCAGGTCTCTTTCGCTTTCACTTTCTACTCACTGAACATACTTCGATGGTTACCGCAAAGCTCACACATCATCCTCCTTACCCCTATATACCACTCTCTCTAAAGTTACAAAACAGAAAAGGGAGATTTCGTACGTCACTACGCACAATGTTGCAATCCCACTACAATATAGACAAGATTGACAACAGCAACCAAACGGAAAACAAATACGTTTGTTTTCTAAGTTATCGCCTATTATAGGTAGCTTCACTTTTTCGGGGGGCACACTATCTAAAGTAAACCCATCTGGAATTTCAAATTTCCATTACTCCTTTCGGATAATTCCACTCGAAAGTTTTTCGCGTCTGATATTAATAGGAGCGGCGAAAAAAAAAAAGACAAAATAAAACTAAAAATAAAAAAATAAAAAAATAAAATAAAATGGAGAGGTGTTACGAGCCACAACTAGAACGGAGCTTAATCACCAACTCCTAGATAATCCACACCTGAATAACATTCATTAAGGCTAATGGTGAACAAAACAATGGCCAATGCAACCAGCAAGTGAAATTTTTTGTACTGTTTTCTCATAAGTTTAGCCGCCAGGAATATTGCAATTGTTTGTCCTTTTTGGACACAAAAGTACACACAGAAATAATTCTCAAAGCAAAACTTCAAAAGAATAAAAAAAAACAAGCTTGTCAGTAGTCTTCTCAAATTGATACAATTGTCAGTATCATTTTCCGGTGGACACTATCAGCCACCTCTTCTTCTTCTTCTTCATAGAGCAGCTTAGAGTCTAGTCCAAATGTACAAAGAAAATATCATCTTTGAAATAAAGAAAGAAAAAATTATTGGCATCTTTTTTACAGACGAAACTAAGACGCGTCAATCTGCATCTAATTTAACCGTTTTGGGAAAGAGTTACCACACTAAATATAGCTGTATATTGTGTAACAAAAAGACACACACATCACACCACCATACCCCACCACTAATAGCACCAATCTGATCTTCTACGTTCAACTTATATTGACCACCCCCAGATGTGCTAGCTATGTCCCCTTCAACGCATTTACCCACGATTGTAGCAAGTTCACCTTTTTAACCTCAACAGTCTCAATCTCCTCGTCATCGTATGCATCGTGCATTGTCGAATTCAACAAACCAGTATTGAAATTAGCCAATTCATTTGCAACTGCTGTATTGTCGCCACCAACTTTGCTCTGTTTATTCCTTTCTTCTATTTCATCAAGGACTTGTTCATGCTGACTTATCTCTAAATGACAGGTTTGCGGTGAAAATGACATTATGTACATGTACCAGCATTCAATAGACTTGAACCAATCTTGAGGTTTCTTGGGTCGATCTATTAGGAAAAACATTTTGGGCAAAAAATCAAGGTTTTGCGGTGGTTGGGGTCCTGAAAAGAGCAAGTTTTTTTCTTCGATAACCATACTATCGACTTGTGTAGTGGTCAATGTATCCAAAAGTTTAACATTGTAATAGATTTGTTTCGCCGTAGTTGGAACAAGTAAACTAGTTCGTGGTTCATGAACAATCACTTCATTTTCAAAATCAACCTTTGCATCAATCAACCTTCCAGTTCCCATCAACTTCACCAACAAGTCACTAAATTCATCTCCTTCAGTTTGCAAAAGCAGATACAAATCCTTAAATTTCCACTCAGATGAACTGATACTCTTCATCAACACTCGAATTCGTAAATTTTCCAGAATTTGTTGCGAAGCTTGTTTGAATATTTCGTCATTGAAAAATTCATCATCTTGTTGCAACACTTTATTAAATTCAATCACCGACATGCCATTATATGCCTTGATCATGTTTTTCAAATTATCAAATTCGGCAAATTGTGAATAGGTTTGCGTTTCCTGTGATTGGAAAGGGTCTAAATCATTATTACATAGCAATGAACATAATGCAAGATATTTCAAAATCTTATTCTTTGCTGCAGCCCCTGCTTCATCATAATTTTTAAAACTTTCGTAAAACTCAGCGCGAGCTTTTTCATAATTTTCACGATGAAATTGTACTCGAGCTCCACATTCTTTAATTACTCCTAGAATCTTTGGATGGGTGACTGCTGTGGTAAACTTGCTACTTTGTTTATACAAATGAGTCAATTTCGGTATATCTAGCTCTTCTAGCTTAAACAAATACTCAATTTCTCCAGCAATGATTTCCAAGGTGAACAATTTTTGTATTGATTCGGGTATAGTGGGGAATTTGTCATGAATAACATTCAACAACTCCGGTACCTTGTCCAATTCGCCTGTTTCCAAGTATAAGGCAAGTAAATTTGAATTCACCTTCAACCACAATTTTTCATTACGAAAGTATTCTTGTTCCAACAACAACTGATATACATTCTTGATGAAGTCAGGCTGGGGTACATTTGCATACCGTACAATCATTCTTGATAGCGATTCTTCAACATACGACTTGTTCAACCGAGGCAAAAGTGGCAACATCTGGTTCATTGTCGTCAAGACCTCGCTGAGTTTGCCTTCGGCTAAATATAGCTTTATCAATTGTTTGTACGATTTGAAAATCCATTCGTTGGCATCATCATCATCATCAAAGGAAGATTCTATAATCTTTTTAAAGTCAACAATTGCTTTATCCACTTCATCATCTTTGGAGCTCTTTGCCATATAATATCGGTTCTCCTGGAGGATAAGTTAGTATTGTCTTTCAATCAATCAATTGGCTTTTGCCACATACTATCCCTTGATCTTCTTCATCCTCATTGATTGCATTATTCTCATCACCTGATCCGGCATTGTCATGTTCTTCTTCTTCAAACTCGAATTCGTAAGAATCTTCTGAAAATAGTTCTTCGTCCGACATGTAAGGCTTTGTATAAAGTGGTGTGTAGCTCCTGCTGTTGAGGTGTAGGTTGGCTTTTTTGGGTTGTTTTTATTTTTTTCCTGCCTCAAAGTTCCTGTGCCAGTTTAGGAATGAGCAATGACTGCAAACTGTTTTTAGTGCTTGTTCTAAAACTGCAATTGAGCAAGTGTCGTGTAACGTCTAAGTGGGACAGAGGTGTGAAGGAAGGTTAAAAGCTAATCTACGGTAAAGCTAACTACAATTTAATTGTAAGTCTTTGTTTTCGAAATAAAAGCCTCTTGAGAAGGTTATTTGAAAAAGTTATCTCGATGTATGTAGTCTTTGGAAAAAAATGTTTTGAATAGGCATGTTGGCAACAATACGTAATCCAGGTTTGAATTTGCTGGTGTAGTAGTTTTCGAAAAAGACCCAAATGGTTAGCTAAAAGGCTTATCATATATATTTTGTAGCCTCAGCCCCAGTTCTGCTACCCAAGGGCATGATTTACTATCAAATAATTAGATAGTGCTAACAATATCTCTTTTTGTGCCCAGTTTCAGCCAAGTACAGTTCATAGTCCATGTTAAGAGGCCAATTTAGGTGTCAAAATGGTGTAGAAACGTGATCTGAAATCTAGCAACTTAAATCCCAAAAAACTTTTACAGTCATGAAACATCCTTTGTAGTGTAATGGCTATCACGGTTCGCTTTCACCGAGCAGATCGGGGTTCGATTCCCCGCAAGGGAGATTTTCATAAGTTTAAACACAAGTCCTTTGTAGTGTAATGGCTATCACGGTTCGCTCTCATTTGTAAGTCTACGACTGATTGCGCCGAGCAGATCCGGGTTCGATTCCCGGCAAGGGAGCTTAAACTTTTTTTTTGGATTTCCATCTAAGCTGGATTCATTCTTTTCTTTTTATCAAAGAGGGCACTTTGCCAAGTGAACTCGAAGGTAGGCTTTTCTTATTGGGGGGAATAGTGAGTGCATTAGAATAGAGAAACTTCTCTTCTGTTGATCAATCTAGGGAAAGTGTGTACAAACTTAAATTAATAATCGTGATAGGCAAAGATATGCTACAGGGAAAGAGATGATTTCGCGTTTAATTATTTCTTTAAATACTCTTCTTTTTCTATTCTACTAGTTGATTAAAGAGTGTACATGCTTTCTACCTGTGTTTTCAAATACAAAATGACTTTTTCAACAAAATTGGTCGCAAAATTATGAAAGGTTTACATCATTCCTCTAACAAAAAAAAATGTGTGCATAACAAAATAAGACCTCAAGACTGTCCTTTCAATCTCCATTACCTTAGAAAAAGAAAAAGAGCAAATGAATCAATCTAGTATTTCGATGAACTACTATTTTGTTGTTCAACATAACGTATGACAGCGAGGATTATCAATGACCATAAGTACAACAACCCCTTTTACCCCTTTTGCATGGTTTTAAACCTCAAGTAGATCTTCTATCAAAGTGAAATCAAGACAAGAGGCCAATCTCAACCCCATGGTCTATGAAACGAACTGCGAAGTTTTGTAACTTGCGTAAACGCTAGTATTGTTCTGCGTATCACTTTACAAATTTAGCCGAAAAATGTGACAAGCAAATAGAAACACACACACAAAAGCTTTGAGACTAAGCCTGTAGACAAAAGACAAAGTTTTTTAGCCGAATCTTTAATTTAATTTTTTCAAGTCTCCCAAATGGTTGAGGAATTCTGCGTCTTCTATTATTCAAAGGGATTTCGAGAAAAGTTTAATAGATGAAGAAGAAGAAGGTCATTTGAGTCTCTGTGGGCTATTTTTGCTGATCTTAAAGCCTGGTGTTTTTTATAGATGACTGCTTCTGAATAGTACTCTTTTTTTCATTCGTAGTACTAACCTTTCATCCGAACCAAACAAGTCTCGCAACATCTTCCATATCTCTTTGGCAAGTGACATTACATTTCAAGGAGAATAAGGGAGTAGCATCTATGACGTATGCAACAAAAACAAATTCAACACCACCTCCACTACGTCATAGCTTGCAAGAGTCTACCAGAGTAAACAAAAAAGGAGAAGTTTCAATGTAACGATGCTAAAACTTTAAAAAAAATAGTAGAAAAATAACGTTTTCAAATATTTGGTTTTCTAATATACTTCTAAATAATGATGAAAGTAATGACAACAATGACATCACTGGGAAAGGAAGGAAAGGAAGGGGTGGGGAACTGAAATAAAGTTACGCCAGCGTAACTGTGTAGCACTCTAGGACTCAAATGAAAACAATCAGAATTGAAACGCTTTTTTGGGAATATGCAATGTACCAAACTAGGTGATGAATGGGAAAACAAAAGTGATTGTTTTTTACTTGTTGACATGTATCAATACAAGCAAGATGAATGACGATAATGCGACAAAACTCAACACCAACAAATTAGTCGATTCTTTAACTCTTCTTATAATAAACTCATTTAGTTTCTCACTCTCCAACTCATCAAATTTAATAGACTCAATGACATCAGAGTCATCAACAGACTCACCTACCGGTGGTTTATGATACTTGCGTTGCTCATCAGGCACTACTTGGCCAATCAAATACGGTTGCAACATTTCCATAGCAAAATCAGAATGTCCCACATCTTCAAATGCTTGTGTTGCATCAGCACCACCACAATCATACAACACTTCTATTCCACCTAGATGGTATTTACAAAAATCAGTGACATCGTACACTTTATTGTATAGCACCATCCATATATCATTTGGCTGATCATGTTTCTTGATTTCCTGTAGTGAATAATCTCGCCTAGATGAGCGTGACATATTGATGATTATTTATATATATATATATGTAGTTATGCGTTGGTTGTGAAATTATAAAGTTGAATAGGTGTATCTCATAAGTTTCAAAGGTCTGTCTTTCAGTAGTGATCTTTGCCAAAACTGTTGTAACTCCGAAATATGACTAAAGCAAAGAATAAATAAAATAAAAGATGGGATGCAAGGGGAGGGGTAGGTCGTATGCAAATAGGTCAAACTTGTGGGAAACTAGTTGAATAGTGTGAAGTATCTGTATTTGAACAGAAAAGGTATTCGGTGGAGAAAAATGCTTTGAAAAGAAGGTATGTAAAGAAAGAGGAAAAAACAATATAAAAGAAGAAAAGAAGAAATTTTGTACAGTTTGATGTTTCGTTCGCTTCTGCTTTTTGTTTTTAATTTCCGTTGATAATTTTTCTTTTTCTTTTTACTATTATTATCCACCAGTACACTACCTTTTTGTTTTTTAATACTCTTAGCATTACACAAAGTTTTAGTTACAATTTAATAAAGTGTATTGTGTGTAAGGTATGGTAGTGTACAACATCTAAAAGAAAGAGTTTTATATGTATTTATGTATATGTACATAGAACATAAATATATATATATTACACATTACTTTCAACATTTAGTTACTATGTAAAATCAATCAATAGAATATAATACATTCAAGTAAAGTATTTGTAACTGCAAAACACCTTTTGTTTTTACTTTCCCACTTATATTGTATTATGTTTTAAATATATGCAGAATATAGATTAATACTTGAACTAGTTAAGTCATATAAGCCATTCATTTGATGCAGCGCAAAAGCAGTTTCCTAACCAAGATCATCTGCGGGACCAGTTAAATATTCACCTTGGCTTCAAGTTGTAGTTCTTTCCTTCCAATTCTGTTATACAATGTCAGTCAAACTCCCTCTGGCCACCCCTCCACTCACACTTTCCAAAACACTAACTCCACCTCGCTTTTGTTTGCTGTTTTCTATATGTCGTATATCTCAACAGTGCGACACAATATGACTTACTTTATCGTTTTTCTTGTTTTTTATTTTATTTTATTTTTTTTTTTTTCACATTTTTGTTGACTCTCGATCTATTTGACACATAATAAAAAAACAGTTACTACTACAGCACACACAATCACAGCAACCACTTTGTATATACACACATACAGACATACATTATCCGAATATATCATCATGAGTTATCGTACCTCCTCCTCCACAGGTGCCTTGCCTTCCTCCAAAAAAACCCATCTGGAACGCCACAAACAGATATTGAAACAGTTGTTGAAAGAAGAGCCCAATCGTTCATGTGCTGATTGTAAAATAAACAAAAACCCTCGATGGGCGTCATGGAATCTTGGATGTTTTATATGCATCAGGTGTTCCGGTATACATAGAAGTATGGGAACCCACATTTCAAAAGTCAAATCAGTTGATTTGGATGCTTGGACTGATGATCAAATTGAAAATATTGTACAATGGGGCAATGATAAATGTAATGGATTTTGGGAAGCCAAATTACCTGAAGGGTATATACCTGATCAATCGAAGATTGAAAATTTCATTAGAACAAAATATGATTTAAAGAAATGGTGTTTGTCTTCAACAATCCCTAATCCTGCTACTATCAAGGGCAAACCGACAACAAGTAATAATAATAATAATAATGGCACTACATCCAACAATGCATCAACCAATAATCTGCACCAGCAGAATGCATCCCACTTGAAAAAGAATCAAACTGCACCCACCCCGAAGTCAGGATCGTTATTGGATGACGAATTTGGATTATTTACCTCTCACAAATCATCATCACCAGTAACAACGACAACAGCAGCAGCATTAGCATCAACTACACCAGCTCAAGCGCGTACCCCACCAATATCAGGAAGAGCAACATCAGCAACCCCAGCATCGGCACCTGAGTCAAGATCCACTCAACAATTACAATCAGCCCAATCCACAGGAGGCTCCATTTCCAGTAACTCAAGACCCGACTTGAAGAAATCGATTCTTTCTCTCTATGCATCTCCATCAGCATCCAACAGTTTTATACAGCCACAGCAACAACAAAACAAAGCAGATTCAAGCGTCAATTCGTTGTCGGATTCATTAGCAGGACTTCAGTTCCAATCATCCAACTCTACGTCAAATTTAGGTAATGGTAACAACAACTATAGTGGTAGTGCTGGTAGTGCTGGTATTTACAACAAGCCACAAGCACAATCTACAGGATCATTAAATGCCACTATGAAACCATTAGGATCGTCTACTACAGCTCCTTGGAATTCAGAATGGAATGACTCATCTTCATCGTCTTACGCCACTACTACTCCAAAATCCAACATAAACGTTACATTAGATGACGATTTGTTTAAAAACGTTTGGAGTTGATCCCTCATTTTCTTAGTAGGGTTTGCTTTCTTATTTATAAATCAAGTCTAGAATTCTTCTCTATAAACCATTTATAGTAATACATAAACACAATTTCCATCATATGCATTTCAAATCAAAAATGCTTTATAGTCATACTGTTGTCTTTTTAATGACCACCAGTGGTTGGTAATCCAACAAACACTTTAAATGAATCATAAATCAACCATTGGAATCCAGTCAATGTACCAATCATAAAGATTCTCACGGGTAATCCATTCCACAATCCAGCAAATCCAATCTTTTGATAAATTCTTCCCAATGCTTGTCCTGTGGTTTCACCTGGTTTCTTATCCGCATTGATCTTTGACACCATAACATCAGCAGGATGAGAAACAATGGCACACAAAATACCAGCTAAATAACCACCAGTAAATGAAACACCAGTTTGTTGTAATGAATTATAGTGAGATTTGGGATGGCCCAAATAACTATAAATACCATTAACAATATTTTCAAAACTGGCAAATTTCACCATGGTATATGGAATTTGTCTACACCATAATGGAACAATACCCTTGTACAATCCACCAAAACCTTCTTTGCTAACAATCTTGTTCCATCCATCGAAGACAGAATTGGCATATGGTGGGATTGTAGTTTGCGTTTTGACTTTAATAGTTTCAAATGGACACAAGGCAATATCAGCCAAAAATTCAGCTGAAGCAGAAGCAGCCAAAAACACCCCTGTCTTGTAATCATTGGCCCATTTAGGACCAACTAAATCACTATATGTCTTTTTGAAAAATTCATAGAACCCATATTTACCAGCACCCTGGAAGGAATAACCAATAAAAGTAGCACCAATACCAGTAAAGATTGAATCACCTTTAGTTTTAAGAATGGTTTTCCATCCTTGAACATTGGATTTATACAAATGGCCATCAACTTGACGACGACACTTGACCAAGTCCAAGGGGGTGACTGCTGAATGAGTGGGTCCACAAGCAATAATACCACCCAATGTACAAGCAGCGTAATAAGCTGGGGTGAATTCAACAATCTTGCCCTTTTTAGGTGCAGCTGGAGCACTACCGCTGCCGCTGCCACTACCTCCAGTGGTGACTTTGTCTGCTGCTTTATGCAATTGGTCGTTGATTGGTTGAGTGATTGCTTCAGTTATACTACCAGCCATGATTGCTATGTTAGAATGTAGAATAGATTGTATATGTGTTTTAGTCAATTGATGTCTAACAACTGAATCTGCTGATGTTGTTGTTGTGTTAATTTAAAAAGTATATTGTGTAAGGGGGATGAATTGCTATATATATATGTAATTGCTATTTTGTTGGAATTCTCTCTCTTCTTCTTCTCCGGTTAATTTAATTCTTTTAATTTTTAAATTCCGAAGAAGAAACAATATAAAGAGCTTTTGTGTGATTAGAGGTTTCCATGTTTCTTCAGATTATATCCTTAACCGCTGATACCGTTTGCTATTGCATTGTTGCAGACCAAAAAAACAACAAGGTATACTCATTTGGTATAGTTTTATTTAGATCTACTATTAGAGATGCTACTACTGTATGAATCTACTACTCTCTGATGTCTTTCAGTTTTGACAGTTTGCTTCTTTTGCTAATTTATATATATCCTGTGTATAATTCCCTCGGAGTTATAATATAATATATAGTATATATAAAAAAAAAGAATTATATATTTTTGTTCTATCGGCAGCAAAAGAACATAAAACAAAGTGACACAAAAAACTTCTTTTACTAGATCAACCGGTGTGAAGGTCATTAACGGGATAATATCTCCGATGCATGCCCTGATTCAACAATATAAACACATCAAAGTCGGGACTATAGTATCACCAAAATACCTCTTTACCCCAAGCCCCAAGCCCCAAGCCCCAAGCCCCAAGCCTCAATCAAAAGCACTCTTCTTTAACAGCTCTTATTTATACTTTAGATCCTTCTCAGAAACCATTTTCAAATTCCATTCAACATTCAGAATCTTCAACCCACCAACTTCTTCATCTTCGTCTTCCCACTCCCCTTCTATTAACCCAATACCTTGAACCAAAGTACCATAGCTTGTAACACATTCAAATTGATCGTCAGGAACAAACTCCAAAATCCGCATTCCATGAGTAGTAATCTTTAAAATATCACAGTAGTCAGTATCATCAACATCACTTTTATTTTCAATACAACCATTTCCAACTTTTGAAATAATAGCATACCGTTCTCTTTGGCATGCTTTGCACCTTATTAGAATGTTGGCTAACCGACGGAACCCCGTCACTTGAAATGTATCGAATCGATTAATTTGCACTGGGTTTGGATGTAATGTCTTGCACCCATTACATTGGAATTTGAATTTATAATCATGAGGATAAATTTCATTGTCAACTGGTTGCACTTTCGCCACATTATGTAGCTCAGCTTTAGCTTGTAAGATAAACGTCAACATATTTTGCTTTTTGAGAGAGTTTAAAGTAAACCTTATTTTAAAAAGTAGCCATCTTCGGGTGACTATTTATAATCCAACAAGTTCAACTGATGGGTATCTAATAGGCATGAAACTTTGCTGCAAAATGTGTTTTTTTTTTCAAAACACTCAAGACTCATAATTTGACGGGGGCCTATTTCCCCAATCGGGAATTAGACGCGAGAGAGAGAGTATTTTTTAGAGCCGTGTGCACATGGTATGCGCTACCACAGACCGAAGTGACTCATATAACCTTCAACAATGATAGAGTAAAGCAATTATCTATGAGATAGGTTTGGAGAGAGTAAAATGGTAATGCAGATTTCTGTTTATTCTGACGACAAGTTTACACAGGTCCACAGCCACTGTCTAAGAACACATTTCGACTTTATAGTGACAACTTTTTATATTGCTCTTCTCACTTCTTTTCCTCACAATAGGTCCTAGCTCTTCAATGCCAACACAACACACACTCTCCTACCACCCTCCCCCTCCTCCTACGAGCGTGAAATAGTCCATCCAACATCAATTATCGACACTTCCTCATTGGTCTTTTCATCAACATCGTACCACTCGCCATCCTCCAAATCGACTTCATTGAATTTAGTACCTGTTTCCTCGCCTACAGCTTGAAATTTTCCATCGGGTATAAACTTGATAAAATCAAGACCTCTTGCATCAATTTCTAGTATACTGACTGGTTTCCCAGCACCAATCTCCAATTTCTCATTGGTTCTGACTATACTAGCTGAATGTTCATTTTTGCATTCTTTGCATCTGAATACAAAACTGGCTTCACCTCTTGACCCACTTATGTCATGGTGCTCAAAACGATTTATTTGGATCTCTTTATCGTGTACAGTTCTGCATTTGGTACATTCAATTTGAAACGTGTATTCATATGGTGACTCAGGCGTATCAAGTGGTTCCAAATCAGTGACATTTGTTAATTCACCAAATACTTTGAGTAGAAATTTAACCATAATCGACTAGGGTGAGTTCTATTAATCTGTGTATATACTGATTGATCCGACGATGGGGATATGGCGTGGAGATTCTTTTGTAGTCCAAGAGTCGTTGCTAACAAAACAATGATAGTTCGGTTAGTTTTGCATTTTTATTTTTTTTTTCAGTGTTAACAGAGAAGAAGAAAAAAAAGAAATTGATCCGCTACACACCCACACCCACACTCTTTCTCTCTCGCAAGCAATTCATTTTTTTTATTTTTTTTTTTAATTTCCTTTTAGATAAATCCATTCTTTCATACTATATCACATAGATATAGATATATATATATATACACCCCCCACAGATTATACATTGCGTATATTTCTTCTACACCAGACTAGTCTTTAGTACCAGAGTCTTTACATTTTTTTTTTTCAATCAACTACACATGTTGCAACGAGAAGCCCAACTCTATCACCACACATTACCAATTTTGAAAATATAAAATTTACCATTCTTGAAACGGGAAAAAGCATTTGTCATCAAAGAACAAAAATCAAATCACCTCGGCAACACTTGGACTTATGAGCGAGACATCTACTATAAAGGCTGAAACCTGTGGCCACAACCCATCCGACCATACTTCATCTCCAGCATTTTCCGATATAATACACGGTGAAGATCTTGAGTTTAGAAAAGAACATGAAAACCCATTCCCAGTACGACATAAATTCGAGGTATTAGGAAAAATCACACCTCCTAGCATACTATCACGGTGTTCAAATACCCAGCTTGTCACCATGGCGGGTGCCGCTTCGGGTTTTCTAGCAGGTATTGTAGTGTGTCCACTAGATGTAATCAAAACTAGACTTCAAGCCCAACAAGACAAGACGAACCGATTAGGGTTTCGACAAATGTTGAAAAAGATACTACGCACAGAAGGTGTGAGTGGGTTATATCGAGGGCTAGTGCCAATTACCATTGGATATCTACCAACATGGACTATTTATTTCACAGTTTACGAAAGAGCCAAAAAGTTTTACCCGCAATTTATACTGCGGCACTGGGATATCAATAGCCCTGCATTAAATCATTTCTGCTCTGCCATAACAGCAGGAATGACCAGCTCAATAGCTGTAAACCCGATTTGGGTTGTTAAAACAAGGTTGATGGTTCAGTCAAGCAAAAAGTCGTCGCCAACTGATGTGGTATACAAGGGAACTATCGATGCATTCAGGACAATGTATCAAGAAGAAGGAATTAGGGTGTTTTACAGTGGGTTGGTGCCTTCACTATTTGGATTGATTCATGTGGGTATTCATTTCCCGGTTTATGAAAAAATGAAGTCGTGGTTGCATTGTAGCACCATTGATCAACAAAATGAAGTACCGGGACTTTTATGGAGACTTATTGCTGCATCGTCCATTTCCAAAATGATTGCTAGTACAATCACCTACCCGCATGAGATTTTGCGTACTCGATTACAAATGAGAAAAAACAACGACAAGCAAGGTGGTAGTAAGCCCAATGCAAACTCCACCACCACCAATGCAAACTCCACCACCACCAATGCCAAGGGGTCTCTCATTAAAACTATTTCGGACATTTATCACAAAGAGGGGCTCCGTGGGTATTATGCCGGCTATGTCACCAACTTGATACGAACCGTACCTGCAAGTGCAGTCACTTTGGTTAGTTTTGAATATTTCAAGACTTATTTGTTGGAAATCGGCGGCAAAGCCAAGAAAATGGCTCATTGATAGATTTTTTTAAATTAGCATTCATATATATATACATATATATATTCTGTATAACCTAGAACAGTCAATTTGTAATGATTAACAAGACTTGTATAAAAAATGGCTGCGCGTTGATTAACGATTTTTCGTTCAAAATCAAAACTGTAAAAGAAGTCTCATTTCCAAGTCGAGGGGTGATATAGAAACAACAACCAAAGAGCTAGAGCCACAACCCCAAACTCAGTTTGCTAATATGAAGTTAAACCGTCTAAGTTTGCTATATTTTACTGCAAGTGCAGTGGTGGCCAACAACAATTTAATGCTAAATGTCAACCTCGCCAAGCGATCTCAAGATTTAGCTAAACGAGAGGAAGCAGAAGCTCCACTCTCAGATTCCAACTCGGATGCATCGCTAGAACAGATAGAACTTCCTCCAACGTTGGGGAAAGACGAATTCGATGCAGTGACTAGCAAAAATTTAGTCCTTGTTGAATTTTATTCACCGTATTGCCTGCATTGTAAAAGTTTCTTCCCCACTTGGCAAAAAGCATATAGGATTTTCAAAACCAAATTTGCAAATCTAAACACTGATATGAGACAGGTGAACTGTATTGAAAATGGGGATTTATGTGAGCGTGAACTGATTGAATTTTATCCCAACATCCTTCTATACGCACCCGTTTTGGATAAAGATGGGAAACCCACAGGTAAATCAAAAAACATTGGATCATTTCCAAGAACCTTGGAGAAAACTGAGGCAAACTTGGTTAGCTATATCCAGGAATCATTGGCTGACTACGACCTGGAATCAGCAAGTATGCCGTCGGCATCAAAAGAAATGAGTGTCGATGAAATATTGAAAGCTGTTAGTGGAGAGATTACAAAGCCAATATTCGTTTCATTCTGGCAAGCAACCAAGAAGCAGTGGAATAGTGTTGATCTTGGTGGGAAAGTCAGATTCAGCGACAACTGTATCGATTGTTTACACGTTAAGCAGTTGTGGGATAAATTGAGCAACAAGATTGTCTCCTTAGCCGATTCAGGCCATTTTCTATGTAGCGATTACCCTAAGGTTTGCGAAAAATTGGAATTGGATCTGTTCAAGGATGCGAAAAGATCATCTCCAAAGTTTATCATGTTCTTACCTAAAGACAGAAAAGCTATAAGATTCGATTATGATGGTCCCGTAGATGTTGCAAAGATGAAGTGGTGGGTCAATAAGCTATTTGTGAATAGTGCCTACGAAGTGGTTTCAGCAAAAGGTATTACTGAGGTTATGGAGTTTACCAAAACCTTAAGACACGAGCCCTTTGCCCAGAATTACCCATTAAAGAGTAAGGTTACAGTTGTGTTTTTCTTTGATGTGAATGCAGTAACCCCTGAAGATGAGGCTGTTTTACCATACATGTTGCGCACATTACAAAAATCGCCATTCAACATCCAATTATACAAGGGCAAACACAATCGAATTCTTGAGAATATTCAAACAATGGGCGAAAACTTGATCTCATACATTAACTACGATGAACTGGAGAAATACGAATTCAATGAAGCTATGCAAATTGCCACTTCAATAACCCAAGTGCCGACAATTGTTGTTTTGAAGGAAAATTCATTGATCCCCGAGATTTATCAAAACTTTGCTCTTGAACAAATGAGGAAATATGATGAGATTGAAAAGTTCCTTGAACGTGCCCAGTACCCATTCATCGCTGAATTAACTCCAGAATTGGTATCGGCGTATTTCGTTGACCCAGACTACGCATTGGACATAGCAGATGCAAAAGTGGTTATAATCTTTGTTGATTTGGATAATTTAAAAGAGACAGATGAAGCATTGTACCGGTTATCCTTGGTAGCCCATGAGTACAATTTCCTTAAAAAGAGCTATTATTTCAACAAAATTCTCGAACAAAGGGCATCAAAGGAAGAAGAAGTTGAGAAATTAAAGGCGAAAAATGCAGAGACACTAAAAATTATGACGGCAATGAGAAAACAAGTACCTCATTTATTCAACAATGATGATGTCGTATTTACATTTATCAACAAACCAACCCTGAAGAATTTCCGATACGTGAAGGGTTGGAGAATTAGACCAGATGATTATGACGTTGGTGACGCGATTGTCGTGTCTAAGGATCATCGATACTTCTGGGATACCGATTTAAACAACAAGAAATTGAGGAATGAACCAAAACAAATCAAACTGGTGCTCATGTCTTTATTACATAAGGATAACAATATGCAGTTGAAATTTGTTGGTTCTCCTTATGGAGGATTGTTTTATTTTATGAATTATGTTCATGATTTTGGAATCGTGGGGTATTTGGGGTTCATTGTTGTTGTGTATGCATTAATACACATATCCATGAGGTTAAGGAGACGCAGGTATAGGTCTCAAGGTATAATTGGAGTCAATAATGGGGCATTTTTGCCTAAAAAGCTGAACAAGGATTAAAGACAATGATAGTTTAAATAAACAGTACTTATTATCGATATTGTAGTTTAGATAGCAAAACCATAACAAATTTACTTGGTTCAGATGGAGACACAACCATTGCTACTGTTAGAATTCCTCTGTTGATTTTGTAATCTGACGCGTAAAGATCTGATATTAGTTCATCTTCTGCAATATAATGTAACAAAAAAAAAAAAAACAAAAAATTTAATTTCTCCGAAATTAACAATTTTGTGTAACCAACAATACAATTCACGAAAAATCTCGAATACGTTTTTTTTTTCTTTAAATTTACCACGTTGTTCGTTCAGTTCAGTTCAGTTATTTTCTCTTATTTCTAACCAAACCGCTAAGCTACAATTTAGAACATCCTTAGTGCTGTTAATATTTCCAAATAATGACTGATAAATTAATTAGACTCCAATGTGGATTCCAAAACTATGACTGGGGGAAAGTCGGATCGTCTTCAGCCGTGGCTCAGTTTGTCAAGAAATCTGATCCTTCAATCACCATCGATGAATCGAAGCCATATGCTGAATTGTGGATGGGTACTCACCCTTCAGTCCCATCTCAAGCTATTGGATTCAATGAAACATTGCGCGAATTAATCACGACTCACCCTCAAGAATTGTTAGGTGAAACAATCATTAAGAAATTTGGTTCATCCAAAGAGTTGCCATTTTTGTTTAAAGTCTTGAGTATTGAAAAAGTGTTGTCTATCCAAGCACACCCTGACAAAGCTTTAGGTGCTCAACTACACGACCAAGATCCAAAGAATTACCCCGATGACAATCATAAACCAGAAATGGCCATTGCTGTTACTGATTTTGAAGGATTTTGCGGGTTTAAGCCAGTTGATCAGTTAGCGTCCGCTTTGGAATCAGTTTCCGAGTTGAAGCAAATTATTGGAGATGAATTGATTAAAGAATTCGTGGCCGGAATCAAGCCTAGTGCTGAAGTTGGCACCCAAGATGATAAAACGAATCGTTCCTTAATTCAAAAAATTTTCAGTAAATTAATGAATACAGAAGAAAGCGAAATAAACAAACAAGCTGCATCTTTAGTCCAATCAAGTGAACTGAACCCTGAAATATTCACCAAGCTCGATCCAAGATTACCTGAATTAATCCAAAGGTTAAACAAGCAATTCCCCAACGATATTGGGTTATTCTGCGGATGCCTCTTGTTGAATCATGTTGCTTTGACCAAAGGTGAGGCTATGTTTTTGCAAGCCAAAGACCCACATGCTTACATTAGCGGAGACATCATTGAATGTATGGCTGCTTCGGATAATGTTGTACGTGCTGGTTTCACACCTAAATTCAAAGATGTCAAGAACTTGGTCGATATGTTGACTTATGCTAGTGAGCCAGTTGAAAAACAAAAAATGCAACCTAAAAAATTCCCTAGATCGACTGGTGATGCCATTTCCGTCAATTTATTTGATCCTCCAATTGAAGAATTCTCCGTATTGCAAACTGTTTTTGATAAAAAGGGAGGAAAGCAAACATACCAATCAATTGAAGGTCCATCTATTATAATTGCCACCAACGGATCGGGTGAGATCAAGATTGCTGGTGGTCAAAACACGGAAAAGATCGATACTGGATACGTGTTTTTCGTTGCGCCAAACACCGAAATCGAATTGATTGCTGATAACGGTGATGAACAATTTACCACTTATAGAGCATTTGTTGAGGCATAAGTCACTAAACTAGAAGATTTATTTATAAAATGTATTTAATTTAAAAATCTATTGTCTATGAAACTTCTAAACGTCTCTAATTAGCAACTTAATACTTGCTGCCTGCCTTTTCAGCCTGCTCAGCTTTTTCAGTTCTGGCAATCAAGTCAACAATTTGTTGCTTGTTTGGCCAGAATCCCCAAGCCAATTGCAATGCTTGATGTAATCTAACTCCCAAGTCATCAGCTATGGCCCAAACCAAACCTGGGTTTCTCAAGAAACCCCTAGCAACTAATGCCAAGTCAAACGCACCTTGTTCAACAAAACGGTTCAATTCATGAGAGTCTTTGTCCAATCCCCCAACACAACTGACGACCAATTTATCGCCAACGTGTTCCTTCAATGCACGCGAAAACGGTACATGAATTGGTTCTTTGTTCTTCGAATCAATGTTCGATCTTGCTGCTTGTCTATAATCATTTCCACCTGATGAAACATCGAGCAAACTGACTCCCTTTTCAATTAATAAATCAGCCAATCTCTTTGAATCCTCAATAGACCATGCTTCTGGAGCAGGACTATTCTCAACAGCAGAGATTCTAACAAAGATTGGCGTTTTTTTGATATCAATATTGGACTTGATCTCATCAATAACCTCCATTAAGAACCTGACTCTATTTTCATAACTGCCACCGTATTCATCGGTTCTCTTGTTTGAGACAGAACTGTAGAATTCATTGGAAAGATATCCGTGGGCGCTGTGGACCTCAACTGCATCAAATCCACTAATCTCAACAGATCTCCTGGCAGCTTCACCAAACTCCTTGATAATTCTCTTGATATCCTTTACACTCAACTCATGAGGTACAGGGTAGTTACCATGTGGTCTAAATGGAACAGCCGATGGAGCAACAGTCTTATCAGGCCATCCACCAACTGATGCATCAGCTGCTTGTTCCAAATGCAAGAATGGTGGTTGTCCTGAAGCTTTTCTACCTCCGTGTCCTAATTGAATAGCAATCAACTGTTTTTGTGAATGTGCATATTCAACAACTGGTTTCAAACTTTCGGCTTGTGCATTTGTCCAAATTCCTAAATCATGAGGACTCAATCCACCTTCTGGACTGACTGAGGTACTTTCGACAATGGTAATTCCAGGACCCCTGGTGACCAATGCACCATAATGAATCAAATGGTATGGAGTTGCTTCTAATTTATCATTTGCCGAGTATTGACACATTGGCGAAACACCAATTCTGTTTTGCAAAGTGAGTGGCCCGATTTTCAAAGGTTTGAAAAGAGCGGGTGGCTCTTGGTCTTGATTAGATTCATCATGATAAAAGGTACCGGCTCTAACCGGTTGATCTGGTGTGTAGTAAGGAACTGCTGGTGCACCCTTAATCTCATCTGATGGAGTAACTTCTTTTGCAATAGTCATTTTTTGTACAAAGCAGTAGCTTGGTTGCTTTAAGAATTCAATCCAAGTAGAAAATGGTTTCAAATGATTGCTATTTATATGCTGCGAATTTTTTGAATGTTTGCTTATTAATGTATATGCATATATATGCAACACAAAATATCAACTGACATTCTATTGTTTTATTTTGCGTGGAAAACGTTTTGTTTGTGGAACACTGAGGAAGAGTTTCGGGTTTTATCCTAATGAAGGAAGGGATCCTGACTGATATGTAATCAAGACCCACCAAGGCAATAATGAAACATGAACCAATATGATAATAGGAGAACTTCTGCGTTGGCATGAAATGGCTTCAATTGAGCTTTGTTGAATTTGCAAGCCATTTTTTGAGTTCAGTTTCTTAGTTGTAGTCACGTGCGCATTTTTCAGCCACTTACATAATATTTACATAATACACTTTTTACCAAGAAAACAAAAATAATCTACAACGTTCAACAATTAAAAACCATGTCATTTTTAGCTTAGAAACTCAGGGTTGGTCTCAAGAAATATTGGTGTAAACAACTGATTTGAAACCAATTAAGAATCAATTACAATCACTGATTAGTGTAACTGGCTTGAAAGGACTCCGAAGTAGGAAGGGCCAGTGATCAATTGATCAAAGGTGAAAAAAATAACACAAAAATTTCCAAAAGGGGAGGAGGCAGCATAATTGAAAGCAAAATATTGTTATCGCACCATGACAGAGGAGCAAGTACCAGAAAGGAGGCCATTGAGGTCTCAAGAAACAGATGAAGAGAGAGCCGAAAGATTGGCAAAGCAGGAGGAAACCGACTCGCGCTCAATATACGTTGGAAATGTCGATTATCAGTCAACACCCGAGCAATTGGAAGAGTTTTTCCATGTAGTTGGGGTTATTGAGAGGATCACGATATTATTTGATAAATTCAACGGATTGCCCAAAGGTTATGCCTATGTTGAATTTGAGAAAACCGACAGTGTCAACAAAGCTGTCGAGGACTTGCATGGTAAAGAGTTCAGAGGTAGAGAGATTAGAGTTACGCCAAAGAGAACCAACTTGCCAGGATTTAGGAAGAGAGGATCGAGAGGTAGAGGTATGTTCAGGGGAAGAGGTGGAGGTAGAGGAAGAGGCAGAGGTAGAGGTGGGTTCAGAGGCAGAGGAAGAGGGAGTGGTAGTGGCGGAGAAGAGGGGATTGGTGGTTACGATGACTCCACAGAAGATGGGGTTATAGGTGAATCTGTACGGGTTGAGGATTTAGCTTTATGAGCCTTAGTTGGGAGAGGGGATGGGATCTTACCGCGCTATGCAAATTACTTAATACGTTTGCGCTTTTTTTAAGTTACAGTTTTAGTAACATCATCTAATGCAGAAACATTGACATATGTCTATCATATGGTTGTAGTGAGCATTTGTAGAAGTTAGCATGCTGAGTACTCTTCAACTGGTGTCCAACCTGTTTCAATAGTTAGCATTTAAGGGGAAAGTCCTTACTTTAGCTGGAATTTTCAATCCAATATTCAGTTATCACAGAACGACACTCATCTCATCTCAGAATAGGGTGCATATCATCCTTAATCATGCTCTGCTCTCTTTGAAGTGGAAGAAGCATTGTGATATTCTTAGGAGTGTTGTGAGATTTGGGTAGTGTATTGATCAAAAAAGATTAAACAAAAACTCATCTCTTCTCTTGCAACCAAGAACTCTTCTGATAAGCACTATACAACAAAACAGTCACCATGGTTTCAGTAAGAAAGAGAAAGATGGCCAGGTCATCTGTCAAAAAGAACACAAGAAGGACCAAAGACAAGCAACGTAACATAAACGTGTACTCAAATCCTATTATTGCACAGAACTGGGACAAATCATTAACTTTACAACAGAATTATAAACGTTTAGGATTAAGAGCAAAGCTAGGCCATATGGCTGGTGGTACTGAAAGGAAAGTGGAAACCTTGACTGAAATTAGAGATAAGAAGAAAAATAAAGACAATGGTGATGCTGTTGTCACGATTGATGAGATTGAACATACAGATGACTCTTCTAAAATACCTGAAGGTGAAGCTAGAATTATAAGAGATCCAGAGACAGACGAAGTGTTGAAAGTTATTTATGGAACTATGAAAGTTGACGAAGATGAGAGTGAAGACGATAAAGCCGACAACTCTGTCATTAAACAGCTAGAAGAATATGCAGAGCAACACAGCAAGGTGAAAAAGGAAAGACATCCTTCCGAAAGAGAAAGCGAATGGTTGAAGTCATTGTACGAAAAGTATGGAGATGATTACGAAAAGATGAAGTGGGACAAAAAACTAAATATCTACCAGCAACCGGCAGGCGATTTAAAGAGGAGAATCACGAAATGGAAAAAGGCAAATGGTTTATAAAACTCTATAATGTATTGCACAGTGTTAGACTCTTGATTCTAAATTCAACTGTAGTATCTTATCTATGACATCACTCATTATCGGTTTCAACTCGGATGTTTGATACAAGTCAATCAACTTCTTATCTTTATCATCTTGCAACTCAATCAATTCTACAAAGCTGGGGTCTATTGGTATGTTTCCCAAATACGTCAAATCCAACTGTTTGGCCAACTGCTCGCCTCCGCCACTGGAGAAGATGTTGGTGCATTCGGCACAATATGGACAGATAAACCCAGACATATTCTCAACGACTCCTAGTATATTAAAATTCACTTTTTTGCAAAAATTTATCTCCTTTCGAACATCAGCCGTGGCAACTTGTTGTGGTGTGGTTACGATAATAGCTCCATCAATCGGCTGCGCAAAACGCAACTCTTCGGCTATTGCTATATGCTCATCAGATGTGCCTGGCGGCGTGTCAATAAGTAAATAATCCAACGGTTCGTCAGTACTCCATACAACATCTTTCAAAAATTGTTTAATCATGGCCGTTTTCTTAGGACCTCTCCAAACAACCGAATTACCGCGATCTCCAAGCAAAAAGCCCAACGACATCAACTTCAAGCTTCCTCCTGATGGTGTTTCTGATTTGGAATACACTTGTACTGGGACCCAGCCCTGAGTCGACTGATGCACTTGTTTCTTTTCAACACCAAACATTCGCGGAAGCGAAGGGCCTGTTAGATCTATATCAAGTACTCCCACATTAAACCCTTTGTTGACTAATGTTAAAGCAGTTTGCGTCGTTACTGAAGACTTGCCCACGCCACCTTTGCCTGACAATATTAGAACCACATGCTTGACGTTGCTTAGTGATTTTGGGACTTCCTGTGACATTTGAATGATTTTTTATTGTAGCTTTCTATTCCAAGTTAAGAAATGTTTGGTGTGATTAGTAAAACTTGCAATACGACATCAAACATTTTGCGGCAGAACATTTCTTTTTTATCCACTAAACTGAACAACAAAACATCAGAAAAGTGCCAACACTTTTGACAGTTTTTCCTCCCCTACACCTGATAATGACATCTAGATACTCGGCCGCTGGCGGCGCCCACCAAAGAGGGGACTTACGTACCCAGCTATTCAGTACGCCAGGGCAGCACAATTTCAGTGGCATACGCCCACTGCGCAGTCAAACACCACCACTGCGATCGAATATGTCTTCACCCTATGACCCAACTCCAAGAGCATCATCTTCAAATGCCAAATTTGACGAATCATTACTAGCATCATTAGAATCACAAAATGATGAAGAGTTGAATACCATGGGGGCTAAGATTAACATGTTGAAAAATTTGGGGGAGAAAATGGGAGTTGAAATAAACAAGCTGGTTAAATTGAACGATGAAATAACGAATGGGTTTGAAAAGGGGAAAGTGACGTTGAAAAATACATACAATAAGATGGTGGTGATGAGTCAGCGGGCAGGTATCAGTTGGAAAATGTGGCTACTTGTCTTTGGGTTAGTTATACTATTTTTCTTTTACGTGTGGATAACGTGAAGCACAAATGAGAATGTTGTTTGGTTCTTTGCGGGATTAAAGAAGTGAGACTGGAACAGCTATGAGACCATGTTTGACTTTGCCTGCGAGACGTTTTCGTAAAGGACAACAGTGGTTACCGCTTGTCTTGAAAGAGGAGAACAACAAGAAGATAGAAGCAATGGTGGTCTATTATATATCTATCGATAGCATTAATTAATACGATACCTTTTAATTCAAGTGCAGTTTCATAGCAATTTTGTTCTACAAGGTGCAAACTATTTGCGCTCTAGAAGGGGCGGGGGGGGGGGGGGGGGGGAAANGGGGGGGGAAACTCTAATGAAGGCGATTGATAGTTACTGTACAAAGCTTTTCAAAATGGATATTGAACGCGGGCTTCCTTCCCCGTCCGAAATGAATTCGTCATCCACTTGTTCGTGCCCACCATCTGCTTTATGCCTCTCATGCTTTAAGATAATAGTCCCATTTGCATTGAATGCACTAATATAGTTATCAGTCTTTGATCCATAAGCATTATTTACCTCAGAAAGGGCACTTATTTCCTGGTCATACACTTCATTAGCATTATGCAAATTCTCATTTTGCAAAGTTGAACGCTGTCGGAGGGGTGACGTCGTTCTTGTTTTCAAAATTGAGCTCTTGGGTTTTAATATGTGATGTGACGGCTGGTGCTTGGGCGTAGGCGACATTTCTTTAACTTGCAATATCGCTCTCCTTCTTTTCGTTGACTTTTTTGCCCTATGAGCACGGCGTTTTTGTTTCAAGTCTTTTTTCAAATCCGTATAATAGTTACTAGCAAGTTGAAGGTTTATCATATCAGTTGAGGAGTCAGAGTCAGACGAGTCAAGTTCTGAAGAGGAAATCGAAGACACTTCATCCGAGATGTCACCACCAAAATTAGGTCGTACGTAGGGATCGGTACGATTATTTTCAGTTTCAAAGTTCTCCTCATCTTCCGTATTCATACCGGAGGAGTTCCAAATATCTTCATTTTCATCAGTGGCTTCGTCATCGCAATCAAGGGTTAAATCTTCCAACATTTTAGCTGTCAATACTTCATCCGATTGTTCGCTACGCTGTAGCTTTTCTCTCTCGCGTCGAAAATGCTCAGACGTGAGCGGACTCCCATTGATTCTCAATTTTTTGAAATGGGAACTTTGTTGTGTTGATTTAATTGTAGCTGCTGACTTCATTGACAAGATGGATGAAAATGGATACCGTGACGCATTTTGTTCACGTTGATGTTGGTCTAAATATTTAGGGTTGGATATTAACTGGGAATATAATAGGTTCAAAGGGTTTCCCCCAGACTTGAAGCTTGTTAATGACGAGTCTAAAGTTTGTTCCTCAGCTTTGATGGTCTTTAGACTTTTACTCTGTTGCTGCCGGTATTTCCCTATACTAGTTGACATGAAAAGCTCAAACTCAGACGGATCCATGACATCCTCTTCTTGAAATGCGGGTTTCTTCGAATCTTTCTTGGGACTGTGGGGTTTTGTCACTGATTCCTCTTTGCCTAGGAATGGTGATTCTGGAACTTCCAACTGGGAACCGTGAACCTCACCATTATGAGATTCTTTATCTAGCACATGCTCATTCTTGGTATCAGGATCACTCTCGACAGAAATAGTGTTTGCTGACTCGTTAGTTACAGGGCCTATATGCTCCCGCGAATCACTTTCTTTGCGTAGTAGGCTATACAAATGGGGATACTTTTCTCTCTTGATGCTTACTAAACTCTCACGACCTGGGCGATGCTTCTCCTCTATCTTCTGTAGTTTGGAAATGGTATCCTTTAAGCGATCGCTTGTCTCTATACTCTTTTTCAATAGTCGATTGACCTCTCCCTCATCATGGGTGCTCCCATCATTTACATTGCCAAAATTCGATGATGCTATTGCCTTTTTCAACTTCTTTCGGCGTTGATGAATAATCAGATTGATATGATTAGTTTCTCGACAAATATTGATGTTTTTAAACTGAATTTTCTGTTCGGTCGATAATTTATGTTTGATTTCTTGTCTCAAATCGTTTTGGTAGTTGGTACTAACGTTTAGTAGGTCGCTGATAACTTGCTCTGATTCATTATGAAGTACGTTGTTTAAAATATAGTCAAGTTGAAAGCATTCCGCAGAGGGTAAAGGAATGCTACCGTTTGAGCTGTTATGTAGAAATCGGGGCTGATACTGTTTATACCTTTGTTTCTTCCAGTTCGATACTGCTGAACTTGATCTCGTTCTATCGGTAGACGTCGTTTTCGTTGTTGTCTTATTATTGTCAGACGACATTTAGCAGTATCACAAGGTACTTCCTGTAAAATTCTCAAGAGGGTTTATATCAATTGGAAATGGAGAGTGGGTTGATTAATTGAGAACTATCTTCCCATTCCTTAAAAAAAGAGGAAAAAAACCTGGAGATCAAAGAAGATTAATGCTACCAATTTTTGGGAGCACTAATAAATGCCACAATTCAATCACGCATCTAAATGATAATTTTGTTATATAACAGCCCAGATCGAAAGGTCTACTTCAATCCACTTCGTTTGCAATCTCTCATGATTTGAAACTAATAACGTCTACACAATTGCTAATAATACACAGAACCCTCTTTATCCACCGTGTTTTTGTCCCCAAACGGATCTCCCAAGGATTCACTAGTTTCTATTTTGGCAAGACCTGGCCTTTCAAGTCCATTCGTCAGTTGTGGTTTATCTTTACCAGAAGTACGAGACACTTGTGGAACTGGGGGTGGTGGTCGCTTGTTCTCCAAAGTGACCGACTGCAATCTGGCAGCAATCAGATCTTCACCTGGTACCGCCTCCTCTAAGTCATCATCATCATCTTCATCATCTTCAGTGGAATAATAACTTTCATCACTTTCACTCAATTCTTCTACCTCAGGAGGCGCTGGGTTGGTCAGTGAGTATCCTGCTTTAACATCAAACTTCTTAAACGTTTCGACTAATTGTTCATTGGCGTAAATCAACTTTGCCAAGAATTCTTCGTCCTGTTTTGCCACATCCAGCGACTTCTCCAGAGGATCACCCGCACCAACAAATTGCAAGTACTTCAAGATCTTACGTCTAATCTTTTTGCATTTTTGAAAATTCGTCATAACTTCGTCATCGTCTTGAGGTGCTGAACCTGGTGGGAGTTGCAACAATTGATTGTTTAAAGTAATTGTATAGTCATTACACTCTGTTAAGACATGTCTAATCTTTGGAGCTTCCAATTTATAGTTGATTTGTGGTATACCATACTCAGAATCGGCATACACAATTCCATTCTTTGACCTTTTCTTTTTCTTTTTCAATTTGTCTTTTTTGCTTGACGACTTTCGATTGCTAATTGAATATGGTGAAGCTGTGGTAGGACGGGGAGGTGGCACCTTTGGCGACCTTGGATTCGAAGGTCGAGGTGATTCTGAAATTCGAGAAGAGCCCTCATCATCGTAAGCATGATCATCTCCATATGGATCCGACTCCTCATCAAACACGTCATAGTCATTATAACCTTCATTACCACCTTTAGACACACTACCACTAGCCAGGCGCGAGTGCTTGGAACGTTTCTTTATGCCCGGAATAGTCTTGTACAAACCTTGCATATATTGGTACCCTTTCAATCCATCGAGTTCAGACTTCCACCCCACGGCCATGTTAATCACTGTCTTTTTAACCTTTGGACTGTAGTTGGTACCAGACCCAGTTCTGCCATGACCGTTGATTATTCCTTTCAAGACGTCCAACAACTTATCATCACGAGCAATAACAGGACCAATCTTGGTGCCTGAATTGAGCACCAAAAGTTCTAAAAGCTGTAATGCTCGAACTTGCTCTTGTATACTATCGCCGTACTTGATTTTTTTCCTGATAGCTCTTGCTGCTTCAGTTGCACCTGCTTGATGTTGAACATTTATCAAGCTAAGTAAGTCGGATAAGTATAATTCCATGGCATCCTCCACCTCGTCATTCTTGTGCTCCACTAACTGGTTGATTTTGATAGTTATCGCCGTGAGTGCGTGGTCACCAAAAATGGGCATGTTGTTATTTGATGTCCTTAAGAAAAAAAATTGATTGCTGGGGTTAATCAATCCACCCACATTTTAGATAAACAAAAGATAATCGTCGATTTTCTTTCCATTTTGCCTTAAGGGGCAGATTTATTGTTTTGAGAAAAAAAAGAAATCATCAAAAGCCGCTTAAAGCTAACGGATTAGCAAATTTCCTAGTAGCAAAGTTACATCAAGCTTTGGATTGAATATTGCTATGTACCGTTTGCCAAGGGTCCTCCAATTAGCTTAATGAGATTACTGTAATCCTCACTTTCACCAAGATAGCACTTCATCCTTTGGGTCTTACCTGATCGCTTTCTAGTCACGTGCAAAGAGCGGCTTTTCAGAAAATTTTTTTCCAAACGAAAAAAATGCCAATGAGCCAGGCAATAAAAACGTTCACCCGATACGTCTTTATTTTTGAATAATCATTGAACCATAGAGATTACTTTCGAGGGTCGCAATTGTGTTTGAAAGGAGATAAAAAGGTTTGATTAACTAAGGAGCTACATAATGTCTGATCAGTATAACCAAGACAAGTTAAATCAAGACTTTCAAAACGCATCGCTTGGTGGAAACCAGTCTCAGCAACAGCAGCAACAGCAGCAGCAGCAGCAAAACTATTTCAATCCTAACCAGGCTCAATCTTTTGTACCAACAGGTGGGTACCAACAATTTCAAGCTTACCAACCACAACAACAATATGATGCCTACAACTCTGGCCAAGGTGGATACCAACCAAACTTCAACAACAATAGAGGAGGCTACAACAGTAGAGGAGGCTACCAACAGTACAACAACAGAGGCGGATACCAGCAAAACCAACTGTATGGTGGCTATCAGCAACAACAATACGGTGGATACCAGCAACAGCCATATGGGGGATATCAATCTTACAATCCACAAGCATCTCAACCAGTTCAACAGCCAACTGGTATGTCATTAGCTGATTTTGAGAAACAAAAATCAGCCCAGCAATCCTCATTGAATAAGCCAGTGAAAAAGACCTTGAAGTTGGCTCCATCTTCAGGTATCAAGTTGGCCAAGTCCGGTAAGAAAGATGATGCTAGTGCCACCCCACCTGCAGCTTCAAAAGAATCCTCGCCTGCTCCTAGTGTAGACGAGAAGAAAAAACCAGAGGCTGAAGTTAAAGAACCAAAGAAGGAAGCCACTGTACCACCAGCTGCTTCAGCAGAAAAGCCAGTAAAGGAATCAACACCAACTCCAAAAGAAACGACACCAGTCCCAGCGGCCAAGTCTAAGCAATCTACCCCAGCAGCAACAAAAGCAAGCAACTCAGTGGCTGCTGATGCTGTTGCCAAGGAGCAAGAAGATGAAGTCGATGAAGAGGTTGTCAAGGATATGTTTGGTGGTAAAGACCACGTGTCGATTATTTTCATGGGTCATGTTGATGCCGGTAAGTCAACCATGGGTGGTAATATCTTGTACTTGACCGGATCGGTCGACAAACGGACAGTCGAAAAGTACGAGAGAGAAGCCAAAGACGCAGGTAGACAAGGTTGGTACTTGTCATGGGTTATGGATACCAACAAGGAGGAAAGAAATGACGGTAAAACAATTGAAGTTGGTAAAGCCTATTTCGAAACTGACAAGAGGAGATACACTATATTAGATGCACCTGGCCACAAAATGTACGTTTCTGAAATGATTGGTGGAGCATCTCAAGCTGATGTTGGTATTTTGGTCATCAGTGCTAGAAAAGGTGAGTACGAAACTGGGTTTGAAAAAGGTGGACAAACAAGGGAGCACGCACTTTTGGCCAAAACCCAGGGTGTTAACAAGATTGTTGTCGTGGTGAACAAAATGGACGACCCAACCGTCAACTGGTCACAAGAAAGATACAATGAGTGTACCACCAAATTGGGAGTGTTTTTAAAAGGTATCGGTTACAACAAGGAAGATATTATATTCATGCCTGTATCTGGTTATACCGGTGCTGGATTGAAGGAAAGAGTTCCATCCGCTGACTGCCCATGGTACACGGGACCATCATTGTTAGAGTTCTTGGATAATATGAGCACAGTTCACAGAAAAATCAATGGGCCATTTATGTTGCCAATCTCAGGTAAGATGAAGGATATGGGTACTGTGGTTGAAGGTAAAATTGAAAGTGGTCATATTAGAAAAGGAGGTAATTTGTTAATGATGCCTAACAAGTCACCAATTGAAGTCATTACCATCTACAATGAAACTGAACAAGAATGTGATACAGCATTCAGTGGAGAACAAGTTCGGTTGAAAATCAAAGGTGTTGAAGAGGAAGACTTGCAACCAGGTTACGTTTTGACATCGCCAAAGAACCCAGTCAAGACAGTTACTAAATTCGAGGCTCAAATTGCCATTGTTGAATTAAAGTCAATTTTGTCAAATGGGTTCTCTTGTGTTATGCATTTACATACGGCAATTGAAGAAGTTACATTTGTTGAATTGAAACATAAATTGGAAAAGGGCACCAATAGAAAATCGAAAAAACCACCTGCATTTGCCAAAAAGGGTATGAAGATCATCGCCGTTTTGGAGTGTAATGAACTTGTATGTGCTGAAACTTATAACGATTATCCACAATTGGGTAGATTCACCTTAAGAGATCAAGGTACAACCATTGCCATTGGTAAGATTACTAAATTGTTGAAGTAGATGCGAGTCAGTAGAGATTAGTGAGAGAATTGCTAAATGTATAGTAAAAGAGAAATCTTGTAATTCAAAAAATACTACAATGTTTTTTCTATTTCTATCATATACTTCTATCCTTCATAAGTACGTTGGATGTTTTGAAAAGTCTTTATCAAATTCTCCACACCGTCAATTATATTCTCATCATATCCGGCACCGTCGACATATTTCGAATGAGCGAAGTCTATAAGATGTAAGCTGCTTAATGGGGTGTGGGTTTCTTTCCTTCCATCCTGGCCATCTATATTTGCTTGTTTTACTATATCGTAAGCTTCTGCCACATTGTTCAACCCTTCTGTGTCGACAGATTCTGATGCATCAGATTGGTCATCTTCTTCATCATCATCACTCAATTCAAATTCATTGATCAAAGGGTCATACTTTTGATAGTTTCCCAAGTTAACCTTTGACCACGCGTGTGGATCACTTTCATAAACAAACAATAGACTAGCTGAATACAGTCGTGTTTCATAATCCAACAAACAGTTGTATAAAAGTTGCAATCGGTGGATAAAATTAGTGATTAGGCAAATAAAGTGGTCTTTATTTGGAATTATAGTTTTAAAGTAGAGTTCCAACCCTTGCTGTACAGTATTTGTGTTGAACGATCTACCGAAAATCTTGTCATATACCAAATACTTCTCCGATGACTTTGAGTGAGATGACTCATCCATAGATTCACTGCTATCTATAGTTATCGTATCTTTCATACCTGGAAAGAGGTCATCTGGTTTAATGACATCGTCCTTTCCATTGTATACCTTCATCCCACATATTCGAAATGAATGCGACCCACTTGTTGTGGATTCACTTACCTGTTGCAATCGCTTGATCTTTTCCTCCGGTGTTACCGAATCATCAGTCAATTTAGACCCTAGTTTAATATCTAAAATGCTTGGGTTCTTGAAACCATGATATAAATTCAGAAGCACAATATATTCTTTGTCTTTGCTGATGAGGGTGTTGTCTTTCGAAGTTGAAGGCACCAATGTCTTCTTTTTTTCCTCAGTTGTTGATAAGTCTCTCTTTTGTAAGCTGCCTAAACACGTGGGCATCCAATGAGAGAGCAAGGACCCTAGTGCAACTCCATTTTCAGAAGCTTCTTTGATATCATCTCGGCTCAACGTTTCCGTATAAAAGTCCAATTCCTGACGTGTGGCGGGTTTTATAAATAGTGAGCCCAGTGTCATGCATCCATCGTGCCCCGCAGCTTGATGTTCTGAAGCTTTGAACGACGATGTAGAACTGTTGAATGAGTTCATAAAGTGTAGGTGAGAGAGAGAGGAGTACGACCTCAGTGCCTAAATTTGGTTGAAATTTTATGGCTGTAGTCGCTACCAAATTAAGTTGTAGTACTCAGGTGAGTCAGTCAAAGTGCTTATAAGAAGGTGTTTACATATTATGCAACCTCAGCCAGTGGCAAACCCACATAAGATGCAAAATAGTTCTCAACCAGAGTAGATTTCTACAGGAGAGGCTTAACATAAGCGTAGCTCTCGTTATTAGGCAAAGTTAAACGAACAATGATCAAGGCACAGTCCAAATTCTCGCTTTATACCTAGTCCCCTTAAGTCGAAAAATCTAAACTTAGATCCTGTCACACCTTGGAAAAGTAAAATATAAACAATGCAAGGTTGATGATGACGTGTAACCTGCGTTTTTGTATACGGTGAACTATTCTACGCAGTGACGAGCCAAAGCCTCGATTCAAGCTAGAATGATGTTGTATGCATCTAATTTGTACCTCACAAGCCTTACACAAAAAACTTTGGTGGACGTACAACATGACCATCTTATACGATGGCGAAAAGTGAAAAAAAAGTCCATCGTTCTAGCTTTAATCCGATGTCACAGAAATTATGAGGCGCAGTTAGATATTGTGTAGGTACAAGGGTAGTGTGTGTCGTTCCAATCTAAAAAGCTGCCCCCTCCCCAATTTGCCTCTGACATTCCGGAAGTGTCGCAAAACAAGAAGAAAGTACAACGACAATTAAAATGACGCGCTATTTTTTTAACTCCTGTTTTTGTTTTCAATTTTATCACCGAGTTAGAAAATATAAAATGCTAAAAACAGATTATGACAACAAAAACATGCAAAAGCCCATATAGTTATTGAAACGTAAACACGTTGTGTATCATTCTGTGTACAAGATGCCGCATGTTCTACATACAGTACCTTTAATACTAAGGTATTTGCATTTAAATAACATCATAAGGTTACTAACTATCCTTTATTTAATTTTTTAATTTTTTACACTTTTTTTTTTAAAAATTGTCTCAAATAAACAAAACTGTCGTCTTTTTTTGTTTTTTTTTTTTCTTTTTTGGATTTTTTGTTTTTCTTTCGTCGTTCAGAGAAAAGTAAAAAAAAAAAAATCAACGGAGAAATTGGAAGCAGAGATTTTTTTATCATTTGTGGTTTATTTGTATACACACTGACTAGCTGAACACACCCTTGATTCTTGATAAAGTCTTTGGTGAAGGTACATAATTGAAGGAGAGACATTCCATACGAGATTACTACGCCACATCACTTTACTCATCTTTACATTAATTGTTTTTGTTTTTCATTTGTCGTTATTTTCATTTATTGTGTCCACCACTGTCACCATTTTTTTTAACCACAGAATTCAATGAGTAACCCGTACCAACAACAACAGCCCTACCTGGCTAACAACCAGGGGTCGTATGAAATGAGTGATATTGGCAACGGTCGTAACACCAACTACAGCAACTACGCCAACAACAATAGTGCTGCCACAAAGCAATATTCGTCTTCAAACGAGGATGATTTCGTCCAATTTATGAATGAAATCCAGGATATCAACTCACAATTGGACAACTACTCTAACATAATCAACTTAATTGACAACAAACAAAAGAGCTTTTTGTACAATATCGACTTGAACGATGAAGACACTGAGTACAGCTCCCAGCAAATTGATAGTTTGGTTGCTGAAGCACAATCATTGCAACTAGATTTGAAGGCAAGAATAAAGAGTGCCCAAGTTGAAGCGGTACATTCTAAAGACCAAACCAAGGTTGATCAAGCTGAAACTTGTAGAAAGAGATTTTTAGACCTTATTCAAGATTATAGATTAGTTGAAGCCAGGAACAAGGAGTCTTCGAAAGAGCAGGCCGCTAGACAATATCAAATTATAAAACCTGATGCTACTCAAGAAGAGATCAGAGCTGTGGTTGAGGATGGATCACAGCAATATTTCCAACAAGCTTTGATGCAAAGCAACAGAAGAGGCGAAGCACGTTCAGTATTGAGTGAAGTTCAAGTAAGACACAGGGAACTTTTGAAATTGGAAAAGACAATGGCTGAATTGACGCAATTGTTCCACGATATGGAAGAGTTGGTCATTGAACAAGATCAACCAATCCAGCAAATTGAAGAACAAGTTGGAGGCGCTCAGCACGATATAGAACAAGGTGTGGGACATACCAACAAGGCAGTCAAGAGCGCCAAAGCAGCCAGAAAGAAGAAGATTTGGTGTTTGGTTATCGTTATCATTATTATTATTATTCTTGCTGCTGTTCTTGGTGGTTACTTTGGATCCAAGTAAGGTAGGATAATTTTGTGGGTGATTAATTGTAATAATTGTTTTGCTTGTTTTGGAATAGAAGATTGGAAAGATATTGTATGTACACTGGAAGGAGAAGTGTAGAAGTGGACAGGAGACGCTTCAAAATTAATAAAATGGACTAATTGTGATCATCTTGAATTCGTAGCATTTTCTTCCTGATTCGTAACTTGTGAAATATCAACCCCGTAAGTTTTGATGAGTCGCCGAGACAAAGAATTTGCAAACTTGATTAGCAGAATTTGCTGCTCTCCATCATGCGGAATCCCAATCTAGCATCTGCTTTAACACCCTCTCTGTATTGACGTCTTACTACGTGCTTCGTCTTCGGTGCCCTATTGCACGACCTATTACTTTTGTCTCACTTAATTTTCGCGATAGGAGATGAGATGGAATTTTTTTTTTTTTTAATTTAATTTCAGTTTAACCAGAGAGTCTTCAGATCACCCCTATAGCTATAAAATAACTGTTCATCATGGCCAAGATCAAGAGAAGAGGAACCTCAGGAAATGCAAAGAATTTCATAACTCGTACTCAAGCAATCAAGAGGTTGCAGATATCATTAGCCGACTTTCGTCGTCTTTGTATCTTCAAGGGTATCTACCCAAGAGAACCACGTAATAAGAAGAAAGCCAACAAAGGTTCCACTGCTCCAGTCACTTTCTACTATACCAAAGACATACAATATCTTTTGCATGAGCCCGTATTGGATAAATTCAGACAACACAAGACATTTGCCAAAAAATTGCAAAGAGCATTAGGAAAAGGAGAGATTTCAAGTGCATCAAAATTGGAGCAGAACCGTCCAAAGTATAAATTGAACCACATTATAAAGGAGAGATATCCTACTTTTCTCGACGCATTGAGAGATTTGGATGATCCGTTGAACATGTTGTTCTTGTTTAGTAACATGCCAGCTACTGATCGTGTATCGACAAAGGTTGTTGGTGATGCAGAAAAATTGTGCAACCAGTGGTTAGCTTATATTGCCAAGGAAAGATTATTGAAAAAGGTCTTTGTCAGTATCAAGGGTGTTTATTATCAAGCTACCGTGAAAGGACAAGAGATTAGATGGTTGATACCTTATAAGTTTCCAACAAATATACCAACTGATGTTGATTTTAGAATCATGTTGACATTTTTGGAATTTTACTCAACTTTGTTGAATTTTGTAATGTACAAGTTGTACAACGAAAGCGGATTGATATATCCTCCACAAATTGATACGAATAAATTGAAAGGGGTTGGTGGGTTGACCAGTTATGTTTTGCAATCAAAGGATTCCAAAAACAACGATTTATTATTAAAGCAACAAAAGACGGAAGAGAAGAACGAAGTTGGTAAGAACTTATCGCAATCCGAGATTCAGAAAGCTATTGAAGCAGATCAGGAGACTGGAAATGAAGAGGAGGATGGGCAAATAGAAGAAGGGGCTGACGGCAACGTTGAAGAAGTTGAGTTGGACACATTTCAAGACAATTCTACAACCAAGTCGGCCGACACTCTAATTCAACCCTCTAAATTCTCATCACCTACATCCCAGTTATTCTCAAAGTTTATTTTCTACATTGGTAGAGAAGTTCCTTTAGATATCTTGGAATTTGTCATTTTATCGTGTGGTGGGTCAGTTATATCAGAAATAAGTCTTGATGATTTGAAATTGAACGATCCAAAAGCTTATGAGCAATTAAATCTTGATTCGATAACCCATCAAATTTGTGATAGGAATAAAGTGTTGCAAAAAGTGCCTGGTAGAACTTATGTTCAACCACAATGGGTTTTTGACTGTGTTAATAAACAAGAATTGATTAGTGTTTCTTCGTATGCACCGGGGGAAACCTTACCACCTCATTTGTCACCATGGGGTGATGCTGGTGGTTACGATCCAAATGCTGAAGCAAAATCACAAGCAGGTGAAGGCGAGAATAACGTCGAAGAGAGTGAAGAAGAGGAAGAAGATGAAGAAGTCGAGGTGGAATCAGGTGACGAAGATCAAGATGAAGAAGAAGAGGACGAGGAAGAAGATGAAGATCTTACAGCCCAGAAGGAATTAGAAATGGAAGTTGCTGGTGAGAAATTCTCGGAACAAAAAGAAGAGCCTAAAGCCAAGAAACAAAAGACTAAATCAACAACCTCCACTGAAGACGAAGCTAAAGAGTTGGCCAAGATTATGATGACGAACAAGCAAAAGAAGTTGTACAAGAAGATGCAATATGGTATTGATAAGAAGGAGACCAGGAACAAGGAGTTGACGAAAAAGAAAAAACAATTGGAAAAGAAAAAGAAGCAGTTACAGAGTATGTAATAGATAGAGTAGCAATATCATAGTGTTGAAATAATGTTCACATCAAAAGTAGTTTTCATAAAGGTAATGATTTGTCTATATCATTTCAAGCTTTGTATTCTCGAGTCCATGAACATTCGATCGGGAATTTCCAAAATAAATAGATTCTTGACAAATTCCTGCAATTTGCTCAACTCTTTAGCACCGGCATTGATTAACTCAATATCAGTCGTTTTGGGCACATTGACAAAACACTTGATTTGAAATGTATTTGATTCATCCAACAACTTCAATTTAATGGCATCAGTGGCACCAGCATCATACCCATCATCACGGATAAATACTTTGTAAATCTCAATTATAATGTCTTTGTAAAAGAATCGTACGCCCTTTATCCAGTATTGGTTGACTACTTCGTACCCGAGATCGTTAAGAAAGATTAAGAAGGAGTCGTTCTTGCGCTTTCCCGTGGATGATTTGGACTGTGTTGCTGATGCAGTGTCTGGATTTGTGGTGATGTTCGCTTCTTGTGACTCAGTCTTTACGGTAGTTGTTTCATTGGTGTTATCATCTTTATGGCTATCTTTTGTATTTGGTTCCTCGTCAATAACAATAGCATCCTCTGTATTTTCCTCTTCCTTTACGGGTAGCTCCTCGTGTTTTTCCAAGTTAGTCTCCTCTTTTTTAATATCCTGCTTGGGCTGGTCACTTTCCTCCTTCATATTCACATCAATATCCATCTTATCATCCGTTTCATCTCTAGTAGCACCACTATCCACGCCCACATGAGTGTGCACCAAGGTGCTTTCATAAATCGTCTGTTGCAGACAAGTCTGGTTTTTTCCAGCAATGGGTATATCACTAATCTGTAGTGTCCATACACGTTCAGTACCATCTTCATCATTTCGATCGTCACTACTAAATAATTTGTTCACTAAGATAGGGTTTGATCTATCGTCGTTGAAAATGGGTTTAGCAATATCTAGACGTCCTTTCTTCTTATCGAGCCAAGTTGTTGTACATTTCATATAATACTGTTCAATTTGGTTGATTTTGCCTGGTTCAAATTTGGGTTTGAATACATGATTGGGTTTGGTGATTAATGAATAAGTGGAAATGTCTTGTGGTTGTAGTATACCCGTGATGGCCTGAAGCGAGGTAATCGTTTGTAAGTAATTTGAATGAGGAATTGACGATGCTAAGGATAGTTGTTGCACCATTGGTAATGTATTGGTAGATACCGAGTCTTTACTATGTGACTGTTCTATTTTCTTTTATTTTTTTTTTTTTTCAATATTGTTGCAGCTTTCCCAAAGCTTGAGAACAAAACAGTACGAGACTCTAAATTCACCACTGAGAAACTGAGTTTCCAACTACAATTCATATATTTAGTCTTAAGTGTCAATTGTCAACGCTAGTAACATATTTACATTTTACAAAGTTTTCCCTCGGGTATTTAATCAACCTTCTTTTCTTTCTCTGATTCGTATTGTAGTGAAGACGTATCTTCAGTAAATGCAACAATAATATATCCAATCAATACAACATTCGCCGATAATGCACTCAATCCACCACTTATTATACTATTGGTAGTGAAGCTCTGTACAGTAAAAAATGTAACAAGGGGCACTATTATCATCAACGCTGTGAAGATCATCAACTTCTGTATCACTGATCTAGAAAAAAAACAAGGTGAGTTAGTACTTTGTTCATCGGGATGCATCTATAAAATTGAACATACTTTGGAATATCTGATTTGACCATGGTTTCTTGGTATTGAAGTAGCTTCGCGTTTATAAACTGTGTTTGGTGTAACTTGAAGTCAATAAATATTGTTTTTCTCTTTTATAACCCGTGCTGGACTCCTCCTGCACATAAGATGGTTGACCAAATTTTTAATCAAAAGAGCAAAAGGAACAAAAACTTCCAATCAATTAAATCACGGGAGAAAGCATTGCCAGGCTCACTTAATTCACCCGTTTGCTTATACAAGATGCATTTTCTGAACATTCTTCTAGTGCATTTGGTGTACTTTATTGGAACAATTGCTGCATTCTCAAATACGGCTCCAATATTTATCAAGAGAGATTATGATACTCCAGGATTGCCGATCAAGAACAAACAATTCTTCAAACCATTCGAATGGGCTGATACGCTAATGTCAGTCATGTACGAAAACGACGAGTATAACGAAAATGCAAATCATGTCGTCTCGTACTACCAGGTTGCCAAAGAGGAATTGGAGCCAAAACTAAACAACTTGAATCAGGAGGGTTTGGGTTTGCATGTTTCCAATGTCGTATACTTTAATCAGTCTGAGACTGTTTTCAACGTATTCAAAGCACGCGGTGTACTTCCTGAACTCTTGTCGGGTGAATCCCTCGACAGGGTATTACAAGAAATGAACTCGTACGAAAAGTCAGATATTGTTCTTCAAGCTGTACCTGACTTTAAATCTTCCGTCAATGCTGCCACTTCTGAGGAGAAGTTAGAAAACTTGTTTGATTTTGACGATAAATTGGTTAGAGATGAAGGAAAGGGAGATGTGTCAGTAGAACAAGAAATTGTTTCAGATTTCGCTGAGGCAAATAGATTGGCAGCGGAAGAAGACGAGCCTGTCACAATTTTGGAAGACACTCCATCAAATTCAACCACAATAAAGCATGACAATCTTTTCACCAACTATCAATTCTTTACTACTGGAATTTGGTCGGGTTTGATCGTGTCTGGATTCTTGTTATTAATTTTATATGGTGCATTGACTTGGCTTTCGGATTTACAAATCACCTACGCTTCCTTCGAAAAGCAAGTTGATTTCGATAAAAAGAACGAATAGATTAGTTTTATTTAGTATATATACGGAATAATTTTGTACGGCACCAACTGTTTGTACTTTTCCCAATCTTTACCATATTTTGCTTGACATTTCGCATCATCTCTCACTTGTCGATGAATCAACAAACTAGCAAAATAAATAACATAAAAGTATGTCAATGGAGTTTGGAACCCAGTAGGTAAACACCAAGACCATCCAACTAGCCAATCACCGAGGTAATTGATGTGTTGAGATAATCCCCACCACCCTTCAATTAACAATTTTGAGCCTGTGGCAGTCTTGATATGTTTCATGTGTTGCAACTTGCCGTTTTTAAAGTTGGATTTTTGCAAATTAGAAGCCCTGAAAATGTAAAAACCGACAAAGTGCAATACGACTATTGCAGCAAAATTGAACCAGCCGAGTACAACTTCGTTTCCAGGAATACTTAAGTACCTAGTTTGCAAGGTATAACTCCAGGGAACCCAGGCCAAATCACCAAAGCTCAACATGAATCCAAAACCATCAGTCGTGATATCAATCATTGTCAACAACCCAGTCTCGTTCAAAACACCATCAAAGATGTAAAATGTTTGTAATAAAGTGACTAAAATCAAAGAGTCAGTGACATGGCCCAACCTATGGTATTGTTCATGAGCACAACTCAAATTGATGAGGAACCACAACAACATCCCTGGTCTCAACTCGCAAAATAATTTAATGTCCCAATTTCCAATCCTTGGATTCAATTCACGACCAATGAACCAATCATAAATGGGATTTCCCGTGTTTCCATTGACGCTCAATATCCTCTCCTTTGTTCCAACACCATTGGGTTTTGTCAATGGAATAAATGAAGCCACATACACAAAGACTGCCAACAAAAACGAAAAGATTACACACGTCACTGTTAATTGTAGTTGATGATTGTAAATAAATTGCAATTCAGGGAGATTGAAATTCTGCACTTGAAAACAACGCGCAATCAAGATGGCAAACAAAGTTCCACTCATGCTTATTCCGTTGATGCAATAGCTCAAATAGCTTTCATCTCTCAACTGAGTACCATTCATTGTGCTTCCAGGCAAAATTTGGTCTAAAACGACTAATCCGAAAAACCAAGCTAAATAAGCACTCCAAACTTGTTTGTCAAAGCACAATGCAATCCATCCTGATCGATCTGATGGGACCTGGTCCAATACTTTCTCAATTTGGAGATTGATACCTTGTAATGAATAGTATTGATTGGTGACTAAAGCAAAGAATACAATTACTATAGGTAAGCCAAATGTTATACCTAATGCTCCAGGGAGCCCATTAAACTCTTTGTGTGTAGTGACTGGATTTAATGTACTCATGAGTGGTTTCTGTTCTGTCCTGTCCTTTCATATGTACAATCGAACTGTGCTCAATTTGGAGATATTGTCTGTATGTTTTTATATTATACGCGGAGACAATTGAAAAATTATTTGGTCATCGTTACGACCGCGTTCGTTCTCGTACAGAAAAATCTTTCGCTCAGCCAAGAGACTTGGCGGTTTGTAAACGAGACGATACGACGAAACTGGTCTTTGAGTGTACGACTTCTCTATATCTGTATCCTATATACAAGAATTACTTCATTTGGGCATATCTAGATGTGTCTATCCTCATAAACTCCCTTAATGCCATAGTGGCATAGGAACTAACGTCCAACTTCATCTTCAAAACAACAGCAAACTTAGGCTCGGTGGAGCTATCAACTGCATCCTCGTCATATTTGATAATTCTGTTCGTTAAGCTCGATTCTTTCTCTTTCTCGGTTTCGTCATTAGCTGCCTCCTTATTCATCTCTAACAACTCCAAATCTGTCCTAACCAATGGCTTACCATCCACTTTGTACTCGATTATCTCATATGAGAGATCCTTAGGTTTGGATAGTAAAGTTCTATAAGCACCTGTCAAAGAAAACTCTTTATTCTTTCTCATCAAGTTGAAGGGGTCAAGATTATTCTCGGCCATGGTGTCGATATAAACCTGTCTTAATTTCTCATTCGTCGGATATTGGATTTTGAAACCAGGACTGGGCAAAACAACGTCAAAGATTGAGTACTTCCCACTCTCGATATCATCTTTTGTCAATGCTTTCACTGCCACTGTATTAGTTACAGCTACATCCTCTTCGAACCCATCATCGACACTTGTTGTCTCATTGGTTTGTTCATCAAAAACCAAATCACCTTCTTGTGCTTCAAGACCAAACAATTCTATTCTCTTTGATGCAACAAGATTCCACACATATGATTGATACGCATGGACATACATCATCCTTAAATTTTTAGGTATGGCCAAGAGACTTTTCAAATATGAGTGGGGTTTGTATTTCTTCTCAGCATCCTGCAGCTCATTGGATAAAACCTTTAAAATGGAGTTCTCAGCAACAAAGTGTCTGGGTAATGCCTTTGCTGCTTCTTTTGCGTCTCTCTTTTCTTTCCAGATTTTCCTCATCTCCACTGTTGCTGGAGCACAAACTTCCTGCTCAGACAATAATAGTTCAACACACTTTTCCCAATCTTCTTGTAGCAATGCAATACCAAGCTGATGCGTCGGTACTGAAAATGATCCAAATCTTTGCATCCCAAAGTAGTTTATGAACCCATGCTTATCAAAACTATCAAAGCACTGGGCAACAATTGCACGCAAGTCTGCATTTGAATTTTCATCAACAGCCGGCTTCACGTCACGCAAGGTGATGGTGAATTCGTTACCGGACAAGTCTCCTAATTTCAAAGGATAATCTTCGTACGTAAACGACCCTAACTTGAAGTTGGAATTTTTCATCTTATTCAATGCACTGACACGGAGAACTTTACCACGGTGGATACAAAACTTTTGGCAAGTTACACCACGACGGTCCTTTGTTCCTGCGTAATTGATTGTCTTTGGGGAAATACGCAACATCTTGGCAATATTACTAGCAACATCCATGGTGTCCCTGTTTTGTTTGAATACTGCAAAGTGTAAATATGGTTTGAAGGGTCCAAGTCCGTAATTGATGACTCCATTTTCATCGACATGGTGCATGCTGTCCATCACATTTGCGTCACCACCACGTCTATTATTGCCTCTATTCTTGGCTATCACTATTTTAAAAGTGTTTTGTCCAGATGTCGTACTTTCCAACTTACCCTGGAACGCTCTACGTAATAGCTGGTGTAATTTTCCTCGTCTCTCCTTATCATCAATAGAGGTTTTTGTCTCCATGTGACTTCCTGTATGAAATAGTTGCTCTATTTGATTCAACTCTTCCTCACTAATGTAGTCAAGCAACTCCGTTTTATCTTCTTGACTTAGCTGATATTTAGGCTCATTTTCTTGAGCCTGGGCCCTTTCGGCCTTAATAGCGGCAATTTCTTCTTCTGTCTTGCCCTCAAACTCTTGGGCCTCTTTAGCTTTTTGCTCAAGCTTCTTTTCCTTTTTAGACTTTCCCATGTCAATTCCAAGATCAGTCAAATGTACCACATTACCACTGGGTTCAATCTCATTAACTTGAAAGTCGGAATGCAAAGTTTTTAAAGCGCCTTGGAATCCTACTGCAGTTGGGTTGATGAACTTTAATATTCCTACCGCCTCTTCAGTGAGCGCAGGAATGAGAGTTGGCTTCAATTTTTTTGCACCTGGTAAGTCCTCATGAGACACGGTCCTCTTTATTTGTTCAGCCATTCGGTTAAAAATTCTGTGGCGAAGGTATCTGAACATATAATGTTAGAAGCTGGTTCAGTGGAGGGACAATTTTTCACAAGTAAAAAAGTGATGAGGGAAAATACGTGCATACTGCATATAGCCTACTCTGTGACTGCAAAAAGGAACTTGCAAAAAGTCTGATATGGAATTTCAATTATCGAAAAGCCTTTTCATCACGACACCAGCCGAGTACACATTCGATCACACACACACACACACGAGCGCGCATTTGCTAGTCCCATTACCCATTTTCTGCTAGCTAGTCTTTGGCAATACTGTTGTTCTCCCTCCCCCAAAACCAAATGTTGAAACAGTTTGTGCAGCCAGAATTTTTGCTCGAAAGTCCGAATGGTTCAACGCCTTCCACCAACTCAACCGTTACCAACCCTGTAACTAAGAAGTCAGCAGGATCACTAAGATTACCAAGTTTTACATTTGCTAGAGCAGTGTCACAAGAGCGTCGCTATCCAACAATGCAGCAAACCGGACCCACCAACGGAGAAGGCACCAATGTGAATACACTTTCAAGTCGCAGGTCCAATTTCTTAAAGGTATGCTCTTGGCCATTTTCCAGAATTGACGGGTCAAATGGGCTAAAACCAGATGATGGGTCGATCTATGAGTTGGAATCTCGCCATTTCAATGATGCGTACAACAAGGTGAAAACTATTGCTGCATTTGATAAGCATTCAACTGGCAACCAAAAGACCCAAAGCCTGTTTCCTACCTTGCAGCCACAACAGCGTCCACTCACCGGGAATCCCAGCTTGGAAAATAGGGGTCAGCAAAGGTTTGGTGAACGCACTGAAAAATTGGGTAAGGTGTTTAACAGGAGAAAGCATCACCAACATAGTTTAGACGACAGTACAAAAAGATGCGTTGTGTTGTCAAATTTGGATGCATCCATGGGCATAAACTCGATTATACAACAGGTTTGTGGAGGACCTTTGGAAAAAGTTGTCAAGGTTTCAAGCCATAGAGTTAAGTTGTACTTTATTTTTCCTCAACAAGCAAAGCAGTTCTACCAGTATGGAAGTGCCACTGGGCTACTCAAAGTTAACGGCACGAGGTTGAATGTTAGCTGGGAGGAGGAAGATTATCAAGAAGCTTTGCAGAAGCAAAAGGAAGATGTCGAGAATTATAATTTGTCAATTGGTAATTTCAAGGGTAACATTAACTCCAAAGGTATGGCATTAGACTCCAGCTTCACATTGACTAGGGCTCTTTACAATGAAATCTTGACAAATGGATGCAGAAGATGCTTGATCGTTTCAAGAATTATTGTTGGCAAAAAGATTAGACCCGGTGACAAAATGTTCTACCCAGAGCCCGAAATTCACTACTCCCAAGATTTGCAGATTAAAAACATTAGAGAGGACTTTGAGCAGTTTGGAGAAGTTATGGATATTGGCAGCGTCATATCACGAAAGTTGAGCTTCAGTGTATTTTACTACGACATCAAAAGTGCAATCAAGGCCAAGACAGAATTTGAGACAAATGGGTCTACCTTACATCGCAAATATAAAGATTGGGCTATTTGGTATGGCAAGGACATCACTGACCGTGCTTGCTTTGTACTCTAACTCTGATATAGTTTTGTTGCTATGTAAATGACAAGTTTGTTATACATTATTGAACCGTAATAGGTTCTTAGAATGCAATCCCTGTCAGCCAATTTTAAACTACTGCTTTAGATGGGCGGTTCTAATGCTAGTATAGTTCTCTATCAAACTATTTTTATGCAACTCTAAATTTTGTGTAATCAATTTACTTTCCCATTTTGTATCAATTGTAAACAAAAATGAATACGAAAGTAATTAAATTATTTATTACTATTATTATTATTATGCCATACTTCAAAAAAAACAAGAACAAGAAGAAAGAAGACAGAAGAGAAAAAGAATTAACAACACTAACGAGAGATATCTAAAGATAAGAGGCTCCAACGACACCATATTCTCATTGAAACTTATTCGCCCCAGCTCATGTCATATAAAACACCAATGAGGACAAGATCCTCTTTAGGCAATTCGTCTAGTGCGTCTGTTTCCTCGTTGTCTACACCTGCGCGATCAGCTACTACATCATCATCTGTCAAATCAACTTTTCGTCCACCATCCAGACCCACCATGGTTAGATCATCGTCGCCTGTGTTACAACATCACCAACCACCAAGATCAAGACCGGGATCTTCCCTTGCCACGAGTCGTCCTGGCACTCCTGTTAATTCGGGAAATTACTGTCGTCAAGAGCCCTATACCGGTACCATTACGGTATCGATACGCCCCAATCCTGAATCATTTTCCCTTGGTGCACAACAAAACTGGCATATCAATTCATATAACAACAGCATATCCCATGTGGATGGGAGCAGCTTTGCATTTGATAACGTGTTTGAAAACGATGCCAACCTGAATAACAACTACCAAGTATATTTAAAGGCTTGTAAACCGATTGTTGAAAAGTTTCTTGACGAAGGGTACAATGGGACTGTATTTGCGTACGGTATGACAGGGTCGGGAAAGACTTACAGTATGAAGGGAAACGAGAAAGAGTCTGGATTTGTCGAATTGGCAGTGAATGATTTATTTGACAAGATCAATAATCACATGGGGGGAACGACAACACATCAAATTAATGTGTCATACCTTGAAATATATAATGAACGTATTATCGATTTGCTAAACACCGGTAATGGCTCCCCAACGACAGCCAATGATTTAAAGATTAGAGACGATCCAGAGTTTGGTGTCAAAGTTGTCGGTTTGACTACGCCAACGGTCACTTCAAGAGAGCAAATACTTTCATTGATTAGAAAAGGTGATCTTAATAGAAAAACAAGTGCCACCGATTTCAATGCCAGATCTTCAAGATCACATTCAATTTTGCAAATAAGACTTAAAGTCGTGGATGAACATACCAGTAGCGAGACCACATCCACTTTGTCATTGTGTGACCTAGCAGGATCGGAACGGGCTTCATCAAGCTTAGAGAGGAGGAAAGAAGGTTCCTATATCAACAAGTCCTTGTTGGCTTTGAGTAATGTCATTAACAAGTTGTCAGCCTCGTCTCAAGGTATTGTAGATCATCACATAAGCTACCGAGATTCCAAGTTGACGAGGCTTCTACAGCCAGCATTGAGTGGTAGGAGTTTGGTGCTGATATTGTGTACAATCCATATGGGCTGCGGTAACAATGCCACTGCCCAACAAGCAGTCTCAGAAACCTACAAAACATTGAGGTTCGCAGCAAGAGCTAAGGATATTGTGATTAATGTTGAAAAGAATTTAGGGAGGGGAATCGAAATGAGTGACCCTGAGACTATGAAACTAATACAGGATTTGAATAATACAATTGAGCAACAGAAACATGAATTGTTGCTGTTGAAATCAAATGGATATACAGAAGGAACATCTGATTTGAATGCCTTAGCTACCTCGGATAATGCATTGCAAGCGGAAAACAGGGTTTTGATGGAGAGAGTTAATCATCTCACTAGACTCACTGATTTACAAAAGACAGAAACGGTGATTGTTAAGGATAGTGCACTCAATGACATCATTGGGTCAGGTGCAGATAATGCCCAACTTTATGTGGCTAATATTGAAGAGTTGTATAAACGCATTACACACGAGAGAAGCGAGTATGACAACTACATTGCACATCTCGAACAACAATTGAAAATGGCCCTTGTCAACAATCCGAATCACAACACGTCCAAGCCAAATAACAGCGAATTGATGGAGGTGCTAAAAGACCAAGAGGAGGAGATAATACAACTTAAGGAAACGATCAAGGACAAAGACCATATAATACGAAGTTTCTCCAAGACTTCGAGATTGAGAAAGTTGGTGGAATCGAATGTCAAAGCAAATATCTCAATAAACAAACCCAGTTATGCCACAATGGATCAAGAATACAAACGCTCAATGGGTATTCACAGCCAGGACAGTGATGTATCCATGGACAAGGAGAATGAAGTTGCAACTTATGATATCGCTGTGGGGCCAAAAAAGGCTAGAGCTGGTTTTGATCTAATGCTGACGTTATAAAGGCGCAATATATCAAGTGGCTTAGATTGATATATAATGAACAATAATGTAATATTATGTGACGTAGAATCTCTATTTCCTGTGTATAAAGAGTATTTTCATTCAGTGCAAAAAGACCCCACACGTCTTTTTGTTTAAAGCCGTGACGCAAAATCGGTCATTTGCGCGCAATTAATTTTAGCTTGTGACAAGGCATTAGCACCCAGAAAAGAACTTGGCCATACACTACATTAACTGTGACAATTTGGTCTTCTATGAAATCGCAGGCAATACCTTGAAACTAGTAATGTCTTTTGACCGCAAGTATCTGCCGTAATAACCACTTAAACGAAAGCTCTCCCACTTCTTTTCCTGTCAAACAAGTAATTCCATAGGACAACTCCACTTAATAGTGGCTATGTTCTATCATCGTCGAATTTATTGCATTGAGCAAAGTCATGACTTTCTCCATGGTTATGCATGCAGAAAGATACAATGTGTACATTGCTCCTATTGTTCTGTCATCTCTGGGTTAATCTTTATTATTATTTTTTTCCGTTGTTTTCCTTCTCTTAAGGCTGTGGAATTAATCAAAATACAATTTTGTGAAATTGAGAACAAAAATTCTAATATAAATTGATACCAAATCTTCTCATCAACAATGTTTAGTGGGAAGGGACATCACCCCATCAACATGTTTAGGAGACGGAAATCACAACACCAAAGCAAGCAAGAAGTGCCAAAAGAAGAATTGTCAAGGTTGCAGCAAGAAACAACCCAAGCTCATCAGCAGCAGCCACAGCAGCAGACGCATCGAAGCAATTATGAAGCATCAACTAAATCGAAACTACTATCTAGTTCAAGCCAGAGTACATCGTCCACTGCTACACGTAGGGGAAGCAGCAATGTTTCTCCACGGGAGTATAATATAGAACTACTTCATACTGGAGACAAGAAAGAACCAGCGGAGATTCAACACACGTATACTAGTGCCACCAATGAGACAAATGATAGCGACGATTGTTTGTCACCCTTGACATCAGGAACAGATGGTCGAGAAGCTAGCGACACCCAGTCAATGGCGTTATCAGAGACAGATACACTCTGCGCCGCCCGAAAGCAAAGACTTGAATTGCAAGATGTTTACATTGATAATTTCTCAATGTACTTACCATTTCTTGTACGGCAGTTGCGATTGGCGGAGAATCGTGCCCAAGATGAGGATCGTCGTCGTAGGCAAGCTCGTGCCAGAGCTGGACGTGGTGGGCCACCACTTGATCATTTTGATGAGGATTATGATGCCGAGAACGATACAATTGCCGATGACGACTTGTCGACAATATTCAACGACAGTCAATCGCCCGAAGAGCAGTATGAAATTGACAATCAGAGAATAATGCATCGCAAACTATCGGCATATAACTACAAGCGACTGGTTGTATTTGTTGGATGTTCGTTGAAAAGTGGTGTATTTATATTCCCCACTGCGGCATCGTTCAAACTATTTAAACAACTACGATCCAATATTAAACAGGAGAGGAAAAGTTCAATGATTGTGTATGACGCAGATGGAAACATCAAAAAAGTCACTTCATCCAATGGTATCAACAGGAGTGAATTTACAAAGCCAGGCGAAGGCAATGACGAGGTGGTGGATGACAGGAACCATATCATACCTGTAAGTTATAAAATCAAGGGTCAAGGTTTACCACTCTTGAAAATGCACCTGCCATATATGTCAACATTTCGTAAAAACACCCCCTACCTCATTTTCAAAAAGTTTAAGGAAGTCCCATCGCCACCAAAACCGGGCGATCCAAAGCAAAATGACGTTGATTTTGAAACATTTGATTATTGTTATGTTTACCTGAAATACTCGCTGAATTATCGTCGATTCATATTTGAATTTTTCCCCAATACTGCATCATGTTTCAAAGTCGTCATGTTTGAATCGAGTTTTAAGCCATTTGCCGATTTCAATTACAAGGGCACGAGATTTAGAGTTATTGGAACTACCATATCAACTGGATTGGTATGTGAATATAATCCTCATATGCGATTACTTGCTATTGATGATGACCAACCATCGCTATGCGATGGTATAGTGAATAAAAAATCGTCATCAGGGTTTATGAAGTTGAAAAAATCGTCGAATGAAGGTTCATCATCACATGTTGAATTCAACATCAATGATCCGACTACATTTATTAATCCAATTCCTAATAGCAAGTTTTTGAACTCTGATGGGTTTTCAGACTATTGTCAACGAGCTACATTCATCCCTAATAATCTTCCACCATTTGGATGTTATAAGGATGTCAATTTATACAAACCAGAGAATGTCAGTTTTATTCCTAAAAAGTATTCTGAAATTGGTAAATCGGAAATCTATCAAGATTTACAATCACTATCATTATCATCACCAGCAGCAGCAACTCGAAATAACGAACAACAACAGTATACAAGTAAAGAATTGTTGAATAGCACTTTGTCAGTGGATCAAGATACATTGGTGATAACGGTGCTTTTGAGTACCTTGAGAGAGGTCAATGTGAAGAATGCCAATAAATCAACTGGAAACCCGACAGGCAGAACCGGTGTGGGTGTAATGGGCAGTGCCAATTTTGGATTCATGACAACTGGATTGTCAACAATTTAGAAGCGACAGAGATAAGTTGAATTTTTATTACATGGAATTAGAAGAATTGTATAGTTTTATATATATATATATATATAAACTTTGGCTTGAATTTTACATTTATATTAACTTGAAGAGCAAAAGGAAAGCTGTCCTAACAGTTGATACCTATTTGAAACTAGATCAGTTTATATAGTAGTACTGAGACACACGCGAGCAACCCCTTCTAGACTTAAAAGCCTGGCGATCTGGATCTGTCTCTTCTGACTGGCGATCTAGATGGAGACCTGCTATGTCCTCTTTCTTCTCCTCTAGGTTCACGTTCGTATCTGTCGTTGCCTCCTCTATACTCTCTATCTTCAAAACGTCCACCACCACCGAAACCACGATCTGATCCTCCTCTGAATCCATCATTTGGTTCACGGCTACGGTCACGACTTCCTCTGTAATCACCATATCCACCTCTTCCACCTCTGCTAGAGAATCCTCCGCCTCTTCTTCCATATCCATCATCATAGCCTCTACCGCCACCGTAGCCACCATAACCGCCCCTTCTGTCTCCGTAACCACCTCTTCTATCTCCACCAAAACCACCATATCCTCTTCCGTATCCATCGTCATATCCTCTACCACCACCGTATCCGCCACCATAACCGTCTCTTCCACGGCCGTATCCGCCTCGGCCATAACCTGGGCCACCTCCACCATAGCCATATCCACCTCTACCTCTAAATCCGCCTCTATCTCTAGCACCATAAGGATCTGATTTGGCAACTTGAACAACTAACCCAGTGCGAAGGGTGAAAGGGAATTCCTTACCATCCATATCCAAAGCACGTTCACAACTTTCGGCATCCTTATACTCGACAAAAGCAAATTTTTCACCATCTGTAGTTCTTGGTGGGGGGATGTCTAATCTTACTAAATCACCATATCTTTAGAAAAATTAGTTGATTGTTAGTTGTTGACTCTTGACTTTATGAAAAAGGAAAAAATTAAAAAACTAGTGATTGTGATTTGTAGTTGATTCAAACTGATGATTCTATTGAAAATGAATGATTCGGTTGTTTCTGTTGTTGATTTTCCAAGCTAAAAGAAATGAATGAAGAAATAGTTAGTAATAAAGACAATGTGAGGAGAAATATGAACTGAAAATTTAGAAATAAAAATTGGAGGAAAGGGAAGGGTAAATTATGAATTCAAATGATGAAAGGATTGTCTGTAGTTGACTCGATTGTTGGGATCATGGCCTTTAGAAGATGTGATGTAACTTGTTGAACTGGTGAATAAAAAAAGTAAAATAGGAAAGGGAAAGGAAAACTGAAATGGGGGGATTTGAATTGTGGAGAAATTAATCATCATGATTTGATAATTTTTGGGTACATGGATGGGACTCATGTAAGGAAAATGAAGAATCGAATGATTTAAGAACACCTCCTTGTATGAAAGAAAATGACTTTCGAGATAGCAAAGTTGCGCTGAGGTTGAACTTTGGTAACTGATAAATGGAAAAAAATGAAAGCTGCTCATAAATTGAATCTAACATGATGATGATTAAAGTGAATTGTAAATTGGAACGAAGGAACTTATATCTTTGGAAATCTGCTAGGAAAACAAACCATTGGAGAACAATCTTTCTTTTTCAATGAATATGTGTGTGTTGGAAAAAATTGAACAAACAAAAATCATCACTTGGAATAAGTGGGGAAGCTAATCCATCATGAAATAAGATACATACTTCTCAAACTCAGGCGCTAAATCGACAGCCTTGGACTCTCTTGTGAAACCAGTCACGTATAATGTGTTTTTTGGCATTATGTCGTTTGAATGATCTGTTGGTGTCGTTGTAAAACTTTCACCACTCAGTTGTTTTTTTTTTTTCCTTCGGCTCTCGTGACCAAAGATTGTGGAATATTCCATTTTTGATGAAGGTTACACGACTTCACGTGTAGAATAATGTATCAACTTTCTGTAACAGTGTACCTGGCCTGTATTTGGTGCTGATTGAACCAATGCTAACAAGGGTAGAATTAAGTGATGACTTCTAACTGTTAATAATAGCATCACGGGTCTTCGTAAGCTTCTACTTGAGCCAATTAATCGTATTTACCACTTCATTGTAAGCAATTGAGTCTTCTAACTGGGTGAAGGGATATCCTAAATTTCAATAGGGTCCAAGATTTGCTTTTAATTAAAGAAGTCCAAAGAAGTGATTTGATCCTGCTCATATGCGTTTCATTAGATCATGTTTTTTTCTTTTCTTTCAAAAAAATACCACTTTACGATATCTAAATGAGTAGGTGGAGGTGGAGGTGGGGGTGGAAGGAAATACGACATGGAAGAGCCAATAGACAGTTGTATAGCTGGGAACTGTCTAAACGTGTACACATTTTCTATGGCAAATCAAAGTAATTGTGACATATTAAGCGGGAAGAAAAAAGGGCACGAAAGAAAATGCAGCCTTTGATTTTTTTAGCATTGGTTTCATTAACTGTAGAATATAAAAAGTCTTATGCAAGTACACACTCGAGTAAAGCATATTGTTATAGAAGTAATTTATGAAGGGCTTTATTACCACTTTAGAGCGTGACCCTTTTTTCATTTGTGTGCCTAAAGAGAATGTGTCTGAATGTGTTCATTTTGATTTGCCTAATTCAGTTTGTAATCAGAAAATAAGAAGATGTATGTATTTGTTGCAAAAAAAGGAAAAAAAAGACGAATGATATTGTATTACGTGATAACTTATGTAATATAACCCCAACAAAAATAATTTGTATTACTATGCAGGAAGAATCAAAAAGAAATGTTGAATGTTGAGTAAAAAAAGGGGACCGCGCATTCAATGTTTTTTTGCAGTCAAATGTGGAAGAACAAATCTTAGTGAAGAGGGAGATAAGATACGTGTCAACTTCAATACAACTACTTTGAAGTTATCTACGAGATTCCAGCTCTGTTAGTGTCGGCTCTAGGTAAGTCTATAATCACAAGACAAGTAACACTGTAGAATTGAGGGGTAGGAATAAGTGTAATTTGCCAAAAAAATAGGGCTCCTTTACTTGGCCCATGTTATAGTCACATTTGAGCACAGATACGACCAATGCAAGACACGTTGTCATGGGCAAACGCTTGCCACTCACTATCCTCCTTTTCTTATCAAATATAAATATTGTGCCTCGGTGGCAAAGTCTCCGGAGCTAAAGCTAAGCAACAGCCAAAAAAACACTTGCTCAAAAGCCTATTTGTGTACAAGCGAAAGCAAACACCATTGTTTCTATTTTTTGTACTGTATTAGTAAAAGAAAGAGATCTAAGACTCTAGATCTGTTCTCCCGTAAAGAGGTTATGGCTCTTGAGATAACGGTGTTGAAAGATCTAAGGAAGTTATAACTACGAATGGGAAGTACGTATCAGGTAGTTTGCTCCCAAAGGAGCTTTAAGCACCGAAGTGAAGGTTTCACCGTAAACGTTTTTGTCAAGGTTTCAATTCTGTTTTTTATTGAAGATTTACGCCTTGAAAAAAACAATAGTAAATAACACACAAAGGGCTGCCATGATTGTATAATAATATACACATTGGTATAGCTCTGCAAAATACAGCAACCATCTATGAACACGTAAACCTCACTCCAAAGCTGAATTTTCCCAAAGCATAAAAATAAAAAAAAAAAGCTTAAAATAAAATTGTTTTATTTTTAACTTCTTTTTAGTCAATAGTACACGCACAATCACCCACCCACTCACTCACTGATCTCAGACAAAAACAGTTTAAAAGAAAAATAAAAAAATAAAAATAAAATTTAAATTTAAATTTAAATGAAAAAAAATACCCATTTCAAAACCAATTTCATCCTTTCTTTTTTTATTTTTTTTTTTTTTTTAATTTCTACCTTACCAGTAACGACAACAACCAAATACACCAACAACTATATATATATATATATATCTACATCTACAACAAGAAGATTATAACTTATTCAACATAAGACAGAAATATAGAGACATAAAGAGAGAGACAATCACTCACACATTTTTTTTAATACATCTCCTCTTTTATTCCAACTATGAGTTTTGTTGCACATGAAGATCATGCACCACATGATTTCTTTAGCAACCACACTAACAACAACGAAGGCAATAACAACAACAATAGCAACAATAGCAATAGTCATACTGACTTTCACAGTATTCTAAGTAGTCGCAACTCACACACAAGACTTTTGGATGAAAACCACGATATACTAGATGAGTTTTTAGACCAAAGAGTTTACGACTCAATGGGAACAACCACGCCCAACAACAACACTAATATTAATAACGACAATGGTGACAGAAACAGCAACAATCCAAAGATCAAACAGGAACAATTCCCAGGAGAAACATTGATGAACTCGCTATATGCTTTAACTGACAACACGAATGATATCCCTGTTGAGTCAAATACATTTGAACATGGCATAAATGGAAGTAATTTCCCTCAATTTTCAGATTTGCCAAATGGCAGTAATCACAATAATGGCCTTGATATGAATGTTGATGGTATTTCTCCACAAGATAACGACTATTTGTACATGGAGTTACCTCATGACTCGAACTTTTCACACGATCCCCTCCTGTCTAAGCATGAGGCGCAGACTCACCAGAACTCGATAACCAACTCAATATTCCATACCCCTAATGCCATGACATCCCCTGAAGAAACGAAATCAATCTCCAACGGCCACGCTGTTGTACAGTCAAACCCAACCTCGTTATCTGAGTACGAATTTGTTAGGGAAGAATTGAACAAACTAAAATTCGGCTGTCATCGTATCAATGCCGCACCAAAGACCGTCGATATCCCTGATCCTTCGTATTTGGATTTCTCCTCAGAAGCTATGAGTAAGTTGCCACATAAAATGGCATTGTCTGCTTTACCTAGTCACTCGCGTGTGGAAACTCAAATTAGATGTGATATAACTTTAAATCCCGCCCCAAATCAAGCCTTGTTATACGTGCCACAAGACCTTATATCCAAAAACAAGTTTTGCTTGTCAGATCCATTGGAAACTTTGCACCCTAGATTGAGGGAAAATTTGTTGTTTTTGGATGCTTATGTGCTCACTTCTGATTTACAACAGTCGTGTAACATCTGCTCGAGGTGTATCAAAAGAGAACAAAAAAGAGCCTCTCGTGGGAAAGCTGCAGGGGAAATGGATGAAGGTCAATTCAGTGCCACCACCCCTGCTGCTGCTGCTGCTGCTAATACCACCTCGCCTTCATCTTCTAAAACACCTGCTGCTATAAAAAACAATTCAACTAGTTGGGCTGATGAGAAAATGATGAAAAAGGCAATAATATTCAACTGTAAAGAGATTGTTTCATTCCCATCGCCTTCAGGGTTGAAGAACAACAATTCAAAGTCAATTGAGTTATCTGCAAGAATAATATGTTATTGCAGACACCATAAGGAACTGACAGGATTTAGAGTGTTGATTTTGATAAAGAATAATAAAGGCGAAGTTGTAGCTAAGCAATTATCTTCGCCGATTATGATTATGGATCGCAAAAAGAATATTCCATTGACCAAAGATTCGTTGCCTAATTCGGTTGTTGGATCATCAGTCAATTTACAGGCACTAGATGATACGGGAAGCAAAAAGAAAAGAATCTCAAACTCTGATTCCGAAAATGAACACAAGTTTTCCAACAATGAGTTTGGACATCATTCGTCGCCAAATTCGGTGGATGAGTCTGCATCTGAAGTGCAAACAAACACTGATGCCGAATCAAGTCGCGGCCTCAAACGTAAGAAATTGTCAGTTGATGATTCATACAATGCTTCTGCCAATCCAATGTACAACGGTAGTATAAGTGGTTATTCGCCATTAAGCAACAGTGATACCAACACATCGACCAACATTCATTTTATGAAACAACCACTGTACGCTGGATTATCGCCTATGGGCACTCAACACCCTCCCCCAAATCCACAGTTGCAGCAAATGCAAACTCCGCAATCGTCTTCGTCATCATCTCAACAGCAGACCTTGCAACGCTTGCCATCAATACAACGAATCATACCTGCTCAGGGGCCCATACGTGGTGGTATTGAAATTACGCTATTGGGCTTTAATTTCCGTCCTGGTTTACTGGTTAAATTTGGTCCTAACCAAGCGTTGGCTACCCATTGCTGGTCTGAAACTACAATTGTGACGTACTTGCCTCCAGCACTGCAGCCAGGGCAAGTTTTGGTTAGTTTTGAAAATGAGGAGTCCTCAATAATTGGTGGACCTCAGCAACAACAGATATTCACCTACACTGACGATACAGACCGACAATTGATTGAATTGGCCTTGCAAATAGTGGGATTGAAAATGAATGGTAAATTGGAAGATGCAAAGAACATCGCCAAGAGAATTGTTGGTAGTGATGCCAGCACTGGAGGTAATAGTAATGGTACTGCACCAAACTCGATGACGGCATCACCCACAAATTTGGCTCAGAGTCAAGAAGACGTTCATGATTGGTTCAATAGTGCTCACGCTTCTTTAAAGAAATTAACATCCTCTGGTTTGTCCACGCAAGTGATTTTGATAAGACTTCTTTCCTTGGTTGATTTGCCAAATTGCCCAATCATTATACCCAATTGGCAACTTGCTAATACCCAAGGTCAAACGTTGTTGCATTTAGCCACGATGAAGAACTATCACAAGTTGATCAAATTTTTGGTCACCCATGGCTGTAAAATAGACGTTAAGGATAACCAAGGTTTGACGCCATTGTTTTTGGCCTCAATGTGTGGTCATCGCAAGTTGATTCAGTTATTCATTGAGTGTAAATCCAATTGGAACTTGAAGTTGCTGAATGATAAATACTTGCGCGACTATTGTGACTTGAACGTTATTGATATGTTTAAGGAATACGAAGAGCAGTCGTTGCAACAACAGCAGCAGCATCAGTTATCACTGGACATTGGAGAAGACGATGCTAATGTCATTAAGAAGACAACGTCTTTTGATTCGTTGGATTCGATGTTTGACGATGACTATGGACGCCACATTTCAAAGATGAGCCAGGACGATGAAGTACACAGGAGGGATCTTCAAAGCCAGGATCAACATGATAGTGCTATTTCTGCTTGGGAAGGTAATAGGAACTATTCATCGGAATTTGCTGATTCAGAATTTGAATCTGAAGATGATTATGATGAGGAGGAAGCTGATTATTGTGATGATGAGTATAGTGATGGCGATGACGTTGAAGTCAGTGATGGAGAAGAAGATCATTCACAAGGTGCAGAGTGTACGAGAGATGCGGATCATACTTCTGACGCTCAAGAGCCATCCAAACCACCGTCGTCTCCAGGTTTGTGGCAAAAAGTCAAGAACGTGTTCAATAAAGAAGAAGATAGTGATTTACCACAATATGACGACTTGTTCCCATTTGGGCCTTCGTCTAGCCTTACAGCCAAGCCCAAGAGTGCTCTCGAACAGTCAATGAATGATGCAACACAAGCCCAATCAGCTGAAAACACCTCAAGTACGAATTCTAAGGCTGACCTCGAGCCAACTAGCTCTAAGCTTGCTGATACAGACACTGACCCTGGTTTGGCGTCCGACTCGTCAGAAGATATGGTGGTGACTTATATCAATCATCCAAGGAAACCAGTTGAACATGATAGGATGTTGGTATTTTTCTGGATTCCTGCATTGGTTGTTATATTTGCCCTATTCTTTATGGTTTACGTTGTTGGTTACAATTTCAAGCAACTTGACTATGCCAAGGAGTTTGTGAGGAACACAGTGGGTAATCCCATGGTTGGTAATGAGCGTATTACCAAGGTGTTTAAGAGCACAAGTGGAGGCAAAGTTGCCGCAGCAGGAAATACTGCAACTACTGCGATACGACGCGTTGTTGATTTCTAAGAGAGAGAAAGCACAACAGTTCTTTTTTAAATTAATGACGATGTGATATGTTTTTTTTTGTATTTCAGTTTTAATATACTGTAGCTTGTAATGTTTAATATAAATTTTAATGATTGACTTTTTTTGATACAACTTTGCTGTAGATCCCGGTTTGTGGTGCAACATTATAAAGCTCTTCGCGCACGAGCCGCACTCCAATAACTAAAAGCAAAAAAAAAGAATCGATCGTATCACAAGGCTTCAATTACAAATCAGTTTCTATTCCTTCTTGTAAACCAGATTAGCATTATCCTTGTGGGCTAGCATAATGAAAAATACGGTTATTCTACTAAAGAACCCTAGTACGCCCAAAGACCCGTACCATGACTTACTCATAGCCAATTCTTACAACCCACATTTCATCCCATTACTTCACCATACTCACAAGGACAAAGCCCAAACGCTAGCCTATCTTACATCAGATGCATTTGTTGAAAACACATTATATTTCATAATCACGTCGCAACGTGCAGTTGAAATGTTGCGTGAATGTATCAGTGAAGTGACTGATTTGGAGTTACGACTGAAAATTTTGCATAAAGTGGGCTACACTGTGGGTCCAGCCACTAGCAAAATATTGCGAGAAGTGGGGTTTACTGATGTACGAGGTGGTGTTGATGCTGGGAATGGTTCTAAATTGGCTGAATTGATTATGGATGAATTGTCACCAGATACAAGGGTTGTATTTTTCACTGGTGAAATTAGAAAGGATATTATTCCTAGGAAATTGATTGATGTGGGCAAATTCAACCAGTTTGAAGAATTCGTTATGTATCAAACTCGTGAACGGGACGACATTATTGGAAACTTTAACTCCGTTGTTGAGCAAGTCGATGGTGGTTGTGAAAGTACAACTAAGGATGCTCTGGACATTTGCGCTGGTGGATGGATTGTGTTTTTCAGTCCACAGGGAACTAAGGAGATTGTTCAATACTTGAAACAGCAAAACGACAGTATGTCTGAGTCTAGAGGAAATAAACGGTGGAAGTTGGCTAGTATTGGACCTACTACGGAGGAATATCTCTTGACCAATGGATTGATCCCTAATACCATTGCTGCCAAACCAGATGCAGCAAATTTAGTGGATGGGATACTCAAGTCTGATTAGAGAATATAGACATTTGAGGCATCGCACCTTATTTATGTATTCATGTATATATATGCTATAATCTAATTGTTAGGTTCTTTTCCCTTTCAGTAGCTACAATAGAATCGCTCTTTGATAAATCAGTGTTGAATTAAAATAAATAGAAAACTAGAAACAAACACAATGAGATAGAACTATATCAAACATTTTGTCATTGTTTGATTTATGTAAAAAAGTAAACAAAGTGTAAATCAAATCAATCAGGGTGATGGTTAATCACTTTTTAATTGCTTCATTAACAACATCAATGATTTGTTGAACAACTTGTGGGTTGGACAATGTTGAAGTATCACCAAGTTGATCAGCTTCACCCGCCAAAACTTTTCGTAAAATACGTCTCATAATCTTACCTGATCTAGTCTTTGGCAAATCGTCAACCAATAAAATCAATTTTGGTGCAGCAAATGGTCCAATTTCTTTACGAACAGTCAAAATCAACTCCTTCTTGATAGCGTCATAATCTTCATTGTCGCCCAATTTATCCTTTTTAAGTGAGACATACGCAGCCACGGCTTGACCAGTCAAGTCATCGGCGTATCCAACAACAGCACTTTCGGCAACCAATTCGTCTTCAATTAAAGCGGCTTCAATTTCAGCAGTAGATAATCTGTGGCCACTAACATTGACAACATCATCAACTCTACCCAAGATCCAGTAGAATCCGTCCAAGTCACGAGCAGCTCCATCTCCGGTGAAATAGTGGTTAGGGTATGGTGCTAAATAAGTATCGATAAATCTATTGTAGTCATTGAAAATACCTCTTGTGATTGATGGCCAGGCAGATTTGATAGCCAACACACCTTCAACATCGTTACCATTCAATTCTTCACCAGTTGTTGGGTCCAAGATCTTAGGATCAACGCCAAAGAAAGGCAAGGAGGCTGATCCGGGTTTAGTAGGAGTGACACCAGCCAAAGGAGTCAACAAGTGAGACCCAGATTCGGTTTGCCAATAGGTATCAACAATGTGTGCCTTGCCTCTACCAATGTTATCGTTATACCAGTGCCATACTTCAGCAGCAATTGGTTCACCAACTGATCCCAACACTCTCAAAGAACTTAAATCATATGGTTGAACAAACTTGGTACCAGCACGTTTCAACAATCTTAAAGCTGTTGGTGCAACATAGAATTGATTAACCTTGTACTTGTCAACAATTTCCCAGTATCTTGAGAAATTAGGGTATGCAGGGGTACCTTCGAAAACGACTGATGTAGCACCATTCAACAATGGACCATAAACAACGTAGGTGTGGCCAGTAATCCAACCGATATCACCAGCAGTAAACAAGATATCATCCTCATGCACATCAAACACATACTTGGTCGTGAGCAATGCTCCCAATAAGTAACCAGCAGTGGTATGTTGGACACCTTTTGGTTTTCCGGTGGAACCTGAAGTATACAACAAAAACAAGGGGTCTTCCGAATTGACTGGCGTTGGTGGGAAGTAGGATCCATATTTAGCCAACTCTTCATGCCACCATAAATCTCTACCTTTGGTGAATGGAACATGAGAGTTGCCAGTTCTCTTGAAAACTATAACATTTCTGACATCAGGACATTCCTTCAATGCGTCATCAACAATTCTCTTTGTTTCGATAGTCTTTCCACCTCTCTTGGATTCATCGGCAGTAATAACAATTCTCGAGTCAGCATCTAAAATTCTATCTCTCAAAGAAGCACTGGAGAATCCAGCAAACACCACCGAGTGGACAGCACCAATACGGACAATTGCCAACAAAGTGACAATGGCTTCAGGAATCATTGGCAAATAAACAGCTACTGAATCGCCCTTTTTAACTCCCAACTTAACCAAAGCTTGAGCCAATTTACTAACTTCTTTCAACAACTCTCCATATGTAATAATCCTACCTTCATTGACCTCATCAGCTTCATAAATAATGGCAGGTTTGTTGGGGTTCTTGATAGCCCATCTGTCAACGGCATTATAACAAGCATTCAATTCACCATTGACAAACCAAGCGGGCAAATCACCATTTTTGAAATCGTCTTCACTAGAAGCAGGGAATCTAGCCAAGTCAAACGGCTTATACCAATCCAAGTTTTGTTTAGCTTGTTCGCCAAAGAATTCATTGGGGTTTTCAATTGATTGACGGTATAATTTTTGATAAGTGGCAAAGTCAGCTAAATTTGGCTTCGATTTCGACCGTTCATAGAAGCCCTTGGGCGGTTGTTGCATGGCCTCGTGATCTAAAGAAATATGTGAATGTTTGGATTCTGGCATTTTTTTTTTGATTGAGATTAGGCTATACGGGGGAACGACTGTTTTTAAATTGTTTTTTGTTTTTCACGTGTGGAGATTCGGCGTGTAAAGTCTATTATATGTAACTAAGTAATAAATTTAGACGCTGGGAAACAAAAGACTATTTTGTTAAAAGGACAAAAAGCAAAGGGTCAAAAACAAAATAATTTTAGTTTAAAATAAATAAAGTGTGATTATGAAATAACAAAAAATCGTTGGGCACTATGGGATTTATTGTGTAGGTTGTCTTAAAATGAATTTGTCTTTTCTGTTGAGATTTTCGTAATCAATGAAAAACTAAGAGGGATAAAGTCTATAGGTGGAATAAGATGACTACTTTAATGTGTTGGTGGTAAGCAAAAAGTGATTGTAAAAACGAAGACTGAAAACATCCGACGTGAAAGGGAAAATGAGAATGGCTTCTGTATTTATAGTAAAAATCTTACCACTGCCACCACCACTCCGAGCACCACTCCGAGGAGCACCACCTCATTTAGCACAATAAAAAAAAGAAAAATAACCTAAAATAATAATAAAAATAATAGTAACAGTCGGTATTTAGTAAGTAAATTTTGTACTTTAAATTTGTGTTTTGTTTGTTTGTTTCTGGTTGATGTTGTTGTTGTTGTTGGGTATTTTTTTTATTTTTTTCAAGAAAAAGCCCGAAACTTACACAAACTGACTACGAAGGAGAGTCAAATAAAATGTTATCCACAGAGAAGATAAATAAGAACAATATAGAGACCTTTATACCAAACAAAATTCACCTTCTTTTAAGTTTGAGGTGATAATTTTAATTCTCTTTGCTTTCTTTTGGTGCGTGGATATGGACTGGTTGACTAAGGTATCAATTGATTTGGTTTTAGCACTATTCCCCCTTGGTTTATACTTTTGTTGTTTTGTTTTGTTTTTTTTTCTCTTTTACGATAGACGCCTTAAAATCAAATAAGCGAAGTGCAAGATCTGCTCGTGTAAACAGACGCTTTTTTCTTTTAAATTTTCCAGTCACATCGTCCCATGGATGACTGAGAAACACGTCATGGTTCAAAAGTGATGCAATTGCATGTGCATTTGGCAAGAGTCCCCTTAAAGAAGTGACTTCCTGGATAATAATTTGTCCTTTTTTCTAATTTTTTTTTTTTTTAATTATTTTATCTTTGGGGTTATATATATTTTAAATTTAAAATAAAAATAAAAATTTCTCTGTGTCATTATATAAAATTTATTATTCATCAACTACACACGACCCTTAAATCAGAAGAGTAGGAGGTAAATGTCATCCAACAACAATATTACCAAAAACCAAGACTGATTTCTTCATTTTTCTTTACATCAGCCACTTGAAGTTAGCAGCTTTGATATATCTTTTCCAGTAGAAGTGTGAATTATGTATGATTTCAGATCACCATAATCTTTTGAATGGCCTCTTATTGTTATTTTTTTTCTTAAAGGTAATAAATTTTATTTTATTCTATTTTTTTTGTGGGGTAAACCCAAACGGAGCGATAACGCCATTGAATTTTAGTGTACAAAAAATATTGGTAAAACATAAGGATGCTGAAAGGGTTAATAATAGATTTACATTGCATCATTCCTGCAAAAATGCTTCATTACAATTATGAAAGAAAATGAATGGGACTGGACTTTTATTGGCTGAGATATTTTAATTCTTTGCCTGTGTGTTTGTGTAACATGTTGATTTTTTCTTGTCTCATAAAAAAAACTGGCCATTACTTTGGAACCACACGACTTGAAGAGACTAATGCGATACATTTATTTTGAAAGTGGTAGTGTCATTATCATTCTTGGGGACTGAACTCTCTAACAAAAGTGCAAAAAGAAAAGAAGCGTTATGTTCAGCTCTTTCTGTTATCCGCCCCTTATAATTTACAATGAACCAGTTTTTGGTAGAAGGGTTCAGCGCTGATGTCATAAAGGGTACAGCTGCAAGAACAATTGAGTCAATTCAGACTCAATCACATCAACTCTGTAAATACTACCGGCTTGAAATTGTTTGCATTGTTTTTTTACAATTGAACATATTCTTTTTTTTATTTTTTGTTTCTGATACCGAAAGTCCGATATGAAAGTGGGCTGGGCGCCACAAAACTAAAACTCCGAAATGAAAGTGAATATAAAGAGCAACAGACAAAAATGACTTTTACTTTGTTTGTGTAATACAAGAGTGCTTGAAATTGTGGGGTCAATGTTATTTTAACAGGAAAGTGAAATAGTGGTTGTCGCTGCTTCCGATAAGTCCCGAAACTTTGATTCAACACCCGTGCAATCAAAGTCTACGCAGAACTGCAACGAGTTCTGGCTATTTTGGGTTGCCTTGAAAGAAGAAGAAGAGGCAAAATTAAATATCGCTCATAGATTTATCAGCTCCCTAAATTTCCGTACCTGGCTTGGTGTCAAACTGAACTCTTATAACCTTCTTTCTCTTTTAGTACGATTGTTGTAAAAGGGCATCAAATGGTACGCCGGAAACGGCAACCTTGATCAATGAATATACCCGTGGAATATTTATCAGATTAACGTTTGTGAAGAAACTGGTTAATCTATTGTGTCGTCTTGAGGTTGAACGCTGATATCCCATTGTAACTTCTAGATGGCCTATTGTGTGTGTACGTGTGTATCCGGGGGTATTCATACAATGTGCAACAAAGCGACGCAATAAGTAGACTGCTAACTTCATATACTTGGAGGCAACTATTGTTAGAATAGTAGAAGTGATATAACAAGATACATCAACATAATAGCTTTGCTGTGTTACTTCAGTGTTTCTAATGTGTCCCGGCCCAAAAGGCAGCTTCAAAAGGTGTGTACCAAACAAAAGAAAAATTTATTCGCCACAAAGCAGAAACAGCTGCCCTTCAGTAAACACTTGATTTGTCTCATCGAGAAGCAGGCAGTACCCTATAAATGTTCAATATATGAATAATGGCGACCATAATAGCTCGACATTTGACGCGGCATTCAATGTAAGTTCGGTCAACTGGTCTACACACTCAAACTCAGCATCACATTTGAAGGTTCAGATTAATGATTACGACACGTATCAAGCCCATCCAACTAAATTGGACCAGTTGTACACCCAAGTCTCGCAAGTCCCAATCATACGGATTTACGGATCAATATCTTTTGAAGATAAAGTTGTTTCACGCAATCTGTCTCCTATGAAAAAGAAGCAGAAGAATCTATTAAATCCAGGTCTACAAACACGTCCTCAGCCATCAGTATTCAATGCAGTTATCCACGTCCACAACTTTTACCCATACTTTTATATCGACTGTCACGAAAATGACTACGAGAAATTACAAAGTCCTGAGTACTTGGATAAAATAACCAAATACTTGGAAGTGGTGGTCAAGGAATCATTTAAGCGAAGGCGTGGCAGAAAAGGTACTGGCGAACAGGAATTGGAGCCTGAAGTGGAAAAAGAAGAAGAAGAAGCAGACAACAAAGACTCTAATGTTCAAGAAAAGCTGAGCTTACGCAAATACATTGCACATGTGTCAGTTTGCAAAGCTGTCCCTATATACGGATTCCAACTCGGCTATAAATTATTCTTCAAGATATCACTTCTTTCACCATTGTACAAGAACCGTTTAGCACATATGTTTCAAGAAAACAAGATTAGCTTGCACAAGTTCGATCAACCTAGTGAAACAAAAAAGAGTGATATTGAACCAACTTATGTTTATGAAGCTCACCTTCCATATTTGTTGCAGTTCTTGACTGATTTCAATTTGTTTGGTTGTGGTTGGTTGGTCATTCATCGTGATCATGTTAACAATGGACCTCAAACAAAGGGGTTGTATTTCCGCACCCCAATACTTAGCGAGCATTATAATAACGGCTATAGCCAGTCGCAAATATGTGGATTATCAAATTACTTGCAACTGTACATTTTGCCCGATAATGTACTCGTTGATGGTGGGACTTTGCAGACGTTTAAGCGAATTGGAAAGTCGATGTTAGAGTTGGATATAACGACCAGCAGTATTGTCAATCGTACTTGGCTATCGGCAAGAGAATTGCATGATAGTTTTGTTGAACGAAAACAGTTTGACGAGTATAAATCTGACTTGTCACTGTTTGGTTATCCCAGACATGGTTATAAACACGAGCCAGATGGTACACCAAAAATTTATCTTTCTTCGTTGAAATATATTTACAACGACTTAAAGTATCAGTGTCACTTGAGAAACTCTACGTTTGATGTATCAGCAGATGTTTTGGAGTCATATGAAGGCTATTATTTTGGTACGGGCTCCTCTATTTGGTCCAATCAGCAACAATTGGATGAGCTTTTGGCATACATGAAGCAATTGAATGGCAAGTCGAACCAAGGCTTTGACGATTATGCTGCAAAGTTTTTCAACAACAAGCGCATACACAATGCTTCGAATTCCAAAGTCTTTACTAACTTCCCAACGTCATTTAATTTGGTTGATCTTGAGAAAAGTGCGCAGTTTCACACTATGCGTATGCAGTTTGGCAGGGATATACTTATATGGGGAGAGTTTAAAGATTTGTTCAAAAACGCAGTGGCTTCATCATCTTTTGATAAAAGCCGAGCGAAAAATAATGACTTGATTGTTCCAGATGAAGAATTTAATGGCAAATATTCGGTGGGAGAAAGAGGTGAAGAAGGTCTAAGGGTTGAAAGAACACAAAGTGCGGTGAATGAAGCGGAAATTGACGATTTTTCTAGTTTTGATAGTGAATTGCTGGATGGTGATAAAGATGCAAATGAAGCAGAAAGTTTAGAAAACAAAGATGACTACGAGCTCAATGCGTCGGCAAGCACCTCACCAGTAAAGAAAATCAACATCAATCATTGTGATAGCTCACCTGGAAAAGAGGATATGGTTGACGACGTCGATGCCTTTGACTCTGCTGAAGAGCTTGATCAATCGATTATTAGATCAATGACACAATCTCGAGCAAAGATACATCCAAATTCGACTTCAAAATTGCCCAATGTTGAAGAGATATCGTCAGTCGAAGATTTTTCATTCACTCCTACGCCAAGCCAATCTAAAATAACTCCTTCTTTGAAAAATATGCAAGTTGGAGCTAATGAATTTGAAGTGGTTATACCTGATCAATTGAAAAAGGGAAATTACAAGAAAGTCTTCCAAGATTCGGGGATAATGGAGATAAATTATACTGATCCATTTTACAATACCGTTGAAGACGTTCCTTCAAAACCTTTTATATTTGCCAATCAGAAAATGAATGTTACAGTAAGGAATGCACTGACAATTCCCAGCTTGGATGTAGTGAATGTACCTAGAATTGAGGGCAGAAAAAAGCTTACAGGTAAAAGAGTAACCACCTGGCAGTATATGCCGGACCCTCCATGTAAAGAAAGTATCGTTGATTGGCTTAAAGTTGAAGAGAATAAGCAGAACAAAAAACGACTAAAATATAGATCGCAAATCGAACCAGGTGTAACGCAGACCCATGATTTCAAATTTAGTTACAACTCGGAAAAAGTTTCACGAAAACCGGACGAGTTTAACTACTTAAGCAGTTTCCACTTGGAGATACATGCAAGCCCACCAAATTCAAAATTGGCAGTTGACCCGCTACGTGATCCAATATCGTTTATCTTTTATTCGTTTGATGACGCCAACGAAATGTTTGCTCAATCTGGAACCAAATCAGGTGTTCTCGTATTCAACAACCATAATTATAATATTGAATTCTTTAATAGTTTGAGTAAATCTTTGGGGCTATACATTGAATTGTTTGATGAGGAAAGGAAAATGGTGGAGAAATTAGTTGAGTTAGTTGAAACGTACGACCCAGACATTCTATCTGGCTACGAGGTGAATTCAATGTCTTGGGGATACATTGTTGAAAGGTTTCGTGAAGTTTATGAAGTCAATATTATGAGTTCATTGAGTAGAGGAACTCATCGAAGTAATGGTAAGTTGGGAGATCGATGGGGATACACTCATACATCAAACGTTGAAATCACTGGCCGACATATATTGAATGTATGGAGAATTTTGAAATCAGACTTGGCCCTAACCAGTTATACATTGGAGAACGTATGCTATCATTTATTACATAGGTCACTTCCTCGCTACCTGCTTCACCAAATATCTCAATGGCTAGAGAGTGGGAAATTTAGGGATGTTCAAGTGGCGCTATTGTATTACATGAGACGAATAGACTTGACATTGAAAATTGTATCCGTACAGGAGTTAATTACAAGAAATGTTGAACATTCGCGATTAATTGGAATTGAATTCAACTCAAACTTTTACCGTGGATCGCAGTATAAAGTAGAATCAATATTGTCAAGAATATCCAAGACCGAGAGTATCTTGCTAAATTCGCCGTCGAAAAGGCAAGTGCACGAAATGAGACCAATCGAGTGCATTCCTTTGATATTGGAACCCAAATCCAATTTTTACAAATCACCGTTGGTGGTCTTGGACTTTCAATCGTTGTATCCATCAATCATGATTGCCTATAACTACTGTTATTCCACTTTGATTGGTAAGCTACATAACTTCAAGCCAAAGAAAAACAACATTGGCTACTTGAAAAATCTAAACCTACCCCCAGGGATGGTGGATTTATTGATGAAGGACAATGCCATAAATGTCTCGCCTAATGGGTTCGCTTTTGTCAAAAGCCATGTGCGGAAATCGATCTTGGCCAAAATGTTGGAAGAGATATTGAATATCCGAATAAAGACGAAAACAGTTATGAAGTTGTTTAAAGATGATGCCGAGTTAACTAAGCTTTACAATGCGAGACAAATGGCTTTAAAATTGATTGCCAATGTGACCTATGGATATACATCAGCAACTTTTAGTGGTAGAATGCCAAACTCGGATATTGCTGATGCCATTGTCTCGACTGGGCGAGAACTTTTAGACAAATCGATCGAGATAATTGAATCTAGTGGTTATGGCGCAAAAGTTGTTTATGGTGACACTGATTCCTTGTTTGTATATTTCCCCGGGAAATCAAAAGCTGAAGCATTTAATCTGGGCCGAGAAATTGCCAAAATTGTCACCAACTCTTTTCCCGATCCCGTCCAACTCAAGTTCGAAAAAGTGTACCATCCATGCGTATTGCTAGCAAAGAAGAGGTATGTGGGGTACTCCTTTGAATATGAAGATCAGGCGGTTCCCAAATTTGATGCCAAAGGTATTGAAACTGTTCGTAGAGATGGTGTACCAGCGCAGCAAAAAATAACGGAAAAGGCGTTGAGAATATTATTTGAGACCAAGGATTTGTCTAAAGTGAAGCAGTACACGTTGAAACAGTTTTTGAAAATCTTTAGCAATAAAATCACCATTAATGATTTCTGTTTTGCCAAAGAAGTGAAATACGGAAAATACAAAGATGAAAGATATTTACCGCCAGGTGCATTACTCGCAAGTAAAGCAGTAGAAGATGATCCAAGAAAAGAGCCACAGTACAAGGAAAGAGTCCCGTACGTCGTAATCCGTGACTCGACAAAGGTACGAATCAAAGATCGAGTGATGTTTCCTGAGGATTTCATAAAGACATTTAGTACCACTGAGCCGTTAACGTTGGACTATGATTATTATATAACAAGGGTATTGATTCCTCCATTGGAGAGAGTCTTTAATTTGATGGGAGCAGACGTGCGAGGGTGGTACAGAGAGTTGCCAAAATTTACCAGATCCAACATTATTAGTGCATTTAGTGATTCGTGTTTAATATGTGGCTGCAGATTAGATGGAAGAGAGTATGTTTGTCTGAAATGTGGCCAAGATGAACAACGATTGGTTACAAATGTAATGATGACTTGTAGGAACAAGCAGGAGAAAATTGTGGAAATTGAAAACACCTGTCGCAATTGCATGCAGAATGTCTTTGCTTCTGAAGCTGCGGCATCGCAATATACTGACAATTGTTTCAATCGTGATTGTTCGGTGTATTATAACAAGGTTAAAGTTGAACAGGAAGCTAGGCTATTGTTCGTCCGAAGGGATAAGGTGTTGCAAGCGTTGGAGTGGTGATGTATTTATTAGGTTGTAATCATATGTACTATTGGAGTAACTCTGCGTTGCATGGGCCACTGTCTAAAGTGTGCCTCAAAGCGCGTTGACTTTTGTGCGAGAAAATTTGGAAAAAATATTTCAGTTCATTCACTGACCTCTCAGTACGTTGCAAACATGGCCGTGAAAAAGGTCACACCATCAACCAATGCTAATGCACTGTCCTCCGATGTGGTTCAACCACCCAAGATATATGCACTATTCAACATATGGGTGGTATCACTTGCCTTGAAACTCCTATTGATGGTTGGTTACCACTCTACCGACTTTGATGTACATCGAAACTGGCTAGCCATAACCAACAAGTTGCCACTATCGCAGTGGTATACAGAAAACACATCAGAATGGACACTAGACTACCCTCCTTTTTTTGCATTTTTTGAATGGTTTCTATCACAGTTTGTTCCTCCACAAGTAGCCAGGGATGGATGTTTGGATATTGTCGAAAAGGGCCAGTACGGATTACCAACGGTTTACTTTCAGAGAGCCACAGTCATTCTAAGTGAGATAGTCTTGTTTGTGGCATTGCAATGGATAATTGATACCTCACCCACCCATGCACTTCGAAGAAGAATGTATGTTGCAACTGCCAGTCTCGCATTGTCCCCAGGGTTGATGTTGATTGACCATATACATTTTCAGTATAATGGGATGATGTATGGGATATTGCTAATTTGTTTAAACAGTGCTCGTTTGGAAAGATACCTTTTATGTGGATTTTGGTTTGCTGTCTTGCTTTGTTTCAAACATATTTATTTGTATTTGGCACCAGCGGTGTTTGTTTTCTTGCTACGTGCTTATTGCTTAAAGTTCGAATGGAGCAGGAAACGTAACATTGTTGCTAATTTGGTCAACATTATACAGTGGAAAAATGCATTCAAGCTTGGATCTGTTGTCATTGCTGTATTTGCAGCAGCATTTTTACCATTTTACAACACGTTGCCACAGTTACTTAGCAGATTGTTTCCCTTTAGTCGTGGACTTACTCATGCATATTGGGCACCTAACATGTGGGCCATCTACTCATTCTTTGATAGAGTTTTGATTCAAGTATACAAGAAGATCCCGGTATCGCGATTTTTATTAAAACGAGTGTTTCAATTTGATGCAAGCTTATTGAGCCAAGACGAGTTGCTAAGAACGTCGACAAGAGGAATCGTTGGAAACATCGAATTTTTCATTCTTCCCGAAATTACGCCAAAACTCACGTTTCTTTTAACATTGTTTTACCAGGTAATGGCACTCATTCCGTTGTTTTTCCAGCCAACATACCGCAAGTTTATTGGAGCAGTGACGTTGTGTGGATATGCATCTTTCTTGTTCGGCTGGCATGTTCATGAAAAGGCTATTTTGCTTGTTATATTTCCCTTGACGTTGATTGTTTCTCGTGACAAGAGATTGTTGCCTGCATACAATCTACTCGTTGCCTGTGGATATGGATCGCTTTTCCCCCTCATATACACCTGTAACGAATGGTTGGTAAAAGTCTTATACACTTTGCTTTGGTACATTGTGTTTTACTTCAATTTTAGAAAAGTTGCTCGAGTTCCTAAAAAGACAAGTGGTTCGATAATAGACCGGGTTGTTAATGGGTATATTTTAATATTTATCTTTGTTGTTTCCATCACAAGTATTATTGATTTGTTGCTGAATAAGTTTTTGATTTTGCGGAAGTTTGAATTTTTGAACTTGATGGTCTACAGCGTTTATTGTAGCATAGGTGTTATAAGCAGCTGGAACACATTTTCGTGGCTATATTTCGTTGATGACGAGATATGGACGGAGGATACATAATTTGTACATAGAACCAAATGCATTTATTTGAAATATTTTAAGCAGTAAAGAGTACAATTTGAGGTGTCCTAAACAGTTGCATTTCTTCAAAAACGAAGGAACTTTAGAATAGATGTATTGTTATAGTTTTGTTTAGGATTGCTGCAAAAAATTATTATGCTACCAAATTCCAAAGTACACCTATACTTCACTACTCAACTCGAGGACCTCCAAAATTGTTTAAGAGGACTTACGGAGCACCTCTAATCATACAGAGCTATGAGATTTACAATTTTAACCATTGTAAACCTCAATCTCAACTTATTTTCGTCAGAAAGACCACGCTCAGTCAGAAAACTGACACATGAAAAACTGGTTCTGTGGTCTAGTTGGTTATGGCATATGCTTAACACGCATAACGTCCCCAGTTCGATCCTGGGCAGAATCATTAGATTTCATTTGGTTTTGTGGTCTAGTTGGTTATGGCATATGCTTAACACGCATAACGTCCCCAGTTCGATCCTGGGCAAAATCATTGATTTTTTTTTTCATTGTCTGTTGCTTTCCCAACGTTGACTTTGCTATAGGATCTTTTGCTAGTTGTATTAGAGCTCATATCAGTAGGGAAGCAAGTTCTTTTTTGTCCGTTGGCGGGGGGGGGTTTTGCTCCCTGGAAAGTGTGCGATCAAGAAGTTTCTGTGCATGAAGAAGATATACGATGTAGCCAATTACATATATTCATTTGGTGATAGGCTTTATACAAATAAGGCATAGATATGAAGTCATTGCAATTGTTGATGATCACGTAAAAACTGTTATAGATTCAATGATTCAACCAAGCCCACAAATCGATTCAAAGGACTTTGCTAAACCTTGTTTACTTTTGTGTGATGTTTATTTTGTGTTGCTACATGAAAAAGAACCGGCCGGGTCTACCGTCAGGTCTTTGACACCTCGGGGAGCATAAGGCCATCATTTCATACAACAAGGGGAAGAATGGTCAGTTGACTTTAGAGCTGCTCATATGCGAACTCCGATCTGAAACAAAAGGGAAATATGTGTATGTTTACAAATCTGGAAGCGATTTCGGACTTATCCCCCTTCGTAGCAACTTTAATTTCATTTTTCAAAGTATAACCCCTATCAGCGGCAAAAAAAGAAAAAAAAAAAAAACAATACAAGAACAGGCAATTATATAAATACCCTTTTAAAGAACTCAACTTTACCCAATCGATTCTTCTTTCACTATCCAGATTACATTGAAAAATCATGTCAGAAGATACAATTTCATTAGGCCAATACTTGTTTGCAAGATTGAATCAAAAACCAATTGACATCAAAAACATCTTTGGTGTTCCAGGAGATTTTAACTTGGCATTGCTAGATAAGATTGATGATATCAAAGGTATGAAATGGGTTGGCAGTGTCAATGAATTGAATGCAGGATACGCCGCCGATGGATACTCGAGAATTAAGAATTCCTTTACACCGGAAGGATCAGCCATTGGGTGTCTTGTTACTACTTTTGGTGTTGGTGAACTTTCGGCAGTTAATGCAATTGCAGGTGCTTACTCGGAACACGTTGGATTAGTCCACGTTGTTGGTATTCCATCGGTTGAGTCTCAAAAGAAGGAATTGTTGTTGCATCATACTTTGGGAAATGGTGACTTTACTGTTTTCCATAGAATTTCTTCGTATATTAGTGCCACCACGTCTGCATTGAGTGACCCAGTCCATGCTCCAGACGAAATTGATAGAGTTATAGAGTCGGCATTTGTTAACCAGAGACCTACATATTTGGCATTTCCATCTAATTTAGTCAATGCAAAGGTCCCTGCTAGCAGGTTGGACAAGCCATTGAACTTGACACCACCACCAAATGATCCAAAAGTACAAGAAGAAGTTTTGAGCACGATTCTTGAAATGATTGCCAAGTCAAAGAATCCAGTGGTTATTATCGATGCCTGTTGCGGTAGACACAATTCCACTTTTGAGGCAAACAAGTTGATTCAGTTGACCAACTTTAAATTTGCCGTCACTCCAATGGCAAAAGGTGCTAGAGATATCGAAGAAAATGATCCAAAATTCATTGGTGTTTACGTGGGTGACTTATCCTATCCAAAGACCAAAGATTTGGTTGAAAGTTCTGATTTGGTGTTATCACTCGGGGCAATCTTGTCTGACTTCAATACGGGGGCATTTTCGTACTCACTAGATGCTTCAAAGATTATTGAATTCCATTCGGATTACACCAAAATTAAGAATGCCGAATACCCCAAGATCAGAATGAAGGAACTACTTAGTGCTTTAGTGGCATCGCCTGAATTGAAGAAACTCACAGCCAACCACAAGCCACCTACTCTTGATCTTGACAAAATGCCTCCAGTCAAGTTACCTGATGATCACAAAATTACCCAGTCCTGGCTTTGGTCCAACTTGGGCTCATGGTTGAAGGAAGGTGATGTCATCATCTCCGAAACAGGAACTTCCAATTTCGGGATCATTCAAACCAAATTCCCTAAAAACTGTGTTGGCATTAGTCAAGTTTTGTGGGGTTCCATTGGATATTCAGTAGGTGCTGCATCGGGTGCAGTTATAGCCGCCGAAGAAGTTGATCCAAGCAGAAGAGTGATTTTATTTGTTGGTGATGGTTCTTTGCAATTGACGGTACAGGAGCTTTCCACCATGGTGAGACACCACAACAACATTTACGTTTTTGTCTTGAACAACAATGGGTTCACTATTGAAAGATTGATACACGGTAAAACTGCTAGCTACAATGATATTCAAGAATGGGAAAACACCGAATTGTTAAAGGTTTTCAAAGGAACCAATATTGAAACTCATAAAGCATCAAATATTAAAGAAATCTCCGATTTGTTCAATGATAAGGAGTTTGCCAAGAATAACAAAACCAGGTTAATTGAACTCAAGTTGGATACATTGGACGCACCTGAGAATTTGGTCAAACAAGCCGAAATCTCATCCAAGACCAATGATGGTTAAATAGAAGAAATGTATATAAGCTTTACATTATCTTATTCTAATCTACAAATATCTAATTTTTACTATGGAAAATGTAATCGGGGAATAGAGACTCCCAGTCCTCGTTAAACAAGTCGGATGTCATAAGAACCGGTGGCCCACCAAGGAAGTCGATATTATCATCAAGCAATACGTCGGTATTGGTGAAACTCTGCGAATCAGTACTCGACATGGGCGACTCTTTTTTAATCAGAGGAATATCGCCAAATAGTGAAATTGAAGATACAGCAGTGTTGCTTTCCTTGAAAGATTCTTCAGATGCGCCCGATTTATCTTGTTGTGATGATGAAATTGGAGTTTCTTCTTCATTCAATTCACCAGTTTCATACCTATGCTTTAATTTGTCCTTGATCAAATTATACGATTTTTCAGCCAATTTCCAAGTCTTGGAACATCCGTGCAATACCGCCATGAAAAATTGCAATCGTTGTCGATGTTGATTAACTTGAGAAAGACTCGAATTTGTCAACAAGATAATCGATATGGATAAAATTGATGAATAGACAATAAAGATGGATGCTCGTCGGTACCCGTATACTTGTTCAAATTTCTGTATCGATATGTAAAGATCATCAATGACATTCAGACATATAGTCAATGGTGAAAGATGATTATCCGAATGTAGCTTTTCCGTTTCTAAACCAACAAATGGTCGATTTAGACATAGGAGCAAAATGTAGTAGTAATATCGAATCCCCGAATACGTTGGATTTTCACCTGTGCTTGCTAGCGAGTCTTTATTCCATAGTAAATCTGGTGGTAGGTTCTTTTTCCACTGTTTGATTTGGGCATTATACTCAAACAATTTTTCCAATCGCGATTCCAAGTCCAATTCTTCATCATTAGATTGATCATTTTCAACGTCTGATTTGGTGAAGATGTCGTTCAACATGTTATCGGAAATGTTTATCAAGTTGATGATTTGATTCAACGGATCTCCAATATATGACACCACTTTTGATGGCCCAGTAGCGACTATACCTCTTTTCTTCTTGATGAACCCATTATATGTAAAATCATCGATCCATTCTAAATCGGGCAAATCTGCCGTCTCCGGTATTGAAGAATCAGCCATTTTCAAAATTGAAGGCCGGCCCAAGACCAAACTTATAAAATGGTCAGCCATATAACAGCCCCAATAAATTCTCGATCTAATTTCAACATCCAACGGGTTCAAGCTCTCTTTTGATTTAACAAACCATACTCTTGGATTCAATTGGAATCCAATGTCAAACCCCATTCGCATGGCGTTTCCCAGGAGCATCCACCCACTCGAATTCAGTCCATTACAAATATCAAAAAAGGCAAGCACCATAAAACTTTGCAATGAGGCTATCGATGGTTGACTAAGGGTGCTTAAAAGGATTGACTTCAGCTCGGTATAAAACTCCTTTGATCGACGATATATTTTTTCTTCATCAGCCATTCTTGAACCGAGGGCACAAATGCTCAAGATTAATGTTTTGGAACAGTATATACTGGTGGCTTTTGGGTCGAAAAAGTCAATAAGAAATGCCTCACGGAAAATAAACATATTGTGGTCAGGATACTGCCACGTGAAAAATAGTTGAATGCATTTAAGAATATCTGGATCTTTGTTGAGCCTGTTTATTACAGCAACTTCATTCTCTCGCTTTGGTGGCCTTTTTTTATTGGCAATTATGTGGTTATCATATACCGAAGTAGGACCGTAAATGACCTTATTTTCTTCCACTTCGTCTTGCAAATCTTGACTCAGGGTGTTGGGATAATTTGTCGGTGAAGTAGGAGCATCGGACCCATTATTGACTAAATCTATCAAATCTGTTTCCTTCAACGTTTCAAGTTGTTTTTCAGTGTCCAAGGACTTCAAGTCTGTGATGAATTTCTTGATATTCTTGATCTGGGTCTCAAGCTTGTGAACATAGTTTGCTGGCGGCCGATTCTTTCTCATGTCACTAACCGTGGGGATACATTCAACATCATTTCTGGTACACCGCAGACAAGGAATATTCCCATCGCACTTAATTTTACGTGCACGGCACTGTTGACAACTTAGTTTCTTGTGAGGGGAGACTGGGTTGGTAGATGGGGGACGAAATAATTGAACCCCTTCTTTTACTTTTATTTTTCTCTTCTTTCCCTCAGGCATACTCGGTCGAGAAGTTGTGTTGTATGGGATGCTGCTTCGGAGTGGACTTTGTTTATCTTCGTAACTCCGTCTCATACACATTTTTTTTGTCTCTTTTAATGGAGCAGTCGCTACCAATCACAAAAGAATGAGAGTCTTCATGACTCCTTTCTAGTGTAATGTGTCTTTAAGATCTAATTTCTTTTTCCTCTATACATGATCTAATTTAAAAAGATGATTTGATAAGTTGAGTAGATCACCGTCACGATCCCAACCACGATCAACACATAGTCAAATACGGGTAAAATTTTATCCACTGTAGTTTTCTCAATCTTTTTATTGACTGATCGTAAATGAATTAAAGGAGGGTAGATGTACACCAACGGTATACATGCAAAACATCCATTAAATGAGACGAATTTATCAATATTATCAGCATTCAAATAGGCAATAAAGCAAACCAAAGTGACAGAAATAGCCCGAAATATATTCTTCAACCACTTCACTTGAGGATTGTATTTCCCCGAATGATGATACAATTTACCATCTTTATCTCTATTTTTCGACTTTGCCTTACCCTTGTGCCTGAAGAACATGGATTCACCAATTTTAATCGCGGGGAATAATTGCAAAGGCCCTGATAAAAACACAGCAACTGAATACAATACCAATATCGACTGCACGGCTATATTGTTTTGTGGTAAATTTAGTATGATAATTGACTTGATTTTATCACCAAAAGCAGTGTACCCCACAGTTCCAATCGAGACAAAAATTGCCGTAATCACAAACATACTGACTGATAAAACCATGGGAAATTTTTCTGGTTGTGCCATTGATGCCTCTATTGGTAGTATTAACCCAATACCTTCAAATGAGGTAACGGCAACCCCAATCAACATGGTCCAACTATTGGAGTTGAAATTAGCGATATTTGGACCAACGCCTTCAAGGTATATTTTCCACCCCGAAAACCAAAAAATAATGAGGAGTCCAATAACAATAAATGCCGACGAGATTAATGAGACTAATGATAACTTGGTCAAGTTTCTAATCCACACCAAAGGGATCATCAATATGCATTGGACGATAACAGCATTTGCACGTGTTAGCCAAGTTGGTCGTTCGGTTAAAAGACCTCCAATAAATGCAATCATGTTTTCTGAGGTGAACAACACATAAGTGGCAACAAACCCAATTTGACTGAGTAAGATCGACACCAAAATGGAATACTTTAATGGCGTTCCATAGGTCTTGAATCCCAATTCACCATATGAGGCCAATTTCAACGTCTCCTTCGATTGTATAAGAACAACGTAGCAGAAATAAGTGAGCAACCCAAACGTGCTCAACGTAATTATGGAAAACAGTAATCCACCATTATAGAAAGCCCGTGGCAAGAACAACACTCCCGATCCAACAAGAGCCTTAAACACCAAGAAGAAGGTCTTGGCAACCGATGCTGTACCTCGTGGTTGTTCGCGTCTTTTGGGCAATTGTTTTGGTAAATTAGGTGTGGCTGCTCCGTATTGTCTTTGGTTTCCCAACAAGCTCGATTCTTCATCAAACACGTCTTCGTAGTTTGAGTTTGAGTCTCGCAAAGTATCGGTATCTTCATCCAGGTCATCGTCATCGTCTTCATCAGTGAAATCCTCTCCGGCGTAGTGTCCATACATGCTTAAAAATTCCATAAAGTTCTGGGTCAAGAAATTGGGTGGCTCTTGATTCTTTTTTATCGAGTTTTGAATGATGAACTCTCTTCTAAACCCACCCGGTACGTTTATATCGCTTGCGGTTGATCCACGTCTAGTCTCATCTAAATACTTTGAAAATGAAGTACTTCGAGTTCGTCTTCGTGGGTTATGGATATTGATTCCACCAGGGTGTGCATCATCCGACACGTTTTCCATCTGGTGGTATATCCTTCTCGTGATATCGCCACCAGGCTGTTTTAAGCTTTCTTCAGGACTCACCAAATGCTTGCCAATAGTTTTCAAATCGACATTCTTTTGGGTGCTATTGAGTTGCGATACCAGCTCATCGTAGCTCTGGGCATTCGACGCACTTGATTCGTGTGAATTGACGGATTGTGTTGAAGGACGGATGTTTTGCAATGTAGAATCGAGTGGTTGAGACGGACTGCTTGAATGGGGACTTGAATCTAGAGGTGTTGGCATTCTATATGATTGCGAGTGAGATGGAGATGGCGAATGAATCGAGTTAATGTCTGGTAGCTGAGTATTCTGGTTGTCATAATTCTGAAATGCAGAATTAGGATTGGTGTTGTTGGATTGTGCCATGGCTATTGTAGAATCAAGAAACTGTGGCTGTCAGGGTAAGCCTAGTACGTAAGTGGTTCTTTCAAGTTAAGAAAAAAAAGAAAAGAGAAGATTTAAGATGAAGTGGGTAGCGTTTACTGACATTAGCTAATTCTGTATTGCAGTACGATTATTCGCGCTGGATGCCGCCAATTAATTATTTTCTTTTCGGTGCCGTTTCAACAAATGGAAAAAGAAGAATCGGGTGGCATAGTAAATATTTTGTAGGTTTAGGATATAGACTGTGAGTGTTAACAGTGCAGTGATACCAGTTGAAGGTCAAAGTGTAATGTCTGACCTTTGGTAGGCAAAATCCTTTACATCCCCGATATTTCCTTGTATCGTCTGGAGTGTACTAGTATATAGTAGCACACAGTTTTCAATCGTTCATAGTATCGATAGTCACTACACTCAAGTAGGTACAACAGACTTTGAACTGTCTATTAGTGTTTTCATTTACTCTTTTTTGCATCGTTCTTTAAAATTAATGACATTGTAAATTACACCAATTGCTGTCTTCCCCTCATTTCGAATATCATCGATTGACAAAAGTATGATGAAGATTGCTTTACGTAATGATGATCACGATCTTTACTCAACACAACACAGCAACTCTGTTTTTCTTCTTTATTGCAAAGATCCCCGACCTGTCACTATATTGTTCCCCACTTTACACGTATGGTTTTTTTTTTGTATTCATAGTGGGCTTATAGATGTATGTTTTTTTTATGCGACACACGTAGATAGTCCTAATTAGGCAAAAGGATACAAAGAGGGACATAGTCATACTACTATTTTTAACTTTCCCGACTGAATTGACACGAGAAGCCCCATTTGGTACAACGGCAAAGCCTTTAGCAAAGGAGCTCACACGATATTCTCTTTACCTTTCCCCAAGGGGCTATGCCATTTGCCTAAGAACTTTTGCCCTGTGACCTTTGCCTTAGATAGCTAAGCCATTCAATCTATAACAACTGGTTGCCAACCATGCCGAAAAAGGAGAGGGTGTGTGTTACTAAAAAAGCCTCGTTTCACAAGCACAAGAGAATGATGACTTCTGTACAAAAAAAACAAAATGATAAATACATGTTACACACACACTGCCACTGCTACTCGCAAGACCAAATGTGACAGAGAAAGACCCAAACTCAAACCCAAACTCAACGCAAAACTTTTGTCTTCTTTTTAATTTTTTCTTTGCATTCTAATTTTTGTGTTGGAAAGAGCTTCCCCACCTGAACTCGATGCACAGCAGTCCATGTCACAAAAAAGTTGTGTACCCAAAATGCCATATAAGTCACAAATGACAATATGGCTTTTGAGAAACACCATTGGTAATGAAGAGTGTTGTGTTAAAACAGGTTGCGTAAACTCGTATATTTTACACAGATGGGTAATCGCATCAGGTAGACATTACAACAAATTAAATAGGGAAATGCAGAAAGGCGTAAGGTTAGCGGAATAAAAGCATAAAGGGAAGTTCTTCTATAGGTTGGGTTATGAGCGATGGGCGGGACTTTGTATTGTAGTAGTGGGTCAATTGAAAAAAGATTTTGTTTTTGTTAATCAGAAGAAATCTTTTTGTTTTTTTTTTTTACAGCGACACACGACACACGACAATAAGACAGTTATTGTCTTGCATACAATATCTATAAGAGGAAAGACAATTTAAGCATAGAAATGAAATAAAAATCAAAGGCCATATATGCCTTGGTATATGTAGCTTTTAGAATCATTTAAAGCCTTTGCAGCGGTGGAGGTGCTTGCGGAGGTGCATCTGTGAATGTGTATGTGTGTTGGTGTGGGTGTGGGTGTGGGTGTAATGAGATTTTCCAGTTTCATAATCGTTGGTTGTTGAAGAAAAATATTAAAAATATAATAATAATAATAATAATAATATTATTATTATTATAATAAATAAAGGGCAACTTGACCCGAAATAAAAGACATTAGAAAACCATTTTGTACTTTTTTGAGTTTCTTTTTTTTTCTTTTTTGTATCATATTTTTGTATTCCCCGGTCCAGTGCCGTGGATATAAAACAACTGTCATGCGGCACAAAAAGTGATGCTATGGCAGCCCACTTAACAAAGAACAACTAGAGATCTAACCAAATAACTACGGACAGAATATTGTATGCCATTGATCAAAGCAAGGCGTTGAAACAGGCAAGGCAAGAAAGTTAAAAGGCAAAGAAAAACGAAGAAAAAAAGAGAAAGAAGAAAAAACAAAGGCAATTCTTTGTTCTCATTTGTGATGGGGCTTTCAAGCTTTGAGAGCGTGGCTTGAAACTTAGCATGGCTTTTGAAGTGGTGTTTCACCACATGACACAATATGTCATCTCTTAGAAGAGAAGAAAAGAAGTAGAACAGCATGCCAAAGTTGAGCTTTTAGTGCTACAGCAGCATCATTCTCATCATCATCACCATTACCCTCGGGACTGGGCTTAGCCCTTTTTTTGGTGTTCTGTGTATTTGTAATTATTCATTATGTGCAATTTCCTAAAAGAATCTTTTGTGACGAAGTTCTATGCTTTCTTGTGTGGTGTTTTTGTCTTTTTGTTTTTTTTTTCTTTTTATTGGGCATAGAATTGGAAATCGTAAACCGATACAATTTCGGAAAAACTAGTCTTAATCTTCTAGTTCTTTTTTTGTTGGTTAGTCCAAAATAGAAAAAAACGTATGCCAGTGAATTTGCGGGTTAATTCCTTTCCTTTACAAGAAGAAAAATTCTTCCGTAACCTTTGAAGATATAAATCTCGTCACCGCAAAGCAATAGTGGAAAAAAAAATTGGATTGGGAGCAAAAAATGTAGAGAGAGAGTGTGTGTGTGTGTGGAGGGGGGGGGGAAATGATACCATTCTGCAAGAAATACAACTTCAACTTCCAAATAGCGTAAAAAAAAAGAATACTGTAACGGATCTATGCATGTGTTGCATTTTCTCATTGGGTGAATGCATCAGAGATGAATATCCCTCATAAAAAGAGAAAAGAAACAGATAGAGTGAAAAGAAAATTATGACCCAATACGTATCTGCATCCCATATGATCCGGTTCGGAAAAACCCACCCCTTTTAATATGCAGACCCAATTTATTTAATTTAATTTAATTTAATTTAATTTAATTTTTTCTCGTCTCTCTCTCCTCTTTTAAAACGGCAAAAGTAACCAATCATACACAAAGCAAAATAATGATATAAATAATATTAAAATAATGTCGTGAAAAATGTCATGCGACACTTTTAATTATTTTCAGTGAGATCTTGTGGGGTGAGAGATAGAGAGGGGTGAAGATCTGAATCTTCAACAGTGGGTGTTGGGTGTGGGGGATAAGAGAGCAGGGGAAAGAAATATCTTATGATAAGAGAATGTACACCAGTTGTATTGAAGGCCTCCATTTCAATAATAAAAATAACGCCATTAATCGTTATTGACCTGTATTGATCAAGTGTTGTATCGAAAATCTCTTGGGAATTGGGAAATTATAGAGATCTTATTATTTTCTAATGAGTGACACGGTAGCAAATTGCAACAGCGCAAATGTAGTAGTAGTGGTGTGAATGGTTGGTTTGACAGTACTAGCATACCATCTCTTCATTTGAGATTTAGCACCCCCAACGAAGAAGAGTTGATGATACTGATACTGTGGGGGGGGGGGGTGATGGCTTGTTGTTTTGCTATTTTGCTACTTGCTACTTGCTACTTTGCTCTATGAATTGAGTGTCGTGTTTTTTTTTCCTCCTTCTGGTTCTGCATATTAATTAATATATTCCAACAGAAGAAAAATAGATAAAAAAAGAAATGTATGAGTGAAGGAAGGTAGTGTACTTGTTACCAAAAAGGAAGATTTATATTTTTATTGTAGTTCCATCGGATATGTAGACTAACATGCAAACCAACAATAAATTATAGATATGTATCTGTGACGCCCTAAACAACAACAACAACAACAATGAGAAAAATACTAAAGGACAGAAAAAAACAATGACTACTAAACTAAACTACGAACTTTGTACATTACTTTTAGTTTGACATAGAACAATGTTGTAATACAATATAGAAATGCCATAGTGGTGATTGGGGGAATAGAAATAAAAAAAAGAAAAGAGCATTGCATATTAAAGAAATGGGGGATATATGCATGGCCAGCGGTTCGTTTATTAATACCAACTAAGTACTGGTATGTTTCCGAGAATTGGAGGAAGCAAGCCAAAAGCAAAAGAAATGCAATTGGAGGAGGCTCAAAATTCTGTTGATTTTATTTGCCATTATTAATACATGTGCTACGTCATTGTTGTACTCTCAAAAGTCTATCAGCCTTTTCTCTTTTTCTTTATGAGATGATGATGATAATGATGACGATGATGATGATGATGATGATGATGTTGTGGTGGTGGTGGTGTGCTTTTTCTGTTTTACACTTTTTTTCTTATTTGGTAAGAGAGAGAGGGATAGAGTAATAGTATTTAATAGCAGTATACTACTATGTTACTCTTCAAAGAAAGAAGGCTAAAAGAAAGAAGGCTAAAAGAAAGAAGGAAAGAGGAGTAGATGGAAGGATTGTAGTTGTATGTTACATCTGTCCGAAATAGAATTGTTGTGTCGTCTTTTTTTTTTTTTCAAATTGCATATGCGGAAAATGAAGAAAAATAAATTGTTTTACTTTTATTATTATTATAATGTAAGAGGAGTAGTGTTTTGTGTATTTAGCGTTAGGTATATATGTATATATATAGCCAATAGTGCATATTCTATTTCCATTTTTTATTATCCCATATCTTGTTACACTAAAAGCAATAATAATAAAATTGCCTTACACATATAATTGCCAGTTCTTGTGTAACATCAAATAATAATAATAATCATATCTCAGATTTCCACATATATATTTATATATATATATATATCGTACAATATTCCCAAATATTTCAAAATACATACCCACTCCCATATATACTCTTCAAGAAAATATATATATATATTATTTATATTTACCCGCTAACAAAAACAAAAACAAAAAGCACACTGCTATTACTGCTTACAACAACAGTAACAGTAGAAGTAACATACATATTCCACGATAATTCAACTTATTCGACTATATTTACACACAACAACTTCTTTTTTTTTCATTTCAACAATAACACTCCCATCAAACCAACTGAGATATAACTATTAAACAATGTACTGTATGGATGATTCAGTTATAAGGTCACATTTAACCACCAAGTTCAACTCGAATATTGATTATTTAGAGTATGTTCCTGTACAGCAAACACCAGAACAAAAACAAGACTACCTCCACCATGACATAAACAGCGATCACTGCCCTCATTACCTAAGTGATAACCAAAACCTAACCAACTTCATCAAGTACATCAATGCTAATCCTGACTTTAAGATTAAGAACCAATTCTACTACAATAGACTATCAAACATATGTTGGAGAAGAATATACAAGAATCATTTAAATTTAAAGACAATTAATCCATTTAATATTAACTGGGATAAGAACTCAGATATCACTTGGTTATATGCACCCAAGTTAGTACCAGCTGAAACCAACTTGGACATTGAAACACTGGTGGAGAAGGAGAAGGAGAAGGAGAACAAGAGGACTGGATCTGCTTTTGCATCGATGCTAAATGATGATGACGATGTGATCATCACTGACGATGAAGGCACACCAGTCGAAGAAGATGAAGACAACATGTCAGTGGTATCAATAGATTCAAACTCAACTACTTTCAGCCTTTCATCAAGAAAAGGTTCAACATCATCGTCACTATTTGAAATGGATGACGATAAACCACAACAAAAAGAGCAACAACCACAATTGAAATCAATACTTAAACACACTCCAACTACTACCACTACTACTACCACAGCATCAATCAAGAGAGCTCGCCGTGTATCATTCAATTATATTATCAGCACAAGAGAAATCATTGATAATATTGCATTAGACTACAATTTTTTAGATAAAAATTGTATTTAAGCATCCCCATCTACAATAACTATGAGATAAAGGAGACATAAAGAAGTAGAGAGAAAAGTTAGAGACATTCATATATACCTACAAACAACAACAACAACAACATCATCATCATCATCATCCCTTGAATATTAATACTAACAATTTACAAAACACTACACATTTTATAAACAAAAACAACAATGAAAAAGTTTTATATGTATTTATATATAGCTGGTCTAGATTTGTACGATATATAAAAATATCATTAGAAAGAATAAAGAAGAAAAGTAGACAGAAGGTAAAAAAGGAAGGAAGGAAGGAAGGAAGGAAGGAAGGAGAAGGGAGAGGCTCTTGAACCAAAACCCATCATCTGAGTGGTAAAACTTTGGTTGCAACTGTTACAATAATTGTGAACACACAGCCCTTCCCCCTTTTTTAAACCTGTACCCCCTCTATGATGTCATCTGGAAAACAGTTTTTCAACAATATTTTGATGTCCTGGAACGTCATCTTCCATTTTAATGCATATGCTGTTACAAATGTAGTATATTAAGGTTTTCTTTGAGTTTATAAAACAGATGATCGGAAAGTTTATAAAACTAGTCGTGAAACATAAAAGTAAAAGGGACTTTGAAGAAACAAAGTTTATTGCAAAGAGCTAATCTGGCAGAAGTAAATGTTAATGACAATCAACCACCTCAGTAGCTCCTTCATCAGTTTCATATTTGCTTCGTCCTGTAGTATTTTGTTTGCAATCAATTGGTAGCATATGGTCTTCCTCCACCCAATATAATTCATAGTTAATTTCTTTTTCTTCTTTGGTTGTTGCCGCACGCTCCAATGGAAAGATAGAAAATTGCTTCTATGTACACAAAACAGTGACAATGCATAGAACAATACAATAGGGAAGTAAAAGTGGTGGTGATAGAATAATCTTCCCGGGCAAACAAGGGGACAAGGAGAAAAGAACAACCACAAGTGACAACAATGTTGGGTAAACTCACAACATAACATAACATAACATACATATACAGTATTGTATTTACATTTGTTACTATTGTGGAATTGATTTTTGTTATCAAATTAGTTTACTCTCTCAAAGATCATTCATTTCGTGTCATTCATTTGTCTATGTGTCTGGAATCTGTCATTCACCGCCCTATATTTCACATTTACATATATCCACACATTTGTATAAATTCCATACAATCCTTGACTTTTGTTCATATATTTTTCTTTTTCTCCTTCTCCACTTTAACATAGGCAAACACATGCATTTGCAAAGTAAGTGAAACCCCCGTCCTCCTTTTTTGGTGTCATAAGCATGAAACTTGGAGGCTTCATTGGAAGGGGGCTTTCACACCTTCGATCAATTGTGCGGAGTTCTTTCTCAACATATTGGTTTTTGTAATCTTTGTGGAATAGAATAGTTGGCGGATTCCCACATATAATCCTCAATTTGGGTTCATACTACATTCGGCAATTCATTCCTTTTTTTCCAAGTCTGATTATGTTTACAATGACTAGAGGAGATCTCTTTTCCCTGTAGTTTACCCAACGTGGTGGTTAGCAGCTAAGTTATTTATCTTCTATACAGCCAGTACACGTCTAGTGACAAAATTTATCCTATGAACTCTACTTTCCAAGCAGACCAAAGCAAAAATAGAGAATGACAGTAAACTGAAATGAAGTTGTTCCTCATATGTGTTGGTTTTGTAACACCATCGAAGGGAAACTCAATCTTAAGTTTTCACTAGTTTAGTACCTAAAATAGGAACGCATTTTTGATTGTAAAGGGTAGAGAGAGTGCGGAGAGTGGAGGCAGTATCCACGTTTCGAAGCAAAAAGCAATATATATGTAGCGATAATTAATCCGAAAGTTGGTAAAGACTTCATAACCCACACCCAATACCGAAAAAAAATTTCAAATGTAATATGCTTTGTGGAGTTGAGAATTAGATATAAAATTAAATTTAACTCATGCTGCATAGAACAAATTTATTACTTCTTCATACAGATAAAATTGAACAAACAATCATTTTAATCATTTGAAAACAATAGGACCGATAACACCCGACAGCTTCTCTATCTTTAGGCCACATTTCCGGTGAAGGTTTAGTTTAACAACATCAAACGTACGACCTTCACTAACTAACCAACAGCACCAACAGCGACAACAATGGATAAGAATTTAAAAGGAGTAAACTCCGTCAGGCATTAGAAAGAACACTAGCAGAAAGAGCAAAAAAACGAGCCAACTAAAATACTTTCTCTCCCCGGTAGCCAGCTTATTGTTTTATGCATAGAACAAATTTTCTCTTCAGAATAGACGTATTTTCTAGACACACATGAGTCACTGTAAATGACTGCAAAATAGTCATTGAAAGGGATAATGATTGAGTCAAAGGCTAAACCACCGCCTTTTCCACTCACACCAGAATTCCTTCTCCTCTTACTATAATGTACAATGACGCAACTAAAAAGCTAAAGTCCGAGAGAGGGTGAATAAGTGGGGTGTTGAAAGGAGGAGATTAGTCCCCCCCGAAAAAAAAGAAAAACTTATCTGAAAACGTTTGTATTGAAAAGCGGAAGTATTGCGAATGATCGCAGAGTTCATTCAAAAGAACAACAACAACGAGAAGACAAACTATGAATATCAATTGTTGTACCTGCCTCATGGCTCGTACTATGTAAACTTTGGGAGAACACTTTCTTCTCCTTTTTACCTTTACTATGGTCGTCTATTTTGAAGTTTTCTTATTTTGGAAAAGTCATGTCTGGTTCTTTGCATCTTCTAAATATAAACCATTAAGTGATTCTAGAATTTTTCTAAAAGCTTAACTTTGCTTATTCCTATTCTTTTATTTTCTTGTCTTTGTTTTCTCTTTCGTTCTTCTTCTTCACATGCACGTCGATATACAAAAAATTGTTTGTTCCTTTCATCCCTGACGTTGAATAAGCAGTACAATTATTTAATAGAAGAAAGTTCTTTTTTTTTTTTTTAATACTCTTCGTCTAAGCTGAACAATAGAGACTCTCCTAGGACTTTATAGGATTTTAGAAGGAGATAAAGTAGGAGTTTAGGTAAATCTAAAATCCCTTCCTGTATGGCGGGAGATTAGATGGTAAGATATATCTATTGTCCATATCTGTTTTATTTTTTTTAGGTTTTTCCGAAATTTTGTTCTCAAATTGCAAAAATTGGGTTTCAGATATGAATAAGGATAAAAGTATATCCAACTCGACTAGTTCGCGAGAATTCTCTATTATTCAAGTATGCAATGACTTGGATTACTCGAAATTGATCGTTTTTTCGGGTTCTTCTTATTCTTTAGTAATGTTATAAAACTTCAGTGTCGCAAAACCAGACACACGTGACAAAATTGACACAGCCGTTAAAGCGCTAATTTTCTATTTTTTCTATTTTGAAAAACTTCATCTCATACAGTTACCCATTCATTTTGCAATCAAAAGCAGCCAAAAATGTCATTCCTCCCACGCTCATCATTACAATGTCTAATACACAGACGAGGAATCACTACAACAGCAAGACTATGCAATATTAATAACAGTAACAACAGCAATAGTACATTTATATCGAGATCATCAACAACCGCAGAATCGAAATCAAATCAATCAAGTAACAGATTCCAAAATCAGTTCAACAATAGTGGCAACAGCAGCCATCAGCATCAACCTCAACACCGCAATCGCCAGTCACCAAGACTATCACATCATCATCATCATCATAAAGGACACCGTGACGGATTTTCCAAATCACGCCATAAGAATACTAATGATGATGCATCCAAGCAATTCAATTTGCAAAAAATTCTCGACACAGGATCTGAATCAGCCCAAAATGCATTAAAATCAATCCTATCGCGAATTCACAATTTGCAACCCTTGAAACAACAAGTCCAATATGTATCACCGACACAGGGATTGATTACATGTTCGATTCAACAAGTTCTTGAAGGTTTAGATTTGAGTAGTCAGGGTCTCCAATTAATTGAAAAAGAGGTTAGTAGCAATAACAGCAACAGCAACGCAAACGCAACGGCACCCTCATCTCCCACGATTGTTCCTTTGGTCAAGAGAATCAAAATTCAAGAGATGCTTAAATCATACAACGATGAACTAGCCGAAGCCAAAGAATTAGAATTGTTAAATATGGGTTCCAAAAAGACAATTAGGGCGCTTGACAATAAATTACGAGCCAAACAGAAGAAATCGAGTGAAAAACAAATTATGATCAAATGGTCAATCAATATCAATGATTTACAAAATCAAAAGCAATTAGAAATTGAAAATAGATTAAAGAAGGAAAAAACCAAAATTGTCATTTATTTAATCCATAATAAACACTCACCCAATTTGAAAATTGCCGACTTGTATCGAAATGCCATGAAACACGATGCTAGTGATGATATTGATGAAGTGTTGGATATCGAATTAAAGAAAAGAACGAGGGTGAAACAAACTTTGGATGATATTCTCAATTCCTTGGATTGTAAATGGACAAGCGAAGGTGATGTTGAAAGTAAAGTGGTTTACACCATCATGCCAAGCGCAGCCACTGTTGGTACTGCTGATGGAGACAAGGTGAAACTAAATTCAAATTCAATAGATCAACAACAATCACCCAACAAGAATAAAAAGAAGCAAAAAGCCAAGGGAAGTAATGAGAAACAGGTTTTGCAAAAGACAAAACTGAAAGTTGATCAAGAACAAGATCTCGATGCGTTATATCTGTTTAAAATCGAGGATTGAATTTTTATTTAATGTACATAGGTCAAAACCAAAAGTGGTGTGCAAGGGCACAGATTTACGATCTCGTCTCTCTCTCTCTCTGTATATATATACCTCACATTCGCATAGCAAAAAAATAAATAAAGTGAAATACACACACGCACATACAAAACTAGCTAAGCTAATCTAGATCTGCCCATCTTCCATCACACGATGCTTCCATACCGATAACTTTGATTCAGTTGCAAGATAGACTCTTTGCGTTGCTTCAGCTTGCGCATATCCTGTCGTTGTCGCAACTTTTGCACCTTGTATCCATACACATGGCTGTCCAACACGCCATCAACTATAGGATAATTCAAAATCTGCTTCACATCGTCATCTTCCAAGGCATAGTTGCCGATTTCTTCAATTGCTTCTTGATATATCGCCTCATCTTGATCAAGTTGTTCAACGGTGTAGTCAATTGTGGATAGTATAGAGTCGGAGTTGATAATATCCAGTATTATCATCGCTGTAGTAGCTGTAGCGGATGTGGCTGTGGCTGTTCCTTCTATACTGCTATTATCATCATGGTCGCTTCCGCCCCCACCCATTGCCGGTGATCCTGGTGGTGATGTTTTCGGTGATTGGGGGTATATTGCCCTCATTGACGTATTATTCGACAACATTGATGCATTATCTAAAGCATGTATTTCCGAAGTACTAGGGACATTTGCCCCATTTAAACTGTTGGTGTTGCTATTATTCAAGCTCAGGTTATCTGGTAGCCAGTGCTTATGTTTGCCATCATAATGATATCGTAAGCCCTGATGTATGCGACTCATTCTTCCCTTTGATTCAGGATGGGCTACTACCGCTTCAACTGAATCAAATTGTCGGTAATCCTTGTAATGGTCACCTTTAAATGTCTTTTGGAAATCAATCATTAAATCTTTGAAACCTAACCAGTCTTTTAAAGCGTAGTAAAACTTGTATCTGCCCCATGGTAATTGTGATATTGTGAATGGATAATACGAGAATGAGTACCAGTGGCCAATGGCAAATGCAATCAATTCAACACATAGCAATGCATTTTGTATACATAGCCCAATACTTTCGCCGCTGCCACCATCGCCACCACCACTACTATCGTTCCCACCACTTCCAGGTAGCACTTCAAAGAAATTAAGGATTGCTAATATAACCCCTTGCCAATAAGATGCAAAAATGATCAACTTGACACAAAGAAACTTGCCCACTGGTTTAAACGGTTTTAAATCATCCCACAAAATCTTCCAAAATATAGCCAAGCTATACAATGACAACGTGACACTGGCATTATAGAGCACCGTCATCCACAAATAAATCGACTTGTAGCTCATATCATTGACATTATACCATCCCATCAATTCAAAAAACAATGTACCAAAACAAATACAAGGCTTCAACCATACGTATTGCAAGATCCCCCGCTTTATCAGTAGGAAAGTTTTTGGGTCAGATATATCCAATGATGGCATTATGTACTTCATTATGCCCGGATGAGGTACTGGTTTTCGACCACTAGTCACGATGATTATATTGCGTTCGCCGCCCAACATGTCAGTCAATAAGGAGAAAAACGTATAAATGACAAAAGCTTCATAGATTTCGCGTATAGGCTCGAGAACAAATCGATTGAATATTGATGTTTGATTAATCAACATTGAGTAACAACTTAGGGCAAATAATGGAACTATCAATTGTATTCGAATCATGAGTCGTTGTTGAAACGGTTTGCGGTAGTTTAGCAAGTGAAGTAAGATACTTATTGATATAATGAATGCTGATGTTAAGGAGGAATAGAATGATATCGTGATAACCCAATGGGGTAGCGGTAGGTTGGAATCCTTGCCACCACTTGCAGAATGTAGCGACATTGTGTATGTGAGGAAAGTGTTGCAATGTGATCAGGACACGTTAGGTAAGTTTATGTCAGTGCTTTAGACTCTTGTGCTTTGTATAAAGCAAATGGGTATTGACTTTAGAGGGCCTGATGTTATAGAGAAGCTGCTTTGCTGTCAAATGATAGAAGGTTAGCTTTTATTTTGTTCTGCGTGTGCTATTTGAATGATGATGTAACTTTCTTCTTTTTTTCTGTTTTTGTTTTTTTATTATGGAAACACAAAAGCCAATCTTCCGAAAGAGGCAAGCACTGAGAAAGGCTACGAAATATCAAATACCCAACTTTTACTGTCATCTCATTCACTTCTATTCATCCAAAGATCATATATAGATACTCCAGTATTATACATCCCTCAATTCTTTCCTTAACCCATTCCTGCTTCTCTCATCTTCTTTGCTCGTTCTTTTTCTTGTTCAATCTTTTTCAAATCGTCTTCAGATACCAAATGATGAGTATGGTTATCACTTGGCACTGTATGCAGATCATCACGGTCACCAATGACTTTACACTCTCTTATACTTTGTAGAAACGGATCTCTTGCCACATCAGACATTAAATATCTCTGTTTTGGGTTTAAAATCAACATATTCTTTAACAAGTTTCGTGAATCTTGTGGCAACAAGCGAAACAACTTTTCCGGTCCTTGGGGTCCATGGTGCGCATGTCTATCTTGATACTGCTGTTGCTGGTTGTGATCTATATGTAAGTTATTCATATCCTGTTCAACCCCGGCAGTAGTAGCTGTGCCTGGATTCAACTGAGGTCCAGCAAATGATCGATAAGAAGGATCACTCAATTTGGGTAATTTCCAAGGAAACCGTTTCAAAATCATGCAACAATATATTATAGCAATTGACCAAACATCAGCCGTTCGTGGATCATAGCCATTGCCCAACCCTATTGGCTCAAAAACTTCGGGTGACAAATAAGGATCCGATCCAACAACACCTCTAGCAAAGAGCAATTTATGAGTTGAATCCAACATTATATCATCGTCAGTAACATAATAACCCTTGGGCACTTCTTTTTCAAATTGGACAGCTGATCCAAAATCAATCAATTTCAAAATGCCTTGTGTGTTGACGACACAGTTGTCCAATTTCAAATCACGATGAGCTAATCCATGTTCATGTAAGAAATGGACACCTTTCACGATTTGTTTGAAATAACAATTGACTTCATTTTCACTCATTAATCCACTCATTACCAAATTGAAAAAATCAAACGGACAATATTCCATAACAATGTAATAATCAGGATCAGTCGTTTTGCCACCAACTTTTGAGTAATCTTTAATCAACTCGTATGTGTGAATTATATTCTGGTGATCTAAATATTCACCCACTTTGTATTCATTTTGTACTTTGATATTGTAATCCGATTCCTGTTCATTGGGTAATCTACTTCTGAATTTTTTGACAGCAAATATTTTAGTCGGATCAGTTTTCGAAGTTAGTAAATTGACTGATCCACTAGCACCTGATCCTAATAATTTGCCTGGTGAGCCGTATTTCTTGAATAAATCGGCAGCAGGGTTTATAGGGTCAGGTTTTCCCGCACCAAAATGTTTTGCTTGCTTATGGGTGGGTCCACTGGGTTTAAATTTCTTGAGGAATCGTTTCAATGAATTCCCACCATGCTCTTTCCCATTCGAGATTTCACTGTTTGACGATGCAGGGGAGTGATTTTTCGACGAATGGTTTGAAAAGGGACTATTATGATGCAGGCTATTTTGATTTTGGTAATGGTGATGATGGTGATGTTGGTTATGCAGCAGCTGTTGATTATTAGAATTGTTGTTCTGTCCCGGTGGTTGTGGCGAACTAGTATCTCCGTTTCGTTTAGATGCCGCTGAACTGGCGGTCGACATAGGCGTTATCAGGCGTGAACTATGGTTATTCCTCAGTTTTAGAAACGATCGATGCGACGAAGTCGATTGTTGGTCATTCAATGAAGTTGATGATGAACTGAATATGTTTTTAAACGGCATGCTCGAAGTGTATCAACAAGGGGAGAGGAGGGGAGGTTGGCGTGGGGTAAGACAAAGTATTATGCAAAATGCAAAATTATAAATGAAAATATATTTTGTCCGTGGCTGAGACAAAGATCAAAAATTAACAAAAACCTCCAAAAAAAGGGTTAAAAGGTTATGAAGTGTTGTATATGTCGTGGGGTGTGTTATTTAGCAATGAATTGTAGATGATTGTTTGTCTGATATCTGTGCTAAAGTGGATTATCATACATGTATTATATATATGTCATACAACTGGATCATGAGTTTTGTTTCGTTTGAGTTTGACATTTCGTCCGTCCGTTCGTCTTTTTTTTTTTAAAAAATTGTATTTTATGTTTCACAATTAAATAGTAAAATAATAAAATATAAAAATAGTTTCCCCTTTTAAGTAAACTACTATGTACCATTCCATTCTATATCCTATCATGTGGGGAGATTATATAGACTACTACCACTACTATAACTGCAACTGCCATAAGTTCAAATAATAACCAATCCTAACCTCAATTTGTATCTACTATTAACAGCCTATGTAGAAAGAAAACTGCAAATCTTGACTATTAAACAAGAGTAAATATTAAGTAACAGCAACATTATGTCATCAAAGACAAAGATTTTAGCAATTATAAAATTAATCAACACACTCTTTTGTCACTTCTGACATTTGACAGTATGACCATTAGATCCTATTCTAATCTTTTCTTTTCTGATCATCCAACCCAGTCATCTTACAGATTACCTTGTCATTGTGGTTTACTCATAGATAACAAAAACAACTTTTAAAAATAAAGTCATTGATACTGCATTAATTAAACGTCTCACTCTGCCCTAACCCCTCACATCGGGTTTAATTCGATTAATCTCCCCATGCAAACTAGTAATAAATCCGTTCATAATGAACACTTTCACTTTTAGCACGTGTATCATCCACACACATATACACACCCTCCCTCCCTCTCTCTCTCTCTCTCTACACATCCCAACTTCAAACAAGATACACTTTCATTTAATTCCCTATATAATTACTTTACTCATTATGACCACCATCACTCAATCCCCGATTATTATTATTATTCTTCTTCTTGGAACTATCACTAGTCGATGAATGTCCACTACCATTTAACAAAGAAACACTCTCTTCGTCATCACTGAACTTACTCATGCTAAAAGAATCAGACCTAGTAGAACTAGTTCTTCTCGGCTTCTTTTTCTTGTGCTGTTTGTGCTTCTTATTATGTCTCTGTTGTTCAGACACTAGACTCGAGCTTTCCAATCCATCTTCGTCTTCATGATCACTAACATTTTCAATAATGGTCTTGTGAACACCATCAACATTGACTACTGATTCAATAATACCACCAGTTCTATATGATCTTGACTCTTGATGTTCAGTAATGGCTAAACCAGTTCCATCCCCATTCAATCGAGTTGATGACGCTTTCGGTATGGGGATGTTTATGTGGCCATCGTGATGAAGTTGTGAGTAACGATCCTCTTTACCACTACTACTACCATCGGGTAATTCAGAAACATCTGCTTCTCTTTCAGTAGGCAATAAAAACCTATTTGAAGATTTTTCTTCACTACTATTGCGCAATTCAACTGATCTTCTTTGGGCTTCATCAATAGCTCCTTGTTCAGTTGTATGAATTTGACCAACTAACTTATTCTTACCCTTATTCTTATCAATTGATTGTGGTTGCGCAGGCGGTGCCGGTGACGCAGCTTTGGCAACAGATTCAAGCTTACCATGATCGGGCTTCTTAATAGTGACAAATTTCCTACTCGTTTCTAATGGATTCATGGCCGGGTTTTGAATCTTCCATTTGGCGCCAGCAGCAGCAGCAGCTACTGCAGTATTTCCTGTTGCTCCAGGTGTAGTAGTATTAGTAGTACCATTTGTTGCTCCAGCGGCAGTTGACTCCTGATCACTTGCTCTAACACTCCCCTTGTTCTTTGGGGTCGAAGAAATAACAGTTGCTTGAGATCCTTGTCTTTCCAATCTTGTGCGCAAATCTGGCGGTAAATCTTGTGACTCCAAAGAATTTCTCTTTGACGATGTCGCACCTCCTCTTTGGTACAAATTGTGTAAATAAGAAGTAAGATGTCTCTTTGACAACGGTCCCGGTTGTTTTCTCTTGATATTCTTGTTGATATCAATATAAACGTCCGATTCATCAACAATTTCTTCACCAATTAATTCTTCAATAACATCTTCCAATGTCAATACACCAATCGCTCCAGTAGGTTCTCCTGGTGTTTCACTAATAATAATCATGTGCGATTTACCTTCTTGGAAATAATTTAGGATATTCAAACACGACGTATCAACACCTGTTTCAGGTAATGTAGCAAGGGGAAATGTGGCCACAGGCAAAGCATCTTCTGGGTCATAACTAATCAAAACACGAACCAAAAACATACCAATAAAATTGTCAGGTTCTCCTGGCAAGTGGATAGGAATACGAGAAAATCCCGCATTGAATATCTCCTCCACTGTTTTTTCATCCAATATGGTATCGGCACTCATCGTATACACTCTATCCATAGGTGTCATGATTGAGCTAACAGATTTCTCCTTCAAATCCAAAACAGCACTAATAATGGTGACTTCATCTTGGTTTAACCTCTCGACACCCATAGTCTTGTGTAAAGTGACCAAGGTCTTTAACCCTGACTTCTTGTACACTGTACCATGGTCCTCACCCAATATGTGGTCCAACAACAAGGCACAAGGATAAGCAACAGGATACATAAGATACATCAAGCACAATACAAACGGCGAAAACAATGCACCAACTTGCAATCCGTATCTAACACAAATAGATTGAGGAATGATTTCACCAAAAATGACAATGGATACAGTAGATGTAACCACAGCAGGCCATCCACCTCCAAGACAACGGTCCAAAACAATAGGTAATGTCTCATTGGTGATAACATTAGACAACAACAACGTGACCAAAACCCAATGTTTACCTCTTCCAAGCAATCTCAAAACTTTTCTTGCGTGTTTGCGTTCCGATGGTTCACCACTCGACGAAATAACCTTTAAATAAACTTCATCTTGACCCATTAAACCCAAAGTTAAACCAGCAAACACACCACCAGCTAAAACAAGAAAAGCCGAGGTGAACAAGTTGATATAAAACTGTTCGGGTGTTTGCTCAGTCTTGTGAACTGAACCTTCATGAGCATTAGCAGCAGCCGTTGAGGCAACACTATTGATATGAACGGGGATCGAATGGGCTAGCCTGATGAAACTGGTGAACATGAATAATATCTTGCCAATGGCAGTAGTTGACCTATTGGCATTTAAGGAGACGGTAGTACCATGGCTATGCAGTGACGATAGTTTGCTTTTGGACATAAACGTATACTGAAAATGTTAATTTATACTAAACGTGGGAAAAGTGCTGTAGCTGGGTAAAAAAAAATAAAAATAAAATAAATCAAACCTATTTGATTAGGAATAAGATAGATATATATAGATCTGAGTTTTTGTAAAAGGTAGAAAGAAAAGGACAGTAAACAATATTGTTGTGTATATCTCAGGGGGTGGATGTGCGTGTATTGCTGTAGGCGTCGTTTTTTTTATTTTTTTCTCCTGTCTTTTTTAGACTTGACTTTTGGTTTGTAATTGATTGACATTGTCGATGGTTTTCTATGACATAATAATAATAATATTAAAAAATATTTATTATTTCGAATGTTCTTTTTGTTTTTAAAAACAAATTCTTCTGTGGCCACAACTTCCTATTCTATTGTTCACTTTTTTAATGATAGACTATGTATTTATATACACACTACTGGTCATTGAATCACCATATGTGTACTTACGATATCATGAAAATACTTATTTACGGCATAATTCCGTTACCAAAACACCATCACTTAAGCTTTGTTTGTTTATTTCACTTTATTTTATTTTATTTTATTTTATCTTAATTTTCTTAATTTTCTTTTCAATTTTACTTCTTGGCTTCAAAGTGTAGAGCCTTACGAGGGCTATGCACATGATATAATTACTTATTAGTGCACGCTTTGGTAGCTGTATTGGTTGTTTCTCTTTCGACCTAATGCTGTGTTTATGTCAACACCCAACTGCTTACTTTATTCTTTTCATGAAATTTTCCAAAAATAAAATGAGGTTTAAAGTTTGCAACAAAATTATGACCAAAATGTAACCTCAATTAAAATTTCAAATAAGTGCAAGGTTTGTTTCCTTTACAACATAATGTAATAAGTCCCCTGATGACTTGCCTAATCGTACGACCTATTTCCCAGATGTACATTTTCAGTACATAAGCTTCAGCGGAATCGATATAGACTCTATTTACAACCTTTCGCTACCGATCTTTCTTCGACTCTTCTACGAAAGGACCAACTTTTCTCAACTTTATAGATTTATAAAACGTATTTATTCATACTGTGACTCAATTTATGAGCTAATATCTACAGCATCTTTCTCTCTTGCCTCTTTTTTCCCAACTCTGGTAATCAGAATGTACATCACTAGTGTCAAGATTAATCCAACAGAAGGCAAAACAACAGTGTAGGTAAGACCAATAAAATAATCAAGCTTATCATTGGCGTTCCAAACAAGGATAGGAATCCAAGCACCAGTCACATATATATGCCACATATATTTGCTGCCGTATTGGTAACAACGACAACACAATTTCTTTTCAAGTCAGCAGCGCAAATTAAACTGTTGATCTACTTGTCTTGAGTATGAAAGGGTTTCAAAACTTGAACTTGGTAGCTCCACTAAGCCAAACGAACAAAAGCGACACCTCTTTTTAGATCGCAAATTGAAACAACCTTTGGATGTATTGGTATATGACAACAGGTGCATACTTATGGGTCATTTCAGCGCTTACCAGAGCTATAACTATACTACTGATTTTAACTGCACTTTACCTCATTATCATTTATTTGGTTGATATTTTTGTCATTGAAACATATCCATTCATCACAACACGAACAGTTGACGAGGAGATAGAGGAGGACGAAAAGGTAGTTACGCCCAGCCCACAAAACCTGCCACGACTGCTACGATTACGAAAGGAAGCCTTTTATTTACAATACAACAACAGTTCACAGTTTCTACGTCGTGACTCATTTGCAGTAAATGAACTTCTGTGATACCCGCCCTTTGCAAATATACTTTCCCAATGACTTGAAAAAGCATTTTAAACAGGATGCGGTATTTCTTTTGGGGTACGAAGTCGGGAATGCGTGTATCATATTCCAATGTACAGAGGCTTTACACGACTCAATTGATAAAATCCCCGACTTGAAAGTGGTTGGAGCTATAAACCACCCGTCAAGGGAGTATCCGATAAACTTGAACTATAATAAAGCAAGCGGAGGCATTTCGTGTCTGCTTAATCCTACAATTATCTACTTTGATCCACCAAATTTTAGAAACTTAGAGTATTTCTCTATAGAGCCAATATTGTTACAATCTATGGAGAAACCAGAGAAGTCAACTTCACCACTAGGCTCAAAATTTGACGTGTACCAGCCCGAAGTTGGAATCTCACCTCAAAATACATCGATTGCTAATGAGGATGTACTTGAAAAAATCAACCTGATATACAGGACTAGAACAACGTTTAAACGAGAAACGATACTGACAGCATCAACACTATTTTATCCAGTTTTCAAGTGTTTCGTCTTGCAATTGATAATCCCGCTTATTCAAGTTTGCCAGGTTGTACTAATACTGTTTCTCCTGATGATAAATTTCGAAATACTGGGCTATTCACTAGTCCAAGTGTCAAAGGTTTTTCGACAATTAGATCTCCGGTTGAAGCAATTGAATTACTTCCCCGTCCAATTTCTATGTTATTATGATCGGCAAATCCTCTATCAAAGAGATTCGCGAATCATCAATGATTTGAAATTGCCAATTTTCAATAGCAATTTAAACATTAACAACTCAAACTACATCAATTTGTATAACTCATTGTGGTTAATTTTTAATGACATCTTACTTGGGATAACAGCATATGGGTATATTGAAAAATATCAGAATCAAATATTCAATTTCATCCAGTCAACAGTTTTGGAAAAGTGTTTATACAATGATTTAGTTTCGTTGATTACATGGGTATCAACCGAAAACCCCGCCGGTTTCAAATTGAACACCGATTTGGGTAAATTCCTTGGTGATTTATACATTTGGACGATTCTATTTTGGAAAGATCAGGTTGAAAATGTCCAAATTGCCGAAAATAAAGCTATGCTTTTAACGATAGTCAAAATCCTTTGCTATGGCGGTGGATGCTCATTTCTCCTTTCGTTTTTCATTGATTGCATTCGGTTGTTGACGTTTCACATTTACGCATTTTACTACTGTTCGGGCAAGATTTATAAACGCCAACTTGAAATCATCAAATCGCTATTTCAATTGTTTCGAGGCAAGAAGTACAATGTGCTTCGTAACAGAATTGATAATTTAAATAACTATGAAACTGGCGATGTATTCGAAATTGATCAACTACTATTGGGCACTTTATTATTCATGATGATGATTTTCCTTTTACCGACCACTTTTGCATTTTATCTTACATTTTCAGTGATTCACATCTTGATCCTCATGGCTTACAACTTGTTGGAGAATATAACAATCGTATTAAATTTCACACCAATATTTGTATGCTTGTTGAAGTTTAAAAACTCAAAGAGATTACAAGGTGGAATCAGATTTGAATATGAGAGGTCGTACCGTGGGACAACATTTCTATCAATGTCGAATAAGTCGTTAACATATCAAGAAATATTCGTAAACTATGTCAAGTTGTTTCAAAGGTCAAAGAATTTCAGACATTCAATTGTAAAGAATCTTTTATCAGGGTATATGATTTCATTCAGATATGACTACAATCTCAAATTTCTTTACTTGATGTTGCCACAAGAATACACTGAAACAACAAGTATCTGGAAGTATGTTAAATAGAATATGGAGAATATATTACCAAGAAGTAAACCAAAATGCGTTTCTTTTTTACAGCTTCGGCCAACTGCAAAAAGCCAAACCGCTACCAATGCAATACTTGTAGACACCGCATGGATATTAACAAATTCTCTAAATCGCGAGAAAGGCTTATGTATCGATACAAGGCTTGCTGTGGCCGAGGTTAGTGAAGACTATTGGATTAGTTTGGGGTGTACATGTCACGTGCAAATATAACATTCAGGGCTACAAACACAACGTATATTGTACAAAATAGTTTCGTGCGAGAACCAATTTGGTGGTATAGTCAATTTGTTCGCGCGAATAAGAAGGGCTTTGGTCAACGCTCGCCCTACAGTGTTAGTATTGTTTCTCTCCAGTCGCGCCAAAGCCCTCGCCCTAAAGGATTTTGTAGTTCTACTTTGCACCAGAGACAAAAAAAAAGTAAAGAACACAAAATCTTTTTCTACATACAAATTTTGTTAGGAGAGAGCATACACACTACTCTCAGAGGAAGAAAAAAAAAAATCAATTTTTCAAAATTTTTTCAATCTTAATTTGGTGAAACTTTGATATATCCTCACAACAGACCAGTCATATAACCAAAGATGTCATTACCAGCTTCATTTGACTTAACTCCAGAAGATGCTAAATTATTGTTAGCTGCCAACGTTCACTTGGGATCTAAGAATGTTCAAGTATGTTTTTTTAACTAATTATCGAAAGGATTTACTGGTGAACTGATGAACTACAGCATGGGAAATAGAAACAGGAAACACCAGAGAAAATGTAGCCTGCGAATTCAATTTATCAAGGGCTACTCTTGGGAGGGAAGTGAAACTGAAGAAGAGTCCGCCATGAATAAAAGATCCATATCAACTAGGAAGAGACCCCTGGATTGAAATAAGAGCCCTACTAGTCATTGGTTCACATTATTCAGAACGAATACTAACAGTTATTTCTAGGTCCACAACAAACCATACGTCTACAAGACCAGACCAGATGGTGTCAATGTCATCAACATTGGAAAAACTTGGGAAAAGATTGTTTTGGCTGCCAGAATCATCGCCGCTATTCCAAACGCCTCTGATGTTGCTGTCTGTTCTTCAAGAACTTTCGGTCAAAGAGCTGTCTTGAAATTCGGTGCTCACACCGGTGCTACTGCCATTGCCGGAAGATTCACTCCAGGTAACTTTACAAACTATATCACCCGTTCTTTCAAAGAACCAAGATTGGTTGTTGTCACTGACCCAAGAACTGATGCTCAAGCCATCAAGGAATCATCATATGTCAACATTCCAGTTATCGCTTTGACCGATATGGACTCTCCATCTGAATACGTAGATGTTGCTATTCCATGTAACAACAAAGGTAAACACTCCATCGGTTTGATCTGGTGGTTGTTGTCCAGAGAAGTTTTGAGATTGAGAGGTATCATTGCTGACAGAACCACCGAATGGTCAGTTATGCCAGATTTGTACTTCTACAGAGACCCAGAAGAAATTGAACAAAATGCCGCTGAAGAAGGTGTCACTGAAGAAGTTGAAGACGCTGTTGTCGTTGAAGCTGAAACCGAATGGACTGGTGAAACTGAAGACGTTGACTGGGCTGAATCTGGTGTTACCCCAGCTGCTGAAGATGCTGCCGCTTCAAACTGGTAAAATCATTTTGAATAATTCATCACTTTACTACGAAACAACAAAAATAAATCAATCGTATTGGAAGTTCCTTACTAATGGGATGGAAAATGCAATATATATAAAATCATAAAGTTTTTATATAGGTGGGGGTACCGTGTATTTTACATAGTTGTCATTTAAATTAACGTTTAATCAGAGCTTATTATTGTAAAGAGGAGTAAAGCTATGCGTTCCTGGAACAGTTTGTTTCCTGGACCAAGGCATAATCGACGTCTACATGAGGTTGTAGTCTAGAGGCAATACATTCTGTCTTACGGCGGAGGGTTTTAGTATACCCAATTCATCTCGCAAAAAAAAAGAAATATTATCACGTGAACAACAAAGTGTTCTCAGGAAACAGAAAAATACTTTGAATCAAAAAATTTTCCATCCTTTAAACACACGTTCTTTTTCTCTTTTCTTCTTCTTTAATTTGATTACCATGGATAGTGATTAAAAAAACTTGATCAAAAAGAACTAACGAAATCAACTAATAAGAAACCTACAAAACAATAAATAATAACAAAAGCCAAAGAAGTATTAGAGATTCAAAGTTCCTTTTTTTATTTTAAGGAACTGAACACCATCCCGTGTTATGGGGCGTGCGGTTTAAATGCCACTTCCCTCAGAACACACCCTATAGTCACTTTTGAAGTTTTTTCCAGGCGAGTTGAAAGGTTTTCTTTCAATACGCTTTTCTTTAAAGCCATTGGATTCTTCGCTACGCCCCGTTTTTTTGTTTAAGGCTTGTTTGTTCCTGTGAATGCAATTCTTTTTTTTTTTTTTTTTTAAATTGGTGTTCAGAATCGAAAGTCATACTTTCGTACCTAAGTGGTGTCGAAGGTTGGCTTTGATACTTGTCTTTGGGGTGGAGATGGGAGCCCTAGGCTCTTATTCTCTTCTAAAATTTTTTTTTTTTTGTTTTGAGAGAGGTTGCAGGTGTTGTTTCTTGCCTACTTTTTGTTTTTTATGATTCTTCCTATATTGAAATACCTGGTTTATCGTATACTTTTCAAGCCTATGAGATTTGTACTTCATGCCCAGGTGATATTTGTTTTTCTCTTTCTGCTGCAGCTTCGTGTAGGACGTAAATTTTCTATTCTTGGCATTTCGTATATTATTGTTCTTTTACCCAATTAGGTTAAATGGACTAAAGGGTATGTGTCAAAACATTACGATAGACGACAGACATTGTTTGGGAAGTTAAAGAAACGCGCCTTTTTTTTTCTTCTTTCTATTTTATTTTATTTTATTTGAAATTAACATCAAATAATAATCAAGACCAAATTTTCTTTCTGGAAACGAGTCAGAAGGGGAGAGGTCCACACCACTGTTACATTCGCTTAAGATAAAGTCACGCTCCTTTTTGCTATAGCCTGTATCAGATATAAATTTTGCTAAAACCTTTACTGCTCGAAAATCAGTCTTGCACTCATAGTTATGAAGTTTGGTCAAAGAGTGCAAGAGTTTATATACTCATTAAGCACTGACGATAAATACTCCGAATATGACTCGAGAAAATCCTTTAATAGAGTCAACAAACCAGATTCTGAGAACCTTTTGGGTATGCATTCACAAATTAGCAACTCATCAGTGGATTCTATAAATAATATAATTGCAAATGAACCCAACGATAGCTATGAAGGTGTACATGAAATGAAGTTGGCATGGAGGCATATCAAACACTGGTTGGTAAAGTACGCACCCGATTTGAACAGTTCCTTACTGAGCAAATGCACCACGTCCGATATGGAAGATTTTCAGAAAGATTTACGCATCAAACTACCACAATCTGTTTTGCAATTTTTTAAAATCACTGATGGCCAACTGAATTTTGGTAACCAACTAAATATGGATACTAATGGTCTCATTTTTGGGCTAAAGTTGATGTCCTTGGATGAGATAATGATACAGACAGAAAATTGGAGGAAAGTTGCTGATTACATTAATACCGGAATTAGCCATCAAAACCACAAGGCCAACGAACCAAGCAAATTACCTACATCACATGCAAGCACGAGTCAGTACAAGAAGAAATTGAGCCTCAATACAAGCAGTGAGTTGTCGTCCGCAAGAACATCGTTTGACTTGACTGATGAACAGTCGAGAAAAACATCAGTCTCCTCACATGGTTCCGACTCATCTAGTGGTAAATCGGCCCAAAATCATCTGAAGATGCCAAAGCAGAGATCGATACCTCCAAATATGATATATGAAACTTTCGCCCATCCCATGTGGATTCCATTGGTAACAGACGAAGTGGGTAATTACATTGGAATTGATCTTTCTCCCGCATCTGCAGGAAAATGGGGTCAAGTGATTTTATTTGGAAGAGATTTTGACTTTAAATTTCAGATTGCTGATACTTGGGGTGATTTCTTGTTGATTTTTGCTAATGATTTGGAAATGGGCAACTGGGATATCAAGGCCAATCAAAAGAATAATGATGGTGACTTGTTCATTGGTAATGAGGGTGAGATAGTTTTTGTTGATAAAGAATCGAAATTGGAAGTGCCTTACTTGGAGGTGCTAAAAAGAAGAGCAGTTAAAAAATGGATGACAATGTTGGAAAATGAGCCTCTGGAGAATATAAATAAGGAATTGTTGGACGAGTTGAAACATAACGAGGTATCAATTCTCGCTCTACATAACAAGAGCTTTCAACCAATCGACGCTTTTATAACTAGAAACTTGAACTTGCTAGATCATGCTAAAACGCTGGAGATAGCTGGCGACGACGGTGATAATGACAACAAACCAGCACAAAAATCGGACAAACCTGCACCTAGCTTGGGCTTCAATTCAAAAGCCAATAGTAGCAAGAGCCCGTTATCACAAGAAGTGACCGAAGCAGACGAAGAGGTAGATGATGTCGACGAAACGAAGCTAGTAACAGATGATGATAAAACGTTACAAGAAGTAGATATTAGAACTTAGATAATAATGCATTTCAATGTTGTTTTAGTCTACCATATTATTCTCTGAATTGCACCAGGTTCACTTAACCAAGTGAATTGGTGGGTGAAGAATATATACAGCGTTACCAAGTTGATCAGATTCAACCACACGAATTCAAACAAGTGGGCAAGAGGATAGCTAGGGTTTGTATACAACCTGAATATCACAAGTGGGATGATATAGTATCTTGGTTCAAATAGTGGCGACGGGACAATGGTCACAACCGTTGCTCCAATGAATGCTAGAATCCCAATAGGTGACAAGTTGAGCTTTCTTGATCTATTCAAAGAAGCGACAATGTTGTATGTTGCAAAATGATAAATAGGAACTGCCACCACATTGCTATACTTTTGACTGAGCAATCTCTTGAAAATGTAAAAAGTGTAGTGTCTGTTATCAGCAAGTAGGAAAGGATGGACAATTGTATAATTGTCAATAATGTACTTAATCCCCCCAAAAGCCACCAAGTTAAGCACAAAGTTCACGCCATAGTTTCCAGCAACAAACTTGAGGTAATTAAACAAGGTTGAACGATTTAACCATACGGGCCATGTGAAAAAGTTGATAAATGTAAAGCAGTAAAACACTTGAACAAAATGTAATTGAATCTGGTGATTTTCCTTATCTCCAAACGTAATACCTCCATTATACTTAAGAAAAACAGCAAACAACAACAAGTTGATAGTGTATCCTAGTAAGAATGACCAATTCTCTAAACTTTTGCTAATGAATGAATGCACCCTGCCAAAAATAGACTGCTCTCTATAAACCTGTCGGTCTACATATACAACGGCAATGAATGCAACCCATATTATATTTGTTTGCCTCATTAACAAACTAGCAAATCCCACAATCGAGCTTAAATAAGGCCGCTGGTGTGCTCTTGTGTTGATCAAGCTGAGAGACGCAACCACAAGCATAGTTGACCACACATCGGTATAGAATAAAAAGTAGTAGGTAAATAGCAATGGCTGGGATATAACATTGACACACCAATATTGCCTCGAGTTTGATCTCTTGAAATTTTTCAATACAATTGGGAAAACAGCGAGCCCGCCAAATAGATTCAATGACCTTAGCACATTGTAATCGTTACACAAATTTCGAATACCCGTCGAAATTTCCAATCCCTTAGCATAGACAAACCCCAATATGTATAGTCCAGGTGGCGTTGTGATTTTATTATCCCACCGATCGAATCTGTAAGCGCAATAAGTTTGGCACTGACGTAGGTGAAATATCTCATCAATGAAAGGTTTAGTGACTAAGACTTTAGTTTGGAGGGACACCTGTCCACATAGGATCAAAAATAATAAAACACATGCATATTTGATTAATGTTTCAAGATAAGTCAGTGTAGTGGGAATTAACAAGGGCATTGAGTATGACTCTGTTACTTGTTGATGATTGATTGATCAAAAAAATATTCGATTTCCACGTTTGACACAAAATTGAGCCAGTGGGAAATACAAAGGGCATACTGAAAAAAGAAAAAAATAAGAGACAAGGTGGTTGCAAAACATATCAAACCATTGGAAACCTCATTTGCTTTACAACATACACTTTCAAAATCCAAGTTCTTTTTGGTATTGCTAGAGAGATTCCCTTCCTCCCTTTTTATTCTGTTGCAAAAGATAATATGTCCAATGACAAGACTTTCCTAAGTGGTGATAGATTTATACCAACTTCTTCATCAGTGCTGGCCTACAAAGTTTGGTTGGATGCAGAGCCAAAAAGCCCATCGTCACACAACAACACCAATGAAATGAGCTTTTCCTTTCGTGATGACTCATTTATAACTACTGCAATACAATCACCCACAAATTTGTCCCTGTCCCCAAGGTCAGCCACTAGCTCAAGTTCAGCAGATAGTTCAAGCCATCCAAGGTCGACTCTAGTTCCTCCTAATGACCTTCATCAGGAAGTAGTGGCAGAGGCTTTGAATTTCAACTACTGCTCGAAGGTGCTAAAGTTTAACAATGCATACACACATCAGCCTGTGAGACATTTGAACATGCAGAATTCTGACTCCATTGAGAGAATAATAAACAGGTCAACAACGATAAGACAAAAAACAAAAGTGAAATCAATAATGGCTTCAGATATCTTGCAAGCACCTGGATTGAGAAACGACTACTACTCAAATCTAATTAGTTGGTCACCAAAGACAAATAGAGTCATTGTTGGGTTAGGGTCGAGAATGTACTTGTGGGGAGCAGATAGCCATGTCGTTCAAATAAATTATGAAAATGATGACCTAATCACAGCAGTAAGCTGCTCGCAACAGTTTTGGATCTTGGTGGCTACTGCGAATGGCAAAATTTTATTGATTGACCAAAGGGAAGATGTTAATGGAGTCGTTGGCGAATTTAATGTTCCCGAAAACAAATGCATATTCTGCTTCACCTGGTTCAACGACTCGGAACATTTTTTGTCTGGAGATGACAGTGGTGAGGTTTATATTATGCAGATCAAACAATCATTCAACCTCGAACTTGAAATAGTCAAGACCTTCAGGGCCCACCAGCAACAGATTTGTGGTAAGCATGGTAAGCCTCCGTTTACATAGTTCTCTTACTAACGTCCAACTTTCTAGGTATTGCGCTAAACTCAAGCAACGATGAAATTGCTGTGGGTGCAAATGATAATTGTTGCTCGCTATGGAGTTTACCCGATTTTCAGTCGCCCTATTTGAAATTTGTGTTACCACACAAAGCAGCCATAAAGGCGTTAAGCTTTTGTCCTTGGACGACATCTTTATTAGCTACGGGTGGTGGTAGTAAAGACCGTAAAATTAGGTTCTGGCACACAACAAGTGGGACGTTGTTAAAAGAGTTCTACACCGATGGCCAGATTACGTCATTGATTTGGTCAAAGTACAAAAAGGAGATTGTGGCAACATTTGGCTTTGGTGGGTCAACGAAATCTAACCTTATGAGGGTTTACTCGTATCCTGAAATGATTCCCGTGTTGGAAGTGAATGCCACTAGTAACTTGCGTATCCTAAGTGCTACAACCAGTCCCGATTTTTGTTCCGTTTGTGTAGCTACCAATGATTCAACAATTAGAATTTACCATTTGTGGGACAGAACAGTTGAGATTTCACCCGCATCAAATTCTAGGATCATAGGTGCCTACGGAAGCGATATAATTGAACTTGCGGAAGGAATTAGCATAGACTGTCCTGGAATACGATGAGTACGTCGGAGAGAAACAATGGGCTATGTGTAATTTCTAAATTTAGCCAGGCGAAAAATATGTCACTTAACCCAAACCTATTTTTACATCTCCTTTATTTCTAATTTCTAAACCGTACATTCATTTTCAACCAAACCTTTTTCTCATAATCACATCATATCATGTCTGCCGCACTAGTGAACAGATCTTTAACCACAGTGAGAACGGAGTTGGAGTTCTTGCGTGACTCCGAAGTCATCACTGATGCCCTCTACAATAAGTTAGTTGAGGCTTTGCCAAAGAAATACAAAAAGGACGAAAATGCATGGGATGTTGACGTTTTAGAGACTAATTCCACTTCACAAAAAGAAGCCTTTGCTCCAACAGCAAATGAGCCAGCACCATCATACGAAGAGAAATCAAATAAATTAGCTCAAGAGTTTGCCAGCACTCATATTTCTCCACCAGCCCATCCACCAACTCCATCCCGTTCTGGACCCAAGCCAGTTGGATACTGTGTTGCTCTGTTTGAATACAATGCACAAGAACCAGATGATTTAAACCTTAGCAAAGGAGACAAGTTGGCAGTGGTTGAGCATTTGTCGGAGGATTGGTGGAAGGGATACAAAGTTGGGTCGACTCCAGAAAAGGCGGGTGTATTCCCTTCGAATTACGTGACAGTTATTTCAGAGGCAGAGTTTAGCTCTTCTGAAAACAGGTTGGTTGCACCAAGACCCGCATCATCACTGCAAAATTCCTATTCGTCTTATGGTCCTCCAACTTACGATCAACCGCCTTTACTGAACCAACCTTCATATGGCGGCTATGCACAATACCCACCACCATCAACAAATTACTATCCTCCTCCTCAGCAATACCAACAACCACAGCCACAACAAGTTATGGTAGCTCCTGAGCAACAACAACAACAAAGCTCAGGCCACGACCGTGTCAAGAAATACGGAAGTCGTTTTGGAGAGGCTGCGTTATTTGGTGCTGGTGCATCAGTTGGTGCCAACATTGTGAACTCTATTCTTTAAATTTAAAATATGTAGCTTCTTTTCTTTAGGTAAACTTGTTAATGCTAGGGTAATTCATTTCAACATATTTTGTTTTATTGCTTTTTAAACTATGTACATTTTATCTACTCATTTTCTATTGTTACGACCATCAGCAACAGTGTTCAACAATAATGTATCATTGTCCAATATGATCCTATTTGGAGATGAGGCTAAGATGTTGGCAATTTCTCTTGCTGTATCCAATCTCTTCAATTCCACATAATCTTTAGATTTTTTGATAGCCTCACCAATCAATTCAGCAGACTTGGCTTCACCCTGAGCCTTGACAACCAACTGTTGTTTCTCTTGGATTGCCTTGTCGACAATAAATGCAGCCCTTTGCGCATCTTGTTGAGCTATTTGTTTGGCCTCAACAGCTGCACTAAATTCAGGCGAGAATGTCATGTACGTCAAGGAGACATCGTCTAAAGAAATGTTAAACTTGGATGCACGACGTAACAAGTTTTCCTTTACTAATCTTGAAACCTTTTCTCTTTGAGTGATTAACTGTGATGCATTGAACTGAGCAACGACCGATTTCAACACTTCATTGATAATTGATGGCAACACCTTCTCCTCGTAGTTTGTGCCCAAAGTTCTAAATATTGTCGGCAATTCCCAAATATCTGGCTTGTACAAGACTCTGCATGTTATATTCACCATCTGTAAATCCTTAGTACCCGTTAATGAGGCAATTTCCTTTGGTTTGGCTCTAATGTCATAAATGATGGGTCTTTGCAACCAAGGAACAATAAAGTGAGTACCTTCTGGATATATCTTTTGTTGGACTCCCCCAATTCTTGAGTACAATATGGCACGCTGACCACCATCTACGTTGAACAAGGCGTTTTGGGCAAACATAGCAACTCCACCCAAAACCAAAAGGCCACCGATTCCGCCAAAGATTCCCAATGGACTTTTGGGGTTCTTTCCTCCTCCTGATTGACGAGCTTGCTGAGCCCTACGTCTCAACTCGTTGGACAAACTTTTCCAATTTTGATCGTTCATTTGGTTATACCTGGTGTGATAGCTGAAGCGACAGGAGATTTTGCGTAGGCGTTCTTGAAGAGAGAAACGTAAAGAAAAATTAACAAAAGAAAATCACAGAGAAAGGTTGTATGCAGGATTCACATTAACCCTATTTCAATGTATTTTTAAGAAGGTACTCCCTCGTAATCATTTTTCAGATAGTACTCAGCAAGCGTCTTTTTCCAGTATCGTTTACGATTTGACTGGATGTGGTTTTTCCGTAGCAACTTTTCAAGAATGACCAAACCAAAAACTATTATACAGATAACTGACGCCGGTGCAATCATACGAACAAACCTTGTTGTGGTAACAGTCTTTTGATAAGGACACTGGGCATATGGACCGCCTGAAACGAAGCAATTGGATATCGTTATGTCATTAAGATCAATCCAAATTGGGTATTGCGCATCTTGTTCTTTGATAGCACTCATCAATGAGAGCATTTCCGTACTCAGTCTCGGCAAACTAAAGTTGTACCCATTAGGGCAATCGTTTCTATCAACATCAAAGTATGTCTTTGTGTTACTGTATGGTATGTACCAGTCATTGGGTGCACTCTTATTTCGACATGCAATTTGATACTCTTGATAGCAATCATCTATTTTCCATCCGTTACTAGTTATAACTACACATCGGTATGATGCTTTGATGTTTTCGTCACGGTCTCTTGACAGATTGTTGGTGGATGAGCCGTTGGATACGGATGGTTGGCCCGCACGCCACGACCAAAATAGATATGGAGCAAATGATGAAAAGATGTCTCCAACGTCCAGAACGTTTTTGTTATCAACTGGATAAGAAGTAGCATTGAAAATAGGCAAAAGTCCACACCTCAAAAAGTCCTGAACACTATTACGGTCAAATCGGTTACTGTTGCTATCAATAACGTAGTCAAAATTTGTAGTCAAAGACAAATTGTCGTACTTTTCCGATTTATTGCTTGGTGTAAGAACCTCCTTGCAGTATGGACCAGCTTCTGTTGCAGATTTCACTGATGTTGGCAAGGTGGTGTTGAAAAATATAAGATTTCGATCGGCATCACTAATGGAGTACTCTCGTGGGGATGACACGACATCATTTGACAAGACATTAACAAGTATTCGTTTATATTGCGATAGTAGAACAGTCTCCAACGTGGGCATAATTATGTCTGACCTGTTGTAGTATGATTCATATGAACTTGAAGATAAAGAAACTTTCAGTCGGTAGTCATTAAGCACATTTGGGCTAAAAATGTAGGATGCAATTGGTGTTACCGTAGCATTTAGGGTCGAGTTACCCATTATATTCGATAGTGAATTGGGCTTGTATATATTCTCAAGCGACATTGTCAAATTTGACTTTTCATAATGAATGGACTTTAAATTAAACAACAAGTGGAGAAAATTAGCTTCAAAGTTTGTGTTTGAAGACTCCAAGTATGACTGGATTATAGACATGATATTATCGGTTGTGAAACCGTATTCACAAGTATACATAACATTATTCCAAGTAACATTTACTTTGTCGTTGGAGTTATAAGTTACATTTTGGGGAAATGGTGCTGGACATAATTGCCACACCGATGTGAACTCATTCCAATATAGATCCACCATTATTGCTTGCATTCCAGTTTGTAGCAAGTCGCCCAACTCCGAAATACTGTCTAAGCTGTAGTCGTTTTTCACAAACAACGAAGTTAGTGACAACCCAGTTACTGCTAGCTGGTCGAGCGGAACCGGTTTGGATATGTCCCTTTGCGTCCTTATCCCAACATCAAGCGTTTCATTTAACGCAGTTTGATTGACACTTGTGTGATTATACATCATCAGCAGGTCGGTCGCATTTAGTGCCACGGTGTGGCATATTAGGAATGAAATGATAAGAACTATAATTCTATTCATCGTCAAATCAACTGCACATGCTCGAGTACACTAGGCTAATTGTGTTAGAGGAGAAAAGTGAAAACCAAAATGTAATTTATTGGTAGCCTCCTAAATTTATCAGTAAAGCCTAGTGCACAGCAGTCAAAGCAGCTGTGATCCTAATTAGTTCTCTTTTATTATGGAAATGTGTAATCCATACTATTGGCGGCAATTAATAGCCTCTTCCACTAGACTATACAGGCCATTATTCAATAAACTTCTTTCCACGTAGTAGTGGGAAAGCCAACGCGACTGATATATCAACCAGGAAACAAAGCGCGTAAAAATCCAAAACAAAACAAAGAGTTCATACAAACATCGAGCTTTGAGTCATTTTGAGGATCCTCCTTAGGTTATGACGAATGGTCCAGCTGAGAATTTAACATTTTTAAATGGACTCAACGAGAACCAAAGACAGGCAGTCACTGCACCGGCCAATGGTCGTCTTCAAATAATCGCTGGTCCAGGGACAGGAAAGACGAAAGTTTTGACGTCACGAGTGGCACATCTACTTCTTGTGGAGAAAATTAAACCAGAGCATATCATTGTAACTACATTTACGAAAAAGGCAGCCAATGAGTTGGTGGAGAGATTACAAGCTTTATTAAGAGCTCACAGCGACATCAATATTTCAAATTTATTGGTGGGTACATTTCACAGTTTATGCTATCGAATTATCAAGAAATTTGGGTCCAAAATTGGTGTTGGTGGGTATTCGATTGCCGATGAGAGAGACAAGGACCACTTGTTGAGGGAGGTTTTGGAGAAGGAGCTACCTGCAGAAGTCATCAAGTACATACGCGAGGCACCTATTAAAGAAACCATTGTGTTAAAATCCAACAAACAAAACGAAAAACATCATGGCATTGACTTGTCTAAGTTGAAGCGGCAGATTTCAAAACTTAAATCGCAAGGTCATTTGCCTGAGAGTTATCGAAATGTTAAAGATTATAACGAATGTTTGCATTTGCTTTATCGAGCATATCAATCAAAGCTCGCTCAAGAAGGGAAACTTGATTTTGATGACTGTTTGTTAACTTGCTATACCTTGGTGACAAAGTACCCGGTTCTTCATTTCGTCAAGCACGTTCTTGTGGATGAATTTCAGGACACAAATGATATACAACTTCGTTTGATGTACCAATTTGCCAGTGGAAGCGTTATAAACCCAAAGTTTCAAAATAATGTCACTATTGTTGGAGATCCCGACCAAAGCATATACGCATTTAGAGACGCACAGTCAAAGAATTTTACGCTAATGATTGAACATTACTCGAGGCACAACTTGCCATGTACAGTCATTGCATTGAACCATAACTACAGATCCACAAAGGATATCTTACTGGTATCGGAACAATTGATGAGACAGCAAGAAGACCGGCAGGTGAAAAATTTGGTGTCTCAATTCAAAGACTCGATAAAACCCGTTTACCAGAGTTTGAAATCGGCTGAACAGGAGGCTAAATGGATTGCGTATCAGATTGAGTTCTTATTAGCACTACCCAACACAATGTTTAAACCTTGCGATATTGCAATTTTGTTTCGTGCCGCGTTTCAAACTCGTGCAGTAGAGACTGAATTAGTGAGAAGGAAAATTCCGTATTTCATGGTGCGAGGTAAAGCGTTTTGGGAGCGGAAAGAAGTTGTTGCTATTATAGATTATTTACGAGTTTGTGGTGATGAAGATGATAGAATATCCATATCTCGTACATTAAATTTTCCCAAACGTGGGTTAGGAGCAAAGACTCTCGAGTCAGTAGATGAAGCTATCGTGAAAGGGAAACAATCTGGTATATCTCCTTATGAAGCACTCAAGCTCTTGGCTGACGATAAAAATACGCATTTGAAATTACCACTTCGTGCTAGAAGTAGCGTGGCCAAATACGTGCAAATGATTGACAAAGCAAAGGTAATATTGCAAAAAATTGAACCGAGTACCCTTGGTTGTGACAGAAACTCTTTAGCATCCCAATTATTCGAGCTCATATATGGAGAATCGGGTCTCAAGACTGAATTCCTGGACAACGAAGAGCAAGTTTTGAATATCGATGAGGTAAGAAACCAATTTTGCATATTTGAACCGCAGGATGAAACAATTTTGGGTAATACTGAAGATGAGCAATCTGTTGATGAGAGGAACTTTATAGTACAATTTGTTGAATCGGTTGGATTGTATGCAACCAACGACAAGGAGGATGAGAAATCTGCCACTAGTCTGAAAGTATCGTTGAGTACTATCCACGGTGCCAAGGGTCTTGAATGGCCAGTGGTCTTTGTACCTGGTTTGTCTGAAGGGTTACTACCGGCAGGATTCGCAATGGCTGGAACTGATTCAAGTGCCATCGATGAAGAAAGGCGCTGCTTTTATGTTGCATGCACGAGAGCCAAGTTATTGCTCTATATATCTTCCTATGTGGAGTCAAGTTCGAATAATTCTTGGAAACAGCCAATAGATTGTGAGTCTAGGTTTGTTAGGGAACTTGCTGAGCTTAAAGTGTTTGATAAAGTACAGCCTGGGTTGAAGAACATGAAAGAGTTTAAGCATTTATGCTCGTTACTTGGAATACAAGATGGCAACTTTGTTAATGACCAGGTTGAGCAATTGTTTCATACATATGCCAAAAACTGGAAAATGTATTCGATCAATGATACATTTTCTGCCACTACGCTGCCTGGAGAGGCCGTTTTAGGAGGATTTGAAAAAGCCCTGGGGTTAGGCCTGAATATGAACTCAAGGAAGAGAAAGCACACATTTAGCTCACCATTAATATCAGATTGTAAAAAATTTGATGGTACTGGTGATGACAAACTCGGGACTAAACTGCTACTGACTGTGCCTAATTTAAAAAGAAACAAAGCTCCTCCTTATATCCCGGTACGCAAGGTAAAATCTAATTCATTGGGAATGAAAAGGTAGTCAAAGGTCCACTAGAATACTAAATTCGAAATTTTGTCTATATCAAGTCTCTACGCTGCTAAATTAACTCCTCCCTTATCTATCTTTGATTAAATATTAGATTAGATTCTTTAATAGCATTAATTATCGATACAAGTTTACTACTTTACGATAGCAAAACTCCAAGGAACGGTCAAATGTTCGTTCTTATCATCATCAATAAACTTGGACACAGCAGAATAAGTACCTCTAGCAATCATCCCCGAAGGAGCTTCAACTTCAGTAAATTTACGTTCGTAAAATGGGTTCTCCACCGTATTAGGGGCATAACTTCCCAATGGTTCTTCAACCTTCTCTACTCTCAATCCACCTCTTTTAACCGAATGCAAATATTTTAACCCAGTGATGATTTCATGTTGAACTCTAAACTTGACAACCAATTGGTAAACTGATTTCTCCTTGATACTAAATTTGATTTCCTTATTTAAAATGGTGTTGCCATCAGTATCTTCCAAGTTTATTCTAATTGGTTCTAAATTTGGTTGCTCGGGGAACTCCAAGGCTAATTCAGTCACAACTACTTTTCTCGAGTCTCCTGGCTTGACCGGGTATGGTGTTCCTGTGGTTGATAAACCTAATGAGGCTTTCCATTTGGCTAAACTTTCATCTTCTGCATCTAGTTTATTATACTCGTCAATTGTTTTCTTTTCTCCAACAGTGTATCCTTCTACTTGCTCTGGAACCAAATCATCATCAGCGTTAGACATTATAGTAGTAGTAGTAGTAGTAGTTGTTGTTGTTTGGTGATCAGACTCTTTTGATATGTTGTGGTAGACAATTGTGTGTTGTCAAAATCAATTAAAGGTGCGTGTCCTGTTGTTTAATTTTGATCTCCCTTTCTTTTCATAATTTTAATTTAATTTAACCGAATCAAGAAATAAAGAGAAAACAGACGAAACACAAAATTAGTTATAACCAAGGCCTCATAGCCTTTTTCTGTTCAACTTCAACAACTACAACTATAACTATCACTACAACCACTCTTTACCGTTTTTAAAATTGTATTTAAATGCATTTAAGACTACAAAAGTTACCCAAAACTCTAATTTATCCTTCTGTCTATGTATATCTTTTCAAGGTTTCTGGTTCTTGTAATTACTGTTTCGTCCTATACTACCTCCGCTTCCATTACCATTTTGATACATCTTTTTGGACTTGTTTTGTTGCTGAGGCTTAACATTCTTAAAACGATCATTAGCATCAAGGTCTCCTGGTAAAATAATGTATGGATTATTCAAGATTCTTCGTTCCGTCTCTTTATCGTAAGTGGGAACACCATGGAACTGAGGAGCAGCAGAAGCAGTATATGCTGCTGCATACGATTGAGGCACTAGTTGTGGCTGAGCAGTTGGATAGTAGGGACTGTATAATACTGGAAGTGTGCTTCCTTGAGGAATAGCTGGTGATACTCCATTATGGTGAGGATGGTACATTTGTGGGTATTGCATTGGAATTGGCACCTGATAAGGAACTGAGTAATGGAGGCTTTTGTTGTAACCAGGAGTATACTCTCGACTCTTGCGGTATTTTGATCTAACTGGCTTGCCTCTGGGAGCGTTTTTATCAGTATACCCCTCTGCTTCTGCCTCTGCCTCTGCTTCTTCTCCCCCCTCCTCCTCCTCTTCTCCTTCTTCCTCCTCTTCTTCGTACTCTCCCTCTACTGTTTCCTCCTCCTCTCCTGCTTGATCTTCATCCTCTTTCAAAAAGATTTCTTCCCGTACTTTCTTGTACAATGCTTCTTTTGATGCTCTTTGACTCTCTATAGTTGTTGATGCTGTGGTATTGAGGGACACATCAGAGCCTTCTGATGCCGGAGCGCTAGATACATTGTCATCAATCTTCAACTTGGAAAAATTTTCTATGCTGGTGTCACTTGCTTCACTTGTGGGTGAAGCGGTAGGTTTATGTATAATCTTTTTGACAATGAGCTTGGGCTTGAAAGGTTGGGTACTGAATGGTATTGGTGGCATACCTACCCTTGATGGATCAACTCGCTCTTGACTTTGATGGTGATGGTGGTGGTTGTGGTGGTTTATAGCATGTTGCGGATGTTGTTGTTGTTGTTGTTGTTGTTGTTGTTGTTGTTGTTGTTGTTGTTGTTGTTGTTGTTGGATATACCCATTCAACTGCTGTGGTTCTTGTGTATGAACCGGTTGATATTTATGAGCTATATCGGCAACTTTAACAAAATCACTCGATTCGTCTTCAATCTTGTTCAAAAATGAAGAATAGTCAAAGTTTTCTGATGGAGTCACAACAATTTCATTTGACTGATTGTTCCAATGCTGTAGATGGTAGTAATGGCATAACTGATGACTTAATAGCCTATAGTATGAGTTTTTCAAATATTGGGCTTGAATCACATACTCTGGTTGTTTGATGTTCCCTAAGATGGAATTCTTGATAAATTTTACTAAATCCTTTTCAAGGTATAAAATAAACGGCCTGTCTTGGTACTTTGTCAAAGCAGTAATAATAGACTGCGGTATGTCTGTCATCTTTCCTTTTGCTTACCTCCTTTACTTTTGATATGTACCTGTGTGGGTCGTGTTAGTCAATGAAAGATTTTCTGGTTTGAAGGTAAGTGAAATTAGGACAAACAAAAATTCTATCTGAAAAAAATATGCAACTATAACCCTCTCCTCAAAGAACCGCACTTGTAGCTACTTGACGAAACTAGTGTGCTAGTAACTGGTTAAAAAAATGCTAGTGAAATATCACCATAAAACAAAAAAAAATACCTATTGGATCACCTTCTGTTAATGATATATATTAATAAAAACCCTCTGTCTAATAGAAATTATTAGGCAAAAATTAATACGAAGTGATGATAATACACGCACACACACAGAAGGTTTGTTCTGAAAAACAAAACAGAATAAAAAATAAAAAATAAAAAATAATTTTATTAATTAATTTTATAGTGTTAGTATAATATAGTATAATATAATTCATATTATGCCGATGTTGGAATAAATCAGTAGTACTGCATATAACTCAACACCTATTCAAAGAGATTTTTTTTGGCAGCAGATCGATCAGGTGGAGAGAGAGTCTTTATATAATCTACTACTACTACTACTACTACTACACCAATACTAGAAAGTTAAAAATTATAGACTTAGCTATTCATGTCAAGTGCAGACGAAGTATGTAATTGTAACAACAACGATCGTTTTTTGAATCAGGGGTCATACTAACAAGATTCCTTAGATTAGAGCTAAAAGGTTGGCAAAACTTGCTGGATCTAGTAGACCTAGTACGCCACAACAACAACTGCAACAGCAACAACTGCAACAGCTGCCAGCTTCAATTGAGAAGCCACACCCTCCATCTACTGAACAGAGTACACCACCTGTTTCTTCACAAGAAAAGAAAGAAGGCGAATCAATAAATCTGCGCGAGCAGCCAACACTAGTCGCCACCAAGAGCGACACACCATTAGCCACCCCACCAAAACCAACACAATCCAAAGAGGACCATATTTCCCAATGGCTATTGCGTGAATTGGAGCACATTTTCAAAATCACGCTAGACTCATCTAAAAACTCAAGATCCTTGGTGTTTTTGCCCAACCTAGCACACGAATTGCAGAATTCTGAAGACAAACTAAATGAAAATTACTTGGACTCAATTTTTATGGAAATCTTATCAGAGACTGGCGTACCTGGAAAGAAGCCTATTGCGTATTTGTACTCAGTTTACCACGCTGCTTATAAAGTAAGGAGGTCACTTCCCATCAAGGCGATCTTTCATGATGAAAAAGTGGAATTGTTGAGCCACATTGTCGACTTATCGGTGAGATATGGAAATATGGGCTTGCAGATCCCTGATATGTTTCTATCTAGCAATGTTGAGCAAGCCTTGAACACAATAGTTGAACGCTTTGCTGATATGTCATCATTTTTAGTCGATATTGTCAAAGTTAGCTACGAAGAGGGTACTCTATTAGAGCTCTTGAATTTGATCTTCCCATACATGAGTCTGAGATTAAAGAGTATCACGTTTAAGGATCAGAGATACTTGAATTACTTGTCAGTGGTCGAAACACTTGTGTCCATAAAACCGGTTGCTGCGGTATTTTCCCAAATTGCCGGGTTTCAACCGCCATCAAGAGAACTGGGGTTGGACTATGAGCACAAGTCATTGTTGGGGCCAATTTTACGTGTATCTCCGCTTATTGATACTGCGGGTCCTTATTTTGGTGAGGATGTAAGCAAAATGTCTCCCATTCAAATACATAGTGCATACGAGTCACTTCAAAATGAGTACAAGGTTGCATTGGACCGTTTGTTTGTAATTGTTGATAAATTGATACGTGGATCAACAGAGACTAGAACTAATGTCATTCAATGGTTGGCCGAGTTGGTCAATAATAGTCACTTGCGAAGAGGTAGTCATGTCGACTTCCAAACTGTTGCCAGTGATGGAATGATGTTCAATATAACTATAGTCTTGATAAAGTTGAGCATGCCATTTTTAGATTACCCCACGTACGGAAAAATCGATAAAATCGACGTGGAGTACTTCACAAAGAGCAACTTGATAGATATAAAAGAAGAGTCAAGAGTAAATTCAACAATCGAAGAGGCAACCAAGTACAGTCAAGCCAAACGCGAAGAACTTGGCAGTGATGCAACAAACTTTATTTCTGACTGCTTCAACTTGACTTTAGCTTATTTGCATTACGGGGTTGGTGGTATTTTCATCAAGTACGATAGAATGAAGCGTACTATTGACCAGATTGAAAGCCAAATAGGTGCAATTGAAACTGGTAGAGCTGGTGCGGGAGCGCCAGGTATGGTGGAGCGGATGAGGGCACAGTTGCCCATGATGCATAGTAGAATCAATGCATTAAAGTCTCTGCAACATGCGATCAACGCCGTTTTCAGCTACAGGGATTTGCAATTGGAAATTTTTGATTTTATCATTGGTGCAACAGTGTTTATAACCAGACTAATCGATCCGAAGCATGCTTATCCTCAGAAGAAATTAAGTATTCCCATTTTCAAAATCACAAAAGTTTCGGAACTAGACGATCATGACTTTTTAAAGACCAAAACCCCAATTCCTTGGAAATATTATCCTGAATTTCTTTTGGAAGGTATTATCAACTATACAAAGTTTTCAGCCAACTTTAGAGGATGTCCGCTCGTTTTGAATGAAGATAAGTTGATTTTGTTTGTTGAGTTTATCACCATTTTATTGAGATGCCCTGAGTTAATTGGTAATCCTCACATGAAGGCCAATATTGTTGAAATATTGTATATTGGTTCGCTTCCTAGGCAAGATGGCCACCCAGGATTTATGGTTTCAATTTTTGATCGAAACGAGTTGGTTACCCATAACTTGTTGTACTCGCTACTTGATTTCTATGTAATGGTTGAGAAAACAGGGGCATCGTCTCAATTTTACGACAAGTTCAATAGTCGTTACTACATTTCGGTAATTCTTGAAGAGTTGTGGAAGATACCTCAATATCGATTGCAGTTGAAAGACTATTCAGAAAACAATGTTGATTTCTTTGTTCGGTTCATTGCAAGAATGTTGAATGATACCACGTATCTTTTGGATGAGACATTTAATTTGTTAAATTCGATTCATGATTATCAAGTCGAAGTCAAGCGTCGCCAAACTGGTAATGAACCAAATGAGGAGATGGGTAATGACGAAACATTGAATAGTAACTTGGAAGGTGATGAAAGAAGAGTAAAGTCCCTCATTGCTTTATCGAACGAGACTATGGAATTGTTTAAATTATTTACTAAAGAAGTGCCTCAAGGGTTTGTATTGCCAGAAATTGTCGATAGATTGGCTGGTATGTTGGACTACAACTTGTCAGTGTTGGTTGGTCCTAAATGTTCCAACTTGAAGGTTGCCGAACCGGAAAAGTACAAGTTTGAGCCGAAAAAGATCTTGAGTGACATTTGCGAAGTTTATGTCAATCTCTCTTTGCAAAAGGGGTTTGTTATTGCTGTTTCAAGGGATGGAAGGTCCTTCAATATTGCTTATTTCAAAAAAGCCGAAAGTATTTTAACCAAGAGGACATTTGTTGATAATAGGATAATCAACCTGTTGGCAATATTTGCCACCAAAGCAGAAGAAAATAGGCTTGTTGAAGAAAATGAAGAGTTGGAATTGGGAGAAGTACCTGATGAGTTTTTGGATCCGTTAATGTTTACTGTAATGGAGGACCCTGTCATATTACCATCTTCTAAAATCAGTATTGATCGGTCAACCATCAAGGCCCATTTGTTGAGTGATGCCACTGATCCATTTAATAGAGTGCCCTTGAAGTTGGAAGATGTGCAGGATGATGTTGAATTAAAGGCAAAGATTACCGAATTCAAGCATCAAAAGAAGCAAGAAAAGCAACAAGAGAAACAACAGGAAGATATAGAAATGACTGATTAAAGTAGATAGACATTCAAATCATGCAAGATCTTTACACGTTCATATCCCTGTAAATAATGCCCAATATTATAAAAGTATGATATATTTCCACTAGAAATAGAAAATATACACAGTTTCTTTTTGTAACTATACAGAATTACCTCTCTCAAGTTCATCATCCATCATCTAGAAACAAAACCACCACATCACTCCATTAGTATGCAAACGTAGCCCCTAATTTATTTCATCTCTCATAAATTTAAGCCTTGATAGCAAACTTTCTTTGTGGGAAAGTGATTCTTTGTTTTCTAGCTTTATCAGTTTCTTGTGATTTTTCAAACTTGGTCAATTGTCTTCTTAAAGCTCTAGTCTTCTTGGCTCTCAAGTCCTTTGGTTGGTACTTCTTACCCTTGTAGAAAGCTTTAACATTTTCTCTTTGGTTCAAGTTGATGACGGTCAAGACTCTAGCAATGTTTTTTCTAACAATGTGGATTCTTGGTAAACTTGGTCTTTGCAATTTTTGAACCTTCAAGTTGGCTAATTCTTTTTTCAATTCAACCAATTGTTCTTCTAATTGTTCCTTGGATTTAGTTCTTAATTCGAAAGTTTTAACGGCGACCTAAATTAAAGGGTGATGAGTTAGTAAATTTGATACATTTTGTTTGTACAGTAGGGGAGGGAAGAGAACAAGAGACATCGAGGAACTGCATGGTCTGCTTGGGGCTTGTGGATGTATGATATCTCTTGGGCATGATTGGTCTTTGGTGACAAATGGTTTTGCATGGGTTACGTTGAATCTGTCTTTTGGTCTGCGTTTCGATGACTGTTTGGGCAGTAATACGCTCCTTCCCGTGTTATTCCAAGATGCCCTTTCCCTTGCATCAGTTTTCTCGTGTCGTTTACTATTCTCCCCATGTGTATATGGATCAATAACATACCATTGTGTATGTGTATTTTTAATGAACTGAACGTTGATGACGAAGGTGAACCTTTCCTTTGATAAAGTCTGAAAATTTTATTTTAGTGTTTTGCACAGTTACGAGAGTGCGACTATGGATTTTTGTTAGTGCGAAAGAGAGAGAAAGAGAGGAAAAAAGAATGCTTTTGATAAAGCCCTAATTTTTACAGTTTGCACGTGCAAAGTATTTTTGTTAGCAACCGAAGAAAATAAGAAAAAGAAACCACTGGGTATTGTTAAAATAAACTCACAAGACATACTTCTAGATACGATTTGTATCAGCCTTGCAAATGTACTTTGCTCTTAGAGTGGTTTTCAATGGGTGATTGCATATTCATAATCCCCTGCAAGGTTGTATTATAGTATAGATCTCCAGTTTATATAGTCTGTTACTAGATGTGACTGGTATCCTCGGCTTGTTTTTTTTTGCACTTTGGAAAAGTAGTTATCTGATAATCTCTACACTCGGCTCTAATTAGAAGACTTTAGCATGCCATTGAGATGTGCGACTGGTTCAACTAGCTCGTTCTGTGAAAGTTCAGACGCGCGTGGAGGGCCATTTATGCACCCCAGTTGGCTCAAATCAGACACGTCTTGAGATCTCTCAAATTTCTACCCCGCTAGCCAGATCAGATTAGAGGATACTCTGTCTAATACAATGTTGAACTTGTTTATTATACAGTATTTGATCAAAAGATACACATAGTAAATACTAGACAATGGATAAAAATAGGACGAGAGAGTAGATGCTAATAAGGTTTTTTGGTTTCCTTTGAAATCAAAAACCCCGTTTCAAAAATAATATTCTCTTTTTCATCTGTTTATCCTGACTTCTTCAAATTGGTCGATAACCATTCCAAACCTTCGTACAAACCGTCACCAGTAGTAGCACAGGTAGCTTGGATGTACCATGGTCTTTGTCTAATGGAATGCAAGCCCAATTTTTCAGTTATTTCAGCAGCATTCATTGCATTTGGTAAATCTTGCTTGTTAGCGAAAACCAACAATAATGCGTCTCTCAATTCATCTTCATTCAACATCTGTTGTAATTCTTCTCTAGCTTCAGCAATACGGTCTCTATCGTTGGAGTCTACAACGAAAATAATACCTTGTGTGTTTTGGAAATAATAACGCCACAATGGTCTAATTTTATCTTGTCCACCGACATCCCACACTGTGAAAGAGATGTTCTTGTATTCAACGGTTTCAACATTGAAACCAATGGTTGGAATAGTGGTGACAATTTCACCCAACTTCAATTTATACAATATGGTGGTTTTACCAGCAGCATCCAAACCAACCATTAAAATTCTCATTTCTCTGTTCCCAAAAAGATTGGCAAATAATTTTGAAAATGATAAACCCATGATGTACGTATTATGATATGATGATTTTTTTCAAGAAGTAAAAAGAAAATGTAGTATGTGTATATATATGTGTGTGTGTGTGTTTTTAGCTTGTTGATAGTTATAACAAAAACAAAATAGGAGTGAAAACGGTAGTAGTTGTTAAAAGATACAGTTAAAATGAAATGTGTAGTCTCTGTTGGTTCTGTTCACTCGGATGGTTAATTGATTGATTGATGAAGTGTGGTCTTCTAGTTTATTCAGTATGATGATGTTGGATTGGTGAGAGTGGGAGAGTGGGAGAATGTATTTGTATTAATTTTTTTGATACGTGGTTTGTTTGAAAAACTGATTTCGTTGACCTGAAAGGAAAAAGAGAGAAAGAAAAAAAAATTGAAAGAATGGCAAACTTTTTTTGATTCCGACACACAAAACTTTGGTCACTATTGTTTATATATGGTTATAAGTGTATAGAACAAACCCATTAAACACTAAAAACATATTTCGCTTTACCCCCTCCCCAAGTAGGCACGCGACTGAAGTGAGTATACTTATTGCATAACACCGTAATTTTGACCCGTTGTAAGAGTAAACCAGATACCAGTTTTGGTAATGCGACACTCATTGTTTTCGGTAAAGGTAGTGTGACTATGCCAAATTATTAAAGAGACAAAAACAACAAATCAAAGTTTCTTATTTCTATTGAGATAGTGCTACCAATTACGAACAGACTCGGATTAAACAAATGTGTAACATTTGATTGCTCTAACACTTGTCGCGGGAGCTAACAGAAGGGCATAACTGGAAAGGAATCAGCGTGGAAAGTGTACCTCTCTACTTGTTCAAGCTGCAAATTACTTTGCGTGTGTGTCTTACATTTCTTACCTAACAGACGCGTCTGTCTTGACAATGCTCTACATTTAAGTTACAAAACCTCTTCTATATATTAAATAGCCCAACCCTGAATAAATAAATAGTTATATGCTCGAACCCGTACGGCTAAATCTATAAGATGCAAAGAATTAAAACTGAAAACTAGGCTTTTGCGGCGAATCTATCTTCTAGCAAAACAAGCAACCCTCCCCCTCTCTTCTCTCCCTCGTAACCGAACAACGCCACTTCACTTACCTGCATTCACTTTACATTGAGCAAATTGCTTCAAAGCACGAATGAAAACGGCATAGTTGACTTCCTTATTCTCAGGTTCCCAGTAAATTTCAGTCAATCTGATGTGCCAAGGGGGGTAATCTTCCAAGTTTAATGAAGGTGCAAACGAAATCAACAAGTCAGGTTCTGGTCCAACCAACTCGGCTAACTCCTCGTCAATCAATTCAATGGTTATATCATTCACCGACAATTCCTTGTTTACTGCCAACTCGCTCATTGTTTTGGTTAATTCAACAATAGTTGGCTTTCCGTCAACTCTGCTTAGCAAATCAATCTCCAAATCAACTGACGTGTCTCTTGGTGCTTCAGTAGATGATAGACTAACAGATTCGTCACTATACAAGATCAAATTTTTATGAGGGATCTTTAATGAAAATGTAGGGATTGCTTCCGATCCAAAATAAGAAATCAAATTCCGAGTAATGACTTTACTTAAATCAATAAGCGAATCGCTACTTTGGTTTATAGACCCGGTGTACTCGTAAATTACCAATCTAGTGATGCCGGCACTGACATTCCAAGCAGCCAATTCACTTATTTGATTGTACAATCCATCTTTCCCGCCGTTTTCATCGTCATCATCTTTCAAATCCAAGATGCAAGACACAGACTTGGGAATCTTTGACAACTGGTTAACATCATCTCTGATCACTTGTGGTGACTTATTTGGATAGTATGTCAAAGTAAGAAATTTCAAATATATTTTGCGGTACATAAACAATATGTTTTTGTAAATGGCAATGGTAAAGAACAAATTGAGAAGAATCAAATGATTGATGTAGTACATGACCAAGCTAGTAGCTGAAGCTCCCTGCGCAATCAATCCAACAGTGAAAAAACGGTGTACAAGTTGGACCAATATGGTAAAGATGTTGACGGTTCGAACTGTACTGGGTGGTGCTTTGGTCACATCGTTTTTGGTAATTTTTTGTCTCGACTTTACTTCGTTGGTGACATCCTTCAACTTTACTTCTCCATTGTTGTTGAGTCTCACGTCTTCAACGATCTTTGGTGATTTCAATGCTGACATGAGGAGAATGTGGGTGTATGTCTCTTTGATGATACGTATCTGTCTGTTGTAAAAAAAAAAAGAACAATATTTTTCCGCATTTTGAATTCTTTCTTTTCTTACTTTCTCACTCCCTTCTGAGGTTGCAAGAGTGAAGCAAAAGTAACGAAAGGGAAAAGTACAGCTTTAATGTTGAGGTATTCGATGGAGTGTAAGATGATATCACATCTATTTACAGATGTAAGTAATTGAGAAATATGGGTGATTGAAGCAGTAGTAGGAGACATTACTCCCAAGTAAGTCATTTCACCAGAAAGTAGTTTCTTCGTATGATGAAATGTGGCAGTTATACTCCTTCTATACTGATTTTAGAAATATCAAAGTCAGCTAAATGTCCCATGTCGTAGTTTTATCTAAAAGTTTTCCTAGAGAAGGTACATTTTTTTTGCAACCAATTAAAACTAAAACAAGAATATAGTTCACAAGGCAACTTCAACCTACTTAGGCATGCACCAAAGAGCAAGTATAAAGCATACATAAAGCATACATAATCGAGTCACTAGAAGATAAAATGAGTCTTTAAAGAAAATAGTGCTAATGCGTCGCCTATAGTAGAGTTCCATACACACATGGCAAAGTTTGGAGCGGCGAAAAAAAAAAACAAAAAGAAGAAGGAACATTTAGAGCCGCTTTGGGTCGGATCGAAAATTAAAGTTCAAGGCGAAACCGGACTCAACAACAACAACAACAACAGAAGAAAAAAGAAAAATGAGAAGTAAAATACAAACAGGGACACTAAAGCATTAAAAAAATTGTCTCCACTTTAATTAAACTTTTCTAAAGTAAAACGAAGGCAAGAAAATAAAAGACAAAAGCAGAGTGTTATGTCAAATACTTTGCATACATTACAGGGACGTAGTAGATGTAACTTATCAATTGATAGAACTTTGGCTATACTTGCTTTTTGAAAAAGTATTACCTTTTTGCTTCCATTTTTTATATGAATCCTTATATACAGAGGGTTGGGTTATTTGATCTCTCTTTACGGATTAAGAGAACAATAAAAAGAAAAAAAAAAAAGAAAAAAAGAAAAAATTAATTTTTTATAAGGACAAACAATCATCAAAATTATAAACCCCAGGAAACCAAAATATATATATCTACAGCCAATAGACTACCTACACTAACAGGGAGTACTACTACTAATACACAACAACCTACACTATTCTATATCTACAGACCACCAAACAAAAGACCTATCTTATACTTTATTACAGATACACCTTTTTCAAAACTAATGTCAATATAACACATACACACCGCACGCCCCTTGATCTATAAAACAACATATATATATTGAGGTAACACTTAACATTACATAATGAAGCTTTGGTCATACATAGATCAGCTATTGTATGACAATACGATAGAAGAGGAGTACTATCGAAAGATGCGACAGAAGAGTTCATCAAACTCGGCCTTTTTTGTAGGTCTTGTGGCGGCAGTGGGTGGATTCATGTATGGATACGATACTGGATTGATCAACGATCTACTAGAGATGCCATATGTGTACACTCATTTTCCAAGTAATCATACTGGATTTGCCACTCATGAACGGGCTATAGTTGTTGCTTCGTTGTCGTTGGGGACGTTTTTTGGAGCCTTGGTGGCTCCTTTAATTTCTGATAACTACGGAAGAAAATTTTCAATCATTTTAAGTGCTGGGATCATTTTTAATATAGGAAATATCTTGCAAATCAGCTCAACTGAGATTGCGTTGCTTAGTGTGGGACGGCTTGTCCTGGGAATCTCAGTCGGAATACTATCAGCTATTGTGCCTTTGTATCAAGCCGAGGCATCTCCCAAGTGGGTTAGAGGTTCAGTTGTGTTTACTTATCAATGGGCCATCACTTGGGGTCTCTTGATTGCCAGTGCTGTATGTCAAGGGACGCGAAAGATTTCAAATTCGGGGTCGTATAGGATACCTATTGGAATTCAATTTTTATGGGCATTGGTTTTGTCTACCGGTATGTTGTTTTTACCGGAAAGCCCGCGGTACTACGTACAGAAGGATAATTTGGAAAAGGCGCTTTATTCACTTTGCAAACTACGGCGGTTGCCTGAAGACGATGAATGCTTGGTGGAGGAATTGGTGGAAATAAAGGCTAATTACGATTATGAGCGCTCTTTTGGTAAAACCACAATTCTTGACTGTTTTAGGAGCGGTGGAGGTAGACACAAACAAGGTTTGAGGATGTTTACTGGGATAGGAGTCCAGTTTTTCCAACAGTGTTCGGGTGTCAACTTTATCTTCTACTATGGAGTAAACTTTTTCAGTTCTGCTGGTGTCAAAAATTTTTACATCATGTCATTGATTACATATATTGTCAATGTGGTGTTTACAGTTCCTGGTATAATCTTGATTGATACTGTTGGTCGAAGGCCGTTGTTATTTTGGGGCGGTATCGGCATGGCAGCATCTAATTTCATAATAGCGATAGCTGGAGTCAGCGTTGAACAGCAACATGTAAATGCTATCCTATGTGTTTCATTCTCGTGTGTGTTTATTCTATTTTTTGCCAGTACTTGGGGTGGATGTGCATGGGCCTTGTGCTCGGACATATATGGTATCTCCATTAGACAAAAGGGTGTTGCATTAACAGCAGCCACAAACTGGTTGGTCAACTTTGTATTTGCATACATAACCCCTTATTTGATTGATACTGGTTCACGTACTGCCAGATTAGGTGGCAAGATATTTTTCATTTGGGGCAGTTTGAATGCATTGGGTACCGTGTTTGTTTATTTTACTGTTTATGAAACCAAAGGATTGAAGTTGGAGGAAGTTGATTACATGTATGCTCATTGCGCTAATGCAAGAGTATCAAAGAAGTTCAAATCAACAAAGATTAACTACGACCAATTGGACGACGACTATAACCCAATTAGTGCCAAGCAACCACCATCGACGACATCAAACGAATTGACTCCGAATGAAAAGTATAACGACGACGATGATGTTGATCTCATGATACACCAACACCATGATAGCGACGACAATCTGCAACACCATGCAACTCTTCGCAACAAGTCAGACACAATCACCTCTGTCCATCGGTACGATAGAACCCCTTCAACATCCAACGCCCTGGATGAGAAAAACCTAGGCATGCAACTACGCAAACAATCGATGGCTTCCAATGGTATTTCATCAATTAATTCCTCAAGATCTGTTGCCCACGCATCCAATGTTAGCAATGATTATCAAGAATATTTGGAGTCGTTGAAACGCGATTATTCTCAACACTATTCCAACTCAGCCAATCTTGTGCGCAAGATCTCATCGTCAATCAATAATAGTAATAGTGGTTACCATAATGGCCAAGAGTTTAACTCAATGGACCATGGTTACCTTCCTGGCGAAGGTCACCATGGAAATTTAGATTGCAGTGGCGACGTAACTGAAATGAATGGGTTGCAGACTACAATCATAGCAGCGCCATTTTTTGACCAGCCTCCATCGGATTCTGATTCTGATTCTGACTCGGACTCAGACTCTGGCTCCGATGCTGATCAAGATGAGGGTGAGGATGCTGATCATGAAGGAGATGGTAATGACGAGGGAAATAGATGAGAGGTAAAAAGAGTAAAGCAAAACCAATGGGACAAGTTTGTTTATGAAAAGTAAAATTCAGTTCTCTATTAAATAGGAAAATTTAGATTTATAATATAAAAGGATGTATTTTGAGTTAATGTTGTAGTGGATTGATCTGCTGTTTTCTGTGTTCTTGTTTTGTGGAATTTTGCCCACAAAATTAAACCCAGAGCAAACAACGTTGCTTCAATTCAACAAAAGGATATTTCACCATTTACACAATGAGCTCAGACCAATTCCCAATCCAGACTGCAATCAAAGACAACAACATCAACTTAGCCAAGCAATTAATTTCAGAGAATCCCCAGCCATCATCAGCAACAATTTCAAAAGATGACGATGATCGTACGCCACTACACTGGGCCGTTTCCATCAACAACAACGACTTGGTCCAATTCATACTTGGCCAATTACCAAAAGGAACCGATATTGATGATTTAGTAGACGCATCGGGATGGACACCACTTCATATCAATGCGTCAATTGGCAACATCGAGATCCTCAACTTACTCATGCACGTTGATCCACAACCCGACATCAACGCCCAAACAAATCAGGGTACAACGGCATTACATTTAGCAATATCGAAAACGCATTCATCTTATGTGAAAGTCCTAATTGAAGAATTCAACTGTTCGTGTCGAGTCAAGGATAAAAAGGGGTTTACGCCATTACACCGTGCCGCATCAATTGGATCAATTGGTATTATTAAACAATTGTTGCACACGGGTAAAGTCAATGTCAATGCCAAGGATAATTATGGGTGGACGAGCTTGCATCATGCATTAGCTGAAGGGCATGCAGATGCCGCGATTTTACTCGTTGATGAAGGTGGTGCTGATGTCAATGTTGAGAATGATGATGGTCAGACACCGGTTCAAGTTAGTGTTGATGAGAAAGTGGCCAAGTATTTTAAAGAGCATATTGAAAAGAAATGAAGAAGTGGGAGAGAGGAGAGGGTGAGAAGGATGCATGATTTGACTAAGATGCAAATTTTTGGTGGAAGTGGAAGGGAGCTTAATGAGGAAAGTTCATCAAAAAGAACTAAAAGAATTAACGAGGAAGGCAAAGTGAAATGAAGCAATTCAATAACAGAGAGTTATTCAACCTGAATTTTCGAGTTCAATCAGATTTTGCAAAGCATCACAGACCTCGTGTATAACCTCAAGTTGGGTGAAAAAAAATTGGTTTATTAAAAAGTTTATCGTAATATTTGTGCTTCATGACAGGGTAGTTACATCTTTCATGACTTAAAATGGCATCGTTTGTCTAGGTTGGTAAATCGTTTTTGTTGACCTTTGGTTCCCCTCCTTTTATATATAGATATATATATTTTTGCAACAATACACTTTTGTTTCTGTAATGGTTTCAGAACTGATACGAATAAAATAAGCGTAATGATTTCAAAATGATCTTTCCTCTCTTGTTAGTTTTAGATAATGCAAAGATAAGTGTGACAATTCACACACTCCTTTACTCTCTAGGAATTGCAAATTGTGAGTACTAAGTTTTTAGTTTTTTTGAAACAGTGTTGAAGAACCAACAATTTGAATGAGGAGTGTGTGTGGTTCATAAGGCATCCTATAAGACGAAACTTTCGGAGCTAGAGATGATATACAAAGGACTCGTGAACTGAATTACAACCCGTTTCAAGTGGATATAATTCAAACAATGTTAAAGTCTCTTTACTACAGTCAAACTTTGGGTGATGAAATATAGATAGAAAAACCTCTAGGTGAATCGGGTAGATGTATAAGATAATTACCCTAAACACGTATTTTGACAATAAACTAGCAACACTCTTTAGCTCTTTGGCTTTTTAGCAGAAAACTTGAAATTTGCAACTAACAACAAAAGAAAGAAATGGAATTGTGTGTGCATAAGTGTGGTTCTGCGTCGATTACGAATATTTTTAGTCAAGTGGTCCTGTCTCTTTTGTACATCTATTCCATTGCATATATACTAAAAGGACAAGGGCTTTTCTTAAGTATCAAGAATTTCAGGTGTTTTGTTTTGTTTTGTTTTGTTACGTTGTTGTTGTTATTTTTATATGACATGGTAGCTCTCTCAGCAAAACACACAAAAAACAAAAAGACAGAGTTACCTAATTCGTAAAGCTAATGCCCCAATTGAGTCAATATCAAAACTATTACATAATCAAATACACAAAGAAACAATTTTGTTTTACACTGTAAACTTTGTCTGTAAACGCAAATTACTCTTGTACACAATAGTGAAAGAGAAGAACAACAACAACAACAACAAACGCTGAATGAGGGTTGGTGATACATTTACCTTGCGAAGCTTGAGACGACGAAAGTAGAAAGGTAGAACAAAGTTGAAATAAGAACAAAAGAACAATGATAAAAAACAATTGTAACTGTAAGAGAAGAAAGTGGAACCAAATAGAAGAGTGTTACGTATATAGATTGCTCAATTTAACAAATGCAGCCAAAACAACAACAACAACAACAACAACAAGAAGAAGGGCATGTGGCCGCGAAAGAACAAATTAGGGAACAATCCAACAGTTGTGTGTCTATCTACTCGCTTGTGTCAAATTAACCATTGATCATATTTCCTAAATGGGAGATAATGAGGTATTTAAGATAAAGGGACCAAAAAAACGGCGCAAGATGTACACATTTGCAGCAAAAGTTCAAATTATACCAAAGCAAGTGACACATGACTCTTACTCTTTTCTTATAAAAGATTTCCTGTATCTGTGTATGTATGTAATAGCCGCCCTTTTTCTTCTAACCTTAATCAACCCTTCGGCATAAAAGAAGGAAAAGATTGTAATGGAAAATTAAAAAAAAAAAAAAACGCAACCATTAGTTTAGCCGGGTCACTCAAAAGTCACTTGTTGTAAAAAGAAGAAGAACATAGAGAAAGTAAGAAAAAGAGTACATTGATATAATAAGGAAGGGGATGACTAGATCACCCCTTATTTTTTTTTTCTGGCTTTCGTTATCTATCTATGCCAACCGGCTGAAGGAAATAAAATTCCTTAAATTGCGTTTATATTATGTATTTTTTGGATATTATCACCGATTTTAATTAATGAGTTAGTTTTTGGTTTTTGGTTTTTGGTTTTTGGTTTTTGGTTTAAATCATGTGAGAATAATAATAAAAAAAAAAAAGAAAATAAAATTTAAAATTTTAATTGTTCGGTTTTTTTGTTCCAATTCAATTCTTGTCCCGATTGCTCCTTAGTGTTTTGTTCATTCTCTGTTAGTGACACTTCTTATAATTCATTTTACTTTATTTGCTACTATGACGCAAGTAGCAAAAGTTTTTATAAAGCTAGTAGTAGTACTACTACTATCACATTGGTGTACATATATCTGATATGCCGTATGATGTGTAACAAGTGGAGGATCCGAGCTTCCACATATTTTAATATTTTAACCCTTTAAGAAAACCTTTACACACATTACCGAACTATGTCATCATCCACTTCCTTACTTTCTTTTTATTTTTATTTTTAATTTTTATTTTTATTTTTATTTTTGTGTTAAAGTGTGATCATGCTTTGTGGATAAAAACAATGACTGCTTAAACACACACACACGGAGAAACACATACACATACAACCATATTGACACTCATTCAACACAATTCTAATTTTCTGATATATACCAAAAACTGTTTTAACACCAAAGTAATAGCTCCTAGGGCAAACAAACCAACAGAGTAGTTACTACTTCGGATAATGGTCTGGGGGCTATCAATTGGTCCTTCAGCTTCTATAGAGATATTTATGTATTAGACGCTCAGTCGTTTGTTTTTATTCGTCGAGCATTGTCTTTTTCCAAAAGCTGCTACGTGCTACACAAAACTAAAGACAATAGAGAAAAAGGATAAACCATTTGTCATACTTTCCCTTTTGGCGCTTAACCAAAACAACTTTTTGGAACAATGCTTTGATGGAAGGAAAAGAAGGAAATATACACATTAATTAGATTACCTAAGTAGCACACATACCCATACACATACACTCTTTATGTCTAATTAAATTAAATTTTTTTATTTTATTTTTTATTTTTTTCGTTTTAGGTCAATCCCATTGGACTTTTAATATAATTGCTATTACCGAAGGTAATATATATATATAAACCTTGTTTTCCTCCTGTCTTCTCTCTCAACTCTTACTTTCATTTTCGTTTTTCTTTTCCTTTTCCTTTCATTTGTTTCAACTTAATATCATTTCTTATATTAGTATTAACAACCACCACGCAACTGCGTTTATAACATCATCAATTGACTATTAACCCAATTGACTGGAAACAAAAACAACAACAACAATATAAACTACCTTAATACCGGAATACCCCTACAACACCAAACTACTACTATATAATCTACAATGTTGGCTATCGGAGACGTTATTTTAAGAGCTTTTAACTTTGTATTTTTAGCTATTACCCTTGGTTTGACTGGTTCATTAGCCGCCACCACTGTATCCCAACACAATCCTCAAATCAACTTTGCTGTTTTTGCAGCAGCTTTTGGTCTTTTGACTTCATCAATTTACGGTGTATTTGCCTTTTTCATTGAAGCATTGGCCTGGCCATTGATTTTGTTTACTTTTGACTTTTTGAACTTTGTCTTCACTTTTGCTGCTGCTTGTGCTATTGCTGCTGGTATTAGAGTACATTCATGCAGTAATCAAGACTACCTTGACGACAACAAGATTAACCAAGGTTCAAGTGGTAGATGTAGAAAGGCTCAAGCCTCAACTGCATTTTTGTATTTCAGTGCTTTTATCTTCATTGCTTCTGGTATTTTCAGTGCTATTGGTTTGTTCAAGGGTGGATTATTTGGTTCTAAATACTCGAGATCTGCTCCAAGAACCGGTGTTCCAACCATGTCCCAAGTTTAAGTTTGAGTTTAAATATCATAATACAAACCTACAATTGGCACATTAATACACTTATGCCACAAACCTATTCATCCATCATGTAAAGATACCATCAAGCTAAACTGAACTGAACTTAGTTGAACCAGAGAATGAGTAAAAAGTAAAGAAATTGAAGAAGAAGAAGAAGAAGAAGAAGAAGAAGAAGAAAGGAGGTTATGGAGAGTATTAAAGATGAGATATATGCTGTGGCTTTACCGGGAGAAGAGAAGACTAGTTTCAACATTGACATAATTTCAATTGTTGTATAATCTTCCTTTCTCCTTCAATTAACCATTTTGCTATTAATTTATACCCAATACCAACTCCACTAACCTATCCTTCTTTTATTAGTTAATATGTTTTTATTTTTATACCTACGTTGTCTTTTATTTTAGTATATTTTGTTCCCGTTATTCTTCTTTTCAATACATGGTATTATCACTTTTGAATTGTCTTTTCTATTAGAGTACATAGGTTTATTGATTGGGAGTCAGAAACATTTGAGGTTTTTTTAAGATTTGTTGTGGTTTCGCAAATTTCTCATCTCTCTTTTTAATCAACAGAAAAACCTATGACTTCATTCCTACAAGTGAACCCAGTTCACACACTCCTTGTTGAAATAACACTTGGTTACATTTTAAGGTATAAAGTAATTTATCTTCTTATTCTTTCTACTACTAAGTACAACGGCAATTGAGTGGTAAGGGAGAAGGAAGGACAAGAAATTTGAAAGCCTTTTTTATTTTAGCATTATTGCTCTATAACACAAAAAGTGGCATGGGAAATCCGATTAATGCCGGACGTTCCAGAACCACTCAGAAATGTAGCAAAGAAGATACTTGATACGTGACCTAAAACACAGAGAAGAACATATGCAAATATATGCATGGCTGAAAGTAGTTAAGTCTTTGGCATTTTTACCTCATAAGGAAATGTAATTATAGTGTACAGATGTTGTAATGAGATTATTAAACAATTTTACTAATTCTATGTGCACGTGATTTGCTAGCCAAATGGGTGTTTTATTATTCTCTGAATAAAGGTTGAGACTTTTGATCTCCAATTATTGTTTATAGATTAGCTCCATGTACATGTCGACGGAATTTTGGCATTAGCTCAGATAGGTCTTTAATGGGTTGACCGATGTCTCATGAAGTCATGTGCATGAAAGAAAAATTTTGGCATGCTACTCAACTGGGATCGGATTGATACATTCTCCTCCTTCACATTGATCACTTTCTTTGTCTCTTCTTTTCCCGCTCATATTGATTCTTTTCGGCACCTTCATCAGCTTGAATAGTATTGACGATATTGGCCATCTTACGATGGTATTCATCATACATTTTCTTCTTCTCATCAATTTGTTCCCTAGCAACAAATCTATTCTCGTATCGAATATCCTTCAAAGCCGCCTTCTTTTCCTTCTTCAATTGTTGTCTAACCTTGCTCAATTCTTGACGATCCTTATTCTCATCATAAGATTTCTTATCGGGGTTGAAGTTTTCTTCAAATTTGGGGGCATATGTAGCAATGGCGATTGATTTATGCAGTTGCAAAGTCAATGGTTTACGTGATTTATTGGCTTGGGTGGCTAAGTTGGTGAATTTGGTTAGGAGTTGCGGGATTGGTTCAACGGTGGTGTATTTGATGATGTGTTTGAGTAGGGAGATGTACGAGTTGACAAGTTCAATTAGGGAAGATTTATCACGCCATAATCCAACACTCTTATCCATGAGGTTAATGAGCTTGATTAGGAGTTTTGATTTGAATTTAGATGCATCCTCCTCATTATTTGTTATTGTAGCGTAAATGTCCGTGATTGAAATTAGATGATCTTTTTCAAATTTAGTCGATTTAGGTAGATCAAACTTGACTGACGGATTAGCCAATGATAGAAGCTTGGGAATGTCAAACGTTTCCGGTTCTGGCATCAACATCAACACCAGATGTTCAATAAAATTGACCAATTCTGGATCGTATCTTTTAGAAAGTCGTTGATACAGCAACAATACATCAACAAGGAAAGCTCCCTGAGCCAACTGCTGCACATCACGAGGATGGTAAATGATATTACTCAAGATTTGATTCATTAAAATGACACTAGGCGTAACAATCAAATGATAATGATCCGAAGTTGAAAACAACATGGCCACAATCACAAAAAACATTAAATCACTCGGTTTCAAAGTTGTCTCTCCTTGAACCCTGGTTTCAATCTCGGAAAGATAACGTCTCATACGTTCAACAAGTTCTTGGTTATATGAATTTGCCAAATTTTTCAAAATCTTGACAATAGATTCAAATGGTTGCAATTTATCAATTAAGTGCATGGTGTATTCAAAGAGAATAGATACAAATTGATTCATTTTCTCCTTGTTTCCCATTGCCAAATTCGGTTTATAAGCTTCACATATTTTTTTTATGTGACTGGCTTGTTGACTCAGCTCGAGTGGTTTCATTTGCTCAATGAATTCATCAATTGAAGTAGGCATCAAGACAGGTTGCGCTTTATGCGAAGAAGGTTTGGATCTAGTTGCCTTGTTCTCTGCACCACTACTTTCATCGTCTGACTTTTCCTCATCCACTTCCTCTTCCTCGCCATCACTCTTTATACTAAATCCGTTCTCTTCATTTTCACTATCACCACCCCAGAATCCATCACCATCATCCAAGTCATCTGCTTCAGCCTCACGATCATTAAATCCCTCCATTCTCCTTAATCTGTCTTGTTCCAATTTCTTCATCTTCTCTTCATGTTCACGCTTCAACTCCTCTTCTGTCTTGGTTCTATCCGCCGGGGCAGCTCTTCTATCATATGTCAATTCACGCACCTTGCTATCATACTCGATATCCTCGGGTGCCTTTTGCAGAAACGCTGGTTTAGCAACAGCACCTTGAGCTGTTCTTAAATCTTGCATAATGTCACCAAAGTCGTCATCCAATGCATCAATCTGATCCTGGGTCTTGGCAAATGTTTGTTGTCTTTGCTGCTTGTAGTATTTCGACTTGGCAATAATTTCCTTCATTACTTCATTTTTCGATTTCTTACGTGGTGGTGCTTCATCTTGTTGTACTTGATCCTCATCGACGTACTTGATTGTGTCCTCATCATCTAATGACAAGGCTTGACCTGAATGGGTTAATTGGAACCCACCATCGTCTTCCTCATCATCTTCATCCTCGTCATCCTCATCATCACTCTGCAACGAGTACAACCCTTTCTTCTTTTTGTTCCCACTACCTGCTGCTGCCTGCCTCTCCTTGGTAAACCTCGCCAACATTTTCTCCTCCTGAGACAAGTGAGAATCATTTTCACCAAATCTCTTGTCCAAAACACCTCCAATTCTGCCTCGTTTCTGCTTTTCCAAGTCATACTGCATCTTCATTTGTTTTTGCATGGCCCCATTTTTGACTGTGACGGCATTATGCTGCTTAGATCCAACTTTAACAAACCCATCCTTCGAGGCTATCGTTATATCATGTTTGGTTCTATTAATTCTTTGATCAAACTTGTTGAATTGATCTCTAATTTCATGCAAATTTTGTTGTCGTAAATCACGATCAACTTCATTTCTTCTTGATGTTCTCGATTTGGCATTTTTCTTTTTATTTGTGTTTGTCTGACCAATGAGCCCCTTTTCCTTTAAAGCAGATTTCAACTGCTTGAGCTGTGATCCTGCCATGATTGTTGATGTGTAGGGTGTGGAATCTCTCCTCTTGCACGATTTTTTTTTTTTTTTACTTTCTTTCTCATTTCGCGATGATGGCGATGAGAGAGCGATTCTGTGATGTGCTGCAAAACATATAAATGAAAAACTCAAGTTGCAAAAGCGATAGTATAAGTTAGTGTATCTAGTCGAGTGATGTTTGCTTTCTGTTAGAGAGTTTGGAAAATGTACTTTTTTGTACCAGAGGACAGGGGGTTACTTGTGATTGTGTGATGCTTAGCTTTCAAGACATGAATTGAAATATAGTGTATCGGCTTTTACGTATGTGTGATGAGAGAAAATCATTAGTGGTAGAGTGTAGTAGACCCTATGACCTCAACATTTAAGTTGTCTTTTATGGTTCTACGTCCTATAAGATTTTCCTTTATCTACATTATGATAGTGTTTCTTCAATGTCGATAATATCTTCTATGTCGCAGGTTTCCTTATTGTGACATCTATACCTTAATTTCTTTTTTTCTTCGCTTCATATTTCTTGCGAAAAGTCTTTGTAAGTAAGTTAATCTCTCTTGTACCTGCCTCAAGTAGCATGAAGATGCAGAGAAATACACATAGACAAGTCCGATAATATTAACTGTGTTGGGGTAAATTGGAAAGATATTAACTTTGCTCCAAAAGCAAAGCTTCTTTCTGATGGGGATGTATAGAAAGTAGAAGTAGAACTATTTATTACGTCACGGAGAAAAACTTTGAGGCGAACGGACAACGCCTCATACCACATACACACTCTCATACTTTCACAAAATTTTCTTTTTCTATTTTCTATTTTCTTTTTTCTGTTTTTTAATCCCTCTTTCAAAAGATGCAACAAAAACAACATACGCATTACATATTTCACTCGGAGAAGACGAAAAGACACAGGGATATAGCAGTTAAAAATCTTTATTCACCACTTAACAACAGACCAAATTCCAAATAACCTATCTTGCATCCCTTGTACTTTTTTTAGTCGCGAAAAGTCAACTCTGGCTACTGCCCTGCAAGAAAACATAGAGGCGGTTTTACTTTTCACCAACACTATTTATCCTCTGCCTTTCCTTTTACCAACTACATCCAGACACCACCGAACACCACTGCCCCATATAGAAAGGCCGCAAAGAAGATGAAGAGGTTGAAAATTGGTATCAGGACCCAGCTAATGGTCCTTGTTGGGTTTGCCTGCCTACTATCACTTCTCATTCTCGGTCTTGTCACTGGTATTTACTTCAGCAACAATTTAAAAAATCTACGATCAGAGCGACTAGAGGTTATATCACAACTAAAAGCGACACAAGTTAGCCAGTCTATCAACTACGTTCAACTAACAGTGTCTGCCTTGGCTCAAGTGGACGGGATACGATCTCCTTTGATGTCACACCAGCAAGGTAACGATCTGTCAAACTTATTCGAAGGGGTAGACGACCTCTTTTTACAATATACAATCACTGAACAAATCGTATCAGCCAGACTATACGACAAAGATTTGAACGTCGTCACAGCAACTGAATATGACGAAGTCTTTATTTCCAACCAAACTAGAAACCTGTTATATCCCATACCCGATGGTGGCCCATTACCTGCTGTTGTCGACAACTATACACATAGTGACGACAAATATTATTACAGTGGACCACTACCGAACAATACTCATGTGACTACTGATCCTTATTTTGCTGGTGTCACTGTCGCAGTTTATAGCGAGGAGTTGTCTGAGGAGGTGATTGGTTATATTTCTGTGATTTCATCAGCGTCTTCCATCTTTTCTGCATTAAACACAACATCATCCGACTATTGGACAATAGCGGTTCAACCAGTATATGATGACAACACTTCGGACTATGATGCGAATAGAACTAGAGATTCACTAATAGGATATCAAGCTGTTTTCCCCAACAATGGCTCACTTATCGAACCAGACCATTTTTACAATATCAATAGTTCTTCACTCATTGGGCCAGCATTCAGGACAACAAATCTCACACTGGGTGTTCGAAGAAACTTGAAATCAGTGACTGGAGTAAAACTCGCTGTGGCTTACTACAAAATCCAATTTAGTAACTGGCTGTGGCTAATTATAACGTCTCAAAAACAATCTTCGTTTAATGCACCAGTAACAAAGATGACGCACATCATTATTGGTGTCACCATTGGTGTAGGATTTTTCATGTGCGCTGTCACCTTCACCCTAGCCATTTGGTTCATACGGCCAATTACGAGACTTAAGGAAGCTACTGAATCCATAACCAGATACAAGAAAGATAAAAAAGGAAGCAAGAAAAATGCAAACAATGGTGACTCTGGTGAAAAATTACCACCGTATTCAAGTGATACGGTAGATGATGAGAAACTTTCGAAACGAGATAGCGTGCACTCAATGTCAACCAGTGGCTCAGGATCAGGGAACTCCAGTGGTATTAGATTACCTTCGAGGATTCCGCGTTCCAAAATGCTATTCAAGGATGAACTTACTGAGTTATCGGAAGCCTTTAATATCATGACCGAGGAGTTGGAAAAGCAGTATACACACTTGGAAGATAGAGTCAAATCGAGAACCAAGGAATTAGAGGCTTCCAAAATCGAGGCTGAAGCTGCAAATGAGGCAAAGACTGTATTTATTGCCAACATATCACACGAATTGCGAACGCCCTTGAATGGTATACTTGGTATGTCGTCAATTGCCATGGAAGAGCAAGACGAGGCTAGATTAAAAGATTCATTAAAGCTAATCTACAGATCCGGTGAACTATTGCTTCACATTTTAACGGAATTGCTAACCTATTCTAAAAATACCTTAAATAGGTCAAAATTGGAAAAATCAAATTTCCAAATTCTTGAAATAGTTTATCAAGTCCACTCAATCTTTACCAAATTGGCATTGGATCAAAGAGTTAACTTTAAAATTTTAGTCAAACCACAAATATTTAGAAAATTGATTCTTTATGGCGATTCAAATAGGATTATTCAAATAATCATGAATTTGGTCTCCAATGCACTAAAATTCACCCCTGTGGATGGATCAGTTGGTGTTTCATTTAAAATGGTTGGTGAGTATGACTATGAGAGATCAAAGAAGGACAATTTTGAGCATGTATACGTCCTTGATAATAATCTTGGGGTGTCAAGCTCGTTAAGAAGATCATCAAACACAAAGCCTTACTTGTCGTCTCCAACAGCACGTCCGGCTTCCCCAGTTTCACCACAGCAGAAACCATCAGTTTTATCACCAGTGATTGAGTTTGACAAGTCAAATGATTACTTTAGTGAAAAGCCAGTACCAGTAGTAGGTACCTCCAATTCTGAAGGAGCCCTCGACAAAGTTGATAACGACGAGCAAAATAATGATCTTCTTAACAAAGAGCAACTGCCACCTGATACCAGTGACGTCAAAGCTACCACTAACAATAATGACACTAACGAAATTAATAACGCTAATGACCAAAATAAAAACAATGATATTACCGACGATGATATCCATTCCATAGCTACTTTAGCTACAGTGCAGTATGAAAACAAAATGTACGAATCGCAATTCGGCAACAAGCCACTTCCTGCTACTCCAAGTATGAGTCCTGGTAATTCATTGGAAAAGATCCCTTCACGAAACAGTCGAACCCCGTCAGTCACAACTATCAATTTTGAGCAAACATACAGAGCCAATCCAACATCGTCTTCCAGTGAATTCAAGACGTATCCTACTTTAGATAAACGCTCTGACTTTGATGCAAATATGGCTAACCATGAAGTTGTCAAGGATAATAAAGCATTCAAGATTAGGAAAATGTACAAGCCCAAAACCTGGGTCGTTCAAATTAAAGTAACCGATACTGGATCAGGTATTGAGCCCGCATTGCAAGAGAAAGTCTTTGAACCGTTTGTTCAGGGAGATCAGACTTTGAGTCGAAGTTATGGTGGAACTGGATTGGGTTTGAGTATATGTCGACAATTATCCAAAATGATGAAGGGGTCATTGACTTTAGACTCAACTGTTGGTAAAGGATCGAGCTTTACCTTGACGATACCATTGCCTCAAACGGGTGAGATTGTTGTTCCACCTCAAGATTTGGAAATGTTTTGCGACGATGAGTTCAACCCGACGGCTAAAAGTAATAGAAAAGTTGCATTTGATGAGAAGGCAATTATTGTCCATGATGAAAATGGAAATCGTGACACTAGGATGACATTGGAACCTATTGATAAGAATAACAGTGCTAGCAGTGGATCAACAGTGGGCGAAGGCTCTTCGTCAGTTGGTAGAAGTGATACTTCAAACTCATCAGCGTCGATGCATGATGATGCACATGGGGAAGCCAATGGCGGTATTGATAATGAAGATGAGGATGAAAAAGAATCATCAGTACTGCAATTAAATGCCACTCCTTTGAAGCGATCAGTTAAAAGTGCTAAGTCTAAACCAAACTTAAATAATTTACTTACTGAAAAGCCCGAACTACTTCATCAAGGATCTACAGGTACTGCAAATTCAGCCATGGATAGGAGATCCGTTGATTCAGATGAAAGTGGTTACCGTCATCAAAACAACGGACAACAAGAAGTATCTTCTAATGCCAATGGCAAACAACATCTCGATAGTCAAAACAACGGTGCTAATCTAACTTCATCAAATGGCGATATCACAGGTTTGAAGATCTTGATTGCTGAGGATAACAGAGTGAATCAGGAAGTAATCAAACGAATGATGAAATTACAAGGATTCACCAATTTAACCATGGCATGCAATGGAGCTGAAGCTGTTGACTTTGTGAAGACTGCTAATGAGGCCAACGATCCATTCGCACTAATATTTATGGATGTGCAAATGCCGCAAATGGATGGATTGTTGGCTACGAAATTAATTCGCCGGGATTTGCACTATGAAGGGCCCATTATTGCCTTGACTGCATTTGCTGATGAGAGTAATGTTAAAGAATGTTTTAATTGTGGAATGAATGGGTTCTTATCGAAACCAATCAAGAGAAATAATTTACAACTGGTTTTCAACCAGTTTAGACTGCGGTTGTTGGAGTCTGCGGTGAAGAAGAGCGGGATTGGCAATGCTAATGGTGATGGTACTGCTGATGTGGTGATGAAGGATTGAGAGGAGGAGAGAGAGAGATTTCATTTGAGGTGTGGTTTCAATTTTTTTACGCAGTTTATAATTTATAGAGTTTAATAATAGAAGGGAACGGGTCTTTTGTTAATAGCATTGGGAGAAGCATGTACTGAATTAGTTCTCTTGTCCAAACGTTAGCAAGGTAACTGGGACTGTGTCTTTACTGCCATTTTCAAATGCAATCTGAATAAATAATAAAAGAAGGTTGCGAATGGGGATATATAAAAAAAATAGACTATACATTGCGGCCAATATCTTGCTTATAAAATTGATTCAACATTCCTAATACGCCACCTTTCCGCTTGGATTTATTCCTTGATAGATCATTGCCCAAATCGCCGTCTATTTTATTATAGTTAAGCTTGAATATCGAATCAGTCAATTCATCATCATTATCACCATCATTTTCTTCAGCATTATAGCCCATTTGTGTTGCATTACTGTTGAATTGACTAGTGATGGAACTCGTGAGTGGTTTGGCGTTTCTTCTGATTGGTCTTGTCCCATTTGCAGCAGCTGCTGTATCTTCATCGTTGTAATTTTGCATGAAATGGTAATACGATTTGACCATCTTATGATCTCGTTGCAAGCTATATATTTCGCCATCGTCATCATCATCGCCCTCTTCATCACTAGGGTCCGAATCTTGTCCTGGCAGAGGTGTGTCTGAGTTTTGCTGATTTCTTGAATTCCGTTTATTTCTCTTTTTTCGACGTTGTTTCCCACTAGCCATCATATTCTTATCCTTTTCTTCAAAATTAAACATGGCAAAATAGCAAACATAACCTAACCCGTCAACATGTATACTGTACTCTCTGAAGAAATCAATAATGGTGCCACTGTTCTGAGATACTTTAAACCATAGGATATACGGGGTTAAAATCAAACTAAGGATTTCATAAATGATAATGACAATTTTTAATGAATACAACTGACAAAACTCATTCTTCACTTGGACAGTATGTAGCCGTTTCTTCCATGATCGAGGTAAATAATGCGTAAATTTCGAAACATAGCGTATATTAGCTTCAGGATCATGTATAGTCCGAGTTGTGGAAAAATGTTGCTGATTTTGTTCAGTTGCAGTAGCAGCTGCCGTTGAAGAAGAAGATGAAGTGATGGCCCAAATGGTACCCAAAACAGAAATGTAAAACAAGGTAGTTTTCCCTTCCGTTATTTCAAATGACCAAAACGATTGTGATTCGTTGTCCAAGAAAATACCCAAAACAACAAGGACAGCCAATACTGATCCACTTAAGAAATTAATCAACTTCATTCCATTTATGACTAGAAATCCCTTGGGGAATTGATCAATATAAGTATTGGCTGGCGTCATTGATAATTGTAACCTGTTTTGGAAAAAATGCGGCAATTCGTTAAACTCGCGAAGTTTCCACTCAGCATAAGGAGTATATTGTCTCACTCCAACAATCGAGCTTGGGTTTGATTTATATTCATTGAAATACTTGAAAAAATACAACAAGACAAAATAAACCACAATGAATGGACAAAGGACGACGTTGATCATTGCCGCCAACTTGAATCTTGACGTCAATTCGCGTGCCAACTGATTCCGGTTGTAATCTTTGAGTATTGATCCATTGATCTGTCCCTGCTGGTTGAATACAAAATTGTCAATACACAATTTCAAATTCCACTCCAAAGTCTTTGTCAATGATTGTTTTTGGTCCATAAACAATACTGACAAGTCCAAGACATCCTTGTTAATCAACGCAATCATATAATTATCACGTCTCATTATCCTATTGGCTATATCATGAGCATCCAAGCGTACTTTTGATGACAAGTCATTAATGTAATGGTTTTCAGTCGGGTTCAGCGACGATGTCAAACTATTGTAGTCTTTAAGTAGCATCAATCGCTCAACAATTGTTTTCCAGCTAATTGTCAGTAGTTCATCATCACCAACATTTAATAAATATCGATAAAAATTCTGAACTTCTTTCAACTTGTAAGTGAAATCAAAATACAATTGAATTGATCGAAGTATAATATATAGTGTAAATCCAAACACTAGAAATTTAACCAAGAAGGGGACTCGGCTCGCAAAATCTTCTGTAATCAAATCAGCCAAGACATAGTGAATACCATTGCGATACTGTTCGTAAAATAATGAGTAGTCAATACCCCATTTCAAAAATATTGTGAACCCAATGATAAAGACAAGTATAATTAAATCAACAATTCTGGAAAGTACTATATTTAGTAGTCCCTTACCGCGATAGTAATAGTAGACATCATTTAAAAACTCATCCATATTGGTGATATTGGCCCATAAGTACAACGCCCGTTCTTTTGGAGGAATAACCAATCGATTGGCTCTTGTTCTTGTTGGCTTGTAATTTGTGTTTACATACTGTTGTTGAGGTGGTTTTCGATACAGCTTGGTCATGTTGTGCAATGGTAGGGTGTGTTGTGAATCGACGATTATGGGCCCTGTTGAAGGCTGAGGGTTTGGTGCTAATTGTGTAAGGGGTGCTTTTGGAGGTGCAGTTTGACTTTGATTGAGGTGCATTTCGACACCTTTGTTCTGTGGTTGCTGCTGTTGCTGCTTCTTATCCAACTTTGCTCTGTTTGGTCTTGGCCTCACATATGAGTCCGAACTCGACGACAAGTCCGAATCTGATTCAGAGTCAAGTAAGCTGTTGGAGTTTGTCACTATGTTTTGCATATTTTGTAGGTTATCCATTGGTATAGCACTGGGTAGTAGCAGTTCATCAAGATCCTCTTGATTTGAGGGAGCTAGACCAGCCCCAATCGCACTGCCTCCCACGCTGTCACTACCTCTGTTGTTGCCAATTACATCCTCACTAAGCAACGCTCTTCGTTGTTGTTGTTGTTGTTGTTGTTGTTGAAATGTACTGTCATACTCAGGATCATAGTATTGATAGTTATCTTGCAACTGATTGTATATCGAATTTAATCCAAATATTCGCGAGAGAAAGGTGTCCTCATTTTGAACATGTAGCCGGTCTTGGTCATCATTATTGTTGATGCCCGGTGTTAGTGCGGCCGATTCGTTGTCCTTGCCACTCTCTTGGCTATATATACTGTTGAATGCATTGTTGTATGGGTTAGATGACATACTGCCCAGAGCATTAGATGAATAATGATGCTCGGATGTGCTTGAAATGGGGGAGGCAACTAAAAGTGTGGAAATCTCTGGTTTAAGATAGAGAATGATTGTAGTAGCGCGCGAAGGTTGCCTTTTTATTTTTTTCTGTTGACACGCTGATAAAGAAAACCAGGTTTTGTGTGACGCAAGCTGATTGATACAACATATATATTGCGACATCAGCAGTGCATTATCAAGTCTTTCACCATCGCCAATTGAATTGGTTGAAAGACTCTTGTAGGTAATTAGGTAGGACTAAGAGCAACGCCTCCAATGTAAATACCATGGTTAACAACCTGGATGTTTAGCAAATCTGAGTTATCTAACCAGAGAGTGCAACAAACTTTTCCTTTTCCAAAGTTGTCACATAAAATGCGCTTTCAGCATACATTTGTCTAACAAAAGTTACTCAGAATTACTCATACTAGCGTTTAAACTACTTTTTAATCCAACATTCTGAAGATGTTTTAAATGTGCTACTTGAAAAACGATTCAACCAAAAAATACATTTTTTCAAGAACTTACGTTTTCCCAAATAGGAAACCACTACTTCAGAATATTGTGAGATAATTAGTCTAATTGAGACTACACATGGCTAACAAAGGTTACTCAAAATATGAGACACTTTTGGAAAATAGTCTGTTCTTAAATGAATTGATTACTTCCGAAGAGTGCTAAACAGCTGTTCGAAAACTGGGTTTTTTGATTGAAATTTATCTTTTACCCAATAGGGGTATTTCTAGAAAAATGAAGATTTGAAAATTAGTAAATGCCAGAAATCGTCCCATAGAATGAATACTACCGTACGCTCACATCCACAAGGAAGATATGGTTTCGAACTTTCTACTACTTCTATAGATCAATTGATTTGCAACTCCTTGCTTTACCATTATACAAATCATATATACATGACTCCTTCGTGGTATTGTCGTTGGTGTTAGACTTGTAAAAAGAGGTGTGTACCTGTAGACTTGTCTGCAGTGAAGATAGCCGGGGTGAAGGCAGTAGTACCTCATTCTCCATTTAACCATACGATAGTAGATCTACTTACTCCGAGTAGTAACATTTTATTAGAACAAATAGTCAATCGTAAATGCTTGTATGATTCTAATTGTGGGGAAAGGTGGGGTGTGATGAGAGGCTAAAAACTACATTCGTACTTTAAACTTTGCTCTTGTTTTTAGAAAAGAATAAAACTGAGAATGATTGAAAAGGGAGGGGGTAAGAACTGGATTTGTTGCTCTTGCCGTGGGAGAGTTGAAACTTCAACAGGCTAGGCCATTAGCTTGATATTGATGACCTTTATCTGTATGACACTTTTCTCTCACAGGCGAAAGGGATGACAAGGCAATGCATCCAAGATTTCGTACATACAGTGCCAACTAATAAAAGTTGAAGTTGATCATGCACTGGAAAACCAAAGGAGAATTTTTGAGAGAGAAAATGCTGCTAGTTGTTGCTGTGTACATCCTTTGTATATTTCTTCCCCTCTCTCCTAACAAACGTACAAAGACCAGAGAAGGAGTTCCGTGCACGAGAGGCTATTCTTTCTCCGCCAACGCTAGTATGTATCTCGACTTCTATAAATGCAATATTTAACAAAAGGAGATGGGGAGCAAAATTCAGTCTGTGAAGGACGAAACTGTGTTAGAGTTGGGTTTTACTTTGACTACCGTTACCACCACCACCACAACGATAATCATTGTAAAACACACACAGTCTTTGCCTTAATTTCATTTTACGTTTTCTTGTTTCTTTAATCATTGGCATAATATGATATTAGGTTTTCCTTTTCTTCCCAGAGATTAGAATTTGGAAGTCTCTTGAAGTTTAGGGCGTATTATTATTGAAGTCGGACTTTTAATAAAAGAAGGAGAAAATGAAATAATTCACAATTCCGTTTCTGTTTTTTCTTGTCCTCTCATACTTAATATTCGTATTATGTTACTATTATTAAATGATGGCTGAAGAAAGAAAAGCCCGTGATTCTGAAGGCTTACATTACTTCTACTCTAATCTCTACTTTGTTTTCCGTCTATTTGTTATGTCCTTCACCCGCCCCACTTTCTCTCTGTCTATCTTTCTTTTTTATTCTTTGTTTTTATATTATTGTAAAGTGCTGTAATGTTTCGATTTGTTTCAAAATTAACAACTTCTCCCCCCCCCCCAATAATGTACTCTTCTTACAACGAAAACTATAAATAGATGTATGGTATAATCAGAAGCCCAATAAATGATTCACGGAAACTCAAATTGTCGCTGTTCGTCTTCTTCTTTGTCTTCTTTTTTTTAAAGTTTTAGTATGCACTCAATTTTTTGAAATATCATATGGTAGCATCTCATAGTTCCTTTCAGCCATGCGAAGTTTTTTCTTACCTTCCCCACTTTATGGATTTTAAAAAGTTAATTGGAAGATTATACACTACCCCCTCTAAATTTGTGTTACTAATACTAATATTATATGTTACCTTGGCTCTCAAAGTATTGTCATACAATAATTCGAAGAAGAATTTATATAATCTATACAACTCCCCTCCACAATTCTTTGTTTTTTTTTTATAAGTGTACCATAGTTTATAATAACATCATCGTCATTTGACAACAGAAATACTGCTCAAATATCTATTCATCTGACACACTCTACACTACAACAGCAAATTACTACTTTACTACAGAATCACTCAATGTCCACTACTAGGTCTGCCCCAACCTCACCACTCATTTCAAACCTAATATCTGATTCCAATAGCACTTCTACTCAACAACAGCAGCAGCAAAAAAATACACGTTCTAGTAGTGACAAGATGTATTTACACCCACCACCCTCAACTTCAAGCAACAATGATGATTACACATCAAACACTACAGACTCTATTCATCACAACGGTAACAACTACACATCATCACCTATAAATACCACGACATCCACCAATTCAACCAGCAGCTCATTAGAGTCACGTTCTTACTCCACTTCCTCGGAGGAAGAAGAAGGTTCACTACTACCAAACACCACTGGCAATGATGACAATACATCATCATCTCACCTGACAGATTCCAATAAACTCAAAAAGCTAAAGGTTGATACCAAAAACTTTGGATCAAAAACAGCTTCAGGACATTCTCGTATTTTCAATTGTAAATTGTGCCAACGAGCTTTCACCAGAGAAGAACATTTGACAAGACATGTACAATCAACCCATAATAAATTAAAGCCATTTGTATGTGGCATATGCACCAGACCATTTTCCAGACGAGACTTGCTACTTCGACATGCTAAAAACTTGCATGACGGTAGTGAAAAGGCCATAAGTAGAATACGAAGATCATACAAGAATAAAAGATCAGATGAAAATAGTGACACGCAAGTTGGGGATCGTGGAGGTGATCTTGCAAAAGAATCTGATATTCTTGGAGAAACAAGAAGAGTAAGCCGTGGTGAGGTTGCTTCTGCTGTAGCTGAAGCTAGGGGTGGTTCAATAAGCGAGGAAACTGAAGTGTCGGATGAAGTATCAGGAGAGGAAGAAGAAGAAGGGATGTACTCCAATAGAAGAATATTCACATCTCGACTGAGCAATAATCATCATCATCATAATCATCATCGCACTGGTTCTGATAACACTACAGAATTAGTTTCACCAATTGATGAAACTCCAGAGACTAAACGCTTAAAAATGTCAGTTAATATGTTAGTTAGTTAGTTAATTAAACTGAAGTTATTTATGTATATATAGTAACAATAATGTATACCTTACACATCCAACTAGAAGGGGGATTTGTCCTTACAGGTGTTTTGTATATGGAAAATGGTGATGTTCAGACTCTTATTGGTGACTTTTGTTTTAACCCCCGGCTGTTTGCTATTGTTCTCTAAATACGTACACACAAAGTCGTTTGCGCAACTGAAATTTGAAAATTTCTTTTCTTTTTTATTTTCAGTCTCTTCCCCACGGGGTTTTTCTGTTAAAACAGCGTTGGTTATATGCAGGTAAAGAGGGGGCAGAAGCGAGAGAAGGAAAGTACTGTGCAGAGCACGCTACCAAATACATTAACAAATCTATATGGACAATATAATACACCTTCGGGCCGAAATTTGCTTTGAAAAAACTACCGAACTCATTTGAGGTGGTAGTTATGAAACAGTAAGACTAGGAAGTGACCGTTTCGTTTTTTGTTTGAAATGAAACATTTCATTTTCAGTCGCTCCATTCCATGGCGTTACACATTTGTTTTATCGTCTAATTTTTAACTACTATAAAGTTCCAGCCCACCGTTCTTTATAAAATTTTACTTCCCCACCTTCAACTTAACCAACAAGTAATCAAAATTATTATGGATTGATAGTCTTCTCTTTAAATCTTAGTTATCTTTGCTAGGAGTAAATTATGTAGTCCACCAACACGCCCTTTCATACTGCTTTTACGTCTGAATCGTGCTGCAACATATACTGTTTACGAACCTTCCAGGAATGCCGATCACTAAATAGAAAAGTGGGGTCAAATAGCTGCACCTATTCCAAAAATTAAACAACTGCACAGACGCGATATCCTTATATCGTTTTGAGTCGCTTCTGATATTGATAAGATGGCATTGTCTTGCATTGCAGGTTTGTATTAAAAAAAAATGGAAATCACTCAATGGCCTGATTTGCGAATTGAGTTTGTATTTCTCCCCGGAACTCCTTTAAATATGCACGATATTGCACAGATAAGAGAGATTGGAGTGACATCGGAGCAGTCGGAGTTATAATAAGTTATTTTATAACCCCGGAGAAATCGAAAATAAAATGCAGGAAGGAGGACAAAATGTGCCTAATATCCGCAGATATATACTGTTGTAACAACAGTGCAGAGCTTCGCCAACCACTCTCTATTCATCTCGGCTGCCTCCCTGTCTCTTATCTAAGCCGTTTGGTGTACGAAAGATTTGTTATCAGTGAAAGTCCGTTGGTAGCAACATCTCTAAAAATGAAAGAAAAAAAATCTGTCCTTGTATTATGAAGGACAGCCAAAGTTTCAACTTGTCAGTAAATGAAACCGCTATTTATCTATCCCATTCCACAATCATCTGCATGGTATATAATTATAACTGATACTCTGCACCATTTTTACTTCAATGCAAAAGATGGCCACTCTTACTGGCAATTGAGTGATCTAGCTGAAAACTATAATGATATTAATACAAAACAATTACTATCACTGGTCAATTATGATCAATTAGGGTTGTTATTTGCCAAAGCAAGAGGCCTAAGGGTTGAAACGAGCAGGAGTGGAAAGTGTGATAGAGGTAATGGAGGAGATGACACAATACGGCAAGGCCAAAAGGATGTGTCTGATGAGGTGGAAATTGTTTATCAAAATGAATATACTCAAGATGACGCCAATGAGATTGCAGGGGAACCAGCTGTTAATATTCAAGATTCAGATCTGAGTGCTCTACCGTCCAAGGGCATTGTCTTTGGTTACTCATCAAGTGAGGATGATGATGACGACGAAGAAAATGATGAATTGAGTCAGGAGAATCAGCAGAAAGCCTTACCAAAAAAGAAAGATGAAGTTGATAACATAGTCTCCCAAGTACTCCATCAGAATGAAGATGAGCAAGAGCAATCTGATAATGAAAGTCAAATATCGCTTGATCTATCAGTTGACGAAGAAGAAGAACTTAAAAATAATAACACAACGGTACACGAATTTCGACAAATGTTGAATAATTTTGCATCATCGTTTTCGTCATTTGATAGTTGGGATATAATTGAGGACCAGCTAGTTGGTGAGTTTATCAAGTATCCCGTGTATCATTCCATTGGATCGAGGGAGGAGAAACGGGAAATTTTCCAAAACTGGCTAGATAGCAGAGATGATGACAATGAAGAGAGTAACACATCTGCTAGCCACGACGTTGACGCGATATTCCCCACGGAAAAGATGTTATTTCTTTCCTTACTTCAACAGCATAAAGATCAAGTAAAGACATCATTCTACCAGGAGTTTTACACAGCCAACTATAAAGAAATGAACAATATTGATTTACCAAAGTTGACAAAGGAAGATACGTATCGTAATTACAAGAAATTTATCCTTGATTTTGCCAAATTTGAAAAGGATTTCAAAAAGACAACAGAATATACTAAAGGAGTCAATGTTAAGGTGATGAAATTACAAGAATATCTTTCATCGCGGTCAGATTTCCCTAGTGGAGTATACACTATAGATTCTAATTTGTCGTTTTTTAAAAATTGGGTCCAGTTACTAAACCAATATTTCGATGATGTAACAATTGCAGAATCGGAAATTAATTTTCTTCTCGGTGATGAAAAAAGATTACATAGTTATATAACTAAACTAAACGAAATCAGACAATAATTTTCAGTACAGACACATCAACCGTCCTTCTTACCTTTGCTAAATTCACACATGACTAGAGTAGTGGTTACGGGAGTAGGTTTGATATCACCGTTGGGAGTAGGTTTAAAACATAATTGGTCGCGACTTATTGCTAGTGAATCAGGCTTAATTTCCACAACAAAACTACCCAATTATTCCCAAGATGGATGGGACAAGATCCCATCTAAAGTAGTAGGCGTAGTACCCGAAGGGCCTATATCCGAAGGTAAATGGGATCCATCCGAACATATCACCCTGGGAGAGATTAAACGATTGGCAAAATTTAGTCAGTATGGGATAGCATGTGCTCAAGAAGCAATTAAAGATTCGCAATTGGAAGTGACAGCATTAAAAAGCTCGACATCTATTGGTGTTGCTGTTGGGAGTGGCATTGGCTCTTTCCAGGATGTGTATGACAACACCACTGCTTTCAACCTAGGTGGGTATCGAAAGGTGCAACCGTTGTTTATACCTAAACTACTAAACAATATGGCGGCAGGAAACATATCGATAAAATACGGGTTTAAGGGCCCATTGCATTCAGTATCAACTGCATGCGCTACTGGTTTACAAGCAATTGGCGATGCCTATAACTTTATCAAGTTGAACTATGCCGATGTCATGATTTGTGGTGGCACTGAATCATCAATCCACCCATTGGCATTATCAGGGTTTGCTAGAGCACGATCGTTAGTCACGGACTTCAATGATGAGCCAAGTAAAGCAAGTCGGCCGTTTGATAAAGATCGAAATGGATTTGTGCTAAGCGAAGGATGTGGTATTGTTGTATTGGAAAGTTTGGACCATGCATTAAAGCGTGGTGTTACACAGGATCAGATTTACGGTGAGATCTTGGGGTACGGTTTATCGGGGGATGCATATCACATTACAGCTCCACAAGAAGATGGCGAAGGGGCATATAATGCCATGAGCCAAGCTTTAACTCGTGCTGACATCAACCCGGCTAAAGTAAACTATATAAATGCCCATGCTACATCAACTACAATTGGCGATCGCGCAGAGAACAACGCTTTGTTTCGCTTATTCCCTCAACTGACGCTAGTTTCATCGACGAAGGGAGCCATAGGTCATTTGTTGGGAGCTGCTGGTGCAGTTGAATCAATCTTTACATTACAGGCAATGAAAACAGGTCAGATTCCACCCACGTTGAACTTGGATAATCCTGGTGGTAAACAAGGAGATGAAGAGGAGAAGTTTGGAAAGTTTGATTATGTTGCCAACAAAGCGAAATTGGGCGTTACTGTTGACTACGCCATGTGCAATTCATTTGGATTTGGTGGAGTTAATAGTAGTTTATTACTTGGGAAATATCACGACAGAAAGTGAGAAAGTGGAGTCTGTAGAGGCTAGTGAGCCATAATTATATATAGCAATTGTGTATCTGTGTGTGTATCTGTGGATCTTTCGGCTGGGGTTTTGGCCCCACCCGAGAGACCGTTCGGAGAAGAAATTAATATTCTATTGATCTTATCACGTGCAAGAAATTTGTATGAGTACAATCCACAATTGTATGATTACGTAATCGCTCGTAATGAATGTTTTTTTTCTGGTTTCGGTGGGTGCAAAACCATAGCAGCCACAGTTTTCAATTTCGTCAATTTGTTCACTTATTGTTTGAGTAATGTGTCTGTTTTTCACTTACGCAAAAGCTGGAACTTGTATCGGTTCTCGGGTTAACGTGCTGTGGCTTATCTTCATTTCTTTTTTGCTCCATTTCGCTTTACACCACGATCCGGCCCTTAATTCGTATCCACTACTAATTGTTCATTAGGCATCGGTTAGGGAAGGAATTATTTTGTTGGTCTTTAGTTAATCTTGAACACATGTGGTTAATTTAAAATTCACTATCGATCTACATTTTTTTTTTGCATATATCAAAGTGCTTTGCTCCAAGCCCAATATATAATATAGTGATTTATCCTTCCTAATTTTGTCATCCACCAAATTTTATTGTCTCAGCTTAACTAAATATGTCGTCGACTAAGGTTCAACAAGTTTCACGCAAGAGATTGGGATCTCCAATTTACGAGGCCGCTAATCTGCCAACCTCCAAAAGATCAAGAAAGATCATAGTCATAAGCAAGGAAGAAGAGGATCCGGTCAGTACTGAGAAAGAACAATTAGAAACATCAAAGCCCGAGTCTGAACGACCAACAGAGGAAACGCGGACCATTTCCCAAATTACATTTAATCAACGTCATCAATCAATTTTATCGATTGTTCATTTTAAAGAACCATTGCAATTACAACTGGAATACCCAATACCTGAAGTAAGCCCCCATGAAGTATTGGTTCAAAACAAGGCCATTGGACTAAACCCCATTGATTGGAAGGGCAAAAAGTACGGTTTTGGAATATATCACTTCCCTTGGATTAATGGTCGTGAATCCAGTGGAGATATCGTTAAAGTTGGTTCCAAAGTCGCCCACTCTGAGATTAATAATTTGTCAATTGGAGATAAAGTAATTGTTAGCTCAACAAGCTACAGAGATAACCGTACATCCACATTTCAACAATTCACGGCGATTGATTCGCGTTTGGTGTGGAAATTGCCTCCACAGTACAGTTATGAAGACGGAGCCACGATTGGTGTTGGTTTGGTCACAGCTGGAATCTTGTTATACAATTCTTTTGGATTTGAATTGACTTCAACTCCAAAGCAACGTACAGGTACGTTGTTGGTTTGGGGAGGTTCAACAATTGTTGGAATTTACAGTGCCCAAATGGCTAAATTGCATGGCTTGACGGTGATTGCAATTGCTGGGAACAAGCATGCTTCCTATTTAACGCTGTTGGGAGTTGACCATGTCATTGATCGGTTTGGCACTGATGAAGAGATCTTGGCCAAAATTGATGAATTGGCACCACATGGGGTTGATTTTGGTATTGATTGTGTGTCAAAAGAGACTGCAATTAAAGTATTGAATATACTTGATACAAACAGTGACAAACTTGAACCAAGAACAGGACTAGGTTCAGAGAAGGACGGCGAGAAAAAACCTACCAAGGGTAAACCTTTGTTTGCTGGTGTTGTTGGTGTACCTAGAGACGATCAAGTTCCTAAACTGGTGACGTTGAAACCAGTAGTGATCAAGAGATTTCATGAAGATATTGAATTTGGAGCAAAATTTATTGCCATTACAACATCGTTCCTTGAAAAGTCACAAATCAAGCCTGCTAGGTATAAACAATACGATGGTGGACTTGAAATTATTGAAGGGGCATTAAATGATTTAGAAAAGATTGGTGCAAATGGAGAGAAATACGTTGTCAGTATAAAGGATTGAGTTTAGAGATGCCTTATATAGAGTGAAGTTGATCATTACTTATTTATTAGAAAGATTTTACTTCTCAATTCTAACTTGCTCCTCTAACTTGCTCCTCTTCATCTTCTCCGTCATCACCAATTTCGAATTGGTCATCCACATCTTTACCCAATTCATCCAACTCCAACCCTAACTCCATATCTGCAGCATTGCCATCACCACTGCGGACACCACCACCTGTAGGCACACTGCTATACTTTGCTTCATTATACCCAGGAGTCATCTTGATTAACTTCTTCACCCCACTAGACACTTTTGTCACAAATAATGCTCGTTTCCGAACTCCCAACATTAACCACACCACAAAACTTAATAACACGGCAAATATTATAAAGCCATGCCAACGATGGGGTTCAATAATCCATGGCGACTCATGGTCGGTTTCTTCATTAGTCTCATAATCGTAATAATGTAATGCACTTGCATCCATTTTGATGTATTTTGGTCTTGACATTATACCATTTTGCTCAGCGCCAAATTGATAAATATTAGGCGATGAACTATGGAAAAACCCTGGTCGTTTAAGCTGAGCTGTGGACTCCGATTTTGCGTCATTTTCAATCCGTTTTGTATAGTTATTGTAAGCTTGAATGTACTCATCGTTGGCGTAAAGCACAGCTCGTCCCAACGCCCACGAAAATGAGGAGCCACCCAACTGTTCAACCAATTGCAAGGTTTCAAACCCTTTATTGCTGCTGGCGACATTATCAATGCCAAACCTGGGAAACCCAAGACCCAAATGAAGGAAATTTAAAATCCATGAAGATTTGAAGCACAATGTTGACAATTCCTCTTCACTTAGTTGATCCTTAGCCTCCTTTTGTGAATTCAATTCCAATATACTTGACCATGGTTGAGAACAAACCTTTTGCGTCTTGTTGAAAATCTTTTTATAATCATAGGTATTCTTTTGATCCTTCAGCTTGTCCCACTTTTGGTTTCCTTTGTCGTCCTGTTGTTGCGATAACAAGTCCTCAATTGCATCCCAATACCCACTTACACCGATGAAATGATTGACATCGAAATCAAACGATGGTATAAGCTCATTCAATAAGCACGTGCTGACTTCATCACCTTCGTTGAATTGTTTACAATTAGCTTTTGATCCTCCACCTCCATGAGTAGAATTTTGTAAAACGGGGAAAATCTGTGTCAAACATTTCTCAAAATCAGATTCCCCAATAAAGTCATAAGAACGATCGTTGACATAATCAGATGTTGTGAATCCCTTTGGTATACATGGATCATTTATTGGCGATTTGGTCCATCCCCAATAATGGTAATTGTCGCCCTTGTCATCAGAAGCAATAAGTGACTTCATATATTTGCTTCTAGCTTGGTACATTCCAAATCCCAAAAACGAATCAGAATAAATATTATATTCAACTTGTTGGGGTACTTTGTAATCCTCGCTGCTGCTATCAATTGTAGGGACTTGACGCAAATCAAGATGATACAAGTTATTCTGATGTTCATCGATTTCAGTAGTATTAGGTTGGAAAACAACCTGGGTTGATGCTCCTCCCATATCCAATAATCCATACGTAGTATGGTTTTTTCCATGCTGGTGTGAAGACGGATCATCAAATGCCCCAATTAACGAGTTTATCGATAGCCATCCATATAACCCCTCGTAATCTCCGTCAATAACATTAACATGAGATGCACAATCAGGAATGAAAAAATCTGATTTATTTTCAAAATATAAACAAATTTCATTCAATATTTGTTGTTGTTCAGTGGGCAGTAGCAACCTCATTCCAGCAGTGGCATGCAAAAAGATTGGTGTACGATAATGTTGGGCTTTGGGGACAATTTTGCTGGCTCGCGATAACAATTTTGATAAATGATGTTTACCTATTTTATGAGGTGCCTTGTTGAATGATGATATTCCAGGGGTGATTTTCTTATGCCATCTTGTCTTGGTATTGACTCTGGGATACAGTAGTTTGCCTTCTTTGGAATCCTCGTCTTCGGTATCACTGTCATCCTCTGACTCTGATTCCTCTCCTTCGTCAACTTTGTCTCTCCTTTTTATCAATTGTTTCGAGTGACTAAAATCAAGCTTCTTCTCTAATGCCATACCCGGATTAAGCCAGTTGTACACATGGACTCTAGACCCTTTTGATCCTGCATCAATAATAACAATATAGTCGTATGGTATTCCATTCTTTGAATATTCAGGACCAGCTTTCAATGGTTTCTTTTTCGACTTTTTTGGCGCTTGTTTATTTTTTCGTTTCGTTAGCAGATTAATATGGGTATCCATTGTTTACCCGTGGAAAATGTTGTTGTTGTTGTTGCTTGAGAAACACGCAAAGCTTCAGGGATCAAGCAGTAACGAACCTCAGTGATTGATTTGATATGAATTCGAAAATTACGATTCTATTGTAGGAGAGAAGAAAAAAAATCAAATTCTTCTGCATTTTGTGTTTGCGTATTGAAAAAGAATAATAACAATAATAGATCTATAAATAGAGAGATGTTTAGTAGTTTGTTTGACTTGTTGATGAACACAGTATTGTCACAGGATAAGTAAGGAAATTACCTACATACACGGCTAACAGTTTTTTACCAGGAAGAAGACATTTGCAAACTTGAACACAGGTGTATATTATATACAAGTTTTTGGTGTTTCCTTCCTTTGTGTAATACTGAATAAGGGTAGTGCAAGTTGTCTAGACATAAATAATTGGCAAGAGGCTTAACATCAAAAACTGAAATTGCAATTTCTTCTGCTTGCTTTGATCTCAAGGTAACAACACTACATATACGACACAATGTTTCCAGGACTGGGTAAGCACACGTATGGTGGACAGCAACAGGGGTATGGTGCTCCACAGCAAGGTTATTATGCACCACCACAGGGACCTCCTCCAGGACAATATAACAATTATGGGCCACCATCAGGTCCACCTCCTGGCCAACAACAGAATAACAACTATGGGCCACCATCAGGTCCACCTCCTAACCAACAGCAATACGGAAGATATAGCCAACAACAACAACAGCAAAGCTACGGCTCTCGTGCACAGCAGCCTGGTATGAATGGAGAGCCTGATTATGGGCACCAATATGGTTCAGGAAACTACTCCAGACCACCTAGTAATCAACAATCATTTGGTGTGGAGAATTACAACTATCAGTACTCCATGTGTAACGGTCGCAAAAAAGCATTACTCGTCGGGATTAACTACATAGGCACTCAAAACCAATTACGCGGTTGCATCAATGACGTCAACAATGTTGAGAGGTTTTTATTAAGCCATGGGTTTAGTGAGGATAACATTGTCAAGCTTACTGATGACCAGCGCACACAACGTGCTATCCCCACCAGACAAAATATTTTAGACGCTGTCCAATGGTTAGTTAAAGACGCCAAACCCAATGACTCACTTTTCTTCCATTATTCTGGTCATGGTGGGCAAACCGAAGATCAACCGGATCAGTATGGAAACTACGATGAGGATGATGGTTATGATGAAGTGATTTACCCATTGGATTTCCAAACTAATGGATTTATTATTGATGATCTTTTGCATGACATGATGATAAAGACATTACCACCTGGATGCAGGTTGACGGCATTGTTTGACTCCTGTCATTCTGGTTCAGTCTTGGATTTGCCATACATGTACTCAACAAAGGGTGTGTTGAAAGAGCCCAATGTGATGGCAGAGGCAGGTCAAGGGTTATTACAAGCTGGTATGTCGTATATTTCTGGGAATAGGGTTGATATGGTTAAAGGTTTGGGTTCGGCTGTCAAGAGCTTTATGAACAAAGGAAGAGCTTCCAAAGCAAACGAATACAGTAAGCAAACCAAAACAGCACCTTGTGACGCTATCTCTTTCAGTGGATGTAAAGACAACCAAACCAGTGCTGATGCACAAGAAGGTGGTCAATCTACTGGTGCAATGAGTTATGCATTCCTTACGGTGATGAACCAAAACCCGAGCCAGTCGTATTTGACTTTGTTGCAAAATATGAGACAGATTTTGCAATCAAAATATAGTCAAAAGCCGCAATTGACGGCATCTCACCCTATCGACTGCAATTTGCAATTTATCTTTTGAATTTTAGACATATTATACTTTGTAGAGAAGTTGACTAAAGTGATATTGAGATGAACTGTCCTTAGTTTGTATATCTATGTAGGCTTTTAGCAAAGTTTGCAAACGAACAAAATTTCAAACCGTCTTGTAGTTTAAATTTCTATATAATTACACACTTATCTTCCTTCTTCACCACAGGTGGATTCTGTATCCTTTCAATCCTGTCGATTAATCCTTCGAATGCTTCACTTATATGGTAATTTTCCTTTACTGACGTTTCTAAGAAGCGACAATTGAATTTACGAGCAAGCTCGGCCCCTTCATGCTCTTCAACCTGCCTTTGGTATGTTAGATCTCGTTTGTTTCCAATTAGTATCATGGGTATATTTTCATTCCCAATTGAATTTAGTATCTTGTCTCTTATAAATTCAACCAATTCAAATGATTGCCTTGAAGTTACTGAGTAGACAAGCAAGTATCCATGTATCCCCACAAGATGTTTCTCATTCATCATACTGTATTCATCCTGACCTGCTGTATCCAAAACTTCGATGGCATACTCTTGATTCTTGTATGTGATGTTTTTACTAAATTGGTTTTCAATGGTTGGGTAATAACTCTCAACAAAATGATCCTCCACGTAACGTACTGTCATTGACGATTTGCCTACTGCACGGGATCCAACAACTGCTATTTTACGGGTCTTGATAGACATATCGGGGTCAGTCTGGGTGTTTGCGTGTCTGTCGATATGTGTATGTGGAACAAGATAATGAGTGTGAAATTAGTCACTGTAAAATGTGAAACGAACGTACTTGACGATTCTAGTGAAGATCCTTAATAGATGGGTTAAGTATAATCACTGTGTATAGCTATATAGACCAGTATGATTGCTGAAATTGATGTGAAATTTCCCCTAATCAAAGAATTGCTTTTGTCTGGCGTTATATTTTTATTTCTTTTTTTTTTGTTTTCTTTCTTCTCTCCTTCAATGTGTCTTATCAGAAGATTGGTGAATGCTGGCAGACAAGAGCTTTTATTTTGGGTTTGCGATATGCCTTTTTAGAAAAATCACGTATTAATGACTATTTGAACAAAAGAAATCTTCTTATCGTTGGGGTTTGACAATTTTTTTATGGGGAAAATGAAAATTGATGAGAAAATAATACTAAACAACAAAAGTAAAGCAGAGAAAAAAAAATCAAAAAAAGGATTTTTACATTTTGATAGAGAAGCGTATTTGAAAAAGGACATAGGATCTTGACCATTCGGTAATGCGCCGATGATTACTTTGAATAGCAGTCTGATAAGAAAATAAAATCACAATTGCTATGAAAAAAAAATAAATGGAAAAAACAACAACATACAATGAAAGATTGCAACAATCGTAAGTTGACAGGTTCACTTGTTGCAACCCATTTGCAAAATATGTTGTTGTAGTAAATTCTGTCTGTTAAAGTCTTACGACACCTCTTCCATCATCCCCATTTAAAACTTTTGAAAATTGTCTCTGTCAGTAGAATTGTGTAGGCCAAAAAAAAAAAAGAAATTAAAACACGGCAAAACGTACATTAATTTCAGTTGTCGGCGTCTAAGCCTAAATTAATGGTTGGTTGTATTGATAATGTCGTTTGCTTGCATGGTAAAGGCTTTAGTTCGCTAGCGATACTGCTGTTCAACTACAGTGCTACTACTACTGCCAATTTCTTAGTTTGTGTACGTAGTAAGAGGCGAAGTTTTGCAACAAAGAGATGGTTCTTGTTGCATGTCGCTTATTCTTTTTGACATCGACACTACTTCGGAGAATAAATTCCGGCTATATTTAGCGTTTCTTGCAACACGGTATTTTACAGGTTGAGGAGTATGGGAAGAGTTACTTGAGCATTTCGTAGGTGGTAAAAGCAATAAACTAGGAACTGTCAGAAGCCACATACGGGGAGATAAAATTGGTGTAGTTCACCAGAGAACGAAACTATTCCGAGAAGTATTCCTTTAGCCTGCAATCTTACTGAGTGTTTACTTGAAACCACTCCAAGCTTATTTTCAACTTCCTTCGTGTGAAATGCTTCTAAAACCCATCTAGGTCTTCTAGCTGCGTGCTGGAGTAACACCATCTATTGAATTATGGAAAGATAAACTGATTCTCGCTTGTAATTGTCCTGTCTAGCTACACTTTTAGTCACTACCTAACAACATGAAATGGTGAAACTATAAGCTTTAATCCGGTGAGTTTTGAGAAATGATCTGTTCTGTAAACTAAAACTATTGTATAAATTAAAATGCAAATAAACGAATTTATGCACTCAACTGCCATTACTTTTAAAAAAATGCCATATTCACGATCGACTGATCTTTATGCGATGCGAGTGACACTGTAACGGGACATCGATTAGTACATTGTGGGTAGCAGTTCAGCACATAGTGTAGAGGTCACCAGCAAACGCTTTTGCTACATGAACAGTAGTACGTGGGGGAATGTAAAACTTGTCCACACGGCAATGGTGAATTCAATATGCCTTGAAAGGTCTTTCCAGATTTTACAAAAAGTTGAGCTCAATCTGTCAGATTACTTTAGTTTTACAAACTTTCAATAGTGTGTGCTTATCGAGCTGACATCATCTGTGGAAAGGCAGGGTTAGGCTCAAATCGAGTTTCAGCTCCATGTGTTGTAATTGGGGTTACGAGCTTTTGCCTTTTTCCTTTTTTTTTCTATCGCTTTTGGAATCACGATTATGTGATACAATTCATGCGTCAAGTACTAAACAGAGTATCCACTCTGGTCAGTCCGCATCGAGGCTAACAACAAAATTCTTGTGCCAGTTGATTTGATAACAAGGAAACGAAAGTTCTTTTTAAAAAAAAAGCGCATGCAAAAGTGGGGGTTCCAGTACAGAAATTTTCATTAACATACAAAGATAGTGGAAAGAGCTGAACAGCTTCCCTTATAAATTGCTCTTGCTTGTCTTTGTCAGCAGCAGCCAATGTAACACATTAACACGCCTAGTATCACAATTATGACCGACCTTTCAACTGCTAAAGCCAAGGCGAACTCACCTAAAAGGTTGGTAGGCGCTACTTTGAACTTACAGAACCAAATGCACTTACATATACGGACTACACTTCTGTTTAAGCTAAGGCGTTGCTCTGAAAATAACCAAGTGGGTTTCTTTTCTCCAACCATAGCATAGAATGAGCCACATGCATACGATTCAACATAAGCGCCTGGGTTGTTGCCTGTTGGAAAGGCGACCCCACCCACTAATCACCGATTTCTTTTTGTAACCAGTTGCCGTTACCAGGTACAATTTTTATACAAATCAAAAGCAATTATAAGACACTTTTTTCTCCGCAACTCTCTCAACTGTATAATAGCTCCGATGACGGCTTGTAAGACAAAGTGGTGTGTATTTCCCACATAACGAAAAACTATTATTAGAATCCGGTTCCCCCACAAAAAATAAAATAAAATAAAAATGGAATTTCTGCATAGCATATGGAATTAGTCAGGGGACATATCGCGTAAACTTGAAAAAAAGAAGCAAACTTCAATTGTTGGGTATAGTGACTACTCACATGAACGGAAATGTGGTTATCATCAAAAGACATTCAACGGTTGGGGGACATGATGCCGTATGACACCACTCACATATCTAATAGCAACTGTTGTCGAAACTTGTAGCATGCCTATTCTCTAAATCAAAGTACACACAAAGCGAAAAAAATACAACATAATACTTCTTCACATAACTGATATCCACAAATTCAAAGTGATACTAAACATCATTTCTATTTAAAACAGATACAAAATTAACACCCTGTAAATGAAGCTGAAATATAGTTTTCGGCTGTGTAATTCTCTCAACCGATTTTGGAATCGAAAGAAGAGCATATCGGCGACAGATGACAAAGGCAACTCTTTAAGACATCAATTGAAAGAGCCTATGCAAATACGTGTCCTCCTCCCCACTATCTCTCAACACATAGTCAGATACGTGCAGTAAGATCTTGCTCGTCGTTGGAAATCGGTCCGGATATAAGGGCTACAATTACAATCCTGCTTTGCTTGTCTCCCCTAATGAGGGTAGAAATCAATCTCCCAATAAAAGACCCTCATAGACCACAAGCCAATACTAGCAATTGAGAATACCCAGAAAAGGGTTATTTTTTGTTGAGTAATTTTCCAAATATGGGAGGCGTTTTAATCACCCAGGGAAATTAGGATGTACAAAACAATAGCTATTGTTTTTTATTTCTTTTTTTTAGAATGCGTCTCCCCCAAACCCGAAGGGATTGAAGCAAACCCAGTGATTTGCAAAGGAAGACCCACACTACAACAAAAGTAATTTATATATGTCTAAATGTTTTGCCCAACAAACTAAACAAATCCATTTCTTTTGGCTGTAAAAATATTTCCACTCTTGCTGTTTCTAGAAACAAACGTTTGATGACAAACTCCGCGGATACTACCACCGTCCAATTTCTCTCTCCCTCGCATTAGATAATAATTGTGGTCCTTTGTCACTTGTAGGACACAAAACACAAATCATTGCCCTTATTGTCCTTTATTGTTCTCCAGAGCGCTTATTACTCTATTCATCTCAGAAGATGTTACTCCCTTTTGCATTTCCGTAGTCTTTATTGCTAAAATTATTGTATGAATAGTTTGTCATTACAAAAGAAGAAATGGTTTGTTAGTTGCAGGGTGGACAAGTTACAGAAATGTCACGTGTATTTACGAAATTAAGGCAACTTATGCGATTCGGAAACTTCCCTTGGTTTTTGTCATCGTTTTCCAAATTATAATAAAATCAGTCCTATTGTTCTTATGCAGTATCATTACTCAGAAATGTTGGTGACGTTGTTGTGTGTCTATGCAATTGTATTCTCTCAGCTATTGTTTAATTTTGACAATAGGTACACGTCCTTTCTTTTTACACACACATTTTCACGGAGTTCTGAACACAAAGCTGAAAACAATAATATGTATTAATTATTATGCGTTAAAAAATAAAAAATAAAAATAAAAAATAAATTAATTTTATTTTATGTGTTTCGTCATTTTGTAATTCGTTAAAGTTGAATTATAAACAAACAAGACAAAAATGTCAACATATGAATTACTTAATACAGCGATGCATGCGCTTTGAATGCAATCAAACTAACCATTTTAAACCAGGCTTTGCCTTGTTTGCTCTTACATTACTTTGTTGTGGTTAGGATTTGTGTATTTTTGGTTGTACCTGGTAACAGCATTGCTGTCCTATTTTCAAATTGGGCAAATAGGCAATATGGCAATTTGGACGGATAAACACACACACACATACACATACACACACACACACACACATACACACACACACACACACATACACACACACACACACACACACACACACATTTGATATCTGCTTGTCCATATTTTACTTGGTCATTGCGTAATACGTCAAAAGTATTACCAAATATCAGCAATGTTATGTTTAGGGTTTAATGCGTACTTATTTTTCCTTGTCCATGTTATGTATTTTACTTTCTGCAATATTGACAGCAGTAAAAAGGTTATATGCAACAGCAAAAAAAATAAAAATATAATGCCAACGCCAAAACTTTAATTTCGCCGTTTAATCTAATTTGCAAAAGTTAATGAGTGACAGGCTGAAAGTTACTGAAAAGAAAAGATGGTTGTCTTGTATTTAACTATTGAATAGCACATTCCATGTCTTCGCTTTGTTTGAAACAAGGCGTACAGCGTCCCATTTTGACAGCGATGCCGGCATCCTTCTCCTTCGTCCCATCGCATATACCAAGTAATGGCATCAGGTGTATGTCGTTCCTTCACCTTTCATCGGGTGCTTCACAACTGTGATTCTCAAGGTTGATGAGTATGTAGATTTGATACAGCACCAACTGGCAAGTCTAAACTTGTATCTCTGATCCTTTTCCTCGGTTGCAAATTCGACAAATTCTCATATCCCAAACAAACTTTCTTCAGGCGCTCACAATTGAAGCACGATGGCTTCCTCTCGTCACATTTTATCCTTCTTTTTCTGCAAGTTAGACAGCCCGTTCTTGTTCTTCGCTTGATAATCTTACGTTTGTTGACTAGTGCATTGTTCTCGTCGGCATAGGGCACGCCGTAGGCATACATAGGTGGCCCAATTAATGTTCCTGGAGGCTGTGATCGATGTGGATCGTACGATATTTGATCCTGAACGCAAGGCTGGGGCTGGAATGGCGGAACTTGAGAATGTACTGCTTGTGGAGGTATTGGATGAGCAAATGCTTGTACTTGTTGAAGTGGGGCAGTTGGTGGAAGTGGTATCTGCTGCGGTTGTTGAACAATGTAGTATCCAGGACCAGCAACCACGGCACCTTGGTGATGCGCTGGCTGCATGGGTTGTGTAGGTGGTTGCTGTGGAGGTGGTGGCGTAGTATGAGCCTGTATCAAAGTAGGTTGTTGAGGATGCTGTGCATAATGCTGCTCTTGAGTTTGTCCTACCTGTCCCGGCACACTATCCTGTGGCAGTGCAGTGTGATGATGATAATAATAATGCTGATACGTAGGAGTAGTTGTGCTTGTTGGTGCACTTCTGGACATTTGAAAACCGTGGCTTACATGCAACGGTGGTGCCGGTGGTACATTAATACGCTGCGGAACAACAGGAATATTGACATTGTCTGAGAAAACTCCTTGTGACTGAGGGTTATGTGTGGGGGAGACTGTAGTTGATTTAGACTGGATGTGAGGTAGCGACTGTTGTTGCTGTACTGATGGTGGTTGCTTCAGCAAATTCGCAGGAGACTTGGTGTACATTTGTAACGGTTGAAGAGCATCCGAACTTCCTATTGGTGAGCCAACCGGTGGCCGTACATTGTTTGACTTCTGGTGCTCTCCGCATTGTTGTTGGTTAGGGTGCTGATACTGATTCTGCTGCAGCTGCGGCTGCAGTTGCAGTTGCAGCTCAGGTTGAAATGTAAAAGGTTGATTGGACAAGTAATTTCCCGAACTAGAACGTTGAAGAGCTAGCACAACACCTGGGTTATTGCATGGTCCATGGATTGTAGACTCCGTCAGCCTTCGCGAAGATGGTGGCGATTCCAAACTATGCGTACTCCCGCTGATGTTATTGTTGTTGTTGCTGTTATTGTCATTGCGTGAAATTAAGGAATAAGAAATACTCGGTAGATGAACTGAAGAACGCGGTGATGTTTCGAGTGAATTTGCTTTGCTGCTTGTCGTTAAAATGGTGTTTGAAATTGACGGTAGTCTTTGTTGTCTTGCTTGATCGGTGGATTGTCTTCTATACCCATCGTTTGAAATGGCAGTCGATGAAATGGAGGTAGTCGAGTCCTTCCTGTGACTGTGGTCATGATATGAACTTGAATGGGGATAAGTCTGTATTGCTGTGCCAGTTGCTGATTCGACCCTAGTTGAACCTATTAATTCGGATACGGAAGGTAGTTGGGTCATCTGGTGGTGTTCATTAAGCTGAAATTTCTATACCGGGGAGACTTTTCCTTTAACAATTAAAGTACCAATGGATATAACGGCTCGTTGTGTGAAATAAACACGCTGGGGCGAACTATTTCGGTCTATTGATTCTGCACAGTCAACCTTAGTTCTCTGGGAAACTGGATCGACGGATGAAAAACTTAGATTGTGTATCTAGCTGTGTGTGTGTGGGGAAGGGGGGGTATGTAAATGTTGGTGTATGAGATCTGTAAATCTGGGGATCTGTGGTAGAAATATCGCAATTCGTTGTAACTTCTTAAAACAAAGGTATAATATAAAAATGGATTAAAAATAAAAAAAATATAAATCAAAGTTATACCAAAATTATAGGTGCTTGTTCAGAAAGGGACGTGAATGGAAGATATGGCACTCGGTGACGGATTAAATATTGGAAAACAAGGATTTGGACTTTCCTTTTCTTTTTTCTATTTTTGAGCGTCAGCTGTTTTGCAGGGAAATAGATCTAAATATATATATATATTTATATACCTGGGTACCTGTTTAACTTTGAATTTAACAAGTTGCACAGACAGGAACGAAAACAAAATGTTAATTTTTACAATTTGTACTCTATTTTATTTCTTTTTGGCTTAAAAGAAAAAGATTACAAAGAGGAAGTGATAGTGATTTATGCAAGTGCTCAATAGGCCACACAATGAAACCATCATCAGGAGTCACAGAAAATGCTTTACTATTTTTTAAACGCTGAAATAAGAAAAAAAAGAAAGAAAAGTAGAAAATGGTTATACCATAATTGCACGTTGTACTTATTGTCTCTTTAAATAAAATTTATGGAAATTTGCATAATTTTTAGTTTGAGTTACAAAAGATATGAAAAGAAGAACAGATTATGATGTTATTTACAAACAGTTACAAACTGTAAAATTGTAAAACTCGGAAAAAGAAAATTAAAAAATAAAAAAAAAAATAAAAATGAAATATTTTATTTTTTAAAGTTTTTAAACATTTTTAAATTTATTTATTTTATTTTTCATTTTTTGTCTTTAAATTCCGCTTTTCGCTCAGTTTTTTTTTTTTTTTCAATCATTCTCATTTCTAACTCCAAGGAGCATTACACAATAACCTTAAATAAGAAATAAAATAAAGCAATCAAACATCTTCTTCTCATCACCTGCCAACCAACACAAAATTAAAAGTCTAAAATTGCAAACACTTCAACAATTGTTTTTTCTTTTCTTGCGTTCTTTCTGGCGCTTAGTTTGAAGTATTTTCTTTGTCGCATCGCTACTTACAAACGCTTATTGTCGGTTTCATGTGGGAATAGCGATCTAGAACCAATGCAGAAATGCAACAAAAAGTTAACATCAATGCATGATGTAAATGGGCCAACAACTTAGACGCAAAAGATCAAATTTCTAAAAATAAATAGGGGGACCGAAAGCAAAGAAGTCGAAAAAGAAGCAAAGAAATCTGATTGTAAAAACAGCTGGCAGAACGCGGAGGTCAGTGCTTAGCTCTAGCACTGCTGCTCGGACGGTTAGTCTCACAATTCTGTCGTTACGAGTTTGATATGGAACTGTGGATTTCAACCATACGTCTAGACATTTCGCAAACAATATGTCGAAATTTATTTTTCTCTCTTTCTTACGCTGACACAAATCAGTATCTGCAATCGATAGGAAAACCATATAGTTTAGTTGCAGTTCCGAGTCGACCTGCAAAAGCGTTAAATATATGCAAGCGCGAACAAGCCCGAATAAGCCCGAATAAGCCCGAATAATACTGGAGCAAACAGTGCAGGGTTTAAACTTGGATCTACCTATTTTAAGCGAGCTTTGGGAAGGTCATGTGTCTTGCAATCCTAGCCATTGTCTGAAACCAAATTTAATTAGCCCCAAATTAAAACAAAAAGGACGGTATCCGTGGAGAGTATATTTTTGAAAGTCCCAGGTGAAACATACCCTCGGTGTTCTGGTGTAATAGTTGTGTGGCTATGAGACATGCCATGAACTCTGCTTCAGTACGTCGGGTATATTTAGTAATACGCACGACTAAATGGCCGAGGTATCGCATCTAATTTTTACGCCTTGAGCCCACATATGGATACTGACTTGACTTTGCTAGACCTAGAAGAGACAAGTATTGCCACAGATACAGCCACACACAACTCCATTCTGTTTCTTGTCCTATCTTGTCCAGTTTCTACTGCTTTTGCTTTTGCTTGTTGTGCTCTTCGGTTATTCTCCTTATTATCATAACCATTTTCAGTTTTAGATTTTCGGTAAAACAGAACGTGCATGCACAGTGTATTGTCTCATGAGATTCTGAAGGCATCAAAGAAATCGATTTAAAATTCTTGACACAAAAGTACGACAGGTTGATCAAATCGACGATTTACACCGGTCTGAGACTAATTCGTTCTACGATCCAGCCTAATCGATCTTTTCGAACCTTCTACGTAATTTCTAATCACAATTGGAGCCACCTTTGTGAGCGCCTTCTATATATTTTTTTTCGTTGTCTCGTATCATAAGGCAATGTTCACAGACCGAGACAATGCAGAAAGAAAAAGAAAAGACACTCTCATATGATTTATTCTCGAATTTGTTGAGTCCCAGTTTTTGTGTGACAGACAGGTGTAGGCATTGTACATCTAAGCGCATAACATCTCAAGGGTAAAACAAAGGAAATGGCAAATCTTCTTGTGAGGGGGGTGAAAGAGATTGATCTCATTTGTAAAACAATGAAAAGTGGAGTTGCTATTTGCAAAGTTAATATTCACACCCTTACATGTGATTACAAGTTGTCAGCCCAACCCTTAAGCTTTTCTTATTGTGGATCCCGTAGGCTTGACTCTGTCTAAATTGCTTGAAACTAAAAAAAAAAAGACAAGCAAAAAGGCTAAACAATTGGCGTGTGAAAACTTTCTTTCCCGGAATGGAACAGAGAAGCTTAAACTGAAACATTAAAAATTATCAGCAACAAAAAAATAAAAATTCTGAAACAAAATAACACCTTGTGCATGAGGTACAAAGGAACAGAGCAGAACAGTCTGTTTTTTTTGTTTATTTTTATTTTTAATTTTAATTTTATTTTTATTTTTATTTTTATTTTTATTTTTATTTTCTAACTTTAAATATACTTTTCCAAAAAGCCTGTATAGAGAGACAGAGAGATATTGTAATTTTCCACAAAGATATGTCTTCAGTGTTATATTTACTTTTTCAACTTCTGAATGAATTTCCACATACCCCTCTTCCTTGTTTGTTCTTTTTTTTATTAAACCCAAGTTGTGGATAACTTTGTCTTTATACTCTTTGCTCCAGGATAGTTGAGAGGAAGTGCTACCTACTCTAACAAAGAGAGGGGGGAGAGAAAGACCAAGACTATATTTATCTCCGGCTTTTACCAGCTTTGTAATCTCTACCCTACCAAGAAATCTACAAACACGTAAATGCAACAGGTTTTGCACCAGGATTGTGTCTCCCTTGAAATGAGAAAAATAATAAATAGGGAGATACGCAGTACCCAGGATCGCTTGCACTTGAACTACCTAGGCTATGGTTAAACGAAGCCTACATTTAGCGACTGACTCATTTTTTAACCCTTTTGCTTCTATTCAAGCTTCTGCTGATCAAAGAAGGAAAGTAACAAAATACAGGCTAAATGAAGTGGTTACGGCGTTCTGACTTTTGATTGTTTTCCTTTTTTATCTTTATTTTTTTGTCTTCTTTATCTTTTTTTGTTTTGTTTTATGTTTTCTTGCGCATTTGAAAAGCGGAGTTAATAAATGAAAGTTGGAAATTTCTCGTAAATCTCCACTTGTCTACTTGTCCACCCCATATTTCTATGTAATTAAAGTTCGGGACCATCAGCATCGATGGAGCCCCCATCTATGTTCCATAAAATGACGCTTTGAGCTCATTTGCTGATGACATATTCTTAGAGAAGGGGGGATAGTGGATGCGATAAACAATAATACTTTAAATTAACTAGCTTTTTCTTTGTTGGTCTTTTGCACAGAAATTTGGTTAAAAACGTTGCTGGGGTAATTTTAACCCATCAATAGAACAAAATATATATTTTATTCGACTTCTTCGTCCTAAGATAGAGATACTTCCTCTGAGGAGCTTCCCAAGGTCACCAACTACAACATCCAACACTGTTCTTGTCTCCGTAGTGTGCAAATTGTTTTCACCCAAACTTCCATTTGTAACTGGTAACTAGCCTACTTGGAACACAAACGTATGTAAACTTACGCCAACGTTTGTCCTAAAGTGAAATAATCAATGAGCTACAAGTTTTACCGAAATAAGTCGATAATCCATTGTGCATCAATTTATTTCAAGCCACAAAACATGCAAATTAAACTAGCAGAAATTAATTAATTCCGCTAAGTCCGCCGCTTTTGCTGACACAAGAAAGACACAATAGAGAACACACGTCACCTTCTTAGTCTCCACGAGGTGTTTGTAACAAGCACCATTTGATACTTGTTTGTGAGAGGAAATAAAAATATACCTTTGCTGAAATTCAGGTTTTGCTTATGCAACCTAAACGTTCATGACGTTTCTCTGTTGCAGCCACACTAACCCAAATTATCATAACCATACCACCAGGGACAGGAATTTCGAGGCTTAATTTTAAAGTTTACCCTTGCAAAAGCTTAATACTTACTTCACTAACCCCGTTTTAAATGCTTTTCCCAACTGGGAATTACTGAAAAAAAGCTCGTTTGGTTATTTTCTAATTATGGTAGCAAGCCTTGTTTTTGTTATTTTTAACCCAGCCTTCCACAAATCCAGGTATGGGTGCTCTTTTATTGTTTTTTTATTTTTGGTGTTTTTTTCTTCTTCTACTTTTTGTTCGACGTAAAGGTTCAGTATCACTTTAGGAGTATACTTTGCACCGCCTACATATTCTTTGAACCACACCGAAAGAATGAAATATTAGCGATGATACAATTTGTTCGTACCTGAACATAAAGAAAATAAAGTTTAAACAATAAAAGCATTCGGAATGTAGTTTCATAGCCTGCAAACACGCAACCAATACTCCGTTACATCATAGTCCTTGCATGGAAGCATGTTGTTTCGTTTGCATAGATCTCGATCCACAAAACGCACAAAGAATATTGAAAGTAAAAGATCCATTTTTCGTATTTTCCCAAACACATTGCTCCCACGTTCCACCAAACACTGTTCCATTAAAGGAGAGCACTCCCATATGAAAAGCTGAAGACTTGAAGTTGCTGATTTGGGATTGCTTGTAACCCATTAACCTCACCTTGTAAACAGCATTTGAGTGACGAAGTGCGAATTTCTTTCAGTCACATGCTACACATTTCAACTCGTATGCGAGGCTTTATCAAAATAGTATAGCACTGGCAAGTCTCTCCCGATCTCCCCCACCCATATGCTTGTTTCGAAAGAACCTGAGTTTTGTAACCAACTATACTATGTATGTGGTCGTTTCAGGTGACATTGTATCCCGCTGCTACATGATGGTTGTGTGTCAACTGGGGTTTTTTCCAATCCTTCACTGAATCCCATTTTGAGCTTTGTACTCTGAAATCTAGTCGCTGGTGCATATACGATCATCGGGGTTACAATCTTGACAAAGTTCAGCAATGTCACGCCAAGAATTGACGACGAAGGGAGAGGGGGAGTACAGCTTGCTAGGTTGTGTTTCCACTCTATCAAGAGTACACCATACTAAGGTAAGAAGCAAAACAACACTACCTTTACATTAGTTAGTTAGGGTAGAGTTCTGCACGAGGGTGAAAGCCTATGCGTGACCCCGATCTAAGAAAATCTCCTCACAAGATGAAATTCGGCTGAAATTTTAAGGCTTGCTGATCTTCACAGATCAAGTGGTCTCCCTAATGCATAATATCTAAAGTTGAAATACTCTCGACATGTGTCATCTTGTGTCATTGGCTGACTGTCTGTCAACAAAATAACAAGTGTTGCTTCTTCGTTTAAGGAATTTTAGTTGATGGAGACGACAGGAGAGACTGTTCGACTAGAGTTTTTAAAAACAATAGTAAGAAATATGCTACATTAAAGTGAGATTGGTAATCAATTGTTAGTTGAGTTTAACCTGAAATTTGAAAGTGAAGTAAAACAAAAAGAAAATAAAAACAAATTAAAAATTAAAAATAACAAAAAATATATATATGACAAAAACGAAGAAAAACATATTGTGTTCCCAAAGAGGAACAATTAGACAAAATTTAAAAAAGTAGTCACTTCTTCACACAAACCAACAAAGAAACGTCGAAGGTACTGCATCACTTTGAACGATCTTGCAGTTACGGTAAATTCTGGCGGGATCTTGCATATGGAGGAGCAAAGGTAAACAATTAAAAGAATAAAAAGAAAGCATAAAAAAGAAATTAGCTTTGTATTTTTAGCAATTAATAAACATTGCTTATTTCAGATTATAATCTATACTTGAAAGGAATAGGAGTCAGGAGTCAGTTGGCGTATTCTCTTGCCGATTCAATGTGTGCGTGCCGAGATAACTCCATAGTTTACTAGAAGGGCTGCAGGTAAGATGCCACTATTTTCCACATTATACTTATCTTCCGGAAAGGGAAACAAAAAGAAAAGATTGGAGCGAATTTTATTCCGGGTTCAGGTGGTGTAGTTTTGTGCAATTGTATGTTATACGTGGAACAGCAAAGTCCGCTGCAGGAATATAGCGTTCTGGGCTTTGCTTCTTAGCTTGTACTTTGCACAAAAATTGGACCCCCTCGCAAACCACTACAAGGTTTGAATCACAATTTACATACTCGCCCCAAAGCCAAAAAATACGAGATCTTTGTCGTAAGAGTTCATTTGACTAACGCGGGACCTAGAACCAACCATTGGCTGTCCCTCAAGAACAGCGGTCGCGCAAGGTCTACAAGAGTTGTTTGACCCCACAATTCTCAACAGCCAGGCGCTAGTTTCTTGTGTGTTTACTCGTTTCCAAAAGGCTTGATTAGGACAACCAAAATAGACTAATGTTTACAACTATAGCTTGTACTCAATTTTAGTCATAACCACAGAATTGGTGACATTGAACTTTGTAAAGTACAGTAGCAACAACAATAGGATGATCATAATTCCGAAAAGGCGAAATAGTGCGTCTGTGAGTATTCATCGAATCTACGTCTGACTAAATCAACTGAGGACTTTTCTGTTCCCAACATACACACCCTTGGCACAATTAGTGTTTGCCCGACTTCTCCATTACGTGTAAGATTCGGACCTTGAAATCTCTCAAATTCCGTCTTTCCTTTGTAAAACCATGCATTTGAACGCCTTGAGTTTTACAAAGTGCACAAAAATTTCAAATCGGATCGTCCAAGACCTAGCCCAGCATACATCTAAACTTTCGGAACAATGCGCGGTACAACCCAGTAGTCATACCACACTTACTCCATGAAAAATAAAAAAATAAGAGTGAAAACAATAGATGCTTGCTTTCAAGCGTGTTTAAACAATTAAAAAAGTAGCCTCTCGGAACGATAAAGAATTATTGGAGAAGTAAAGGTAAGACGAGGAATACAATTTCCACATTCATTGTTAGTTGTTCTGCTCTCAAAATATAATGCCAGTCCGTAAGCACGTTTGGATGTTGTCCTAATGTATATAGTTTCGGTTTAGTCGGTTGAGCTGGGTGAGGCATATTCAAAACCCGCCACATTCCCCAGATTATGTACCTAGTGGATTGATGGGAATGGCGACCTGTTCCACTACCCTGTTGAGTGTGTAAAGGAGCTTCTAATATTAACAGGGTATCCATGAAGACGCAAGATACTCAAGGTGGGATGTCCCCGTTGTCAAGAATTTCTATGTCGCGTGAACCTTACGACACTTCTTTTGCACTATTAATTTTTTTTTAACGTGCGATGCAGAGATGAGGTAAGAGACATAACTCCATTCTTCACAATTAAAGTTTAAGACAGCATGTTGGACGAAGAAGATATCAATATAGCAAACTCACTTGCTGCCTTATCTGATGATGAATTGAGTACCAATGAATCAGATGGAGGAGAATTCCAAGATGAGATACTTTCACTGGATAATGAAGAATCCAATGCACCACCAAAAAAAAAGGTTAAAAAGAATAACCACGAGGCATTCCCCGTTAGCAATGCGTCTGGCGATGAAAACGAGGATGAAGAGGATGACAAGATGTTGACGTCTTTCTTTACTACCAATAACCCCACAGCAAAGAAAGCAAAAGCAGGTTCATTCGCATCGTTTGGATTTTCAAAATTTCTACTTGCGAATATTTCGAAAAAGGGTTATAAACAGCCAACACCCATCCAAAGAAAGTCCATCCCGTTGATTATTGATAATAGGGATGTTGTTGGAATGGCAAGAACGGGTTCAGGAAAAACGGCGGCATTTGTTTTGCCCCTTATTGAGAAGTTGAAACTGCGTAGTCTTGCTGGGGTACGGGCTGTCATTCTATCCCCTTCAAGAGAGTTGGCATTACAGACTTATAAACAAGTCAAGGAATTTAGTCGCGGAACTGACTTGCAATCAATCGTTTTGATTGGTGGTGATTCATTGGAGGAAGACTTTGGCAAGATGGTAAGCAAGCCCGATGTCATAGTATGTACCCCTGGTAGATTTTTGCACTTGAAGGTTGAAATGCAGTATGACTTGTCTACAGTCCAGTATATTGTGTTTGATGAGGCTGATAGGTTGTTTGAAATGGGATTTGCCGAACAATTAAACGAATTATTGCTAGCATTGCCACCAAATAGGCAGTCGCTACTTTTTTCGGCAACTTTGCCTAGAACTTTGGTGGATTTTGCAAAAGCCGGTTTAAGTAATCCAGTGTTGGTCCGTTTGGATGCAGAGTCAAAGATTTCTGAGAATTTGCAAATGGCGTACTTCACTACTAAACTTAATGAAAGGGAGGCAAACCTTTTATACATATTGCAAGAAGTCATCAAAATGCCCTTGGGTACACCGGGTGAGGTAAAGAAGCTTGTAGCAATGGACAAAAGGGAAGCAGAAGAGAGTGACGAGGATGACGACTCTGGGAAAAAGAAAAAGTACAAGTTCAAAAAGGAGAGAATGCCTTCAGCAAATCAACTTCCATCTGAGAAATCAACAATTGTCTTTGTACCGACAAAACATCATGTTGAATACGTTACCAAGCTTTTGAGAGATGCCGGTTACTTGGTGTCATATATTTACGGTACCTTGGATCAGCATGCGAGAAAGAACCAGTTGTACCAGTTCAAGATTGGCCTCACAAAGGTTTTGGTAGTTACTGATGTTGCTGCAAGAGGTATTGATATCCCAGTGTTGGCAAATGTGATCAACTTCACCTTGCCCGGATCATCCAAAATTTTCATTCATAGAGTGGGTAGAACAGCAAGAGCTGGTAACAAAGGTTGGGCATACTCGATTGTTAATGAAAAAGAGTTGCCATATTTACTAGACTTGGAGCTTTTCTTGGGAAAAAAGGTGTTGCTAACATCGATGTACGAGGCAAAATGTGACTTATTGAAAAAGAAACAAGGTGATTCATATATTCCACCACACGTTAACTACACGGAAAGGCTTGTTGTGGGATCAATACCGCGAGTGGACCTTGAAACGTTTCAGGAATTGTACGAGAATTTGCTAAAAAACAATTATGATATTAAAGTTTTGAAAGATGTGGCAGCAAAGGGAGAAAAATTGTATCACAGAACAAGACAATCGGCATCTCAAGAATCATTGAAAAGGAGTAAAGAGATTTTGGAAACCAATTCGTGGGACGATCAGCATTTACTTTTTGGAGAAAATTTGGAGAGAAAGAAGGAGGACTTCTTGGCCAAGTTGCAGAATAGGAATGTTAAGGAAACAGTGTTTGAAATAAGGAAAAAAGGTGTGAAAGAAAATGATAGTCTTGCCGAGTTTATGCACAAGAGAAGACGTCAGATTGCGCCCATTCAGCGTAAGGCGCAAGAGCGTCGTGAATTGTTGCATAAAGAAAGATTGGCAGGATTAAGTCACGGTATTGAAGAGGAGCTCTTAAAGACGGAGGACGAAAACAGTGGGTACGTGCAGCAGCAAGTGGATGACGATGAACTACAAAACACATTTGAAGATAGCGAACAATTGCAAAAAAAGAAATCGTCGCGTGATCCTCAGTTTTTCTTGAGCCATTATGCTCCTGCTTCAGTTATACAGGATCAGCAGTTATCTATTGCTTCTTCTTTTGCTAATGATGCTCAAGCAGCAGCTTTTGACTTGGATAATGACGATAAACTACAAGCCAACAAACAGGTCATGAAATGGGACAAAAAGAAAGGCAAGTACATCAACTCGCAATCCACAGACAAGAAATATATAATCAGTGAAAATGGAACAAAGATCCCTGCTTCTTTCAGATCAGGTAAGTTTGATGAATGGAAGAAACAAAGGAACCTTAAGCATACCACGTCTGTTGATGGTGTTGGAGAGAACAACCACAAGTTCAAACACAAGAAACAAAGCACGCCAAAATTGCCTGATAAATATAGAGATGATTATCATAAGCAAAAGAAAAAGGTTGAAAAGGCACTTGATTCAGGTTTGAGAGTGAAGGGATACAACAAGCCAGGGCAACAACAAGAGTTGAGGTCTACAGAACAAATTAGAAAAGCAAGAGCACAAAAGGAACAAAGAAGAGCTAAAAACGCTCGTCCTAGTAAGAGAAAATAGCTGTCAAATCGGGAATAACATTAGGCTATATTTTAGTATACACCAATTGATTTAATATCTCCTTCCGCCTCTTTGGTAAGGGTGAAAACCACCGCGACCTCTCCTGTAACCACCTCTTCCTCTGAAATTAGATGGACCGTTGGGTCTCTTTGGGCCACGAGGAATATTTGGCCTAGCTGAATATCCACCTTCGTCTCCAGCTGGCGGAGAGCCAGAGGCTGATTTTCCTGTACCAGCAGCACCTGACTCCTCCATATCTGGCTCATCCGCTTGTTGCTGTGGGTTAAGGGGTTGTGCAGGCTGGGAATCTGGCGAGCCTCCTTGTTGTTGAGCCTGAGCTTGCTGAAACATATACCATTGGTACCACTGGTTCATAGCTGGATTCACAGCTGGATTCATTTGTGGATACATCTGTCCGTATTGTGCAGATCCGTATGGGTTATAGAACTGACCTTGCTGTTGTGCCTGTTGTTGTGCCTGCTGTTGTTGTTGCAACATCACTTGTTGATTATGTTGACCCCTTGGAGCAGCACGTTTTACTTCCATTGCCTTTCCTTTCAAGGTCAAGTACTTGTTGACACACACTTTATCCACGGCATCCGGAGAATCAAATGTAATAAACCCAAAACCTCTTGATCTTCCCGTATCCTTGTCAATCATCAACTGGCAATCGATGATAGTACCAAATTTGGAAAAGAAATCATTGAATTCATTCTCTGAGACCATTGGATCGATACCTCCAATGAAAATCTTACCAACCCTGTCCTGGTCTTCTCTTGAAATAGCACGTTTGGGATCAATTAACTTACCATCTAATATGTGGTCTTGCTTGATGACCACATCTACCGAGCTTGGATCTTTGAATGTTAAAAAGCCAAATCCTCTTGATCTTCCAGTCGCATTGTCTTTCATAATCGTGTAATCGGTGATTTCTCCAAATTTAGAAAAGTAATTCACCAATCCTTCTTCGGTTGTGTCCCAGTTGAGACCACCAATAAACATTTTACCGCTCTCCTTTCCTATTTCAGATGGAGTTTGTTTTGGTAGAGCAGGAACTCCAGTATTTGGAGGTGGGGGGATACCAGATGGCATTTGTCCTGGGATCTGGCCGGGAATTTGTCCCGGAATCTGGCCTTGCATTTGTGCCATGCTTGCAAATTGAGCAAATTGAGCGGGATCGTACGGAAATGCTGGCATTGGAGGTTGTCCCAGCTGTCCTGGTTGAGCTGTTGGGTTTGGCGGAGCTTGCTGGTCCTGTTGACTAGGTTGAACATCAGTTGATGCCTGGAGTGTTTCATTTACAGGAGGTGGAGGTGGAGGCACTGGTGCCGAATGTGATTGATCGTGGCCCTCTGTTTGATTACTGGCTTCGGTTGCTGAAGTCGTTGGTGTCACTGTAGATTGCACATCCTCCGACGCAGCACCTCGTTCAGTTTGAGTATCTTGCTGATCACCTGCTTTCTCTTTCGACCCAGACTCTGCTTGTACTTCCTTTTTGGAGCTTATGTTATCGTCGTCATACAAGTCCTCAAAGAGGGCTTCGTCATCATCTAAGTTTGACATTGGTCAAAATATAATCAAATGGGTTATAACTGTGTTTAGGTCAGGCTTTAAAAAGACTCTGTTACAAACTAAAACAATGATTATAGTGTTCTATATGCTTTGGGAAATCAGTATTTGTTATGTATATGCTTAGTTTATTGAGGCATAAACACACTATGTATAAGGTTACACAATATAGACTGCTCTTTGACGTTAATTCCTCAATCCAAATGAATTGAACAGCTGAATCTTCTTAAAGTATTTTCCTAATATATCACTAACGGCACTGATGCACGCAATTTCCTTGATGGATTTAGTTGTTGTAATATTTGAAGCCACCAGGAAAGTTGTATGTCGAGTGGAAAATTCCATCAAAGAGAAAATTTATTCGCCTACAGAGGGGGAGAAGAGGTTGGTAGCGTGGTGTGCAAGACCCAGCAAAGCTTTCTTGCACACTTGACAATTTGCCTATCTGAGGTAGCTAAGGAAACGTATGAAGCATGCGTGAGGATAGCCAAGCTATATGCCCAGAGAATTCCATTTCTCATTTAAACATCAGGGCCTCTACACATGGTTGTAAGCCGTTTGGATTCTTCTCGGTACTTTGAAATCCCATTGAAAAAAAATAAAAACCTTTCACCGTTGTTGCAAATCTCAATTTACAATGAAAAAGTACTTGATTTTACTTGCCCAGGTGTACCCAGAGTTTAGACTAGCGGAGCTTATCGCGCTTGCCGAATTGCATGGAATAGAAGTGGATTTGTCTCAGCATGACCCAACCAAACCGTTTCTCAAAGTTCAGTTAAAAGATGACAGCGATGCCCGCTCGCTTATACAGAGAGCCGTCTTATCAAAAGCCATATACGAGCTTTGGGGCGAAGGTGAAAGTTACGAGAGTCTCCATCAAAGTGTTAAGGACAACAGCAGGGACAAGTTTGACTTGTATAAGAAGTCGACCTTCAGGTTTGATTTTGAAAATTACAAAGGCAGACAAAACTCGAAAGCAAAAAGAGCCATCATAGAGTCATTTGGGTATCTAGAGTTTGAAGGTGCCGTTGACTTGAAGAACCCAGATGAGTGTTTTACAATACTTGAGGAATACGAGGTTTTTGGAATGGAAAAGGCGGACAAACCAAAGTACATCTGGTTCGGGCGTCTAGTTTCTTTAACTGAAAGAACCGCAAATAATGTGGTTGAAACGTACGACTTAAAAAAGAGGGGATATATTGGAACTACGTCTTTTGATGCCGAGTTGTCGTTGGTCACCTGTAATCTAGCACATATAAAGAGCGGGGGTACTGTGTATGACCCGTTTGCTGGAACGGGTTCTTTTCTAGTAACAGCTGCTCACTTTGGTGCTTTGACAATAGGCTCCGACATTGACGTGAGAATGCTTTCTGGTAACGGCTCTAAGCAAAACGTCAAGTCGAATTTCAAGGACTATGGCACATATGCCAACTATATTGATGTTTTTACCATGGATTTTACTCATAACGCATTAAGAAAAGGATTTGGTATAGATACAATTATATGTGACCCACCTTATGGAGTTAGAGAAGGACTTCGAGTGCTCGGGGCCAAAAATGAGGAAAAGGCAATGGGGAGAGAGAACAATGTTGTAGATGGTGAAATCGCCCATCTTAGACGAGATTTCGTTCCACCGAAGAAGCCGTATGAACTTTCAGATATGTTGAATGACCTCTTGCTGTTTGCCGGCGATAGATTGCCGGTGGGAGGGAAATTAGCATTTTGGATGCCCACAGCCAATGATGATTTTTCGGAAACCATTATACCACAACACGAGTGTCTCAAATTGCAATTCAATCTTGAGCAAGAATTTCACAAATGGTCGCGTAGGCTTCTTGTATATGTTAAAATGGATGAACTGTATGCAGGTGAAACTCGGAACGGTTTGAAAGAATTGAATATTAAGAACTTCCGGGAACGTTATTTCAGAGGATTTAGTGAAAAGAGTCGATAGCGAATAATTCGGGTCAATCATGTGAAGGGATTTTAAAGTTTTGGTAAGCGATAAAATTGTTGGTTAGAAGTATGCATTTACATAGATCTATATATATATGTGTGTATGGGAAAAGGGGAGCTTATTGTGTAATAAACAAACGAAAAACAAATAGATATCTGAGACTGAGTATGCGCTAACATATTCCTCCTCCTTTTCAAAACAACCAAGCACCATTGAATCAAGCACCAATTAGGGAGCATATGCACTTATGATGGTTTAAAGCAACACCTCACTACCAGAGGTGTATAAATAGACACCCTTTTTTTCCTTGTCTAAGCTGTACACCCCATTCTCTATCAAACTCAATATCAAAACTTCAATTTTCAATCATGACTCCACCAACTATGTTACAAACTGCTCCAGCTGAGACTTTTCACTTAGCACCCGCTGAAAAGCACCAAATAAACTTGAAATCCAATGCTGCAAATGGAGAGATTAAGTTTGCTGACTGGGAGAAATTCCAGTTCGCTCCAATTAGAGAATCGACTGTCTCCAGGGCAATGACCAAGAGGTACTTTGCTGACTTGGACAAATACACAGAGTCGGATGTTGTTATTGTTGGTGCCGGCTCTGCTGGTTTATCTGCTGCATACGTTTTGGCCAAGAACAGACCAGACTTGAAGATTGCAATTATCGAGGCATCTGTATCCCCAGGTGGTGGATGCTGGTTAGGTGGTCAGTTGTTCTCTGCTATGGTATTGAGAAAGCCTGCAGACCAATTCTTGGACAACTTAGGTGTTGCTTACGAAGATGAAGGTGATTATGTTGTCGTCAAACATGCTGCTTTGTTCATGTCGACCTTGCTTTCCAAAGTCTTGGAGTTTCCAAATGTCAAGTTATTCAACGCTACAGCTGTTGAGGATTTGATTACAAGACGTGATGATTCAACAGGTGAGTTGAGAATTGCTGGTGTTGTTACCAACTGGACATTGGTTGCATTGAACCACGACACTCAATCGTGTATGGATCCAAACACCATCAACTGTAACGTGGTTTTGTCTACCACTGGCCACGATGGTCCTTTTGGAGCCTTTTCTGCCAAGAGATTGGAAGAATTGGGTAAAGCTCCAAAGGATATCACTGCTGGGTTTAGAGCAAACAATCAAGAACAGCAAAAGCCAGTACAAACTAACTCTGCATCTGGATTTGAATTGGGAGGTATGAGAGGTCTTGACATGAACAAGGCAGAAGACGCCATTGTTAAAGGCACTAGAGAAATTGTACCAGGTTTGGTAATTGCCGGTATGGAATTGGCTGAAGTTGATGGCTCTAACAGAATGGGACCAACTTTCGGAGCCATGGCTCTCTCTGGTGTTAAAGCTGCAGAATCTGTATTGAATGCTGTTGACGTCAGACAAAAGCAAAACGAAACGTGCTACGGAGGCTTAAAAGCGTAAGTAACCCTTTTTAGTTTGGTTAGGTACTCGTGTGTATTTTAATTGACAATGTGTGTTTGATTGTTGAGAATTGTGGCAGTGTAGAAAGAAACAGTTTGACTTATTTTTGTTGCGGAAAGTCTCTTGTTTGAATTTTTTTACGCGATATTTGATGCAAAATCTTTGAATTCTACGAAAAAAAGAGATTCCTATCAATCAGCAAAGTCCATTCGTCTCTAAATCATGGCTGAGATTCTAAAGTATGTCAATATATTTAATCAAATAACCCATAAGAGAGATACTAACTAACTAAGACCTAAAAACACTAATGCTAGGGGCATCCCAGAGGCTCCATTCATTGAACTGGTGGATGCCGTTATCAAGGACCCGGAAAATGAGTTCCAACCAGTGATGTCGCAATTTCAACAACGTTTACAACAATATAAGTATATGGAGTTATCAAAGCAGCAGCAATTAGCCGACGTTAACCTAAAAATACCGGATATCGAAAAGAATTTGGAAGTTATAAACTATATTAGACAATCTAAAGCAACTGCGCTGGATGGAGGCGACGACGACGAGGAAACGGAAAACGAATTGACATTTAATTACGAGCTTAATGATACTTTGTATAACAAGGCAACTGTTGATGTGAAAAAGTTGGAGTCAGTGTTTTTGTGGTTAGGGGCCGAGGTCATGCTCGAATACCCGTTGGATGAGGCTGTTGCTCTTTTGAACGAAAGATTGAGTAGAAACCAGGAGCAAAAGGTGATTGTACAAGAGGATCTAGAATTCCTTAGAGAAAATATAACCACGATGGAAGTCAACACGGCAAGGTTGTATAATTGGGATGTCGAAAGAAGAAAGAAAGAACAAGCAAAGAATTAAATGAGTACATTACATATATATATGCAGTTCCCAATCTATGGGCTTAAGATCTGAATGTATCAAGAAACTGGCTCCCCAATGGTCGCACAGGGGTCTCAGCTCGTATTCTGCTCTCTTCTTGTCTAGCCTCATCCAAGAGCTCATCATTATCTTCAGGCTCTTCGCTCACATTTCGATCATGAAGCTCCTCGTTTGAAGTTGAGGTAGATACGGGTTGATAGCTACTTGTAAATCTCTGCTGTATGCTTTGCCATACATGCGCAATCATCTTGCGAGGATTAATAAACAATTGGAACAAGTCTTTGGGTAATAACCAGGATGTACCCATAGGAAGAAGCTCAAATGTGTATAACTTTCCAATTAATAAACCCACCGAACAGGGTATTATCGACTTGAATCCGTTGTTGAAGAAGAGCAATGTGTATAGTATGTGGACGGGGAATCTATTGCTCAAATTCAATTGCCGAGAAAACAGGCTAGTGTACTTGGTGTTGTCTTCAGTAGGACTAGGCTTCTTCAACATTATCTTGAAGTAATAGGATACTGGTATATTGGCTCCATAAGTGACATATAGGGATGAGATGATGCCTAGTGGGCCAGGAATAATCGTATTGAGTATAGTTGTGTGGTATTGAACGCTGTCCGCCTCATGCCCAAGAACAATAACCTTTACAATAAACAGCAAATAGTAAACTAGAAGCTGGCCCAAACTCATTACCAAGATGCAGACAACCGAATTAGTTACAGCGAAGGAGGCAATCACAGAAAGATACTTTCGAGACCCGTAAAATCTCTCTAACACTTTAAACTGAAACCATAAAAGGATGACTAGTAGGTAATCAGACTCGTTAACGACGGACAATTGGGATGTTACTAGTCTCCAGAACTGGTAATACTCAATGATGTAAGGATCAATGCCCAAATTCAAGTAGTATTTAATCGATAAGATTGAGAAAACAAGTGGCAATATTGTTGATATTATGCAAACCGACTTTGATACTGGCGTGTTTGTAAAGCCCCGAATCGGGGTTAGTTGAACCATTGTAATTATAATAATGCGATGGAAGGGAAATGTGCAGGTCTAGTTACCGATAAGTTGGCCTTGCGCTGTTGTTTGATCAAATGGGAAGGAAGTTACTCTCTCGATATGTCCATTAGGAGAATGGACACAAAATCGCTTTCCTGATAAACAGGTGCGGGTGTTAACTACCGAATCACGTGTTAGCCTTACATAAGTGGCAGCCGAATGTTATACACTGGAGTACTATCGAAGCAAGAGGGAGTCAATATGAGAGTCATGGCAAGGTGAAAAGCACAATATTTGCTGCTGAAGTTTGTATGTATGTGATTATGGAGTTTGTGTTGGCTCAAGGTGGTGGTCAGATAACTCGCTACCAAGTAGACTCACTTGAACAGTCACACTTGGTCATGTGATAAAAAATATCTACTCTGTGATTAACGTTTTTTTTCTCTCTTACTTTTGAGTTACAAAAGCTTGACAGAGAGAGAGAAAGAGACTTAGTGCGTAGACTCTTCGAAAAGTACAAAATTTTCAGCCAGAGTTAAACCTCATCACAGCTTTCTTATACCACCATCAACATTTTACATCAACCATGGGTAGAGATCACACCACCAAACAACACATCAGATCAGGTCACAGAACCGCTCCAAAATCAGACAATGTCTATTTGAAGTTATTGGTCAAATTGTACTCATTCTTGGCTCGTATGTAATTAGAAAAGATTAGGACAGGGTTTACAGAAGACGTCGATTAATTATCACCGCAAAAGGGTCATACAATCTACGATACGAAAGGGATTCATCAAGTGATTTGCTTTATGGTTATGTTCAAGTCCTTATTGATAAAGATGTGTACCGGATAGTAGACACACTATCAAAGACGGTGACAATATCTTTTGTCATTTCTTGGGTTTGGCATTTCCTCCTATTGCAATCACTATAGAAGTTCTCCATTCTAGAGGTGTTCTATGAATGTGATTGAATGTTTATCTGCGAGTGCTTTGTTACCGGTTTTAATGGTAAATGTGCGTCTTCTGAGCAGATCTGGGTATGAAGCCTTTGCATAAATACTAACTTTTGTCTAGGTCGTACTGATGCTCCATTCAACAAGGTCATTTTGAAATCATTGTACTTGTCTAAAATCAACAGACCACCAGTCTCAGTTTCAAGAATTTCACGTGCTTTGAAAAACGAAGGTGCTTCCCAAAAGACCATTGTCGTTGTTGGTACTGTTACCGATGACAACAGATTGTTGGAATTCCCAAAGACTACTGTTGCTGCTTTGAGATTCACCGCTGGTGCCAAGGCTAGAATTTTGAAGAACGGTGGTGAAGCCATCACTTTGGATCAATTGGCTTTAAGAGCCCCAAAAGGTCAAAACACTTTGATCGTTAGAGGTCCAAGAAACGCCAGAGAAGCTGTCAGACACTTTGGTTTCGGTCCACACAAGGGTAAAGCTCCAAGAATCTTGTCCAAGGGTAGAAAATTCGAAAGAGCTAGAGGTAGAAGAAGATCAAGAGGTTTCAAGGTCTAAGTAGGATCTCTATAGGTATTGTATTCTAATTTTTACGTTTGATTAAAACATATCACTAAATTTTGTAAGCTTTGTGTGCAAATGTTTGGGGTGTAGAATTTGGGGCGAGGCGAAATAGTACTGTCTTCACACAATCGCGCTATCGCAGGTCTTTACATTTCCGATCGATCAACTACAGTCGCAGCATAAACTTCTTGAGTAACGGTGATGGAATTGCCGAGTGAACACACAGAAGACAAATTCGTTGCTGTTCTTCCACCACTGCTTGAGAGTTTGCCAGTGGAGATACTTAATAGGATAATATGGTGGCTCTCTGAAGGACAAGTTGGTATATATACAGCAACTGATGAAGGATCTAAATTTCCAACTTGTACTTATATCACGAATAATGAAAGATGCGGCAATTGTTATCAGGATTTGCTTTCATTATCATCTACTTGCCGATCTATGAGAATAAGATTGGGGGACGTTTTATTCAGAAATGTGAGTCTAGTTCGTCGCAATCAAATCGATTCGGTTCTATCCACACCAAAGTCGCATCAGTTATACAGTGACAAAAGAACCTACCACAGGGAGTTCGTGAAGGAGTTGATTTGTGTCAATATAGACGACTGCAGCAAGAGTGATTTAGCAAGATCTAGTTTTAAAAACCATTTTATTGGCGATAGGAGTTTCAAATGCTACTACGAGGATAGATTATGCATGGGCAATTTTGTTCGATACTTGGAATGCGATAACGAAGTCTTGAAAAGTGCAGATTTGAACTTGTTTCCTAATATTACAGAGTTGAAAGTTTTAGACGAGTGTGCCGATTCAACAATAGAAACCAAAATGGAGTTGCCGAAATTGGACTATTTGGCGGTTCATGCGCAGTCGTTACAACTGTCGGAAATGTTGTTAAGTTCACTTTGCAACTTAAGCCGTTTGGACTTGTTTTTGAATTATTCGGATGTTCCTAGCACTGGTGGGATCCGAAGGATCTTGAATCATTTGATGCAGCGCAGCCCTGCTTTTGTCGAAGTGGCTTTATTCTTAGAGCAACCATTCAATTTGGCTTATTCAGACACTATAAGTTTGTTGAAGTTGGTAAGTTCTTCAGCACGGTTGCAGAAATTGACAATCAGGGTGGAAAGGCGAAAAAACTCCCAACGACAGGGTTTGGAAGAGCATCAATTATACCTGGGCTATATTGGAGACGATGTTTTAAAAGTGTTTCAAAAAGTCGAGCAAGTGATTCTTGATGTTTCAATTATGGATGTAATAAAGTTCAACCCAAGATTGAATTTGACAGTTCGAACGAACATTCCTACAAATAAGAATATAAGTCTTGTGGACAAGGCAGTCATGGTACCAAAAATGACTGTAACTCAGAAAGATGTGTTGGGAACTATAATTAGAACCTGTGGGTTTGCCAGTTTTTCATTCTACTATGGAGAAGCTCTTGAAGAGAGTCACCTTCAGGTTCTAAACATTGTGACTGATTTTGTTCGATGGATGTTGGACCCTATCGCCAACGGTGAGCATATTTATTTGGGGTTGAAGAGGACATTTGTCGAGAAATGCTGGTCCGTGACGGATGATTCTGTCAATAGAGAGTATTTGACAACCTTGATGGAATCAGGTAAGGACGAGGTCAAGGTTGATCGGTTCAAGGTTTGGGACAGGATTCCGGTAAATTCTCCTAGGTACAGAAAGAGGGAGACGTTTGATTTATTTTACGAGAAGCAGTCTCAATACGATGTAGTATCGGACACAGGGTACTACATTGGAAGATCAAACATGCCCATCGACGCAGAAAAGTTTGTGACATCTCAAGACCTTAGTCTGGAATGTTTGGAAAACTACTTTTGGAGCACAGAGGCATCGTTATGTGATTTCGAACAATATTGCATACGTCAAAGAAGAAGCTTGTTATTTGGCTGATGTGGAGTTGTCAGGGCATAGCCCTAAAATACACAAAATGAAAGAAAATTATGTGTGCTTAGTGCTACCATTTAGTTGTTAGCGTTCCAGCTGAAAGAAAAAAAAAGTACGTGGTGAAATATTTCATAGAAAACATCGTTTACTTCTGCACCAATAATCAAAGCAAAAACCCTTAATATCAACATGCCAGGTGTATCAGTTAGGTATGTTTTTTTACAACTACAGTTAGGTTTTTTTGCTTGAGGAATAAATTGACTTGAAATCTGTCGTGGTGGATAGGGAAAGTTCAGACTGTGTCTCTCCTTTCCGGTAGAATTACGAGCACACATCAAAGAGTGCTTTTAGAGGCCCTGATGGAGAGATTTCCCCAAGACGATTCAACATACACAGATTTCAGTTGAGCATTCCTTTTCTTTTGGCAACGGAACCTAGTTTGAGTTTTTATATACTAACATTTCAAAAAGAGACGTTCCAGCTCAAGAATTCATTAACGCTTATGCTAAGTTCTTGCAAAGACAAGGTAAATTAGAAGTTCCAGGTTACGTTGATCTCGTCAAGACCTCTGCTGGTAATGAATTGCCACCACAAGAAGCTGAAACTTGGTTCTACAAGAGAGCTGCTTCAATCGCTAGACACATCTACTTGAGAAAACAAGTTGGTGTTGGTGCTTTGAACAAATTGTACGGTGGTGCCAAGAACAGAGGATTCAGACCTCACAAGCACGTTGATGCTTCTGGTTCAATCAACAGAAAAGCTGTTCAAAGCTTGCAAAAGATTGGTGTCTTGGAAATCTCTCCAAAGGGTGGTAGAAGAGTCTCTGAAAACGGTCAAAGAGATTTGGACCGTATCGCTGCTCAAACTTTGGAAGACGAAGAAGAAGAGTAAATGCAATCGGGATTTTAATAATACTTTTACAATGTATGTTTCTTGAACATTTCACGTGTACTATAGATTTTTTAGCTTTATAATGAATGATTAAGTTGCATCAAGGCAAGTAACTTTAATTGTTTTCTAAGCCCACTCTATACTTTATCTACTAGCAGCAAAACCTTTTCTGTTACCTCCTCGCTTTTTTTCCTTGTCATAGACTGCTTGACATTTTCTTCCAACCCAAGCCATGAGAGGGGAATCTCGTTGGGCAAATTTTCAAGCCATTCCAAGTATGCTTGGGTTGTATTTGTATCGGGCATGTTCAATACTTCCTTATTTCTGGTCGTAAGCTCATTCTCAATCAAGTTGAAACTCAGCTCAAGTGACTTACTAGTAAAGATGCGGTTGCATAAGTCTTGGAGATACTTTTGGTCAGCAAGGTTGGAGATCTTCCCACCATAAACAACTTCACCAAGCATGATCCTTATCTCTCCCCAAGGAATTGTATCAGCACACCCCTTGGCTGCCTGAATCGCATTCTCGATTACGCTGATTCCACAATAGAAATCAGAGTCGTTAACTTCATATTTGCTTTCGAAGGAAAATGGAGTGTAGCGACACATTTCGAAAACACACCCGTGAAACCAAGACAACAATAAAAAGACATGCAAATGAACTGGACTCACCAATAGACGGTCGGGAATTACCATGAAGGATTCCAATAAAGTTCTCCGAAATAAGGTTACTCTTTCAAAGTAGAGTACCTTGCTCTTTGAAATTAGTACCTGAGGCAATCTAGAGTGAGAATTGCATGTCAAAAGCAACTTTGATCCTGGAGAAAAGTTGTGATCTGCCAATGTGGACCTCAAAAGTCCTAGCCAAGTTGGAGCTAAGTGAACATTCTGAATAATGACCCAAATGGGTTCCTTTTGTGCCCTTTCTATGCTTTTATTTGCAGCATTTGAACTTTCTTTTGATCCCATTGAAACGACTAAGATCTTGTGATTATGCATTTCTGCCACTTCAACAATCTTGGAGGTTGCATCAAAGCCATTGGGTGATATTGCAAAAATAAGTTGAGCATTCTCAAGCCAATATTCTGTACTGTACCTAGACTCAAATGGAATATCATGAAAAAGGGGTTTGCAAAACTGGCCAAATGATTCAAGAAGGTGTGCTTCTGGCTTGTTTACCAGTTCAACCAAGGTAGAGAGGGGACCTGCAATCATGCCCTCCAAATCACTTTCAGGCTGGTTGATTTCGGCTACTTGATCTCTCGAAAGAATCGACTCAATCAGAAATTCCTTGTCAGGATTGGGATTGAGCAAGTGTTGCATTATCAATTTGACAACATCTTTAAACACTTTGCCCTTCTGAATGGCGTTCCACATAATCACCAATAGTAATGCCAAAGCGACTTTATCTTCATAAGCCAAAGATGGTGAAACAACATCGTACGTTTCACGGTACATTTGCAAAGCAATGGCTTCTAGGTTCAGCAAATCGTTTTCCTTCATTACATTGACGCAAAGATTCAAAAAGCCAGATATTGGAAGTCTGTAAAACAACGAAAACTTCTCGAACAAAGACAATAACAGATGAATAGCCACACTTTGATCGGCCACTCCTTTATATTTTTCTCTCACTTCATCTACTTCTGACATGACATCCTTTGCATTTCCAAGTCTCTTTGAGAGTTCCAAACTATTTTTCTTCAATGTTTCCAAGGTGTCGAGTAACTTGTCATCTACCAAAATATTCTCAGTACTTGCGCTCAAAGACATTAGCAACTCATCCTCTAGGCTTTGCAAGCGTGAAATTAACTCGCTCCTTGCAAGAATTAACCCGGTCCTTTGTTTCTCCAACTCTGGGTGTGATACCTTCAAAGAATTATCAAGAATCCTATTCTCTAAACTTCCATTTGTGATGGAGAAATTTATAATACTGGCTCTTGATTGTACAAAATCAGTCAACTCAAGTTCGGGCTCTTTTGTGCACATAATCATTTTGAAACCAGGGTTAAAGTCCACAAGCTTTCCTCCAAGTTCGACCATCATTCTTCCACCATTCCTATAGATTGTATTTCGTAACAAATCATTAACAATAGGATTGTACTGCTCACTGTCATCTAAGACGAGTACTCCACCAAAGCGCAACGAGTTTTCTAAGCTATTTAAAAAGCCTTCATTGCTGAAACTTGTCACTGTGATCATTTTAGCTGGATAAGACTTGGCAATTAGATCAACCATAGTTCCAGTCGGATCAATCACAATTGGATACTCAACTAACCTCAACAATGCAACGTTGGCTTTGCTTAATTCATCATCTGACAATCCACACTCTAACCAAGGTTGGAATTCATCTTTCTTCATTAAATAATCAACAATCAGTAGCCTTTCATCGTATGTAATATATGATTCACTTAAACGTTTCTTCCAAAGTTTGAGCAAATACTCACGACCTTTCTCATCCAAAGTTCCTGCATAAGTCACAAATGAAGCGCATAACAAAGCTGTACCTACCAATTGCTCATTCTCCAATTCGAATGACTTGATTGAATCCTTCCATCTAGCCCTCTCATTCTCAAGATTTTCGACTAGTGAAATGCTTCGCTCAAGCTTTTGCAGTACCTCATCTGATTCCATTTTTATTTTCTCGCTCTCTCTAATCAAATCACTGTAGCTGTTTTTGCATTGCTCAATCTTTGTCTCTAATTCTGTAATCATTTGGTCTATGGCAATCAAATGAGCTTTAGTTTTAGAAGTCCTTTGCTCCAAGGCATTCACTTCTTCACGTAATGGACCAACCTCTTTTAATATGGAAGAGTATGCAAGTTGTGCTCGAACCCATTCCAACAACGGACCACAAGCCTTACTAGCCCTATGTGCAACTTCAAAGGTAAAGTCAGCTCTTGACAAATAAGTTTGTTCCATGTATTCCCTAAGTTCAGGTCCTAATTGGTACTCACAATTGAAATTGACGATATTTGGAATAAAATCATCTCCTCTTATTGCCAATTGCACATCTCTCCAACTTGACACACGATATCCTAACAAAACGCAGACTGATTCCATAGTCATCTTTACTGCGGCAGGCGGGTTCGACATACTCCTAATTTCGGTTAAGTGCTGTTTCTTTATATTTTGCACCCCTCGCTGTGCTTCTAGAACAGCTGGCTCAACTAACGCAAGTTCTTTCAAAACCGTCTCTCGTCTATGAAGAATGTCTGACTCTTGCCTCTCTAGTTCTGCTTGAGTTTCTATGGAAAATTCTTGCTTTCTTTCAGCCTCGTTTTGGTCCACGAGCATTTGATTCAACATTTCTCTGGCCTCTTTGTTCTTTTCTGACAAGGCTTTCTCTTTAGAAGCGAGGAACAGCTTCATCTTTTCTACTTGCAATACAGTTTCCTGAAGCTTTTCAAGTCCGATGATTACATGTCTCTGTCTTTCATCAGCCTCAGATCTCTTTCGATCACATAAGCTAATGAAAGTCTCTATGAGTTTCAAAAACTTGCCTGGATATTTCATTTCATGAGCAAATTCCAAGTGCGACATATTTTGGTGGACATATAACAAATAATCAATGACAAGGTCTTTATAGCTTTCATCACCACCTACTGTCTCTCCAGTAACCGTAGTCGGCGGCGAATCCAATACTAAATGGCTCAATTTTACTGACGCAATACTGTTTAAGCTATTATTCGACCAATCGCCCATCCAACTTAAAACACACCTATTGAACAAAGCCGGTGATGATAAAACTTCGTCTCCTTTACCTTTCCGAGACTCTCCAATAGTGAAAATGACGTGCAAGTTTTGCGAAATCTGGCCAGTAAACCAGCGAGTTAACTCACTGTCGGTATCAAGATACAACCCCTGTGACTGGGCTTTTTCCAAACATTTACTTGTCAATGTAGCATGGTTATCCCCTTCAAATAATCCCGGCACTTCTGCATTCGCCAACAAAATATTCATTCTTTCTACAAAAGAAGCTTCGACTATGCTCGATTCATCGATTATCAAGCACAATTTTTCTCCATCCACCACACGCAACAACAAGCGCCTCAAAAATTCATCGAAGTCGTCAATACTATAATCAGCTTTGACGCCCAATTGCACCACTTTTATTCCATTCATCCAGGCCACAAATCTTGATAGCGTGGTTCTACCACTTGAACTAGGTCCCACAAGAATACAATGACCTTGTGGCTGCTTTAAAACTCTATCGATCCTCAATATGTGATCTAACATTTCCTCGTGCAAAACCAAATCCGATTCAATTTCCTCTTCACTGTAAACTCTCAATCGTTCCTTGACAAACTGCTTAAGCTCTTGACTATTGATTGATTGATATCGTAATGTCATCCAATCGGTGAAAAACACGGGTGCTTTAAAGCATGTGTACACATCGACATTCGGGAAATGGTCTGCACCAACCCTCTGAAATAAACCTAATGTCCATAACTTATCTTCTTCATTTGATAGTCTATCGAAAAACAATCTCAATCCTTCATTAAACCACAAGCGCAAAAATTGTGTCAAATGCTGATATTCCATACTCTTTAATGCTTCGAACAAACCTCTACTCCATCGGGTCAATTCTCTAGGTGAGTAAACATATTGCACTAGCCTCGACTTTGAAAGCTCGTATATATCAATGCTTGCCCGCGTAATCTGATTCACAAAAGGTTTGATATTCGGGGCACATTTGAAAATTGCCTCATTTAATGTTTGATATATTCGAAGAAGAGACGAGTTTTCCGGGTAGTTGACCTGCACCAAGCATACATGCCGCAAAAAGTTTGGATTTAATTCGTACCTGCCAGGATCTTGGGGTGAATTACAAGCACCAACAAACTGTATGTTACGAAGATTGACCCATTGCATATCTTTTGTTCTCCAAAATCCATTCTGCTCGACCATTTGCCTGATTAAAGATATAACTGTTTGTGTACCAAACTTGTCAAGCCCTGGTAAGTTTATCTCGTCACAAAACACAACCACCCATTTCCCATTGGTTTTGGGGCAGAGTGTAGTCCCACCATTGACACGCCTGTACTCGCAAAAGTTCTCCATGGAGTCGAGCAACGATCTAGGAGTACTCTCTTTTGAGAAGTTGAGAGAAAGGATGTCAAATTGTGAAGATTGGGAGAGTGCTTTGAATAAGGTCATGGTCTTTCCTGAACCCGGTGGGCCACACAAAATCAAAGTTCTGTGCTCGTGAATCATGGAATAAATCAACGCCTCGTGTTTCATGGTATCAACCGTGGGCACAATAATATTAGGGTTGGTGATTTCTTGTGGTTGTAAATTTAATTGTGCTAACTTCGACTCAATAGGGATCCAATCTGCTTCTGGGTAGCCGACCTCATAGTCCAAAATATTCCCCCTGGGAAAGTCAACGAAGGCAAAGTCGGGGAAAGACTTGACTTGTTGTTCAAACTGAAATCTTTCCTCAGAAGTGCAATCACCTGCAAACGCCCATATTACAGCTAAAATGACAAGCTTACCAGCATATCTCTTGCAGTTCACAGAGTCAATTCTAGAGTTCACGGTCATTTGTAAGCATCCTCTAACATAGCTAATGACTAATGATTCTAAAGAACTGATAGCTCTTTCACTCGAATAGTGCATTATATGCTCCAATTGCTTACTATGAGTATCAAGACGGTCTATTAGACCAGGCGTCATCATCACTTCCACCACACAATCTATCAAATCCTTCGTCAAGGCGGACAACTGCAGCTTGTTGAGTACGCTCTCATCATCAAGGCGGATACCATGATGTTCTAGTTTGAAAAGAAGCCTTGAAGATAAATCGTTCACGGTCACTAATGACCTATCAAACCAAATCATACCGCATCTACTGATGGTTGCAGGTGTCGCGTTATTCAAGTTGGTGGTTTCAAACACAATGGATACACACGAGGGCAAAACCAACCTCTCCCCCGTGGGTAAAGTGAGTACCCGATTATCATCCAAAACACTATTAAGGTTTTCTGCCCATACCGGGTCAATGTCTCCATCAAACACAATCCACGTTCTCTTGTCCAATTCACCCCTCGAGTTTTCCTGGATTCTTCGCAACACACTGGTAAATAATCCATCAGTCCATTGCTTGGTAAGGCTATCAAATTTACCATACAAGTGCTCTTTGGAAAAAACTTTGGGACTGATTACAATTGAGTTGTGTTCGACTCCTTCCAGGGCCATCAACGCCTTCATGGTCATTTTCAAAACAGTTGTTTTTCCTGACCCGGACTCTCCAATTAACATTATTCCATGATTAGTGCTTTGAATGCTTGCCAACTGCAAAGCTTTCTCAATTATAGCCGAATTGGCCAGATAGCCCATATCAGTGCATATCTTTTCCAATTCAGATGTCAAGTGCGCTGTCCCTAGTGAGATTGTTGTATTAGGAAAACAGCAATCCTGCAAGTTCATAAAAATGTCAACATCATCAGCAGTTAATTTCGGCAACACCGTTTGGTGTATACTTCGTTTAACAATCTCGTACTCGCTCAATTTTGTGTCTTCCAAATTGGTATTCTCTCGATACTTCCACTTTCCGCACAAGCTAAGCGTAGTCTTTATGGCTCTCAACCCAAAATCGTAGTGTTTTTGATTCGACACCTTCAGTTCAATTTCAGTAAAGAACTGAGCAATCAGTGTGGACAAATCTTGAGCTAGGGTGAAAGTCATGGAGGTTAATAATACTTGAATTATGACTTGAACGTCGGGTTTAACCATTTGGAAGCTTCTAAACAATTTCTTTAAATTCTCTGGCAACTCGTTCCTGCCAGCGTATCCGGGATTCATTGTGACAAACAAAGCAGTCTCGGGGTTAACATGTAAGAAACGGTCAGATAACTCAATCAGCTCTAGCGGATGTTGAAGCCCATTCTGTATCGTCTCAATTTGAGAAGATATTGCACTCAAACTTTTCTCATCTAATCGATTAAACTCGTCAAAACAACCCCATACACCAACTTTGCACAACCCTTGGAAAATCCTTCCCATCGACAGGTAGTCAAACTGTTCATCACAACAAAAAACAACAACCATTTTCCCTAAATTCTGTCCAAGCGCTTTCACAGATTCAGTCTTTCCTGTACCCGATGGACCAACGGGAGAACCACCTAGTTGCATTGACAAAGCTTGTGTCATGTTCAAGAAGCAACGGTTGAGCAATGGCGAGTAAGCCAATTTTTCAGGGACTCCCATATACTCAAACCCGTAGTTAAACGAGGAATAAGCTTGTTTCATGACAACATCTAATGTGCTTTCTTCAAAGTAAAGCCTTTGCTGAACTGCCCATATAGCCCTCTTGTTGTCTGCACTAGCACTTTGGAGAATGCGTATAAGTTGCTGCTGTTGTAGAAGCTCGATGATGATATTTTGTATTTTCATTCGCAGTATTCCCTGCTTACACTTTTTGAGCAAATTGGTGTGAAATTGTATTAATTGATCAGCTCGGCAGCCAATGCCGATCATGTCAGACAGGATAGCCTTTTCAATCAACAGCGTAAAGATAATTTGAACTAAAAGATTTGCAATCTGGCCCGGTGTCATCTCTAGAAGTTCTAGCAATTCATCTTCTGCTCCAGTCTCAATAAACTTGCTCCAGGATGCATAATTTGTACCCACTTGATGCCTCAATGAGTTTTGAATTTGAAGTTCTAGTTCAACGAGCCATTCATGAAGCATAGAATACTTTACCAAAGAAACATGCTCAATCAAGGCTAAAGTCTCACCCTCTTCACTGCTGATACTGATTATAGAATGGGAAGCGTCGTCAAAATTGATTCTTGCAACACCTCCGAACATCTTCTTTGTATGCTTATTTATCCTTGTAATATCTTTGGAAAATCCAATCACCTCAAGCAAATCCTCATCTCCGAGGAAGAAAAATCGAGGAAATAAATCTCGTTGTTTTTCTAAGTACTCAGCTAAGGACCTTTGAATCCTCATTAAACTTGCCGAGAAGCGACTCATTTGACCTTGTATATCCCCAATTAATACGACGTCGATTACTAGGTCATATTTGTAGATTTGTTTCAATAAAGATACGAACTCGTAGCTAAGATTTTGGAATCGAGAATGTTCAAGCGGTAGCAAATTCCTCACTTCGTTATTATCCTTGCCAAGAACCCCGTCTAAAGAAATCCATTCTCGTTGAACATCAACCCACGCATCCAATATTGCATGGAGGGTATTTAACTTCAGTTCCCATTCCGATACTTTCCTTTCAAACGTGTCGTAGTAAAAGGACTTCTTTATCGAGCTAATTATTTCGAGGTTCGCTTCACACTGATCAAATATGACGTCCCAGTTTTTAACCAAACGACATTTGTTCTCATAGTTGAATAGTTCAAAGTAGGTACTAGACCAAGCTTCTTCAATTTTGCCAATACTATCTTCAATTGTCCGTTCATCGCGCGCTTGGTCCAAAATATCTTGAAGCAATTGCAAATTGAGATCTATCTTCAAGTGCCATACTGCACCAAGAGTGAGCTCGGTAACTATTTGCAATGGACACAACTGGTCTAATATTTTTTTCCAATGGCGCTCCTTCAATGAAGAATTGCTTAATTGCAACAATTTAGGGTGCACTTTCAAATTGTTCTTTACTTCTTCTTGTAGCTCATCGACTGCTGAATATTGTCGAATACTAAATGGGAGTTCTTTTATTGATTGCAAAATTTTATGCAACCCCAGGTTTACGGTTTGTGCATCAAAGTTCTTCCACAATGTACGCTTCATCAGTTGCAAATCCTCCCATAATATATTCACTGACGACCAAACTTGCTTGAGATGAGAAATATCTTCCATCGTTTCCAGCAAATCTTGAGTAAATGGTTGTTCCATCCCCATGTCTTTAGCAACCTCATTAAGCAACTTGCCGTAGGAGTATAAGTCATTGAGCTTGTGTTGGTATTCACTTAAGCACTGGAGAGCTGTTGCCGGCCGTAAATCACCATCAACAGGTCTTGCTTTTTCCCATTCTTTGATCAATTCGTGCAATGATCTGTTTGTCTCGATACATTCCGAATTAACACCAGACGTGACAAGCTCTCTGTTTTCCTCCACTAATCGCCGCTTTTCACTTAACAAAGCCTGCACTTTTGATAGATCACTCTCCAATTGCGTGGTGCAAAGCCAATCTAGTGGAAACTTGAAACGGTGTCTCATCATAAACTTCTCAATCGTAGCAAATAAAAGGATTGAGCTTTCCCATTCATGGACTTCGTTGGTAACCAGGATGATCTCTCCCAATTCAATAATGAATTGACGAAGATCACGATCAAAATTTATGCGCTTGTTCAACCTCTTGCACGCATTTGCGATTTGTTTTCCCAACGTCTGGATAATGTGTGAAAACTTGGCAGCAAATTCGACAAACAAGTCTCTTTTGCAAGTTTCGTAAAGAACTGACATTTTCGACAGAACTTGTTTTACTTCAATCCTCACCAATCCACCAAAGACAACCCTCAGTTCGTCAAACACCTTACCAAATTCACAAATATCTCGTAAACACTCAAACCAATTGTTGATATCGTCACCTGAGAATATCCAGTCTTTCTCCTCCCCAAGGCTTGCGTCCAACAAGTTTTGTATCGTATTCCATTTATTCACATAGTTTTCCACTTCCGTATAAATCGCATCAATTTTTTCGGTGACAAGATTTAAAATGAAATTTGAAGAATCATTATGGACTTCATCTAGCATGGATATAGCATGTTTTAGGCTTGCATCAATGAGGATATCTTGTTTGGCCACAATGGCTACAAATTGGTTTACTATTGACAAAAAGTGATTCCTGCCGTCCTTCAATGGTGGGGTTGACACGATTATCCCGTCATCGAATACTAACATGTGGGGGAAGGATGAAAATTTTGGAACATACTTTTCCTCATGCTCTGATTGTTCAGATGTCTCTGACGCGATCATATTATAGAATACTGTCAATTGGTCGTGCAATCTTCGATATAGGACGCTTTGAATTTCGTCACGAATCATTGATACCAAACTATCAGCTGCTGTGATTCCATCCAATATAGTCTCGTCCAATTTACTTTGCAACTTACTTAATATTTGCAGAAATTGCGTATAATCGAAATAGACTGTTTTAAGCTCATAAGTGCATTTCGCCATAAAGTTGAAGAGATTCTGAACTTTTGTGACTTGGATATCAATGTGCGTCAATAGCTGCGTCAATCTTTGTAAACCATTTAAAGCCCGCATCTCTATCAAACTCTCGCTTCTCATCAATAATGCATCATTTTGGTTTACCAAGTCAATTGCCTGCGATAAATGTATCCACTCAATCTCCGAAACTTGCTTCGTCAAAGGGATAAGTTTGTACACATCGCCAGAAATAAAGTCAAATATTCGGCTTTTCAGTTCGCCACTTGTGATGTCAAAGACTTTATTTATCATTGTAATTATGTTTTGAATCTCAACTGCCATGTGATACAATGCGGTTTGCTTCTTGATAGACAACACTGAGGGCGTGTTAAACCCCAAGTTTTCCAAAACTAGCCTTTTATCATACAGTTGAAGCTTCTCCAAATCAGCGTTAAGTTCTAGAGTGTATCTATCATTCCCTTGCTTTGAATATCTTATTACCACTCCCATCGTTCTTGGATCCATGATTTTATCACTGGAGTTCCATTCTACAAACACTTTCTCAGGATCCAAGCTAGCAATCAAATTATTCGTCAACGTGTCAATTTTTGAACCAACGGAATAATTTTTCCAATCTGTACCTAAAAGCGCATTTAGAGTCTCGCGGTAAAACTCCAACTTGGATATCAATCCCAAGTTACGCATAATCTCTTCATAGCCGCGGCATGTGGATGCGTTCAAGTCCTCTCTTACCCACTGAATCTCGAGCATAGCGCGGTCAAGAATTTTCAACTTGTGATTGTCTTGGAGAGTCATGAAAGATTGATTGGTCACATTCGCCGAGTCCAAATTGGGGAAAAATTGGTGAAATATATTCAAATAGTCCGAAAGCAGTTCAGCAGTGTTGAAAAAAGTATTGATTTTGGTTACAACGCTGGTAAAAATGGAATTAAAGACTTGCGTGTAAGCGTTTTCGTGCATGTTCCAGACCAACTTGCCTTCATGAGATACATCAATGACATTAATCAGGATGACATACTTGTTATATGCCTCTATAAGGCACTTGACACACTTTGCTTTCTCATCGCTACTAAGTGAATTTTCAACACTGTATAGCAAGTTTTCGTGATTAGCGCGGAAGTTGGTCAATTTGTCTAATTTAGAAGCAAGTGAATCTAGTTCGGTTTTGTCAATAAGAATTGGTTTGACTTTTTCCTGGCGCTTTCGAGCAATCTCTCGTAGCACAGTTGTGGTTAATTTCAACCTATCATTGATTGAGTCGATAGCCTTTAACGCAATAACTTGATGATTAATGAACGACGTGTACCCTAGGGACATTATCTCATTCTTGGAAACTAATTCCTGAAATTTTCGGCTGATTTCCACTAGCAACAATTGAATAATCTCAACTCCCGTCGAAATTGCTAAGAGTGACAACTTTTGGTTGATATGAGAGAACAAGCCATACACTGCATAGTTAAATGATTCATAAGTTGCATCATCGTCATTTAAAAGCTCATCAAGTGGTATATCTCTGAAAAAGCCCTTGTAGGAAGCTGCAGTTGATTTCATTTCTTTTAACCCAATATCATTTTCAAAGCTCAATGTAACGTGGAATCTGCGTGCTTTGCTCAAGACTTCTAACGTTGTCGTGACCTCGTTACTTTTTATCTGTTTATCAATGGACGCTAATGCCAATTCAACTGTGTTCCAAAATTGTATTTCATCCCCCAATGATTTACTATCTGACGGAGAATGAGCGATTTTCGTTATGGTCTGTATTTGGTTGATCCAGTCATTCGAAACAGCCGTCAACTCGTTTATAAACGCGATATCATCAAACAAGTCTTGAGACACCACTACTTCTCCTGATATTATACTTTTGATTTTTGGATGAGTAGTTATGAGTAGATTGGGTATCTGAACGGATCGTGCATTTTGCAATGCTAACGATAGATCATTTAATCTTTTCCTGGTTACACTTGATCCTCGTTCTGAAGATATTAAATCAAAGTACGGCAAAAGCCCAAAATCAACTGCCATCTTCAACGCGTCAATGGATAGTTCATTAGTGTTGGCTTCTGAGGTCACTGGCATCTTCATTAAGTTAAGCTGAGAACCAAATGGTCTATCCAGCACAAGTACGCCCTTGGGCTTGATAACGAATACTATAGATTCAATGTCATTTATGATTGGCTTTATTGTCGTTGTGGAATTGTAGATTCTATGGTGATTCTGATTTTTCTGATTAATTATAAGAAGCGTGTCTGAATCGTGGTTGTCTAGAAAGATTTGAATGCAGCCATTATTATCCTCTATCGTTGCACTCTCTCCATCTATTATTCTAACAAGGTCTAAAATATGATTATAAAGAGCCTGGCGTGAGCTCGGATCTTCCACTGATGGAGCCATGGCTGTTTGTATTAAAGTGGTTACTATGCTCTCCGACTTGGTGTTTACATTTTTGATCTCATTTCTGATCTCACACGCGAAAAATTTGAAATTGGTGTTGCGTCCTCTAGTCTCTACTCTAAAGAATGGTAAAGTAAGGTCATTAGATAGCTTATATAAGTCGTTAATGGGTAGATGATTTTACAGAATCAATCGTGAAATGTATCCAGACCACTGCTGCCAGTAGAACCTCAGTCCAGTAAAGAGGAAGAACTGAAATCATGCAGACAGCTTATATGCATCCATCTTTTGAGTCGCAGAATTTAAGTCCTAGTTTAGAACATATTCTCAACCAAAGAAAATTAGAGCAAGCTTTCATAATAAATCTTGTTAGACAGTAGGTCTATGGGTTAAGTGCAATTTTTTTATGTTGGGTTCCTGGATCAGAAATGTCAATAAAGTGGTACGTCACTATTCTACTTATCTATTGTTTTCAATTTGGGGTAAAAATATATCCATTAGAAGTCCATCTTTACAATGTATGGAACAAGTTGCAACGAATTACACAGCAACATTTTGTAGGTAAATATATGCAAAAAAAGAAAAATTATTGGTAATTGTCACTCACCTACTACTACTACTACTACTATTACTACTCTATTGTTAGCATGAATTCTTCTGGAGTTAGAAGAAATGTTGCTTTGTTTACCAAGTTAACAATTTACATGACAAGAAAGATAAAGGTCTTTTGTAAGTGAAGTGTGTAAAAATATGCTAGGACATAAGCCTTTGCAATGTGTGCAATTCTTTTAAGACCCAAAACCCTAAATCCTAAACCCGAAAAGTTGTCCGGGGCTACCCATTTGGAATACGGTTTTCAGATTATCCCCGTAAAAAACTATAATTGTTGGCTATGTTGTTTCCATTAAGGCGTATGGTTATGTAACTTTTCGGGACTAAAAAAACGGGATGTTTAATTGTTCGGACTTCAGAATCTCCGATTTTTACCGCATTTTGTTTTGTTTTTTAAGTGTGTAAGTTTCTTTTTTTCTTCTTCTCCCCTTTGGTTTTTGTTTCTGTGTTCGCAATTTTTCGGAGGTTGAAACCAAAGGATGCCGACTTTTTGGGGGATCTTCTATGCGATCTCAGGTTATAGGCAACTGGACAGAGTGTTTGACAGTGCTACCTTTTTATCTCGGTACATTCATCAAGTGAAGCTTAAGTGTCGCAATTTGGGTTGTAGTGTTGACTAGCGGCTCCATATCTTGAATGAAGACCCTGTTGAAGCAATAACTTGTCTAACCATGATGAATTTGCTGCAAGACTGGCTAACATGACAAAAATTATTACAGTTGGAGAAACAATCCTAAGAGTACGGCAATTATCAACATTCTTACAACCGCTTGAAGAAGATCCTGGAAACTAGATCGAGTTGAGATAGTTGCACACTACGTAACTTTCTCCAAATCGCACCGTGAGCAACTACAGAAGCTTGCAGTGGACCACAGGTGTGTGTTGCAATGCATTAAAAAAAAAAACGGAAATTAAGCCGAATAACAACCCGAAAAATAACTTATAGGAAACGGCTTTTAACTCCTTGCAGTAGTGAGATCTAGTTGGTTATCTTTAGCCAAAAGCAATGTAGCCGTTGAACGGCTGCAATCTTTCAATCCACTATTGTCTAACATTTACTGTCAATCTGATGTCTGGCCAGTTCAACTATCAGCCGTTTCATGGTACCGTTTCAATGTTCATTCCGAGTCCCGAATATTTTTTTCAGCCTTTCTTTATCTTTGTGTAACTAATCAACTATTACATATTGTATCTCTATACGATACAATTCTTTTTGTAACCACAGTTTTCTTGCTAATACTATGTATGTATGTAATTTTTCTTGTGATATATTGGGAAATGTCTTAGTTCCGTAATGACTAAGAACAAAACAAAACAAAAAAACAAAACAAAACAAAACAAAGGCAGATGAAATTTCATATAATTTGATTTTCTTTATTTTGGGTTAAATATATATAAAGAGGTCAGTGTCCCTTTTTATCTGTCTATTGCCACCAATTATTCTTTCACTCGGAACTAAGCGAAATTTCTTTTCACTTTAAGAAGAGGTTTTTTATTTTTTCAACGAAGAAGGTTTTCCAACAGTCATGTCTGATATAGGAAAAGAGTCCAAGGAGGACTCTTTGAACAGATTGGAGAAACATAAAACTGTTTCGTCTTCTTCTGACAAAGAAGACGTTGAAGACTATACAGGGTTTGACGCCCAAGAGGTCCAGCAGTTGGCAAAGACATTCACGAATGACGACACTAGCTCAGCTGCCGGTTTGAGAAGGTATTTAACACACATGTCCATGGTTCCTGGTGTGAATCCCGTCGAGGAAGACATGGGAGATGAGAGATTGGATCCCAACTCAGACAATTTTGATGCCAAATTCTGGGTCAAGAATATGAGAAAGTTATTTGAAAATAATCCAGACTACTACAAACCTTCTAAATTGGGTGTAGCATATCGAGACTTGAGAGCTTATGGTACAGCAAATGATACAGACTATCAGCCAACAGTGACAAATGCTCTTTGGAAGATTGCCACAGAAGCCTTGGGACAGTTGAGAAAAGAAGACGAGTCAAAAATGTTCAACATTTTGAAACATATGGACGCTATAATGAGACCCGGAGAGCTCACAGTTGTTTTGGGAAGACCAGGTGCTGGTTGCTCCACATTGTTGAAAACTATTGCCGTCAACACTTACGGTTTCCACATTGGTAAGGAATCAAAGATAACCTATGATGGTTTAACGCCAAAAGATATAACCAAGCACTATCGTGGAGATATTATCTACTCCGCTGAAACTGATGTCCACTTTCCACATTTGTCAGTAGGGGATACTTTGCAATTTGCAGCCAGATTGAGAACACCACAAAATAGAGGTGAAAATGTGGATAGAAAGAAGTATGCAGAGCACATGGCCGATGTGTACATGGCCACATATGGGTTGTTACATACCCGAAATACCAATGTCGGTAATGACTTTGTTAGAGGTGTTTCAGGAGGTGAAAGAAAGAGAGTGTCAATTGCTGAGGCTTCATTGAATGGTGCTAATATTCAATGCTGGGACAATGCCACCAGAGGGTTGGACTCAGCCACAGCATTGGAGTTCATCAGAGCATTGAAGACATCAGCAGCGATCTTGGATACTACCCCCTTGATTGCTATCTACCAATGTTCACAAGATGCATACGACTTATTCGACAAGGTTGTTGTGTTGTACGAGGGATACCAAATCTTTTTTGGTCGCGCCGATAAAGCCAAAGAATTTTTCGTCAACATGGGGTGGGATTGCCCACAAAGACAAACCACTGCCGATTTCTTAACTTCTTTGACTAACCCAGCAGAAAGGAAGCCACGTCCAGGGTTTGCAGATAAAGTGCCCCGCACAGCCGAAGAGTTTGAAACAAGATGGAAAAAGTCACCAGAGTATGCTGCTTTAACCAAGGAGATTGATGAGTACTTTGCTGAATGTGAAAAGCTCAACACCAAGCAAAAATTTAAAGAGGCCCACATCGCCAAACAGTCTGACCATGTTAAGCCCGGCTCATCATATACAGTCTCTTTCTACATGCAAGTGAGATACCTCATGTATCGCAACTGGCTTTTAACAAAGGGTGAACCATCGGTGACAATCTTTACCATAGTTGGTCAGTTTGTCATGGGTCTTATTCTTTGTTCAGTGTTTTACAACTTGCAACAAGACACAGGATCATTTTACTACAGGGGTGCTGCCATGTTCTATGCTGTATTGTACAATGCTTTTTCATCGCTTTTAGAAATTTTGGCTCTCTTTGACGCCAGGCCAATTATTGAAAAACACAAAAAGTATGCTTTATATCGTCCCTCTGCCGAGGCATTTGCGAGTGTGATAACGCAACTACCAGTAAAGGTTGTATCATCAATGTCGTTCAATTTTGTATTCTACTTCATGGTCAATTTCAGACGAAATCCGGGCAGGTTCTTTTTTTACTGGTTGATTTGCTTTTGGTGTACTTTAGTCATGTCGCATATTTTCAGGTCCATTGGAGCAATGTCTAAATCCATATCATCTTCAATGACGCCAGCAACGACAATATTATTGGCGATGGTTATATACACTGGATTTGTCATTCCCACGCCGAAGATGTTGGGATGGTCGAGGTGGATCAATTACATTAACCCCATCGGGTATGTCTTTGAGTCACTCATGTGCAACGAATTCCATGACAGAGAATTTAAATGTACTGAGTTTATCCCATCCGGCTTGGGATACAACAATATACCCAACGAGAATAGAATTTGTTCTACAGTAGGATCGAGACCGGGAAATGATATCGTTAATGGTTCTGACTATATCAGAGTTGCCTATAGCTACTACAACTCCCACAAGTGGAGGAACTTTGGTATAACTGTTGGATTTGCAGTCTTTTTCTTTTTCGTTTACATCGCATTGACCGAGTTTAATAAAGGTGCTATGCAAAAGGGTGAAATTGTTTTATTTTTGAGAAGCTCCTTGAAAAAAATCAAACGCCAAAGGTTGGACAATGACTGCGAATCTGGGGAGAATGAAAAGCTTCCCCACAGTACAGAGACAGAAAATAGTGGTAACAGGTTGGAACTTTCAAGCAACAACGAGATCTTCTTATGGAGAGACTTGACCTATAAAGTGAGGATTAAAACGGAGGATAGGGTGATTTTGAACCACATTGATGGGTGGGTCAAACCGGGCCAGATTACCGCCTTGATGGGTGCTTCCGGTGCCGGTAAAACAACGTTGTTGAACTGCTTGTCAGAGAGACTCACCACAGGGGTCATAACCGATGGTGTCAGAATGGTGAATGGCCACTCTCTCGACTCATCGTTTCGAAGAAGCATTGGTTATGCTCAGCAACAAGACATTCACCTTCCAACATCGACAGTCAGAGAAGCACTTCAATTTTCTGCCTACTTGAGACAATCAAACAAGATTCCAAAGAGTGAGAAAGACGCTTACGTAGACTACATCATTGATTTGTTGGAAATGTCAAATTATGCAGACGCATTGGTTGGTGTTGCAGGAGAGGGCTTAAACGTTGAACAGAGAAAAAGATTAACCATTGGAGTGGAATTGGTGGCTAAGCCTAAGTTGTTGTTGTTCCTTGACGAGCCTACTTCAGGTTTGGACTCACAAACTGCGTGGGCTATCTGCAAGTTATTGCGAAAGTTGGCTGACCACGGACAAGCAATATTGTGCACCATTCACCAGCCATCGGCGCTTTTGATGCAAGAGTTTGACAGGTTATTGTTTTTGCAACAAGGAGGCGAGACCGTGTACTTTGGCGACTTGGGAGAAAACTTTGAAACGCTAATCAACTATTTTGAGAGGAATGGTGCTGACCCATGCCCCAAGACTGCCAATCCTGCTGACTGGATGTTGCAAGTGGTTGGTGCTGCCCCAGGGTCGCATGCAAAGTATGACTATTTTGAAGTATGGAAGAATTCTCCTGAATACTCTTCCATTCAAAGGGAATTGGACACTATGGAGAACGAGTTATCAAAACTTCCTCGGGATGACGACCCAGAAACAAAGTTTAAATATGCCGCCCCGATTTGGAAACAGTACCTCTTGGCTACTAAAAGAGCCATGTTACAAAACTGGAGATCACCAGGATTCATCTATGCCAAATTCATCTTGGTCGTCTTGGCATCGTTGTTCAATGGATTTTCTTTCTTCAAGGCTGACAAATCGATACAAGGCTTGCAAAACCAAATGTTTTCCGTGTTTCTTTTCTTTGTTCCCTTCAACACCCTTATTGAGCAATTGCTTCCGCAATATGTGAAGCAAAGAGAGGTTTACGAAGTTAGAGAGGCACCTTCACGAACATTCAACTGGTTTGCATTCATCATGGCACAGATAACCGCCGAGTTTCCTCCTCAAATACTAGTTGGTACAGTGGCGTACTTTTGTTGGTATTACCCTATTGGTCTATATGCCAACGCAGAGCCCACGCATGCGGTAAAGGAACGTGGTGCGTTAATGTGGCTATTCATCAACTCTTTCTTTGTATACACCAGCACCATGGGTCTCATGTGTATCTCATTCATCGAGTTGGCAGATAACGCAGCCAATCTAGCTACCATATTATTCACAATGTGCTTGAATTTCTGTGGTGTTCTCAAGCCAGGAGATAAACTTCCGCGTTTTTGGATATTCATGTACCGTGCTAATCCTTTCACTTACATGGTGCAAGGCATCTTGGCTACAGCTTTGGCCAACTCTAAAGTTGTATGCAGCAAGGCTGAATTGTTGAGTCTCAATCCACCAAAGGGACAGACATGCCAAGCATTTCTACAACCGTATGTCGATGCAGCTGGTGGATATATTTTGGATGGAAAAAGTGGTTGCCAGTTGTGCCCCATGAGCTCAACAAATACCTTTTTGGATTCTATAGATGCAAACTACAGTGAAAGGTGGAGAAATTTTGGATTGGTGATTGTGTTTATTGCAATCAATATTGTTTTCACGGGGCTCTTTTACTGGTTAGCGAGGGTACCCAAGGGGGACCGTGAAAAGATCAAGAAAGGGAAAGAGTAATATAGTAATAGTAAAGCTTTTTAAAGTAGTCTTAACTTAATTCCTCTAAATCTTTTCAGTCAATTCAGGCACTATAGTGTCAAGATCACCAACAAGGCCAATATCAGCAACATTAAAGATTGGAGCTTCTGCATCTTTATTGATAGCAACGATAACCTTTGCATCCTTCATACCAGCTAAATGTTGAATAGCACCGGATATACCAATTGCAATGTACAATTCAGGAGCAACGATCTTTCCAGTTTGTCCAACTTGCAAGGAGTTGTCACAGAATCCAGAGTCAACAGCTGCCCTTGATGCACCAATTGCCGCATTCAACTTTTTGGCCAAAGGATCGATCAACGCATCAAACGTCTCTCTATTCTTTAACCCACGACCTCCGGCAACCACACGAGTGGCAGAGCCCAATTCAGGTCTTTCTGATGTAACCAAATCCTCAGAAACAAACTCGGCACTATTTCCTGATTCAGCCTCTGCACTAATTTCCTCAATCGGAGCGGCATCTTGTTCCTTTGCTGGCGCAAAAGCCGATGCTCTAACCGATGCAAGTATTACACCATCAGTTGATTCAACAGTGGCTAAAGCATTCCCGGCGTAAATGGGACGAACAAACGTCTTGCCGTCAATTACCTTTGTAATGTCACTCAATGGTTGTACGTCTAGCAAGGCTCCCAATCTGGGTAAAATTGACTTTCCAACAGATGAGCCAGAGATTAAAAAGTGGGTAAATTTCCCATCGATCAATTGCTTCAATAAGGGGCTCACTTGTTCAGATAAGTAGTGCTCGTATGGTTTTCCAGTTTTAAGCACTTTGGTAACGCCCTCCACCTTGGCAGCTCCTTCAGCTATGCTAGGATCGACTACCAATGCCGTTATCGGCTCACCAATTTGGGTGGCAGCCGAGACAGTGGATAAGGATGCTGGGTTTATTTGACCTTTGGATCCCTCGATTAAAATCAAACTATCCTTCAATGATCTTGTAACTGAAAATAACCTCTTGAATATCATTATTGCTGGTGAATAAAAGAGGTATGTTTGAGAGATTTCCAATTTTTTTTTCTCTCTCTCATTGGCAAAGTATCATCCACCGACAATGTCGAGTTCAAGACGAATAGCAAGTCCGTCACCAAGCTTACGGCCAATCTCAGCTAGGCGTGTTCACAACTCCGAGAGGCAGCAACTAATCCATACTGATACCAGCAAGTACACCGACGATTCATCAAGTTCAGACACAAACTCAATCAACTATAAACAGTATGCGCCTGCATCCACAGTTAATTTAGAACATTTAGAATGGAGCGACATCCTCCCTTACTATTTACCCTTCTTGTCGTGGATCGGACATTATAGCTTTCGCTACTTCGTGGGAGACTTGATTGGAGGCTTGACGTTGGTCTTCTTCCAGCTCCCTTTGTCGTTATCGTATGCAACCACGTTGGCACATGTACCAGTGATCTCGGGTTTATACTCATTGGGCATTGCACCGTTCATCTACTTGGTGTTTGGCAGTGTACCCCAAATGGTGGTTGGGCCCGAGGCGCCCATTTCGCTAGTTGTCGGACAAGCGGTTGAACCTCTACTTCATCATATGAAAAAGAAGCATTTGGACCCATTGGATTACGTATCGGTGATAACCTTCCTCAGTGGGGCTAGTTTATTGGGGTTTGGAATTGGAAGGTTGGGGTTCTTAGACAACGTTTTGAGTGGATCGCTTTTGAAAGGTTTCATTGCGGGAGTAGGGGTGGTTATGAATATAAATTCGCTTATAATTGTCCTAGGATTGGAAAAGTTGATGAAGGATATTTCTGATGACCCGTCCCAGATGGATATCCATTCGCCGTTTGACAAGGTGGTGTTTTTGATTAAAAATGCAGGACATTTTGATCCATTGAGTGCAAAGATTAGCGCTATTGGGTTTTCGATAATCATACTCTGCAGAATCATCAAAAAGAGGAGCAAGAATTCCTTGGTGGCTCTTTTCCCAGAGATAATGATTGTCGTCGGTGGTGCAACTATATTTTGTCAGTACTTTAGATGGGACCTTGATGGTGTGGATATCATTGGCAAGGTGAAAACTAAGGAGTCGTTGACATTTTACAATCCCCTAAGTCTGTGGAAGCTCATAAAGCAGTTAGGCACCTCTGGGTTTCTTTGTGCCATGTTGGGCTTTTTTGAATCTACTACTGCGTCGAAATCATTGGGCACGAGATTCGATTTGCCCATATCTACAAACAGAGAGTTGGTTGCTTTGGGAAGTTTAAACTTGATTGGCTCGTTGTTTGGTGCATTACCCGCGTTTGGTGGCTATGGCAGAAGCAAGATTAACGCCATATCAGCCAAAACTACAATGTCTGGAGCCATAATGGGCCTATTGACCATCCTCACGATTCAGTTTCTCCTTGGGTACTTGTACTTTGTTCCTAAATGTATGTTGAGTGTTGTCACAAGCGTGATTGGTATCCTGTTGATCGAGGAGGCTCCATACGAGCTAGCATTTTATTGGAGAACTGGAGGGAAGGACGAATTAATCACCTTTGCAATCACAGTACTCACTACGTTATTATTCTCCATCGAGGGTGGAATTGCTGTTGGACTTGTGTACTCCTTAATCCGAGTCATCAAGAATTCCACTGCATCGCGCATACAAATTTTGGGGAGAATTCCCAATTCGAACACATTTGTTGATGCTGATATCCCAGTGGAGGAAGTTGACGACAGCATATCGCGATTGAACATTTTCAACGACATGAGACAGACGCTGCTAAACATTGCAGCGATTGAAGAAGTGGAAGGCTGTTTGATTATCAAGATTCCAGAGCCGTTAAACTTCACCAATAGTAGTGATTTGGTGGCAAGGTTGAAAAGGGTGGAAATGTATGGCTCTACGCGGGCGCACCCAGCGCTGAAGAGAAGTCGTGATCAGGAAATGACCAGATACGTGATTTTCGATGTCGACAGCATGAACTCTATCGACTCTTCAGCGGCGCAGACCATGAAGAACTTGATAACAAACTATCAAAGACGAGGAATCAGGTCTTTGTTTGTTCGTGTATCTAGCAACGTCAAGCCTATTTTAAGGCAAGCTGGTATTCGCGATCTTCTCAACCACGACGTACAAGAGTTGCGTTACAATGAAATACAAGAGTTTGCAAGCCACAGTGACAATGAACCTGTACGGAGTTGTCGCGGTATCCTAGGAAATGGACCATATTTCGAACACATTCTGGATGCTTTGCGGTTGATAGATTGCTTTGAGATGGTATACGGTGAAGTGTAGTTGGTAGCTCCAATATTTATCTATTTATTTACATTTTTAAATCTACGCGTCTAAATTGTAAACAAACCATTTTTGTAAAACAACAGTGCTTCAAGTATGGCTAGCGTTGATTTCACACCAATCGGTAAAAAGAGACCAAATACCAAATTCCAAGTAATTCGAGGCTACAATGCAGAAGAGAATCGACCCAACAACCGAAATTTGTTTCATACATTGAAGGACTCGACAAACATCCACCATGATGTAGGTGACTTTAGTTTCGACGAGACTACAAGAGAGTGGGAAGACGACTTTAAAAAGCAAGCGGTGTCAACTAAGCCCCATAAGAGATCACCAAGGCATGAAACAGTGTTTGCAAATGTAGGATTGGGGGTCAACCAGCTGGAGGAAATTATACACCGCTTGGAGTCTGAAGCGTTAAGCTGGAAGATTAAATACAAAGAGCTTCTCAAGTTAGTTGAGGAAATGGAGGTTGACAGTAATATGATTGAAGTTAATGCAGAACTTAAAAGTCAATTGAAGTTGATGGAGGAGAGGTTACAACGTACTGAGAAGGACCCACAGAAGGACCCACAGAAGGAGAAATATCTTCTCGAACTCGAACACAAGGATAAGATGATTCACCGATTGATTAGAGATATGGAGAAATTGGAAAAAGAGTTACAATCACATGACAAAGATGATAGTGAGGAATTGAAACACGAGTGCTTACAGTTGAGACAGAAGCTTAGCATTTACGAGGAAAAGCTAAGCGATTACGACATGGTTAGAGAAGGCAATTCGGAAATTCGCAAGCAATCGCAGGAGGATAGCAGGCAAATAAAAGAATTGAAACGAATAATCGAAGAAAATGACCAGATACACCGGTCAGAGCTAGACCATTTGAAGTTGTTGCTAGCAAATGCCGAACTCAAGTTGAATACAGCTCAAAAGGAGGTCAATACGATGAAAGAAAAGTCTTCTGATACTCTGCAAGCAAGGAGACATTTTCAGGCTGATTTGAACGAACTCAGCGATGTAAATCAAGGTCTCAGAAAACAACTTGATAGTCAGCTGCAGAAGCTGAAACAGTTGCAAGCTGATGTGGATGCGCTTACGAGGACCAAACTGGATTTGTTGCGCCAGATAGAGCACGAAAGAAACAAATCAAACGATTTAGCCAGTGACGTACGCCAGTATGACAAAGACAATAGATTATTAGTGGACAAGCTTGATAAAGAGAAAGAACGAGTAAAAGACCTTGTGAGCGAAGTTCAAATAGCGCAAAGAGCCATAGAGCGAGGAAGACATGAGCAAGCAGAAATGGAAAGATTGTTGGGGAAGACTAACAACCACTTGGAAAATGTTGATGCTGAAAGAGTGAGCTCATTGAAGAAAGAACAGTCACAGTTGCAGAACAAGATGAAAGAGGTAGTTTCTCATTGTCAAGACTTGGAAGAAGAGGTAACCTCGTTAAAGACCAAATTGAAGAATAAAGCAAACTCCAACCTCGAGCAGGAGGCTCAGATCCATACTCTCGAGGAGGAAAATTTACACTTGGCTCTTGATCATGAAAAACTCGCTTCAACGAATCAGTCATTGAAAAACGAAATTGAAAAAATGAAAGCTGATCTTCAAATTTGCCTCCACGAGATTGACCAGCTCGAAAACTTGAACGAGATGGAGTCGGAAAAACGAGTGTCGCAGTTGTTGTCAAGTGAACATGCTCTCAAAGAGGAAGTTTCATCGTTATCAAAGTTGGTTCTCCTGTTGGAGGAAGAATTGAGATTGCTAAAAGAGGAGGGTCAAGACAACAAAGAACTCTTTGATGACAACAGGGAGCTAGTGAGAAAACTCAAAGAGATGCAACGAATCCTTGAAGATTTGGGAGTCTCAAGTAAAGAAGAGTTAGACATTTTTGAGACCAACGTGAGAGACAGAATAATGACTATGAAAAATGAGTTGAAGGATAGCGATTTGCTTGTGAGAAAGTTGGAAAATGAGCTTAAAAAGACCCACGAGGAAATCAGATTCTTACAAGATAGGGTAGTCAGCAAAGAGGAACAACTCAAGTCAGTAGAGAGTCTATTGAATGGTGACAAAAAGGAAGAAGAATCAGCCATTCAAGCATACCAAGAATTCCAACTCAAAAAGGCTCGAGAGGAGCTCAGTGGAATCACAGAACAGCTAAAAAATACTAAATTGGACCGTGATGCAGAAATCGCCAGAGTAGAAAAGTCGAACAACGATAAAGTGAAAGAGCTACAGGATCAAATAAGCGACTACAAGTCACAGTTGAGCAACTCCACCAAAGACTACAGAAAGCTTACGGAAAAAATGTTGGAGTACAAAACCAATCTCAAGTCAGTTGAGGATATCGAGCGGGTCAAGTTTTACATAAACGGTTGGCAATACTTTAAACAAAGATATAGGGATGCTGCGCTCAAGGCGCTGGATTACATGTTCATGTATGACTATGCTATCAATCAAATCAAAAACAGTCGATTTAAAGTTAGTGATGATTCAAAGTTGGCTGTTGTTGGGTTATATCCGGAATACGTTGGTGGATCAACGAAACCTAAGCGCACTTTCAAAGGTTTGGCACTATCTGTGATAGCATCAATAAGGCTAAGCAAGCGGACCAAATATGAAAAGACCAGGTTTAAGGAATTGAACAAGACGAGGAAAGAATTGGACGACGCTAGGACAAGGTTTAAGAATAAAGAGAAACCGTATGTAGTAAAAACAATGTAAACCGAGTTTATTCACGCACCTGTGATATTTTTTTTTTTTTTTTTTCTATTTTTTTGTTTTCTTTCTGATTTATCCGTGAACAAACTTTTGTCTTTTTCCCCACTAAAATACCCACCACCTATGAAAAAGTAAAGCCATGAGTGAAGAACCACTATCAGAAATTTCTTCTTCAACATCATCCTTTGTACCGGTCCATGTGCAAGATGCAATCCAGGTCATTGATGAGAACAAAGAGTTCAACAATGCGATTTTAGATTACATTGGCAAGACGTCACTGGCAAATGTGGGCCACAATTATCACATTGTGGCAGTGTTTGGGTCACAATCAACGGGTAAGTCAACGTTGTTGAATAACTTATTTAATACTAATTTTGATGTCATGAACGAACACAGTAGACAACAAACAACCAAAGGTATTTGGTTGGCTCATTCTCCAGGAGTTTCAACAACATCTGGCCACGTTTCCACAAAATCAAACATTCTTGTTATGGACGTTGAAGGGACTGACGGAAGAGAAAGAGGTGAGGATCAGGATTTTGAGAGGAAAGCCGCCTTATTTGCATTATCCACGTCGGAAGTATTGATCCTCAACATCTGGGAAACCCAAGTTGGGCTATACCAAGGTGCGAATTTAGGTTTGTTAAAGACAGTCTTTGAAGTGAATATCACGTTGTTTGGAAAAAGCAAGTTGGATTCCAGTAACGACCACAAGGTGTTGTTGTTGATTGTTATTCGAGATCATGTGGGAACGACTCCCGTTGAAAGTTTGGCCGACACCATTACCCAGGATTTGAAAAAGATTTGGGACTCATTGCTGAAGCCAAGCGAGTTGAGCCATTTAAAATTTGAGGACTTTTTTGATTTGGATTTCCATGCATTGAACCATAAGATACTTCAGCCGAAAGAATTCTTGGAGGGAATCGGAAGACTAGGGGACAGAATGGTCAAAGAGGGTGACCTCTTCAAGCCTGAGTATCACCATAGTATTCCTGTTGAAGGCTGGACGTTATATGCTGAAAAGTGTTGGGAGCAAATTGAAAACAACAAGGACTTGGATCTACCAACTCAACAGATTTTAGTTGCACAATTCAAGTGTGACGAGATTGTCGAGCAAATGTACCAAGAGTTTTTGAGAAAATTTGGTGAATTGTTTAAAGTGGTTGAAAATGACCCATCGTATGAAGACATTGGTGCCGTGTTTATTGACTTAAAGCATGATATACTTGAAGAGTACGACCACGCGGCAGCCAAATACAACAAGTCTGTCTACGAACAAAAGCGTGTCAAGTTAGAGTCATTGATCCACTCCAAATTCAAAGAACTCTTTGATACATACGCTAAACAGTTGGTTGAAACCACCACATCTTCGTTTAGGGTTGATTTAGCGGCATTAAAAGGAAAAGATTTTGTTCAACAGAGCAAACAGTTGTCAGAAAAGGTTATAAACTTGATTGAAACGAGTTTAGGCTTGATTTCATTGGAGGGAGTATTTGAATATAATGATGTCATTGAGCAAGTTGAAAAAGCGATCAGCTCTACAATCACAAAGCAGCAAAAGGTTGAATTGGATAGTATTGTAAATAAGGCTACCAAAAAATTGTCCACCAGCTTGTCTAAAACGATACAATTTGAGCTTAATGATCCCAGTGAGACCACTTGGGACATAATTTTGAAACAATTTGACAGTTACATCAACGAATTCGTTTCCAAGTATAAGGGCGATTTTGGCTTGAATACTTCAGAAACTGATAATGAAGAAGCTGTCAAGAAATTCAAGTTCAAATCTTGGAACAACTTTTACGATCTTATCCACAAGTTCATCTACAAGGAGAGGGTTCTTGACATCTTACAAAGCAGATTCGACGACAAGTTTAGGTATGATTCTAATGGTTTACCCAAGTTGTATCAGGATGCAAGAGAATTGGAAGCCAACTTTGCTATTGCTAAGGAATATGCTTTAGTGGTTTTACCCGTTCTTACTATTGCAAAACTCAGCGATGACTCGGAGATTGTACCAGAGTTTGATATATTTAATGCAAAATTGCGGGCTCAGTATTTAGGCTTGAAGCTGAGCCAAAGTGATGAAGACGAAGATGAAGACAACGACGAGTCACAGTCATTTTCCGATATCATTGATGAAACTGAAAAGGCACAAATTCACTCAAAATTCAAGAAAGAGATTGATGCCAAATTTGTCGAAACGAAACGTTCCATTGTTCTGCATGTTACACAAATTCCTTACTACATTTATCTCGTTATAATTGCATTAGGGTGGAATGAATTTATGGCAATTGTGCGTAACCCATTCACATTTGCTCTTGTTATTGTGTTGGCGGCATCAGTCTACGTGTTGTATACTTTGAATCTTTTAAAGCCAGCAATTTCTGTTGGCCAGAGATTAATTGATGATATAGTGGTTATAGCAAAGGAAAAGTTGAGGGAGGTATTGATTGATGACCACGAGATCCAAGCTCGTAACCTTGACAAGATGACAGGAAAGGTGAAGCAGGCAAGTTTTGAAGATGAAATTGAACGGACAAAGGAGCAGGAAAAGGTTGTGGAGGGGGGTCACAAAGAGAAGGATGAGATTGAGTAGTTTATAGTTTTCAATTGTGTTTAAAAAGATCATAGTGTTGTAATTGCAGATGCCCCCCTAAATTGTAAATACGAATATGAAAATGCAGTGAATTGAGAAATCAATTGGTAGCCCATTTTATTTTTTTAATGTAACGTAATTACATCAAGTTTTTATTTAGGGGCGAATGCCGAATGTAACCTGAAAATAGTACGCAGGTCCACGCAGTGCAAAACGCCTTATAGAAGCACAACACTACATTGGTGAGTTAGTTACACCTATATAGGGGTTGACTGCTTGGCCTGGGTGCTCATTAGAACCCCAGAATTTGGTATTTTGGTGTCCGTTCCTGAAAGGAAAGACCAAAGTTGTTTTTTTTATTTTTTATTTCTGTTTTTATTTGGAATTTCATTTGCAACCTATGTACATTTTTTAGTTACACAATCTCTCTACAAAAGACGAAGAAAAAAATTAAAATGTTACCAAAAGCCAAAACTGAATGAAACAACTATCATTAACTTTGCCTTACTCTTTTGCATAAATACACTGTTGTATCCAACTGTTTCAACCTTGAATGAAATAATGCACTATCTTTAATTCCAATCATTTCTACAGCATTATACCGTCCTGCCACCCAATGATTCCAAGTATCAACACACTTACCAGCAATCACCCCTCGTATGGGATCACGACTGATGTTACCAACAATCACGAAACGGTCGAATCGGTCACAAGTATCGAATCAAAGGAGGTCGATTTGGACTCCAAGACGATCCATTCGTTGTCAGAGACGTTATCGTCCTTATCGTCGCCACGCTCGTCGCCAATGACAAGCACAGACTCAATCAGCATCCACGATATTAAGCTTTCACCATCGCTCGACACAATTATAAACTCATTCAAGGGCCCTTTAACGCAAGAAAGTTTGATTAAACACTCGGAGCTTCTTTTATCAGACCTTAATGCATCATTATCACAAGACGCTATAACCATGTTGCCGAATTACAACATATCACCCACCGGCGATGAAAACGGACTGTACTTGGTTGTTGATTTAGGTGGTTCTACACTTCGCGTTGCAATTGTAGACATCGCACCACAGGAAGAAGACAAATATGGCTCTAGGTCAGATCGGATTAATATTGTTGTTGAAGAAAAATGGCTAATATGCAACGAGTACAAAGTCATTGACCGCAATTTTTTCAAATTCATTGGATTCAAGATAATGGAAACTATCAAGAAGCAAGAAACGTTGAGCACAAGTGACATCATCAAGGCTGGTATTACTTGGTCATTCCCCTTGGACACAACAAGTTACAACAACGGCAAAATTCGACATGTATCAAAAGGATACACGATTGGTGACGATGTTTACGATAAAGATTTGAAACAAATGTTTGAAGCTGTTTTGCAAGAAGAGTTTGATTTGAAGGTTGATATTAGGTCAATATTGAATGACTCGTTGGCAGTTTATTCAGCGGGGGCATTTTTGGACGACAAGATGAGGTTGGCCATGGTGTTGGGAACTGGATTCAACATGTGCTGCTCATTAGAGGCAAATACAGACAGGATGCATCCAAGCAAATTAATCGATGACAAGATGTTATTCAATACAGAATTGTCGTTGTTTGGACAACACTTGTGTGACGATTTTGCGACAAAGTACGATACAATGATAGATCATCGATTTGACAATTTTAAACATCATTTTAAGACCTATTTACAACCGGACCCAGAAACAAACACCATTTTCCAACCGCATGAGTTGATGAGTAGTGGGAGATACTTGCCTGAGCTAACTCGATTAGTCCTAGCTGAATTGATTGAAAAAAAGGAGATTTTCATTGACTTTGATAGCCAAGAGTTGGACTCGATTTTGAATGTCAAGTATGATGGCTTTGAAGGTGAGCTCATGTGTTTCATTGACGAGAGCCACGACTTTGATGCTATTGGCGAAAAGATATGTCATGTTTACCAGTGGCACAAGACAATTCCCGATTCAGATATTGCCATAATTAGATACGTGATTAAGGCAGTAATTCAAAGAGCATCTTTTATTGTCGCAAATGCCATCATTGCTTTTTTTAAACTTATCAAGAAATTCAACAAGTTGGAGAATCTAAATGGATTATTAACAATTGGATACGTAGGGTCGGTGTTGAACCATTTCCACAACTATAGAAAATTGATTATCGATTATGTCAATGAGAGTGAGGACGCTAAAGCTAACAATTACGAGATTGATTTAGAATTGATTGAAAATAGTTCAATAATTGGTGCTGCAATCGGTGCAGCTTATTATTCAAAGTAAATAGCCAATAGGGAGGTTAATAGAAACGGAATATGAATACTATGGTGAAATATTGTAACATTTAAAATTGGTTGTAGTTTTTGCCTTTGAATACAAGTAATCTCTCTCTATTAGATTGTTCATAAACTATAACCACTATAACTTTGATTTTAATCCAGCAGCAGCATTATCACACACAATCAATACGTTCTTATGATCTTGCAAGTAGCTCGATGGGTATTTTGGATCATTTTTTGCGCCATTAATTGTCTTGTCCAAAGCAAATTTCTTGTTTGCACCTAACACAATAATCGACACTTCATCAGAGTTATCCAAAATGGTTGAAATACCAACACTGAGGGCATGTTTGGGAACTTTCGATTCATCATTGTCAAAAAACCTGCAATTGGCTTTGATTGTAGACTCGACAAGATCGACTTTTCGAGTTTTTGAATCTCTAGTTGAACCGGCTTCGTTGAACGCCAAGTGGCCCTCAGGTCCTAATCCTCCAAGGAATAAGTTAATTCTGCCATATTTCTTAATCTTGGCTTCATAATTGGCACATTCCCTATCGACATTCTCGGCCAACCCATTTAATATATTGATATTTTCTCTAGGTATGTCAATGTGGTTAAAAAATTTGTCATACATAAAGTAATGATATGATTGTGGGTTTTGGGGAGTCAAGCCCAAATATTCATCCATATTGAATGTGACAACGTTTTTAAAACTAATTCTTCCTTCTTTGTAAGCAGCAATCAATCGAGCATAGATCCCTTCTGGTGAAGACCCGGTTGGCAAGCCAAGAACAAATGGCCTAGAAGGTGTCGGCTTGAAGCTTTTGATTCTGTGCATGATGTAATCGGCCAAGTATTGCGAAGCATCTTCTGGTGATGAAAAAGTAGCTTGTCTCATGGTTAAACTGTAAAGTAATGGTACATCTTCTGGTTGATCAACAATTGCAAGATGAGATAGTAATATATAGTTTGATGAAAAAACTCTAAAGCACAATATCGTTCAAGCAAAAAATGGAACCTACTTTTTGTTTTTTTTTTTTTTGTTTTTCATTGCATCTGTCTTTATGTTGTATACAAAAAGATACCTGATAATAATATGACACAAAAGGTAAACTCCACATATGAATTATGTTCTTGTTAATGGTGGTGGGTCGGGCAGTAGTGATAGAATAGAGTAGTTGCAACACAATTGAAAAAAGCCAAGACATACACCAAGCCAAGAAGTTACACCTGACTCCGTAAGATAGGGTTGCGTTACAGCAACCAGAGCCATAAAACCAATTGGTTTCAGCTCCAACAGTAAAATGTTTTTTCTATTTCTTTTTCTCATCTATTTTTTTTGCCGGTCACGCTTTTAAAATGTAACATCAATCTAGGTTGCACGGGTCAATTGATGTTACATTCAAGCCACAAAAGGCTCGTTGGGCATACTATAGTACGCAAATCCAAGCCTATGCTCAAGAGAGTGTTACTACATTGCATATGGCTTTCTTGGTACCCTCGCAATAGCTCTTGCATACTAATTGGCTGAAACATTTCAAAAACACACACACACACACCACACACACACCACACACAGACACACACACAAACAATAAAAGCAATTGAATGTGTGACGGTCCCAACGGAATTGGCGCTGAAACCGTGACGCAATTTTTTCTCATTTCTACCCCCGTTTCTTTTTTTTCTTTTTTTTATTTGGTTTTTTTTATCTTTTTTCTTTATTGTTTTCAATGCAACGTTGTTACCACACAAGATGTGACATAATTTATATTCTTTTTATCTTTTAAACACAGTTCGGCCCACATGGACTTATGTATATATATATATATATATATACAAAGGCGCAACTCACAAGATATGAGATTTACAGAGAATTTTGTTTTAGATCTTTATTCTTCTTCCAGATCACACATTCACACACACTGATACCCCCAACATACCTAAAACCTACATCATGCCATACACAAGGTTCACCAACTGCCATCTCATCGATAATGGCGAATTATACGAATTCACCGATTTATATATTGACAACAACACTAGAAAAATAGCCAATAAACCAAGAGATTCCAATGAGATCACAAGGACCATCGACTTGCACCAGCAAATCATTGCTCCCGGATTCATTGACATTCAAAATAATGGTATTTATGGTTTAAATTTCTCAAGCTTGAATGAAAATTCAACTAAAGAGGATGTCAAAGAGTTTCAAAGATTTTACCGTGATGCAATGACAAAGTACTTGTCTACTGGTGTCACTTCGCTTTGTCCAACAGTTACGTCCAATTTCCCCAGCGTCTACACAAAAGTGCTTCCCTTGTACAAAAAGTCAAGGTTGTCCAACCAGACCGATTCTTTGGGAGCGCACCTTGAAGGTCCGTTTATCAACTTGCAAAAAAAGGGATGTCATCCATCAGAAACCTTTGTTGATGCTAAAGGAGGTGAAAACAAGCTACTACAAGTATATGGCGGCAAAGACAACCTATTGGAAAACGTTTGCATCATCACTGCAGCTCCCGAAATTCCAGGAGTCTTGGACTTGATACCGTTTGTCAAACAGCAGAATTGTGTCTTTGCCATTGGCCACACTATGGCAGATTACAAGACGGGTGTCGATGCCATTGAGAATGGATGCACAATGATTACTCACTTGTACAATGCCATGCCGCAACCTCACCATCGTGACGCCGGTGTGGTTGGTTTGATAAACACGCCTGCTGTGCCTCCAAGCCAAACTCCATACTTTGGACTTATATGCGATGGTGTACATATTGACCCATCCATGGTCAACTTGGCTTACAAGTCCAACCCAACTAAGTGTGTCTTGGTCACCGATGCAATGCACATGATAGGATTACCCGATGGCGAATACAAATGGGACGATCAAGTGATAGTCAAGACAGGTGACAGATTGTACTTGAAAAACACCGATACCTTGGCTGGTGCCGCTACAACATTACCGCAATGTGTTCGAAACTTGATGAAATGGGCCAATATTGGATTACCAGAGGCGGTTAAAGCGGTCACTAATACCGCTGCTTTATCAATCGGAATTGAGAATGAAAAAGGGTTCTTGAATGTTGGGTGCGATGCCGATTTGGTTGTCTTGAATCAAGATGGATTTGTCACGCGAGTTTACAAATTGGGTAATGAAATTTCTTCGTCTGATATCCCCCAATCAAGCTATTCCAGAGAACACAAAATCCAAGCTGTGTTATAGAGAATATACAATAAATAAACTTGTATGAGAGAAACTCGTTTTAGAACTATTGCCTTGTAGTTACCTTGACTCACAATCAAAAAAGAGTGCCCAAACCCATTAAAAATGTAAATTAAAATAAAACTAATTCTGAAGTATCTTAGACTATCTCTATATCAATAGCCTATATGCATGAAAAAAAAAAAAAAAAACAAAACAAACAAATAAAATAATGCTCCTAAAGCCAAAATGACAACCACGTCTAATTTTCTCACTTTTTATCCATTTCTGGGGAATAAGCGTACTTGGAGTATGTTCTGATTCTGGCTCCGAAAATGTAAAACAAGTACGGAATTGCACAACAGGCCAATGAAATGAAGGCCATCAAGGAACTAGCCCATTCGTAACCTAATCTATGGTACATTTGAATAGTAAACAATGGAACAGCAGCTCCCCACATTGATCTGACAAATGTTTTTGCTGCCAATGCACTAGCTGCATAATGTTGGTAAGAGTCAACAATGTAGTTGTTGGCTGGATTATATAAACAACAGAATCCGAAACCCACTGCTAAACCAGAAAAACATGGACCGGCCCAAGAAACATGAGGGTATGATGACCAGGCAAAAGCAAAAAGACCAACAGGAACAAACCAACAAGAAACCATCATTGGAATCAATCTTAATTCAGCTGGTGGTAATTCTCCTCTGTCCCTGTATTTTTGGGCTCTTCTATTGTAGTCCCTGTTGAAGAATGGAGCAGCAGCAGTTGCAATAAGGACACCAACACCAATTGGGATAAACATAATACCCGTCTTTGAAGCTGACCAACCTTTACCTTCCATGTAAACAACTGGATAAGCAAAAAAGAACATGTACAACAAACCATAAACGACAGCCATGTAAATAGTGACCAAAAACACAATCAATTCTTTCAACAATACAAAAGGTCTCAAGAGTGATGTCTTGGCAACATCTTTAAACTTTCTAATCTCAATTTCATTCAAACTTCTGTATCTTGAATCTCCAGTATCCTTTCTCAACTTTTTAGCTCTCTTTCTCAATAAAATACCATGATGTGTTTCAGGGACAATGGTGATGAAGAAAGCATAGAATACACCAGCAATAATCAAAAAGGTCCAATAAATCCACCTCCATGTAGGTGCGTGATCAGCCAACAAACCACCAAAGATTGGACCACAAACGGGACCCAAGAATGGAGCGGCTGAAAAGATGGCCATAGCAACACCTCTCTGTGGCCCGTCCCAAATATCTGCCAATGAACCTCCAATCAAAGTCATTGGAGCACTAAATGCGGTTCCATCAATCAAACGACAAATAAGCAAAGTTCCAATATTTTTTGCGGCACCACAGGGGACAATAAATATCAAGGCAACAAAAAGTGTTACCGCATAAATAGGCTTTCTTCCAACTTCTTCAGACATGGGGGCAAACACCAAAGGACCGAAACCGAAACCCAATACAAACATGGTAACCGATGCTAAAATGATGACCTCTTCAGAAACACCAAAGTAAGCGGCAGGACGATCCAAATCACCAGTAACAATAGCAGAACCAAAGGCAACCACGAAACAAATAGAACCTAGCAAACCGGTGTATAACCATTTTCTTCCAGTTCCAAACGTTTTTGGATTTTGTTTATCATTTTCTACCCATTCAACAATCCTTAAACCAGTGTTCAAGTCAATAGGGTACTTCCAAGGATCATTTTCGTTAAAGTCTGATTGTGGATCTGGGTGTGTCAATTGCTTTTTGACATCCAAGTCTTGTTCTAATGGTCCTAAACGGCCATAACCTTCGCGAAGTTCGGTAATGATCTTTTCCACTCCCTGGTTGTTGGTGACCAATTTTTCCAACTCTTTTTCATCAGCAGAGTCGTGTGAGCGAAAATGTTCCAAACTGTGACTTATTCTCTTGCCGAGTGGTTCATTGTGATGGGCAGCAGCAGCAGCAGAACCTTCATCCTGATATGGAGTGATTTTATTAGAATCAATACTGCTAGTATCGTCTGAATTATTTGTCATTATTTTTATGGGGGAAGGCAACAAACTATAAGGGTATATAAATGAAGAATATTATGGAATTAAGTTAAAAGTAAATCTGTGATGTGTGTTGTATATATATGGTGATGAAATGTGAATAGTGAATGAATATTAGTTGAAATGATCTGATGATAAATATAAAAATTAGAATGATGGGGAGGAGGGACAGAGAGGGGGGATATTTCTGTCCTATTTATATTGTATTTTTTTTTTTACTTTATTGTGTCTTATTCTTCTTACTTTTACAATCGGTTAGAAAATTGAAAATTGAAAAACTAATTTTCCCTTTTTTCCTTTTTTGTTTTGTTTCTTTTAACAAATAGTTTAGGTTATTGGTTTTTGGCTTTAGTGTTATATTCTTTTTCTTTTTTAAGTGTGGCAACTCTTTTACTCCAAAATGACATTCTCTATTGTTGTTTGCGTTATTTTACTACTACTACTACTACTACTACTACTACTACTAATAATAATAATAATAAACTAAAAAAAAAAACAAAAAGAATAACAATAGTTTTATAGTTTAATAATAATGACAATAATAATACAACTAGCTGACTAGTAATACTAATACTAAGTCAGTAGCAAAGTAGTAAGTATAGTTTGATGGTTTTTTTTTTCTTTTTTTTTATTTTTTTATATTTTAAGCAATCTTTTCTGTGAAAGGTTTTGTGTATTTTGATGGAACTAACTAGCTTCAGCCGTAGTATTTGGGAACTGTAAATGCCGATGTACTTTTTTTTCCGTTACTTCACTAAACAGTCAATAGAGCTCCAAACAGCAGGGTAATTACTCAGTCCATCAGTCCATTCTAGTCGGTGATACACCAAATTCAACTACCTTGTCCTTTTTTTGGCTGTCCCGAGTCAAACGGTCTACTAGTGCTTCCTCCTCCCTCTCTCTAAGTGTACCCCAATAGAAAACTCTTTGATCGGCTGGAAAGCAAAAAGAAACACACACAAAAAAAAACTATTTATATTTTTTAAAAGCAGGGTACACAAAATTATAACATGCATTCAATTTTTTTAGCCGTTTTTGTGAACTGCTCGATTCAAACTGCCATTTTTGTTCTAGAGCCAAACCAAAAGATCATTATAGACAAACACAGTCACCAAAACTTAACAATGCAACATTATTTTCAACACCGTTGGCTACAACCATACGTTGAAATCGTTCTAGAACTCCTAGATTGCATATGGTTTCTTTTTTCCATTTTGTGGAAGTTTCAAACCATGGCTGCAAAAAATAATAAAAAATAAATTAAAATTATTTGAACCAACCATCAACGGCTTCAGATACGGCCAATGCAAGTAATTAGATTGACGAATATGAGCCCTTATCTAGAAAGAGCGCAATTTATGAACAGGTCCACAGATAACCACTGGACCACTGCACGTTAGCACAAACGTTTTCCAAAATAAAGAAAGTGGGTAAAAAAAGATTCCGATAAATATTACTTTATTAAAATTTATAAATGTTTCTATATATGTATAAAGTTTACGACACGCAATATGGGTTATGAGACTCAATATTTAGTGGCCATGGCTTTCCAAATCTGGCTTCTTGGTATCAATATTTGGCGAATAAGCGTATTTGGAGTATGTTCTGATTCTGGCTCCAAAGATGTAAAATAAGTATGGAATGAGGCAACATGCAAGCGAGATGAAGGCCATCAAGGAACTTGCCCATTCATAGCCTAGCGTGTGGTACATCTGAATAGTAAACAATGGCACACAAGCTCCCCAAACTGATCTGACAAATGTTTTTGCTGCCAATGCACTAGCTGCATAATGTTGGTAAGAGTCAACAATGTAGTTGTTGGCTGGATTGTACAATCCACAAAGACCGAATCCAACACCTAAACCAGAAAAACATGGACCGGCCCAAGAGATCCAGCTGTATGATGACCAGGCAAAAGCAAAAAGACCAACAGGAACAAACCAACAAGAAATCATCATTGGAATCAATCTTAATTCAGCTGGTGGTAATTCTCCTCTGTCTCTATACTTTTGAGCTCTTCTATTGTAGTCCTTGTTAAAAAGCGGTGCTGCCAATGTGGCTATAATAACACCACCACCAATTGGGATAAACATGACACCCGTCTTTGAAGCTGACCAACCTTTACCTTCCATGTACAAGACAGGATAAGCAAAAAAGAACATGTACAACAAACCATAAATAACAGCCATGTATATGGTGACCAAAAATACAATCAATTCACTCAACAATACAAATGGCCTTAAAAGGGATGTCTTGGCAATTTCAACAAAATTCCTAACTTCAATTTCACTCAAACATCTATATCTCTCATCACCAGTGTCTTTTCTCAACTTCTTTGATCTCTTTTTCAACAAAGTTCCATGATGTGTTTCAGGAACAAGGGCAATAAAAATAACATAAAACACCCCTGCAACGATCAAGAATGTCCAATAAACCCACCTCCATGTAGGTGCGTGATCAGCCAACAAACCACCAAAGATTGGACCACAAACGGGACC